CGGGGGCGGGGGCGGATGATCCGTTTGCGAGGATTGAGGGGAAGGTCGAGGATAAGAGGGTTGTTGACCAGGCGCGGGCGAGGATATTGGAGTTGCAGGAGAGGCAGCAGAGGGATTGGGAGGATCCGTATGAGGTGTCGAGGAGGTTGCGGAGGGGGTTTCGGGCTGAGAGGAAGGGGATCGAGAGGGAGGAGGCTGTTAAGGAATCGCTGAAGGATAAGATGAGCTTGGGGATTGAGATTGTGGATGAGGTTGAGGAGGATGCGGTTAGGGCTGGGATGGTGGATTTTGATGAGGCCCCTGTTGCTTCTATGCGCACGCGGCCTATGTTTGAGACGGCGTCATCGTCCCGTCCTGGCGGCGTCGATGACAAGAAGAGTGGAGGTGCCGGTGGGAAACGCAAAACGGCGGATCTGGTCGCGGAGCGCAAAGCGTTGTTTCGGAGCGAGTTGGCTGGGAATACTCGTGCTGTAGTGGATCCCTTTCTCAATGGATCTGGGAACAATGCGAATGTCTGGGAACCAGAGGTTAAGAAGAGGAAAGGCGACGGCAAAAAAGTCAAGCAAGGCACTACACGCGACACCGAGGCTCCGGCTGAAAGTACCGAGAGGGAAATCCGCGAACCGGAAGGTCGAGAAGAATTGCCAGATTCGAAGCAACCGGCGTCCCAGGCTCCTGGGCTGGTCGACTATGGGTCGGACACGGAGTAATATGTGCTGTATATCCTTTTTGTTTGCCTTTTTGCGAGGGAGTTGGGGATTTGCTTTGTTAAATGATACCCGGGTTGCCATTTTATTGATATACAATTATATCATTTGCATTCTATACTCGACACATCATATACTCGTGATCAAGGGCTTGTAAATCGTTACAAATCTCTGGGGCGGGTTGTTGGAAGCATATAGAACGTTTACTGCACCTTACTTGGCCCATGGCGCTTTTGTCGCCACATGGCCTCCGGACGCGGTGTCACCCGTGGGAGCCGGCCCAGCTGATTGCGATGTCGCCCAAGGCGCCCGCGTTGGTCCCATCGGGCCGGGAGGCAGTCTCGAGGTGTCCGGGAGTGCGGACGTTGGTACTCTAGGAACGTTTGTAGTTAACCCTGGAGCCTTAGTACTTGCCCACGGGGCCCTGGTGCCCGATGCCTCAGGTTGGGGCGCGGATGATGTCTTAGTAGGTTCATCTGTTCTCCGCATTGTGGCGGTGGTATGAGCACTCGCTGCTGGAGGAGGTGCGTTGGGATCCCGCTCCCAGCTGAACAATGAGCCGAACGGGAAATGCTGCACTACTGGGAATTTTGATAGTACTTCGGCGTTGTACATCTTGATCATGCCCTGAACAGAGTTGTGAGTAACCGGTAGCATTAAAAGCGCGAGAGGTGCAGGAGCATACCTTGTTTATCTTAGCCCACCCGGCCTGGATACCGGATATATCGTAGAGCATAGGGCTGTGCTCCCAAAATGGGCCACGCTTGACATCGTAAATGAACCCAATAGCGGAGAAATACAAGTTATCCCTCCTTTCCCGTTCGACGATGTTTGCTTTGGCGACACCGCCGGGAGCCGGCGCATTAGGCAGCGAGCCTTCTTCCGGGATACGGTCTGATTCTGATATTGCGGGCGCTAGCTGCGCTGAGCCGAAGATGTATGGGATGAATGAGTGATCGTCGAGGCCCCAGACACCGTGAGAGCCGGCAGGTTCCAGGGTATATCGCTTAATGATGGTTCGGACGAGTTCGAGATATGGTTGTATCACGCCTAAAACGATCGCCCTTTCCTCCACGCCGGGGCTATTTTGAGGAAAGCCATGCAGCTTCCAAATGCCCGCCAAGAAGGCAAGAAAGCTCAGCTCATGTCCCGTTCCATAGTCCAGTCTCTGCGGACTTCCCCAGCTCCCTAGAAAGTATGCCAGCAGCTCAACCTCCGCCGTCGGCGAACCCGGCTCAGAGGACGGAGTCTGTAGAATTTCCTTTGACAAGCATTCCTCTAACAGGCTTGTCGCCCGACTCTCCACTACCTCATACCATCTCCGGAAAGCAACATTGCCGAATCTGCGCGGGCCAGTGTCGGGAGGTGCTTCATCGAGAATCGCTTCAAGTTTTGAGAGGAGTTGTTGGAGCTGGCGCACGGGCGCGGAGTATTCAACGACTTCGCTGTTCAGTGAGTATGATTGAACAGTTCCATCGGAGAGCTTCGTAGGAAATAGCGATCGGTTAAGCTGGAGGAGGAAGGTCATAAGATCAACGTAGGCTTTTGATGAGAGAAACTCGGTCACATCTTGCCCCTCGTTGATCCGTTTGCTGGGCTGCTTGAAGGTGTGGCCCGCCGACGTATCGAGCTTGGGGAGGACGCGGACCTGGGAGGGGTCCATGGTTTTCAATTGCTTGGAAAAATAATCAAACAAAGAGATAAAATGGAAGCTCTCGAGAACCAGAAGATTGTGGAGGTGTGGGGTTGTTCCTGCTCGATCTCCATGACGCCATGGTTCATGAGGCACCGGCCGACACTAGACTTACGCTTGGACGCGCTCTGGCGGTTGCCAGGTCGATTTGATCTTATCAGTTGCCACCCCCAGGCCACACAACATTATCATCAATAGTATTCACCGCACATATTGATATGACCCGACAAATGCAGCCAGCGGATCTCAAAGATCTCTGAACCCGCCCTGATCTACTCATTATGCCGCTGAACCTCTGCCTAGACGAGGCTCTTCCTTTACGATGTCCTCGACGCGCTCCGCTCCCTCGCGAAAGAAACGAAGTTCCACATCGACCACTCTGGGCATCCTCAATAGCTTGAAGAGACCCAAAGCCACCGATGAACGCGGAACGCAAAGTGCTCGCCCTGCTCGTCAAGTGCGCAATGTCCCTAGAGCCCCGCGGAGAGACCTTTTTGACATACCGCGATCTCCTGGACCTGCACCGTCGCGAAGCTCGGCTATTCAATCATCACCGTTGACCGCTGTTGAGCCGCTGAATCGGCGGAATACGCGCGCACTGCCGGATATCTGGGACAATCCGTATGAAGAATATGATGAACCGAGTTTCTCTCTTGAACCATCGCAAAGTCCATCGCAAAGTCCATCGCAAAGTCCATCGCAAAGTCCATCGCAACGTCCATCGCAAAGTCCATCGCACAATCCATCGCACAATCCATCGCACAATCCATCGCACAGTCCATCGCAAAGCCCATCGCAGAGTCCAATCGCCGACTCATTGCCGCCTGTCGCTCCTGAGCCCAGCGCACATCGTTACTCTACGCGCCTAAGAGGTGTACAAATTCAGAATGATGTACAGAGCAGTCCGCATCGGACGTCAACTCGAGCTAAGCGAGCAGAGATCGACTACCGTGAAAACGAAGAATATATTGAGGAAGGGGAGTCATATCAGGCCTACGAGGAAGTTGACGAAGAATCTGCGAGCGAGACCGGTGACCGAGATAGTGTCTCGGGAGAAGAGGATAACGATCCCCTCAAAATTGAACTCTTCTCAGATGAAGAGGGAGACATGACACCTTCGGCTCTCCAGCTTGGTGAGACTCTTAAACAGAGTGGGCAGTTCGAGTCGGCTTCATCCACCCCTGCTATTAAGAACGCAACTTTCCAGCGAGTTGCCAAGTCGAGCACCGAGAGTCCAAGAGTCCCGCAGAGTGCGGCGAAATCGCACAAATCTACTCCAACGGCGGCAGCACGAAACCCTTCGGTGGTGATTAGCAGCCCTAATAAAGTCCCAGAGACACCTCTATCAAGGCGGCAAACGCGGATTCGACCACAAACATCGCAAGTACAAGATGATGAAGGTGACGTGGAAATGGATGAGCGCGCGGACAGAACATTGAATCGAGATAGCGATGTGGAAATGGACAGCCGTGATGACTTGGTAGTGGAGGACGGCGATGATATTGGCTCTGATGATGGAGTTGAAGATTCGGCGAATCCAAATGATAGCTCCGACTCAGATCTCTTTGTACGCCAGGACTCTCCGGAACGCCCCTCTTCGCCGACCACACGGTCTAAGAGTAGGAAATCCCCGCAGGTAGCGAGTGGTCAAGTGGACCAGTCTGGCAAATCAGTCCATGCGCCATCATTATTTTCAGAATTTCCGGAGGCCTCGGAACCTCGTCGAAGACAGCCCACGGCAAAGGATGCTCCGAGCGGACCACTACGGTCTGGTCGACTGAATACGCAGTTGTCTGCCAACATTGCGTCGATGACTCGACAATCGCCAGAGGATTTGAGGTCCGGTAGAAGACGATCGTCCCCGCAGAACTCACCGAGCAGCGCAACGCGGTCTGATCGAATGAATGCACTTTCCACTGCCGACCGTGAGTCGGTGACTCGAGAATCCACAGAGACTTCAATGTCCCTCTTGCAGGACGCACCCAGAAGACGGCGGCAGTCCGATGACAATCATGCAACTCAATTGCACCAGTCGCCTCCAACACGCTCGACAAGCAGCTCTGCCCTTGAAGAACCGAGTGGAGCTCTAACAAGTCGGAGAATACGGGGCCGACGCAGTCACTTGGTCTTGAATTACACCGATCACGAAAGCCCTGAACCAGAAAGCGGCTACCCTCAGAACAAAGAGGCCATGAAACTAGGACAGCAACGGCAAAACCAGTGGAAAATTCTCATCCGCGAGGCGCACAGAATGAAAAAACCTCTGGACCTGGCTTGGAGAGCACAGTTCGGGGATATTATGGAGCCGATTGACTATCTACAACAGTGGTATGAGGGGCTATATCAGCTTCCGGGGCCAGACCGAGCCTTGTGCACAAAGGATGCACGTAAGCACGAGAGATTGCTCAACGTTATCTTGGATCAGAGCAATCGATTACTAGACTATGTTTATGATGCGGTTGTCGTGGACGGTAAACAGAAACAGGGATGTAAGCTGTTCCAAAGATTCGAAGCCTGCGTCCTACCAGCTATCATAGAGCTGGCTTTCGCCATATTTGACGCATACCACTCAGATCCTAAGCAATTCTCTGAGATATATGATCATCTCCATGGTGCTTTGTCGGTGCTTCACTATCTTTGCGATCGGATGACGATCCTGACCAAGGAGCGATATGTCCGCTCCGACAAGACGCGAACCAAAAGTCTGCTGCGCCCCTTGCAAAAACTTATGGAAGCTTCGGAGTCGGGCTTGCTTAAACCCAACGAGATCCAGTTGCCCGACCGAGATGTCGAAGAGGTCGTGTCGTCCGATGAGGACACGCCAGTGTATCTGTCCCGAACGCCGTTCACGGATACTGAAGGTCGTGCTCTTATGGATGGCTTGTTCAAGCATCAGGGTATGTCTCCGGATTTCACCTCTATATCGAGACGTAAATTAACTGCCCTACCAGGTCCAGAAAGATACATCCATATCATTAGGGATTACAGCGATGAGCTGGAGGGCAGAGCTATAAGCGAGCTACGCGCCGAGGCACAATATGTATGCGCTAGATTTCTACCGCGGATTGAAGAGGAATTGCGCACGAGGGAGGGGCGGAAGAAATGGCAGTGGCTGCTCAGTGTGCAGGAGTAGTCTGGAATCTATACTGAGAACTTAGGAGCGAGAGTGTAGTATAGCACCGAACCATGGAACCGAGTCTGAACCACACAACCTCAACATTTACCCCTGACGTGTTATTGACTCCGAGTCCTTAGCATCTCCCCGTCTCATCCATCATTATTACATTTTTATCATACTCCTCGTATCTCCTTTGCTGAAAACCAGCGGCTCGTACCTGACATCAAGTGTAGGTCATTACCCGAACAGGTCTAGCGCACAGGTGACCTGTTCCTTCCCCTCTTTCCACCTTTCGCTCCTTACTCTTTTGCGTTGTCGGTCTCTTGTTCTGCGAGTCTGCGTTGTTCCTGCTGTTCGAGTTGACCATTAATCTCTCGCCTTTTCTTCTTCTGCCTAATACTTATCCTCTAATATTTGATAATTTCTTTTGGCCCAATCGTTGATTCCTGCCTGCTGTTATCTTTGCAGCTCAAGTACGTGTTTGGCGGCCGTTTAGTTTCCGTCCCCAACTCATTGCCTCGGACTCACCACTAACAACTCATTCTTCGTCCCGTGCAGTATACGACCCAATAGCCTCGTGCAGCTAGCTCATTGAGTGCCTCGGTTTTGCAATTGGACGTTAGCAACGTGGTACGGGTGAGTTGTCAACGGCCATATCCCCTGCAGTCGCATTTCTACCCGAATCAGAAAGGAGTTGTGTCTGCGACTTCTCAGGCATCAGGGGAAACCTTGTATTGGAGTTTTGGGCGATGATATTATTCTCCTGGAAATGCCTTACCCTCGAATCTGCTCTTCCATAATTGTCACGCTCTCTCTCGCATGCTTCGTGCTGTCTTCGCGCGGCGGTGTACCTCCGCTCGTATTTTTGCTTTTTCGGAGCTAACCTAGATCCCTGCAAAGCTCTAGGAACAGTTAGACCGCCGACTGTCCGGGATCTCCTTTTCTATCGCATAACCCCCCCATTCACCTATCCAGGTACCTATACGCGCAATGTCGTCTGTGGAGGAACCTGTCGCCTCCGCTTCCCCGGCCGAGGTCTATGCGGAGGATGTGCCCCCCGCTACCCCCGTGGAATCAAGTGCTATCTCTGGCAGCGAGGAACCAGCCACAAGCCCAGATACTTCCAAGGACAAGGAAAATGTGAGGGCGTCTCCGGCTAAGAAGACCACAGCAACCACGACCAAGCGTCCAGTGTCCTCCGGAACGTCTGCCACAAAACGACCTACCTCGATGTCCGGCCTCAAGACCACTCCATCTAGCACTCGCACCCCAGGAACAAATGGAAGCACCCTGGGGAAGCCCCCAACTCGCCCGACTACTACATCTGGGACCATTCGCAAGCCTCTGAGCACGTCCACTACTTCCTCCCACCGCTCTCGACCATCACTCAGTTCAGCCGATGAGAAGTCGCGATCTGTAGCCAGTTCTGGTGATGAGAAGCGGGGAATCACTGGTTCTGCTAAGCGTATGTCGCTTGCGGGCACCACCACCAGAGCCCCAGTGAAGTCAACGACCTCGACTCTGGATCGCCGGTCCAGCATTGCATCCACCACCGGCGCGCGTACCTCAACTCTCTCCTCGACGAGACCTGCCACCAAGCCGACAACTACGACGACCCGACCCACCGCTTCTACGACGGCTGCAAGAACGACCACAAGACCAACAACAACTGCCACGAAGCGATTGAGCGCCGCGCCCAAATCTTCCGAAGAAGATGCGGCTAAGTTACAAGCTCTTCAGACCCAACTAACGGAGAGGGAGGCTACAATCGAGAGCCTCAAGGCGGAGCTGAAAGCTGTAAACGAGAAACTGGCACATGCGCCGAAGGCCGAGTCAGCTGAAGGAACTGAGTCTGAGCAAAATGACTCCACGAAGGCTCTCCAGGAGCAGCACGCTGCAGAGATCAGCCAATTGGTGGCCACTCACGAGGAGCAGATCAAGGGCTTGCGCATCCAACTCGAGGAAGCGGAAGCGAGGACGAAGGAGATCGAGGAGAGGTCCCTGAAGGCTTTGGAGGACGCATCCCAGGCGGCGGCTTCTCAGGGTGATGAAAAGCTATCTGCGGCTCTCGAAGAGCTGAAGAACTCTCATAAAACCCAGCTCGAAGCTCTCGAAAGCGAGCTCGCAGCACAGAAGGCTGCTGCTGCCGGTTACGCCGAGCAGATCGACTCTCTTAAGATCGAACTGCAGTCCAAATCGGACGGTCTGGAAGCGGCCACCAAAGGGTTCGAGACTGAAAAAGCGTCCGCCCTTGAGGAGTTACGTGCAGAGCTTCAGGCAGAAATTGAAGATTTGAAGCAATCCAAGGCCGAGGCAATCCGCTCCGCTGAAGAATCCACCAAGCAGTCAATTGCGACTTTGGAGGAGAAGGTTAACTCGCTTCAATCTCAACTTGCAGCGGCCGAGTCCGCCACTACTCAAGGCCAGGAGCAGACCGCCGCCCAGCTTGCAGAGAAGGAGAAGGAGGTCGCCGAATTGAAGGACGCCGTTATTGCCGCCCAGGCACAGCTTGAACAGGCAGGGGAAAGTGCCGCAAAGGATCTTGACGAGAAGCTGAAGGCTCTCGAAGCTGGTCACGAAGATACGATTGCCAAGCTCAAGGCACATCATGACGAGGCTCTAGCTTCTGCTGCCAGCTCGCACGCCGATGAGCTTGCCAACGCAAATGCTGCTACGGAATCTCTCAAGGCACAGCAGGACGAGGCTTTGGCTTCTGCTGCCAGCTTGCACGCCGATGAGCTTGCCAACGCAAAGGCTGCTACGGAATCGCTCAAGGCACAGCATGACGAGGCTTTGGCTTCTGCTGCCAGCTCGCACGCCAATGAGCTTGCCAACGTTAAGGCTGCTACGGAATCGTCCGGCGCAGCCCATGCGCAGCAACTCGAAGAACTGCGTGCCTCTCTTGACAAGGTCAAGGAGGATGCAGTAAACGAGCTACAGGCTACCCACCAAGGTGAATTGCAGTCTCTGCAGCAGAAGCTTGATGATGCCGAAGAGTCTCTTCAGAAGACCCGCCAGGCTCTGGAGGAGGGCGCAACCGCTGCCCAAACCCAAGCAATCCAGGAGATCGAAGCTCTCAAGGATAAGTGCAACACGTTAGAATCACAATTATCCACTGGACAAGAAGAAATCAAGGCCCTCCAGGGCGAGATCCAGGCCAAGCAGGAGCAAGCTGACACACTCCAGCAGAATCTTGTCACGTTCGAGACTAAGCTAAAAGCCAAGGATGCGGAGCAGGAAGGTGAAATCAAGGCTGCTCAAGAACGCGCTGCAGCGGCAGAGAGGGCTCTAGAGGAACAGAACCAGAGAGCCGATGCTCTGTCTGAGGAACATGCCAAGACGCTGGAAGCGTTGAAGGCCGATCATGCTGCAGAACTTGACAGAGTCAAAGCTGATGCGTCCGGATCGCTGCAGCAGGCGCTCGAGGAACTTCAGTCCAAGTACAATGAATTGCTGTCGAACAACAATGACTTGGAGACCACCCATGCAGGCAAGATTGAGGCGCTCGAGACTGAACTTAAGTCTACCATGGAGCGCGTTGCCTCGCAGAGTGCCGCCCATGCAAAGGAGCTTGCTGACCTTCAACAACAGCATGAGGAAGCCAAGTCCAAGCTGCAAACCGAACTACAAGCATCACTGAGCTCCAAGGCTGCCGAGGCAGACTCCGAGCACAACAGGGCCATTGAGGAGCTCCTCACGCTCCAAGAATCCAAGCTTTCCGGCCTTCGCGCAGACCTGCAATCCTCGCACGAAGCCAAGCTTGATGAGCTTCGTACGGCCCACGATGCTTCTCTTGCAGACCTTACTACTCAACTCACTACCGCTCAGTCCGCCGCTCAGGATACTTCCATTGTGGATGGTTTGAAGGAAGCCATTGCCGAGCTGGAAAAGAAGCTGGCCACTGCCGAGCAGTCCGCCACCGATTCCAAGACACAGCATGCCGCCGAGCTTTCTCTTATTGAAAAGGACAAGAATGAGTGGGAGCAGAAACACCAGGCAACGACCGCTCGTGTCGAAGAGCTTGAGAGGCTTTTGGCCGCTTCTCAAGGCACCCAGTCGGACTTGGAGACCGCGTCGAAGCAGATCCTCGCCACTCAGGAGGAGCTGTCGCAGCTCCGGACCAAGTATGATACTGTTGCCAAACAACTAGACGAATCAAGGTCGCACAACACTGCGACTGAGCAAAGGCTTGCCCAGGGCGAAAAGGAACTGAATGCTCAGATCGACAAAAACATGAACCTTCTCAACCAGCTGGGTGAAGTCGAGTCGTCCATCCACGGCAGCCGCAAGCATATTCGAGAACTTGAAGCCGAACTGGCAGCTCTGAAGGCTGATAAGGACACATTGAAGCCAATCAACGTGGGGTTGGAAGGCAGCCGATGGGCAACAGATGATGAGTCGCCGGCCGCCGAGAATAATCAGGCAGCCACAGTGGAAGGTGAGGACATTGGTTCATCGATCGAGGGAACGGTGGGACCTCCCCGTCTATCATCGTAGCTGTCTCCCCTCGGAGACCTGTTATTTGGAGATTTTGCTAATCGGACCTTTTTTTCTACGCAGATGGCCAGCATCCAGGAACAGCTTAAACACATTAGGTCAGCCAATGACGACTGGTATGACGAGCATCGTCGGTAAGTGCTCACTTACTCGACCCAGAATGCCACTGCTGACTGTACTAGACTCGTTGGCGAACTAGCACAAGTGTCACGACGAGCGACGCCCAATCCCCCCAGCCAGTCTGCGACACCACAGCCCGAAACGGCGATCGAGGTCGCCTCGCAATGAGATATTTGTATGGACTGCCCGGTCTGATTCAAACTTATCGCGCTTCTTCCATTTCTTTTTCTTTGTATTTGCCTTGTATAGGATTAGGATGTATGTAATAAAGTGCTCAGGATACCCGATTCAAGTACCGTTGCCGTGGATTGTTGCTATATGTGGTTCGGTATCTGGGTAGCGATGAATATATTATCTGCAGGACATTACTATTATTGACATGAGTCGGTGAGAAATATACCGATACACAGGTCATTGAGTATATATAAAAATTCGCCAGTAGGCTCAGTTCATGTAACGTGGTTGGCGTGACGCCACGGCCACCAAGAGAATCGTATGGGTAAGCACCGTGTCATGAGTCGCCGCTTTCGTCTCTGCTTATCTTTCTCCATCTTCTCCATCTCCCGCTGTTGTTGGATCTCATACCGTGCCGGGGTGAGAATTCCTGGTGGCGGCGATGGTGGTCTAGGCAACACCCATGACGAAGGATGATAGCCGTGCGCACCTAGCGGCAGGAAGCTTATCTGTGAGACCCGCTCTGGAGGCGCATCAATCGTATCTGGCGCCAATGAGCTCTGGTAATCTTCCCATGTCTCCGACGTGGGAAGCCGCGGAAGAGGCCGTGCCGGTACGTTGTGGAAGTGGACGGGCGAAGAGGTGAAAGCCCGACAGAAGGCAGCATAGTTATCGGCGAGCACGAGATCCTCTTCCTCGTCATCTGCGTCTCCAAACCTCCCAGCTTGACTTTCGGTTCGGAGACCGGCTGCGTACTGGTTATGCCGATGGACGCGGTGACGATGCGGTCCATCCAACCCATATCCGGATCCGTACCCGTTTTCCGGATCCTCATAGTCATAGTCAAAATCCGTGAAGCGGTGCTGGCTGGTTGAGATGCTGAGAGAGAGATCATGCGTAATCCTGAGTGTTGATGAGGGTTGACCGTCCGACTGCGAGAAGTCCGTGTCCGTGTTTGTGTTTGAGGCTTTGGCGACATTATGCTGGAGAGTATAGTGTGGGAGATTATTGTTGTTGAGCGTGCTATCTGTATCATGGCCAGAGCTCTGACGCGCCAGTGGCAGTTGAAGGTGCGTTGACAGCCATCGTTTCAGCCGTAGTGTAGAGGGCGTTCTGAGTGGAATCGCCGAGGACGAAGGAGCTGACTCTGAGGTAGTAGTTGAGAAGGAAGACGAGGAGAAGGAGCGGCTGGGCGTTGAGCGTGGCAGAGGCATGGTGGGTGAAGTACTGGATCTGAACGCAGCTCACCCCGTGCGTCTGTGTGTCTGTGGGGTACTTATGGGACGAGGTGAGATTTGCAGAGGTAAAGGCATGGATGGGACGCACGGCCTGGCGTAGACGAGAGAAAGAGAGCGAGAGGACAAGAGAGAGACTTGGGCCGGGGTGGCCAAGGCCCAGCTACCTGCGCTACTGAAGTAGACAGGGAAGGCTTGTTCGGATGATAACCGGAGGATTGAGAGCAGCAGGAAAGCCGCAGTAGCAAAGGGAGAGAAAGTGACACGGAAAAACGCATGCGACTGCTCTGGAGCTACAGCCAGCTCGGCTGCTCTTTCCTTGATGCGATGTCATGTACATCTACCCGTAGTATGTACGTATGTACAGGAGCTGTAGGGTCCAGTGAGCTGGCCGGTGCGAGTGCGACTCTGCTACATTATTGTTGTGGAACGTAGCATAGCCCCCTCGCCTATACTGCGAGCTTCCCGGGGGAGAACATGGACAACTTTGCCCACGAGGGAAATGTAGCTGTAGTAGTGGTACTTGTCTGACGTGTTCAAGAAAAGACCTGAAGTGGGTTGAGTAACGGCGTTGGGGGGGAAGTGAGACATCCAGAATGTATATCCAGTAGGAGCGAGACTGGGGGTGCGAGCGAGAAATAAGCCGACGAGGGCGACGTACTCCGCACTCCAAGGTTTTAGAGGCTGGAATGGTGGACGACGTCGTCCCAAGCCTCCTGACGGGCGTTGCAGTGGCGCTACTGTCGCATCCCTGCTGGAGATCACATCACTTACAGTGCCGTGCATGTGGCTGCTATAGTTAGCCGAGATTCAACAAAGCCTTCATAAGCCATGGGCGGCAAGGGTTGGTATCGCATGTGGCCTGTGGGATGAGAGAGTCGGTGAACGAAATCTGCATTGACTTGACTTGTTATAGGCCAAGCAAGCCCATGCATTATGTAGACATTATATATTCGTTCAGTAGTCTATATTCTGGATATAATATACAGCAAGGTCGCTGGATCAGGACCAGGGGATCAGCCTGATATCCCATCGCGGCCAAGTCCCCACCTTCCAACTTCACGCATCGCCTCGTCGCCTCCCTCGACAAGACGACCGTTGGTGTTTGACGGGTTCTGCGCTCCAAGGACCCCGGCAACGCATTCCCATCCGTTGCGCCCACCACCCCACCGCAGAACCTCATTCTTGTATCGTTCTCCAGCGGAGCGGTCAACGGCTGCAGCTCCAGCCCCGAACACGTCTTCCCACAGCTTGTTAGCGATGGCGCGGTCAAAGATGTAGCTGTAGTACGTGGCGCCGTATCCGTACAGGTGCCCGAAGAACCCCTGCCAGGAGGTCGTAGGGCGGCCATGCTCGTCTACTGGGTCTGGAAGGCTGGCGTGCGTTGAGTAGACCTGCTGATAGAGCTGGGTGGTGTCAAGGAAGGAGTTTTCGGTAGTGGTTGTGTGATAGGCTTGATCGACGAGTGCCATGAGAATTTGGGCCTCATTTTCGACTGCCCCGTAGATGGCGCCGTGTGCGGCCCGGTCCTGAGCCATATGGTGGATCATGGCTTCGGATAGGGGTTGGTCGGTTTGCCAATGGCGAGCGTAGAGGGCTAGCACGGACGGGTCGGTCGCGAAACGTTCCATCAATACCGACGGCAGTTCGGCGAAGTCGGTTGCGCAACGCGTACCCGAGATGGACTGTAACCGGGTCTGGCCCAGAATAGAGTGCAGGGCGTGTCCCATCTCGTGGAAGAGCGTGCGCACGCTGTGCTCGCTAAGCAGTGATGGCGTGGAAGACGAAGGCTCGGGGAAGTCGCACACGAGAGCAATGGTAGGTAATTGACGGAGTGTTTTGGATTCCGCATCAATTGCTGTCGCCATACCATCGTTCGGGTGGGCTACAATCTCGGATCCGTCCATCGCTGCGGACTCGGCAATCTCCTCTTGAGTAATCTCTCTGGCACATCGCAAAGTGAAATGAGCCGGATTAGGGTGTTTTCCAGGGCGAGAGAACAAGTCGCAGTAGATGACGGCTAGTGGACGATTTGCCTCATCTACTACATCCAGACGGCGAACATCGGATGTCCAGGTCTCGCCAGGAGAAGTCTCACGGGGAACCAAACGAACGCCATAAAGGCGATCAAACAGACGAGACAATCCCTGCATTACTGTTCCAAGTGAAAAGAACTCGGGGATGGCAGCCAACTCCCGTGATTTGCGGGTCTGTTGGGAGGTTTCATATTGTCGTACGCGCTTGTGAACGTAGTATGCGTGATCCCAGGGCTGCAGCTGGCTCCCCTTTTGTGCCTGTAGCTGGGCCAATTCTTCGTGAACATCCGGACGGTTGCTCGTCATGAGAGTGGTTAGGAATTCGGAAACAGCAGCAGGGCTTCTGGCCATCTTGTCATTCAGGGTCATATGCGCAAAGGTCTCGAAGCCCGCGAGCTTGGCGAGTTCCGTGCGCTTGGCCAGCAACTGTTCAAGACGCTCAACCTGCCGTGAGCTTGCGGTGCGTGTAGCCTGGTAGATCTCGCGACGAACTCTCTCATCGTGAGCGGAACGTAGGGCTAAGCGCGGAATCAACCCGGAAGTAGGAACAGCGGCGGAACGGGGGTTCCATCGCCTGATCTGCTGAATCAACATAGGATCCAGGCCACGAAGGTCATTCGTGGGCAGAACGACATGCGACCGCGCTGGTTCCGCGCCATGGGCAAAGGCAGACCCAAGTTGGCTGATCTCGTTGGAAAGAGTGACAAATCGCTGCCGCTCAGGCGGAGGCATATGAATCGCCGAATTGGCAAAATCCTGGAGAAGAATACGGGCGACAATGGTCTCCTCGGAGGACCAATGTGCCGTGACATCCGGTTTATTCAGTGCCGCACGTAGTTGATCATGTAGGCCGGTTGTGGTGTTGAGCACATTCATATACTCGAACATCAAGGCATATGCCTGACTGGCCGCCTCTTGGACGGGCAGATCCGGATGAAAGGCCCGGATAAAGTCGGACAGATCTATGACGCGACACAGCAGGTCGCTAAGACGGTCCAACTGACGTACTAAACCCCGGTATTCGTCGACCGTCGACGCAGCGAGGACTCGAGATACTATCGCCTGACATTTCTGCAGCGATACCTGCGCGAAGGCGCGGAATCCATCGGGACTCGCCAAGTACTGATTCTGTACAAGGCCGGTCGGCTTCCGGTCGGGAGAGAAGGATGACGACTCGGAGAAATCGCGCCAAAAGGACTGCGAGTCGAAGACCCGACGGAGAGTATTGTCGTCGGAACCCTTGGAGATCGAGGAATGGACAGGGGTGGCAGACGCAGAAGCAGAAGCAATATTTCGGAAGGCGGAGGTGGTGGTGATGGAGCGACGGTGCAGGCCTGGTCTTGGTTGCAGTCGACAAGTGCGACAGATCCACGGTCGCGGCATATTAGTCTGGTAGGGATCTAGTATAGTACATTAGAAAAAGAATGAAAGAAAAGAAAAGGCCCCTCAAGGGAGAGATTGACAAAGTATGAGGGATGGACGAGGACAAGCAACCGACTGCGGCCGAAAAAACTTGGCACTTTTCTCTAGACTTCATTCCATCATCTCAACCTCTTCTCTTCTTAATCCTCCATCAATTGCTCGCACCATGGCCATGTACCAGGTACTTGCTGCCGGATACCTCTCTTGTTGTTGTCCCTGCTAATCAATTGCCCTTCCAGCGACTCTCTGCGTCCCTGTTGGCCGGAGCCGTGGCCTTCTATCCCCGGCCAGCTCTTGCCGAGGACGTACGTTTATTGCTAGGCCCGCCCCGGTGCTCAAGGGCCAGGGACACCTTCGCTTGACCATACATCTAACTGTAGCAGAGGAAACCCATCTACGATGACTACCCCGCCGAGTCCCCCATCACCCCCGTCGCAGCTACTCCCGAACCGATTCCCGCGTCTACTCCCGAACCTACAACAATCACTACAGCTCTCTCCAGCACCCCTACGAAGGCGCCCTCCTCTCCGACGCCCACCGACCTTCTAACCACTCAAGTCCGCCAGGGCCGTCTCTTCCTCTACCAGCAGTTCCGTGCCGCCGAGGTCGGCTTCAACGACATCCTCTCCCGCGCCCTCCACATCGAGAACGCCTTCACCAACACCATTGCCTCGCTGGCGCCTTCGCCGGAGTCCGGCGAGAAGATCCTGCCCGGCGGTATCTACGTCGTCGTTGCTGCTATGGCCGGATCTATCGTTGCCCGCAACCGTGGCCGTTTCCTGCGCGGCACTACCCCGTTGGCCTTCGGTACGATCGCGGCTTGGTCCCTCCTCCCCGTGACCATGCGGAATGTTTCCGACTTGATCTGGCAATACGAGAAGCGCGTCCCCGTTGTTGCGGACAACCACCTGTACCTCCGGGAGCGGGCGGAGTACATCTGGTCCACTGGTGTTGCTCACAGCGCCATGGCGCGTGCCCAGATGGAGGAGAAGATCGGGGATGCTCGGAAGAAGCTGGAAGAAGTTGTGAGCAAGGGACACTAAACGGACATACCCTCCTACGCTCGTGCTTCCGTTTCTGTGGTATTTTTGTTTCGCTCATCTACATCGTGATAGCGGTTGGGCGGTGTTCTATAGCGCATGTATCTGTAAGAGGGTTTTCGATGAACAGGTTCTAGACAGTTCATTTCGTTTGTACTATCGATATATCATAACAACGCCGATAACACCTGCTGCAAGTCGTAACGCGTCTCTTCTATTCCGTAGGCATCTGCTCCTGTGGTTGCCCAACCTTGGGCGGCGGAGGCAGCGGTGTTCCTCTCCGTGATGGTACATGATCTTGCTCCTTGCTCTTTTGCTCGCCCTCCGCAAAGTAATCATCAAATGATTTCTGAGGCGACGCCCTCGTGTTTCCCCGCTTCTTCCCATGGTGCGACACCTGGGGCGCGGAAGCTGCTGGTGCCCACGGCGGAGGCGAGCTCATATTCGCGGGGACAAGGAATTGTGGCGGCTGCACTCCAGCCCCCGGCGGAAGAGATGAAGCCGACGGTTTAGAGACAGGCGTTGAAAACCCATCCGCGCGCGTCTCAAACACCACCTCGCCAGGCCCCTCAACCTCCTCACCCAATCCCACCGGCAGTCGGTGTAGGGCTCCAAAGCCCAGCTCTGCCCCCAGCGCACCCTCACCACCCCAGCCTCGTGTTGGCACCAGATCAACTGTCCGCACGACGTCAAACTCGCTGTTATAGACCCATAATACTAGAGTGCGGTTGAGGTGATCTTCGACTAGTTCTCCCAACGCCGATTCCCCTCGTAATGTCCCGCTGGGTGTGCCAATGATGTAATCAGAATGTGGGAGCAGGCCTGCTCTGTAGGCTGGGCTCAGGGGCGATGGGATATTCAGGACATGCCAGATGTTTTGCGTAGAGGAGAGCGGGGCTAGTTGAAGGGCGAGTCCGAGAGTTGGGTCGGATGGGGGGACGGCGATTGAGATAGTGTGCGTTCGTTGGCCCTGTATATCGAGGAAAAGGCGCACCATGATTAGCGCGAGTTGATCTGGGAGGTGGAAGAAGCCGTTCCTACCTTTGCGCTCCAGACCGCAAACGTGACTCGAGATCCGGCGCAATTGCGGACCTCAGTTGCGAAGAGGTTTGGGTCGGGATCATCCTGTAGCGGTTAGTTTGATGTCTCACGAGATAACCAGGAAGGCAATGAGGCAAACACACGATCAAACGCCCATTTATCCCAACAATGAAATCAAACCACGGCTCTAGCGGTACCTCGGGGTCCTTATTGCGGAGGACCTGAAAACCAAAGGCACTATCGGACCTTGATTGCTGGGAACCGGGATCGGAGTCTAGGCGACCAATAAACCGATTCAATGCCCCAAACATTCTGAAGTTGCTCAATTATCAAGATAGGCGAGATAGAGGGAGTATGGGGGATGGTCATTGCCGTGATTAAGCTGTCCTCAAATGTGGAGATGCAAACAAAACAAACCCGCGTTTATCAGTAGATTTCGATGCGGAACGGAGACGGCCATCGTCGGGTGTTCAAGCCAGAAGAGAAGGGCCTTTCCTACTCCCTCACTCTAATCCATGTCTTGACCACGATATCGCCACCATGTCTGGTGACGAAGAACCCCCTTCCGGAGTCCACCATTATGAGAATCGCGGTGATGTGCCTTGGGACATTCAAAAGTATGCATTCCGTTCCGCATGCTAGCTTTGGAGAAGTAACAACTAACGGTGTGCTCAAGTTACTTTTCCCAGCGTTATGATCTTTTCTCAAAGTACGACGAAGGTGTCTGGCTGACCGACGATGCGTGGTTCGGCGTTACCCCGGAGTTAATCGCTACGTAAGTGAAGCCTTTTTTTTCAACATTTGCATTACCTGGGACAGGCGCGCTAACGTCACTCAACTCCTAGAAAGATAGCAGATCAAATAGCCCGCGCTGCTCCGCCTGAACGGAAGGTTCTCGTAGACGTCTTCGCCGGCGCTGGAGGAAATACTATCGCTTTTGCTCGCTCCGGACACTGGAAGAGAGTTTATGCTATCGAGAAAGACCCTGCAACGCTACGGTGCGCGCAGCACAATGCAGAAGTATATGGGGTCGCAGATAAAATTACCTGGTTTCAGGGCGACTGCTTCGAGATCATCAAGTCGCAGTTGAAGGACTTGGCGCCGTATAGCGTGCTTTTTGCGAGTCCGCCTTGGGGAGGCAAGTCTAGTCATACACTTCTCCTCCTCTTCAGCATATCTAACTCTGCTCTTTGACTTAGGACCCGGGTACCGATCGGACTACGTATTCGACCTAAGCACGATGGAGCCGTACTCGCTCAACACGCTCTACACGGAGTTTTCTCTCTTCACAAAATATGTGATACTTTACCTACCGCGAACATCGGATCTCAAACAGCTTGCTGAAATGGTGAAAGACGATGGGCCTGCTCCAGTGATGCATTATTGTATGAGAGGGGCTAGCAAAGCGTTGTGTATATTTTACGGTGGATTCAAACTAACTTGACACAAACCTGTACCTATTCTACATTAGAGGCCCCAATCTACCCATAACAACAAGGGATTAATTAAAGAGATTTTCGAGTATTTCTAAAGCAGTAAACCTCCTCTGAAACCCTTCTTCGAATGCAGGTGCTCTATAAGCCGGTGGAGGTATAAGCTCATTACCTGATTTAGTCTAGTGCCCCGCTCTATCTTCACTCTATCTTCACGTGTTTCGTCCCTTCAACTTCCAAGGTTGAGCCTCAGATTCCTTGGCCTCGTTGACGTTCGGTCCTTATACGACGAACAAACCTTCATTTCGTCCCTTCCCATCACCCTGTGACCACTCTCACTTAGACCTCTGTCGTTCTTGCAAACACTTCTTTTATTGGCGATGATCCCATATCCGCTTCATCCGAATTCCTGATCGCTTGAGCCTGCGCCGCGTAGCAGATCTCTACGCTAGGATCAAAACTATCTCCAGTGTCGCCCACCCTTTACTGTTCCTATCTGTGTCGCAGGCGTCGTATAACAATTCTCACTTAAACCCTGTCCGAATCTATCATCATCCAGCATGCCTCACGCGACATCGGCCTCTCCGGGTCCCGAGGTCGAAGACGCTGACTTTGACAATGTCATGCGACAGATGAACGGCCCCCCAACAGGCGGCATTTCCTTCGACTTCCTGAACCGAGAACTCGAGCCTGGCGAAAAGGCAGACGATGCGATAGATTACGAGGATTTCGATGACGACGAGCTCCCCGAGGAAGAAGAATTATCCCAACACAACGCGCGAGCAGTGGGGGCGAATGGGCTTGATATTCCTGATGAATCGGACGATGCTCTCTTCGGAGGTGGCCACGATGACCTGTTCGGGGCGCCAGAGAAAGATGAGCAGGCCCCTCCTGATGAGCTGGATGATTTGTTCGGGGAGGCGCCTTCGTCACCGCGTCCCGACCAGGCCGACGAGACTCGCGACCTCTTTTTTGACGAGGAGGAAGAACGCCCACCGGCAGTCGAGCGCCCACAAGATACTCAAATGGAGGAAGATCAGGAGTCGTTGCAGGATGATGGGGCGTTAACTCCGATTGCTGATGATATGGACCCAGCCTCTCTACGTGCCTGGAAGCTACAACAGGCTCTGTTTGCCATGTCGAATGTCGGTCCCGACAACCCTCCAGCTCCGCCTGAGAATGTCGAAGAACTGCTCCAATCTTTGTTTCCCATGTTCGAGCGCACTACGCTACCCCGATTCCTCGAACTCATCCCTCATAAAAAGGCCACTTATGCTGGCAAGCCACCAGCGAAGCCGCCAAAGCCGGTTCTACCAGGGAAGGTGAATATTGAACTATCGCAGGACCAGGAGAAAGTGTTTAGGTCTGGAGGGCAAGCCTTCAAGCGCTCGTTGGAAGCCGAGAATCACGGCATTGTTCCGGTCGCCGAGATGTCACAAGAAGAGGAAGAAGAGGAAACCCGGGACGAATTTGATCTTGACTACGAGTCTGATGAACCACTGCCCGGTGGCATCACTGCGGAAGATCTTCGCGTCGTCTGTGCGGACTGGGATGTTCGGGACGACATTTCAATCATGGAAGTTGATGAACCTGCAGTTGTGGAGAACGCAAACGCCGAGGATAACTGGCTATTCGAAACCACGAGGCCAGCCAAGAAACGGAAACTCGGTCGTGATCCCATGGAGATCATTTCATTATCGCACATTGAATTGCCTCTCCTCGACGATCCCGAGCAAGTAAGCTCCAAGGTCGCGCAAAAGGTCACGTTGGATCTGAACGATCCGCATATGCTGCTCGATGAGCGGGGCCCCGACACTGCTATATCCAAACCTAAAGCATCGGGCGCCCGCAGTAGAGATGAAATGGATGTCAATGTCACTCGTCGTCTCACGGCACGCTATAACATCTCTAACGACCAGGCCTACGATATGCTCAAACAGAACCACCAGAACAAGGTCCGCAGTACCCTGGGGAATGTCGCACTAGAGCACAGTATGCCAGCGTTACGGTTACAGTGGCCTTACTACAAGACAGAGCTGGCCAAGGCCGAGGCGAGATCCTTCCACCGTCCATCATTGTCATTCCGACCGGGACAAAGCTGTTGGTTTAAGAATCCTGCTTATATCAAACGCAAGCACCAGAAAGGCAAGGATATCCGTCAACTCTACGATTCAACCAAGGCACTTTCTATGGCGGACAACTCCCATGTTCTACTGGTTGAGTATTCCGAAGAATCACCGCTTGCTCTCTCGAACTTTGGTATGGCCAACCGCATCATCAACTATTACAGGAAAAAGAATACAGAGGACCCCACTCGTCCTAAGGCCGAGATTGGGGAAACGGCAGTACTCTTGCCTCAGGATAAAAGTCCCTTCTCTATCTTCGGACACGTCGACCCAGGCGAAGTCACACCAGCCATCTCAAACTCCATGTATCGTGCACCCTTGTTTGCGCATCAAGCAAAATCCACAGACTTTCTCGTTGTTCGCAATAGTACCGGTTCAGGTGGCAGTGACTACTATCTTCGCAACATTGATAACATGTTCGTCGCTGGGCAACAGTTTCCGTCTGTTGATATCCCCGGACCTCATTCTCGAAAGGTTACCACGGTTGCGAAGAACCGGATGAAGATGTTGGTCTATCGCCTACTAAAGAAGAGTCCAGATCTTCGGCTGTCCATCAGCGACGTTACTGCTCATATCCCTGGCACGAGTGACATGCAGAATCGTCAGAAGGTCAAAGACTTCCTTCAACACGATAAAGACACCAAGTACTGGGTGCCTCTGGAACCAGTGCCAGAGCAGGATACGATACGATCGTGGGTGCAACCTGAAGACGTTTGCCTGCTGGAGGCGATGCAGGTGGGTCAACAGCACTTGCACGACACCGGGTACGGCAACGATGCGGAAACCGGAGGTGACGATGATAACGATGAAGAGTCTGAAAGCTTCGAGCAGCAAATGGCACCGTGGAAAGCTAGTCGCAACTTCTTACTTGCGTCGCAAGGGAAGGCTATGCTTAAACTGCATGGCGAGGGTGATCCTACCGGGCGTGGCGAAGGATTCAGTTTTATCAAGACGTCAATGAAAGGAGGATTCAAAGCCATTGGCGAAAGTGTCGAAGATAAGTTGGACGCCCAACGGTTGAAAGAGCTCGGCGGTCATAGCTATAATGTTGCACGACAGCAAAAATCATACGAGACCTCTATCCGGCGGATCTGGGACGCCCAGAAAGCCAGTTTATCGTCCACCATCGAACACTCGGACGATGAAGGTAACTTATCGGATGAAGAGGAAGATGATTTCAACAAGCCTACCCCGCGCTCTGAAGCTCCAACGCCCGCTCCGGCTCGTCGTGACGATGAGACGACCAGTCAGTTCAGTAAAATGAGCCGAATGAGCATGTCTGCCCATAAAGGCAAGATTCTACGCATCATCCGCCAGGTCCAAGAAAAAGATGGTGTCCATCAGAAAGAGACTTTGGTGTCAGATCCCCGAGTCATCCGTCACTATCTGCAGCACCGACACCGTCTTGAGTCGCTCACCACAAGGTAAGTAGATTTTACCTCATCGATTACCGAAACTCTATTCTTACGATTGTATTTTTAGACTTGACTGCCTCAAACCCACAGGTGATCCTGAGGTGGACGCCCGAAACAGGAGACTGTATGCCCATTTATTATCCCATCTTCCACTCCCATTCCCCAAACTCCGCTTTCTTCAACAGTGGCCTCCTAGAACAACTAACGACTAACAACTTCGCAGCATCGAGCAAGAACTGAGCCGCCTAAACCGCAACAAAGAACGCCGCTTCGCGCGCGAGAAGCAGAAAGGTGTCCTTCGCACAGACTCCCCCGCGGATGGAGCCCCAGGAAACTCCAAGTCAGCTGGCACTCAGCGCAAGTGCGCCAACTGCGGCCAGGTGGGCCACATCAAGACGAACAAAAAGTGCGTATACAACCGCGCTCGCTCCGCCGGAGCAGCCGATGGCTTCCCTGCCTCCTTTGATATCACGCAGTCCTTCTTCATCAACCCCACCCCTACCTTTAAATCTTAACTGCTCCCTGCTCCTCATCCCCGCATCTTTCTGGCAAGATATGCTACAGATGTCAGCACCAAGCCGGAAGATCTTGAGCGGGAGATCGACGGCCTGGTCACTTTCCCGCACATTCCCCCTGGACCCAACTCAACCCAAACCACCCTACCTCTGGACCCGTACTTTCTTTGCCACTCTATACTTCAAAAAGCTAACAACGCCACTCTTGCTTTGTACAACAGACTCTGCCCTCTTCTGAACGGAACGATGAAACCCGAAGACCGTGTCAGCGACTCCGCATTTGCTATGGGCGCTCCTCCTGCCATATAAAGGCAAAAAAAGTAATCAAGAAGAAAACAAGAAAAATGCGTTATGTCTATTTTCACTTACATCTATGATACCCTGCTGTTATTGAAGACGTTGTGTTTGTTATCGGGATCAGACTTGGGGAGACAGGGCCTATATTTCGCGAGACCAGCTGCCAGGTCTGTATGTATTATATGTGTGGGATGACAGGTTCACTATTCGAGATGGTCACCCCTTAGTGCATCCGTGATACTGATGAATCTATGGGGTTACGTCTTAAATAAATGAAAGCTAGATCGTCAGCAATCTCAGTCTTAACCACTTATCATCCGTATAAGGTTCACGAGCTGGCCTCGCAGAATAAACAGGGTCAGTCCGGCTCTGAAGCAAAAGAGGAATAACGTCTAGCGAAATTTATGGGGCCAAGATTACTATGCCCTGGTAACTGCATCGAAGCTTTTGCCCGGGCGACAACATACAGGCTCCGGACCTAGTCCATTTCAAAAGCAAGCGAGGGCCGAGGTAAATCTCAAATTACAAGCTTTTCATTGGGGTAGTCTGCTCGAGTGAAGATCCTCTACAAGCTAAGAATGCTGTTGCCGTTGCGGCTTCTTGATGCATTGGCTTCGGAAGCCAACAATACAACCAAAAGGAAAGAGACAAGCAGACATACATACTACTATCCTCTCTATTGCCGACTCGGTTTCCCTCCATTCCGTCATCCATACAACTCTGACAGCTGACCTCGCGAGACAAAGGGCCGGCCCCTGTCCGGAGTGAGCGCCATTATCACTCCCTTAGGTCGTCGGTATGTGTATCCCAGAAATGCACCCTTCTTACGCATCTCAAGTACGGTCCTCCGAAGTCGTTTGTCCCGTAGAATCTTGTCCCGTGGCCGTCGGGGTTCCTTGTGCTTCTTCTTTCCCTTGGCAGGAGGCTTTGCATTGTCCTTGGCACCATCATTTCCTGGCAGATGCGCGCTGGGTCTAACATCATTCTTTGAAGGTGACTCATGTTTATGCAGCCCTCCCTTGCCCTCGGGTGAGACACCTTCGTTTGCTTGATCGGCCTCGGAATCTGTAGACTCATCATCGTGGTCTGTCGGGTATTCCCCGTCCTCGAAGTACCTAGTGTCTTCCCATCCTCTGACCTTGGGAACGAATGGCGGCGACATGCGATGAATCTCGTCCCAGTTAATTCCACGGAAGAAGAGATGAGACTTGATATCAGCCGCATCATTGGGATAAACGTAAAGACCTTGGTAGTTCTGGTTGGAGCCGTCCGGCTTGTAGAAGAAGCATTTGGTTGGCCTGGAAGTGAGGGTATCATTTGACTTGTATTTGCTCGAGGACAAGCGGAATTCTCTTTCCTGGAGAAGGGAGTTGATAACATCAATTGCTTCTGCAGATACCAGTTTGTCGGTCGGTCGATGAACGGGGAAATATAACGTTTGTAGATGATGCTTTTCGATGCCATGTTAGCAAATTCCTAGTTGTGATGCTATAATACTCACATGGATCTTCATCTTCGTCTTATGGCGGTCCTCGGATGCAAATGGAGTGAAACCGTAGAGGCACTGTGAGGATGTTAATCAAACAGTGAGACAGCAACGTACAAAAAAAGTAGTTAAATTACCTCGTAAAGAATGATACCAATGCTCCACCAGTCACAGCGGCCGTCGTAGGGGTGGCCACGAATGACTTCTGGCGCCATATACTGACTCGTCCCAACGACGCTCCTCGCCATTCTACGTTTCTGATTCTTGTCGCGCCATCCAAGTAGGCCGTTGGTGGGTGGGTGTATCCAGTCGTCATCCATGAATCCATCCTCACGAACTGCACCAGAGGACTCGTTGTGAGCGTCCTGCAATTCTTTCTGGTCTTCTGCATCCCCGTCGACCTGAATACCAAGCCGCTTAAGTAAAGAATGCCGCTGATAAGTAAAATACCACTGGTCATGAGCCCAGTGTCCGTCGAAGGCGAGGCCGAAATCAGAAATCTTCAGGTGCCCAGAGGCGGAGATGAGGAAATTGTCGGGTTTCACGTCGCGATGGATCCAGTGAAGCCGATGGGCTTCTTCAATACACAGAATCATCTCTGCGACGTACCACCGGGCAATTTCTTCAGCCAGGATGTTATGGCGCATCAACAAGCCAAGAAAATCACCACCAACCATGTAGTCCATGACCAGGTATAGGTAACTGTGGTCCTGAAAGCTTGCTATCAAGGGCACAATCCAGCGTGATTTCGAGGACGCCACCAAAAAGTCGCGTTCCGCACGGAGATGACCCTCCTGACTGTTTCGGATCATCACTGATTTCCTGATGACCTTCATAGCGAAGACATCCTTTTTCACCCCGGTCATTGCCTGGCGATGGCCACCTTTAGGGCTAAGCGGAGCCCTGACCGACTGGGCGTGTTCCGTAGCCTGACCTGGCGGATAGTCTGCGCTCTTTTCTTTCACCAGTCGAACGACCCCAAAGCTACCCCTCCCTAGTATTTTTATGACTTCAAACCCTGCGAGGGATGGGGTTTCATCGCGAGAGCTTTGGCCATGCGAACGGCTCTTCAAGACTCGACATTGGCGAAGATACTCCCGCTCCTGGGCAACCCACTGCTTCTTGACTTTGGTCTTCTCTTCGGGACTTAGGGGAAGGGAAAGGATGTAGTGATCAAGTTCCAACTGACGTTGAGTTCGATCGTCAACTCCAGAATAAAGAGTATGGAAGTAGGTTTCGAAGAACACTTTTGCATTAGCAGCGGCTTCGGCCGTCAGAATAGAAGGTGAGATAACCGGTGTTTCCTTGACCGGGCTGAGCGGACATTCGATGAGGTTGGCATGTGATGTATGATGCTTAAAGAAGATGGGCTGACCATTGTTGACATCTCCTGATGGCCTTGAACTTCCTGGGGATACGGAGGTAGGGGCTGTGGACAAACTGTCGCCCGGTGAGCCTTTGCTACTAGGCGTTGATGAGCCGGAACTCCCATTTGGATTGATGTTGGCTGGTGGATTAGCATTGACAGACGTGTTTAGCGACGCTTGAAAGGGGAGAGCCTGTACGCTCGGTCGGTTGAGATGCGAACGATGAATAACAGTAGGACTACCGAACGTTGTGGACAATTTCATAGATACAATCCTGGCGATTTCGACAGGGGTGGACTGGCTTCGTTTCAGATCGACAAAGATCGGAGACGCAGTGCCCTCATCTGGTGTTTCCCCTTCCCCTTGCTTTGGCGCCTGCGCAGCGCTTGTTGGTGACTCTGACCGCTTAGTAGACCCTGGTCTGATAATGTCAGGATAGGCTTTGGAATGGTCGAAGGCGTCCTGTTGTGGAGTTCCTTCAGCCTCGGAAGAACCGCTGGCTGTGCCACGAGAGTTGTCCGGTTTAACGGCTAGCAAGACGTACATTAGCAGGTACCATAAGATTTGCAGCATAATATCGAATGGACCTACTATGAGTAGGATTCTTAAGGCCTAAAAGCGAGAGTAAACGAGAGCTTCGTTGCTGAATGCGAACCCGAATGTTGTCCTTGGGGAGCCGCCCGACAGCACCATCGGATCCCAACCCTTCTGACAAAGCTGATCCTGTCCTTGATTGTCCGAGAAAATTCGAGCCGCTAGGTTTCAGCGGGCGCTGTGCTGGGCTTCTTTGCTCCTCCGACATGGTGCCGAGGTAGTAGAACGGACCGTAAACGAGAACGTCCCGATATCCTATGCGAACTTTAATGATAGAAGCATAGAATAGTACCAATGGTGCGGCGAGTGCCTGGAGTAGGCAACTAAGCTGATACGAAGCAGATTCCGTTTAGCTATGAGAAAGCCGGAGAGAGGAACTGAGGCAAACTAGAAAGCACGATAAACGGCAGTCGCCACCTTCCTCCCAGAGACAAGAGAACGTAGTGGATACAATGGTAATAGAAAATATAATTCGATAACACCTAAACACCTATGGTTCTTTTGAGAAAGGCAGAAGCAAAGTGGAAGCTAAGACAAAAGACAGGAAAGATGGAGGTATATCATCCGCACGTACGCTTACACCAGCCCTAGTCAGACTGTATCCATACGCTCAGAGGGTCCCTCTATTTGATCTCCAAGAGCTTGACATCGAAGATCAACTTCGAGTTGCCAGGAATACCAGGGACGCCCTTCTTGCCGTAGGCGAGGTGAGCGGGGATGGTGATACGGCGCTCACCACCAACAGCCATGCCAGCAACACCAATATCCCAGCCCTTGATCACCTCACCCCGGCCGAGCTTGAAGGTAAAAGGCTTGCCCTTCTTGTTAGCTGTAGAGTATCCACATTAGCGGACAGTCGATGGCTTTAGTAGGGTTGAGGAATCAGGAAACTTACAGTCAAAGACCTTGCCACTCTCAAGCTTACCAATGTAGCGCATGGCAACGTTGTTGCCAGCAGCGGCAGCGGATCCCTTACCCAGCTTCTTGTCATCAATGATGACTCCCTTCACCTCCTTAACGCCAAGAGTTCCAGTGGTCTTCTCGGTCTTCTCAGCAGGCTTCTTCTCCTTGGAAGGCGTAGGGCCCTGCTCAAGGTTCTTGGCAAACTGGACCTTCTTGGCCTCCTTCTGCTCCGGCTTGGCTTCAACAGCGGAAGCTTCACCGTTGTTCTTCTTGAGCTTCTTCTGTTGCTTCTTGCTCTCACCGGTGGCGGCAGCCTTGGTTTTGCCATCCTTAGCAATCTGGTCCTCCAGAGAAGCCTCTTCAGCACCGCGCTTCTTCTTGCCCTTAGCGTCGACGAGCTTAGGAGCCTCCTCCTCATCGGTGTCAACCTCTGTGATTCTGGGGTTCTCCAGGTCGTCAAGGTCGTCGCTCTCGTCATCCTCGCCCATCATGAGCTCGTCGATATCAAGCTCATCCTCATCGGGAGACAGGTCGTAATCCTCCTCATCGTCCTCGTCAGATTCATCGTAGTCATCCTCGGGCTCATCGATAGGCATGACGTAGTTTCCGGTGAGGTAAATAGTGTGAGTTCCGGTAGCCTTGAAGAAAACACGCTCGCCTTCGGCAACAGTAATGTCAAGGGTTTGCTGGTAGTTCTGTAGATAGATTGTCAATACGGGCGTATGTGCAGGCAAAGGGAAATCAACATACCCTTTCGGGGTCCAGAGTGCAGATAACCATCTCTTCAAGCTCCAAGCCCTCATCAGATTCATCGTCCTCATCGTCATCATCGGTGGCGGGGGCCTTGCCCTTGACGAGCTTGGAGATGGCGGCCTTAAGGTCGAACTCCTCACCCTCATCGGAATCCTCGTCTTCCGACATGGCATCCTCTAGTTCCTTCAGGTAAGCGGCCTCCTTCAGTTTGCGCGCCTTCTCCTTGTCGCTGGGGCCCCCGTTGACCTCCTCATCATCGGAGTCTTCCTCGGAGTCATCTTCGTCTTCATCTTCGTAGTCCGAATCTTCCTCATCCAAACCAGGAGGAGCGCGGATGAGTCTGAGGGTCGCTCTGGGGCGGCGGGTGTTGTCATCGTCAAACTCTGGGGTCTCATCAGGGTCGATGGCGGCCATGCTCACTCGGAACTGCGGAATTGTTAATTTGTTGCAATCTCTGCGAATTGGAGGCTTAACGAACCATAGCAGCAGCATTGGGAACTGCAGGAACCAAAGCACCATCGGCGGGCACCCGGAGAGCGTACACAGCAACTGGTTGAACTGCAGACATCGTGAAGGCGTTTAGAAATTATGGGATATATAGCCGCAAGAGGTAAGACAATGCTGTTGTATAGAATCGAATGAACGATCGTCTGGCGCGTATAAGGGAGGGAGAAGGTCGAACAGAAGGAGCGCCTTCAGGTTCGGACAAGCAAAATCAGACCACAACGGATAAAATAAGAGAAAGATGAAGCAGTCCAAGCACGAAGAGGAAGAAGAGGAAAGAAAACAAATCCGTGTCGCAACTTTTTCGGCGGCTCCAATTTTGCCCCATTTTTCTTTTTTTCACCGCTGGCGTCCTCCATCATCCAATGGACGACCTCCGTTGCATACCGCTTCTACCCACCGCCAATTACTGCCTGCAGCGTCTCACATGATCTCGTACCGTCTTCGCGTCAAGGCAGAAGCTCCATCGAGAAGGCTCCATGAGCAATGGAAGATGCGTAGCATTTATCTTTCAAGCCATCTCTGTCGTCGTTGTCGATCGCTTTATTGTGCTTAGCTTCTTGGAACATGAAGTGACCTCGCTTAGTCCTTCATGGGCTCCCGCTTAGATGCAACCTCGAGCGCAGTGCGCAAACGGATCCAAAGCCGTGAGTATACCACCCAACGCCACCAGATCATGGAGATTACTAACTAACACATTCTTGCGATCAGACGCATTTGATGGCGAAGGGGGCGAGGAATATGAAGCCTCGAAGTTTGGTGGCTTCGGCGATTATATGCGCCGCAAGAAAACCAAGCTTCAAAACCTCGACAATGATATCCGGTCCTCGGCCGCGGAAGATAACTGTCCTCAGATCTTTCGAACGGTAGTAGCATGTGTAAACGGCTATACGCAACCTTCACTGCAGGATCTTCACAAACTTATCGTGCGCCATGGAGGGGGCTTTCTTCAGTACCTCGACGGCAAGACCTCCGCGACGCATATCATTGCCAGCTCGCTCACTCCTAAGAAGATGGAGGAATTTCGGCAATACCGCGTTGTCAAGCCAGCATGGGTCGTGGATAGTGTCGATGCCGGAAGGCTACTTCCTTGGGATTTATACAGGGTTGTAGATGAGGGGCAGGCACAGAAAGTCCTCAACTTCGACAGCGGTCGGATGCTTAGCCAAACGAACAGCCCGCGCGCCAGCTATAAAGACCAAAGTCGGTCAAGTTTGTATACGTCCCAGTTGGCGTCGGAGCGGCTGAGAAACGACAAATTGCCTGATCCATCTGACATTCTGACAAGCAAGCAATCAAACGTCGCGACACAATCCGACTATGGTGACTTTCCTAGCTTCACCTCCTTGGATGAACCGGCTAAGACTGCTACCTTACTCAACTGTACATCGCCCCATGCCCGAGAAGACGACATGGATGACTCTCCTGTCACACAGCGTGCCTCTTCAGCAGATCGTTCAACAAATATGGAGGCGGTACCAGCTCCGCAACCTGCCGTTTTACCTTCGAAGGCAGAGATGACCTCGGAGGAATATAACGCTCAACTTCTAGCCGACCCCCGTATGAGAAACTCAAGCGTCGTAAACCCGGAATTTCTCCAGCAGTATTACAGAGAATCGCGACTGCACCATCTCTCAACTTGGAAGGCTGAACTGAAAGCACAGCTCCAATCAAAGGCGCAAGAAAAATCACGTTTTCAACGGCCTAAAAAGCTCATTTCTGGCGCTAGGAGATACATCATGCATGTTGATTTCGATTGTTTCTTTGCCGCGGTTTCCACGTTAAAGCACCCAGAGCTGGAAGGCAAACCGGTTGCCATTGCACACGGGACTGGTACGGGATCTGAAATAGCGAGTTGTAACTATACTGCCCGTGCGTCTGGTGTGAAGAATGGCATGTGGATGAAGGGTGCATTACAGTCGTGCCCAGATTTACACGTACTGCCCTATGACTTTCCTGCATATGAGGAGGCTAGCCGGAAGTTCTACCGTGCCATACTCGCAATTGACGGTTTGATTCAAAGTGTTAGCATTGATGAAGCGCTTGTCGATATCACGACTACATGTCTTGAGGCGGGTGGGTCGGAGGGCAAGGGTGTATCCGAAGGTTCAATCTACAGGGAGCAAGCCAAAGCCGACGAAATCGCGGATCAGTTACGGGCCTCTGTGAAAAGAGAAACGGGCTGTGCAGTTTCTATCGGTATAGGGGGTAATATTCTGCAGGCAAAAGTTGCCCTACGAAAGGCAAAACCAGCCGGCCAGTTTCAGCTAAAACCTGATGCTGTTCTCGACTTCATTGGCGAGCTTCCGGTACAAAATCTTCCAGGTGTGGGCTACAGTCTCAGTACGAAATTGGAAGACCTTGGCGTGAAAATTGTCAAGGATATCAGAGATCTCTCGCGGGAAAAGCTATCCTCTAGTTTGGGACCCAAGACCGGAGCAAAACTTTGGGATTATGCTCGTGGCATTGATCGGACCGAAGTTGGAAACGAAGTTGCACGGAAGTCGGTCTCCGCGGAAGTCAACTGGGGTATTCGCTTTGTCACTCAGGATCAAGCAGAAGACTTCATGCGATCTCTGTGTGAGGAGCTGCACCGGAGACTTGTTGAGAATCTAGTCAAGGGTAAGCAGCTCACTCTCAAGGTCATGCGCAGGGCTCTTGATGCTCCGCTGGAGCCAGTCAAGCATCTCGGACATGGAAAATGCGATGTCTTCAATAAAAGTGTCATCCTGGGGATCGCTACGAACGCGGCTGAGGTTCTTGGGAAAGAGGCCGTTGCCATGCTTCGGGGCTTGAGTATTTCCCCTGGAGATCTTAGAGGCTTGGGCGTTCAAATGACCAAGCTCGAGCCGCTCAAATCCACTTCTGAAAAACCAGACGGCAGTCAGCAGCAGCTGGCATTTAAAGCATCCCCTGCGCGTAAACGCACACACCCTATTGATGATCCAGATCTTTTGGATAGTCCCCGCAAGGGCGAGGCCGAGTCCATACGACACGGTCCGCTGCTAAACGACCCTACGCAGAAACCTCTCAACATTTCAGGAACCCAGTTCATCATGCCATCTCAACCGGACCCAGCAGTTGTTGCAGAGCTGCCGGGTGATATTCGATCCAAGCTCGTCGCGCAAGGCAAACCGCGGACCGTGTCTCGCGCCGGGTCTCCATTTGGTCCAGGATCAGTTCTTCGCCAGCGACCTGTACCGGCTTTGCCTCCGCAGTCCCAGTTGGATCCGGACACCCTAGCCGCGCTTCCGGAAGACGTCCTCGCTGAGGTTCTGGGATATTATGACCAGTCATCCGGCGATGCCGCCGCCACAACCGAAGCTCAGACAGTACCACCGCCCCAATCCAGACCCTCCTCATCCTCATCATCCGGCCCATCTCTCAAATTACGCAAACCAACAACGCCACCGAAGAAACGCCGTGGTCGCCCTCCCCTTAAACCACCCCAACCCTCAACCCTAACTCAAGCCAAGTTCGCCTTCCCAAGACCAGAACCGCGTCCCCGCCGCCTATCCCCTACACGAAATCATGGCCTGACCCCAGATCCCGAGATATCCGCCGACTTTCTAGCTGCTCTTCCCGAAGACATCCGCCGCGAAGTCCTCGAAGAGCAGAAACACAAGCGGTCCCGACTCCACCACAGCACCATGTCTGCAGCCGCACCCAGAACGGTACCATCAGACCGAGGCCATCACCAGCATCACGAGAAACACATACGCCTTCCGCCTCTTCCGCCAAGACCAACGTTCACCTCCAAACACCTCTCTAATCCCTCAGACCTCCGCGATGAAGCGACTGCCTGGCACGCTGCGTTTGCGCAAGAAGGACCATTTCGCGATGATGTTACTGCTCTTGCAGTCTATTTGAAGCGTGTCGTGGTTGATGAGCGAGATGTCGAGAAAGCGGTTTCGTTGGTAAAGTGGCTTACGTGGTTGGTTGAGGACGAGAGGGAAGGTTATGATGGTGATGGATGCTTAATGAGCGCAAGTCCGTCAATGGGCATGAGTATGGGTCCTCACGCTGGTGAGCCAGGTTCTCAGGGTGCGATATCATGGGATGAAGCATTGACGTGTCTACGGGATGGGGTTCTAGAGGGTTTGGAGGAGAGAGGGATGCCTGCTGTGGATTTCTCTTGAGTACCTTTCCTAGCGCTTGACCTTGTTTAAATAGGCTAGTTAGTTTGTACATATGACTTACGACGGTATGAATCTTCTTTTTATCACCTTAGTGGATTTATATATTTATCTGTCTTGATCATTACACCTCTACAAAAGCTGAATGATATATGTTGCGCCTCTATGAGTAACTACAGGCAACATTTCCTTGTTATGTCTAACCGGTACAAGCTCCTCTGCATCTTAGTACAACTTTTAACATTCAATCAGTAAAACAAAATCGATGAGAAGTTTCCAGTCTACCCTTAATATCTTGTAGATATTGTGCTGGCCTTACGTCATAATTTAATGCATAAATTATGAGTGGCGGATATGATGCGTCAGGTCACGTGTATGAACTCTGTTTGTTGTTCTTCACCAACTCAAGTCTTGTTGCTGCTTCTTCCATCACCTTCTCTGTTTGTATCTGTCATTCATCCATATTTCACTTGGGAGTTGAAGTTTGGTGTGACTGCCTGGTATTTTATCAAGTCTATTCACTACTTTGGTGCCACAAGAGTGGTGGCTGCCGAAATCAAAACCCCGCTTCTACCTGTTGCCCTGGATACGGTCGCATCTTCATGATCCACGAATAACGGCGGCCACTCCAATTCGGGCATCCTCTCTGCATCAAATTTGCTGAAGATTCTGCTGCAGCTAGCTTTCGCTTTCGCTCATTTAATCTCATCTTCTTCCGCCCAAAGCAACATTGCGATCCAACACTCAAGCGCTCGACCTTGCTGAGGTCATCGTGTCCTCCACCATGTCGGACGACCTCGATTACTTGTCTCCGGACTTCGACCTTAACTCCCTGACTGTGCCCCGTCTTCGCTCTATCCTCGTCAGCCACGACGTGCCATATCCAGCATCAGCCAAAAAGGCCCAGCTCATCCGTATCCTCGAGGATGAGGTCCTGCCTCAAGCGAGAAAACTCCTCCGGGAGCGCGAGCGAGTGAGACGAACCAGCGAAGGAATCACAAATATGCCTAGTCGCGAATCATCGGTTGTCAGCGAACACGAATTTGAGCGAGATCGCGTCGCACCAACACCATCGTCAGTGTCTACTGCTGGGCGAAGAGGCCGTTCTAGAGTCAGTGCACGCGCATCGACAGCCGACACCGAGGAGGCTAGTGTTACCGCCACTCCATCGTCTAGAAGAACTACTACCCGGTCACGGCGGTCACAGAAATCTGAGCCGGAGCCGGCGGACGAACACCTGGCGACCCCTGTGCCTTCTACTGCTGTTACACCGCGTCCATCTACTGCAAGTAAAGCTCGTCGAAGTGACTTGACGCCCACGCAGACGGAGATTCCACCTTCAGCGATCAAGACAGAGCCTAAGCGCGAAAGCGTATTTACGGACGACAACCCTTTCCAGAGCGGCTCCCCTGCGTCATGGGAGGGTAGGAGGTCAGGAGGAATAAGCTCGGAAAGGAAGAGGCAAAGCAGCGCGCGGTTTTCTTTGGTGAAGTCTCCCTCCAAGGAAACGAGGCCGCGTAAATCAGAAACCCCAGTCTCTGTAAAGCATGAGGATTTGGATGAAGCGAACCAGTCACTTGCAGCCTATGAACCACACGACATTGATAGCGACATCGGCGAAGAATTTACCCCAGACGAACAACTGGCGCTGGAACGAGAACAGGCAGATTTGATGTATCCTCCAAGGCCACCTCGCAAACGCCAACAGAAGCCGGGACCAGTGGCTCGGGCCGTTCCTTGGCTGATCATCCTTTCACTTTTTACAAGCTTCGGTGCTTGGTGGCGCAAAGAGAAGATGGAGATTGGATTCTGCGGCATCGGCAAACCAACTTGGTCGTTGGCGGAGACTAAAGTCCCGGAATGGGCCAACGTTCTGGAACCGCAATGCGAGCCGTGTCCATCCCATGCATTCTGTTACCCAGACTTTGAGGTCCGATGCGAGCACGACTTCATTCTCACCCCCCATCCGCTGTCGCTCGGGGGTCTGATTCCTCTTGCGCCGACCTGTGAACCTGACAGTGAGAAGGCACGCCGTGTGAAGGCTGTCGCAGACAAGGCTGTGGAGGCTCTCCGTGATCGAAGGGCAAAATGGGAATGTGGACAGCTCTCTGAGGGCAGCAAAGAAACCGCAGGGCCGGATGTTACTGAAAGCGATCTCAAAGAAGAGGTTGGGAAGAAACGCCGGAAAGGGATGACCGATGCGGAGTTCGACGACTTGTGGAAAGGAGCGCTCGGCGATATTATTGCGAAAGAGGAGGTTGTGGCCAAAACTATCCCGTAAGTTGCCAATGATTCATATTCTTTGAGGATTTTCCTGGGCTCTTACCCGTCCCGTCCCGGTAATGGCCAGCATCCAAGAATCAGATTTCTGACCTGTGTATTGGAACTAACAGAATCGACACCACAATTACAGATCATCGTCTGTCCTTACCCTCACATCCACATCCGTCGCCCGCCTCCCCCTCTCCTGTGCCGCCCGCCGCTACGTCAGGCTCTCTCTCCTCGCGTATCGACTACCTCTTTCAGTTTTAGTTTCCTGCATCGCTGCGGCGGCGTATGCGCGCTCTCGTGTGCTTGCCCGCCGTTCGGACCTCGCTCGTGTCCCCGAGTTGGTCGCCACAACACTGGACCGCCTAGCAACACAGGCAGCTTTGCATGCGCGAGGTCATGCCCATGAACCCCATATTCCAATTGGACAACTCCGTGATGATGTGCTCCGATCGGAATTGCGAGGCAACCGACGCGAGGAAATTTGGAAGCGTGTACGCAACGTCGTTGAGGGCAATGCCAATGTCCGGGCCTCTGTCCGTGAGGGCCGTGGTGGAGATGTCGCCCGCACATGGGAATGGATTGGAGGTATTGGGGGCGTTGGAAAGCAGATCGAGGGAAGCGCAGAAAGGGTGCACTTCTCACCTGTAACGAGCTCAGAAACCCGCTCTCCAAGTGGTTTGGATACACCGCCCGTCGGAAGCCAGGAGAAAGCTGTGCGCAAATGGGACGAGGGTAGGCCTATATACTGATCGTCTACTCTTACCCACTTCTACGGTGATGCTACCATGACGGTCTCGCTTTGTTGATCCGATCTTCTTGGTCAACCTATCTTGGTTCTGCTCTTGAATTTGGCGGGCTTGGGGTTCAGATTGTATCTATTATTCTTTCACCCTTGATTTCTTGTTTCTTGATAAGTATCTACATGGTTGCAATTCGGGTGGCGTCGGTTGTCGCACAGCTTAGGGTTATTTCGAATTACACGCATTCTTGAAGCGCATTTTACGTGCTTCTGAAACGCTCACTGGCCATCTGCATGTTTTTCTGTAGCCTGTGTGAAGGGCACCTGCCAGCCACATCCTTCCATCCCAAGCATATGGGTGCCCGTCAGCCCCCAAAAAGCCATCCGTGGCCCTCCGTCGGCAACCGATTCTGCACCAAGACGTCAGCTCCTGCAGGCTGCAGCCGTTTAGCGAGCACTCGTCCTATGAGCACGCCCTTTCCCCCACCATCATCAACGAAGTTGGATTCGAGGTCGTTCTGGTCACCAGAGCTCAAGCTAGAGCTCTACACCAACCATCTACCAGGCTTACCCAGCCCACGCAGTAACCCCCAGTTATACAACATATTCCGGCACCAACAGCCCTGCCCAATTCGTGCCTAGCAATTACTCCTTTAGGAAACACGGAGGAGCTTCCCGCCTATCACAACGGGAGGGTCTCTTGTCCGCCCTGACCCCGCCAGGCTTTCCCTCGTAGCATGGAGAATCCGTCACACCTGGGCTAGCTCTGGATTCCGCGTGGAAGACGGTGGAAACAGCCAGAGGCCTGGGAAGAATCTTCCAGACTCCCAGGGCTGGACGCCCTCGTGTGTAACGTGGTTCAAACTTCGTAGCCTCGTAGGCCCTGAGATCCGTCGGACACGAGTCTGGTTGTACTGGCTTTCGGCGTAGCTGCTTCTAACTCCTATCATGGACTTCCTAAGAGAGGGGATACTCGAGGAGCGGGGAGTGGGATTGGTGGATCGCGTGTCCAGTGGCTGCGATGGTAAAATTCGGGGTTTGTGTTAGCTTGAAGCTCCAGCAGTAACGGCCCAACGGCGAGTGGCCCTGCAAGTGCGCATCACACCACCCACACTCCAATCAGGAGCTTGGAATTGCTTCTCCAGGCGTTCCTGTACGTCGGCCAGGTTCGATTAAGTGTTCGATCGAGATTCCATTCGGGAATCGATTCTATTCTTGACTATCTACTCCCATTCCGAGCGTTTCAAGTTTCAACTGCAGTGGGCACGGCAACGTTGAACCTTCCCCCTGGAATTTGGAAACTTGGAGCTTGTAAGCGCGGGCCCTGATGTGGAAATCGGCATTGTGGTATGCTTTTCTTTTGCTTTTGCTATGTGCCTGGCTATATTGTCATGGTTCAACCAGACCAAAATGCTTCGTATTTCGTACTTATTCAGTCGATGTACAGTACGAGACGACCAGTAAAGCCTGGCTATAACGATTTAAATAATGGCACTTTGTAATTTGTTACAACGGGCGAATAGGCAAATAATGCATATGTATAGACCCTCCTATGTTAAAATACAGCCCTCAAAAAGGACGCTGGATTTGGCTTACTAGGCAAGGCTAAGCCTGTTAAGGCGGGTACTAGGACAAAAAAGGCCTAGTAGCATCCTGGCTATTGCGACTTTTATGTGGGCAAACCCAAATTCTAATCGATGTTCGTATTATAGAGATTTAACAATATTCGTAGTGTATAACGTTCCAGCAGCTTGGAATTTTTTCGTTATGACGCAATTCTCGCTATATCCGACTTCGCTATAGACAGGTTTTACTGAACTAATCCCGGTCTCCCATGAAGAAGATCCTTCACGTGATAGGTAATTCTTGGCTGGGCAGGAGCAGTGCGCGCTAACATGTCGAGCATCAGTCTTTAACTCCACTACGCCCCTGTGGACGACGATATGCTGGAGGCCAGAGCCCCAAAGTAGTCGACGATGCCGTCATGGGCGCCTATATTCGGGGGGGATATTCCCGAATTCCGACCCTCAGGATATACTGATTGAACATGCATGCCGTCATCATGCATCTTTCCTTTCGCTGGCAATCTGTTGTCAGACTCGAGCTGCGCTGCATAAAGACCTAGTTCGTTCACCTTCAATCTTCGTGTTTCTCTGTGGGCTGGATGGGGAAGCGATGGTCCTCGGCGATAACCAAGCGGCACTGGCGTCTCCATCTCCCGCCACACTGCAAGCGAGTCACATTCTGCAAGCCCCCCGGATGTATTTTCCGGGGCGAAGGTCGCATTGAATTCGTGCGGAATGCAGACGTTAGCTTGTGCGAGGGCCGCCCAGTGCCCACTGAGCAATAGTGGGATTTGAGGCGGCTCATTATTCACCAAGGAAAAGGAATATGTTTCAAGGGCTGCGCAGGAGAGCCGGAGAAATGGAAATTCTGTGGCTCGAGGGATGATGGTCCGCCGAACGCGAACCAGATGCTCAGGACCGAAGGATCACAACAATCCCTGCAGGGCGATATGGTCAGGATCCGAGAGTGGGCAGTGAGCGGACGATGATAATTTGGGGGATGGATGGGTCATTGTCTCACGAGTCAAGACTTACGAATCACCGTGGTTGGTGGAGGTGGTATGCATGATGTCTACTGAGCAAGCGCGTTTTGCAACGGGTGTATCCGATCCCAGATGCCGGACTCAGCCCAGGGCCTGGAGGCATATCAGTCTGCTCTGGAGGGAGTATACAAACGAGAATCGCTAGAGGATCGAATGGCAGTAATGAGCGTTTGACACTGGCGCTCGACTACTGCTCAGAATCCACCCAGCAAACGGTTAAAGTTAAACCTTGGGAAGCCGACAGGTCCGACACCCACTCAAAAAGTCCGGCGACACTCGCCACGTCTGTCAGGCTGTCCTCATGCACTATGATGCATAGCTTCTTTTCACGCCACTAGGCCACTGCTGCTCTCTGCGCCGCGCTTAACTGTGCCTGGACCTCTTTGTTGAATAATGGTCCGTGGGCTCCAAGCACTAACGCGTCCAATTTTGACGCCTGAAGTCGTATTTTCTTCTCCTCCCCTGTGGAGCTTTTCTGAGTGCTCTGGATTTTGATTTTCTCCTAGTAGTTATCACTTATCCTTGTTGATAATTGTCGGGAGCGTGCCGCAAGCTTGTTCCGGCTGTTCTCATTTGAAGCGGAGTGCTGCTGCTGCCACGGACCCCTCCAGCTTACCCACTCGCTCCTGCCCCTCCAATTCCATTATTATTCTCTCCATCATATCATCTCTCTTGTGTGGTGGTCACACGCAGTAGCACCTCACACCGTCTGTCTTGCAACTTTATCCCTAGGTCGTATCCTCCAGGCTGATAATGTTGATTGCAGTCACATCGAGCTAGATGTACTGTGTTCTAGAGAATATGCCATCTGGGATATAAATTCTGGACTTGAGGTTCTCTTTCATTCTTCATTCCCGGAACTCTGTCTTCTTATTACCTTCACTCAAGCCCCAGCCCTGTGTTTTTGGTGTCGTAAGCCATGGTCGATCATTCATCCAGGAACAATCTTCGTCCACTGGCCCCGAAAGGCCCTGATACCGACGGTCGACCACCAAGTCGCTGCCCGGAAGATGGTCGAACAAAGCGAGCCTCAACCGCATGTGGCGAATGCAAGCTGCGTCGGACAAAGGTATCTCGGCTCTTTCACTCTGTTCACGATGAGATCATTCTTCCCTCATTGCTCTCTAGTTACTGAGAGCGATGCTCTGCCAGTCAAATGTTTTGGAAAAACCTACTAACACTTCATTTGTCGGTAGTGCACTGTCGATGATTCCGGCGGCCCATGCACCGAATGTGCGCTCCACAACCGGGAGTGTATCATCGATGAGCTGGCAGACAGACGTCGCAAGATTGCAGCCAAAGAAACCGAAGAGAGTCTCCGAAGGACCCAACTAGAGCTCCAAGAGACTCAGAGGCAGTTACAGTACTACCGTTCATACGTCAATTCCATCCTCAGCTCGATTCGAGGCTGCCAAGACGCAGAACTCACCAACATCGTCAAAGTTATCCGACACGGTTCAGACGACGAGATCCAGGCCTACCTCTCCCAGTTTGTGCACTACTACCCTCATAGTTCCCCGACGGGGCGCAGAGGCGCCGGGCATTTGATGCGGTGATACTATATGGCAGCATCAACATCGACGACGCAATCCCGTTAGATACAGAATGGCTCCCCTTGTGGGCCACGCGACCACATTCAACTCCTGGCTGTTGGGAAGACCCGGACCTTACGTGAACTTTTGATTGAAGGGGCAAAGAACCTCTCGTCCTTGGGTATCACTAGCTCTGTGGATTCAGGACTGGTACAACTGCTCCATGTGCCGTCCTAAAATAGCTTTCGAGTTTGCAAGGGCCGATTGGCGTTATTGTTTGGTGTCAACGAGCCAAATTGCAAGCATCGCGAAAGAAGTATTGAGCATACCGATTCGAGAAGGAACGAAGGGTGACAGAAGAGGAGGGACTCGACATACTTTATCATTCATCAAGCTTCTAGTTTCTGCCTTTGTGTGGCCTCTTGCAATTTTGCGTGATCTCAGCTATCTCCTTGCATCATTTTGCCTCGTCGAGTACCTACATAATTCAGGTTTCCCGTTATGAATCTAGGTTTTGCACCCCAGGTTTGTATCTATAGGAATTTGTAGATATAAAGTTGGGTAAGGAATGGTACCTGCCAGACGTCATTGGCATTTGGTTGATTTCTCAGATGAGATGGAGCTACGGTTGGTACTCCGTTTTGTGAGAGTCAAGAACCATCCCGCTCAACGCATGGTCAACCATATATTGCCGTCACTGTAGCACTGCACTCTAAACAAGATTTGTGAGTTTCAATCCCGCTAACGTCACACTACTACTACCGGCACAGGCCGGCAAACATCCGACTGAGTCAGCACCGGGAGCCGTTCTCCCCGCTCAATCCAGATTTTGCCGACTCAACACCCCCAGGCTCAGAGCCCACGAGTCACGAATCGGGAGATGTCGGTCGTTTCATTATTCAATGTCCATGCCACTATGTCGGCCCGATCTAAGTGTCTGCTGGTGGTGGACCGGGGGATTCCATCCCGGCTCCAAGCCTCCGGCCTCCAATTCCAACCCCGCACGTCCAAGTCGTTGGCCCCAGAGTCCGTCTAGGCTAGCGAATGACTCAAAATCCGTTCGAGCCTCGGATTTTTCTCCTTCGCTTCTCAAGCCTGCCTTCAGCCCTGCCGCCTACTAGCTTACTCCTTGTTCCAACTGTCCTTACGGAGTACTGCAGCAAAACGTGGAGCCGCGCGGAAATAAACCTCCTAGCCACGCGACTGTGACAGATCGCCTACCTAAATCTTGGCCAACTTACCCCGCGTCCGATGGCTGGCGCCCTCGTGGCGAAGGCGGGTGTCCAGCTCTCGCCTGGAGTGGACTATAATGGTACGCCTCGGGCAGACCCAGTCTGTCTGGGGCGGAAGAGGAAGGCATCGGCATCGGAATCGTCAGCGAGCAAAGCCAATGCGCCGCGGCAGAAGATCACTAGGGCTTGTGACTCTTGTAAAGAGAAGAAGACTCGATGCACAGGAACGCTGCCGTGCAGCCGATGTACTAGGCTGTCGCTACTCTGTGAGTACAACGCCGCGTATAGTCGGGGCCTGCCTCCAGATCCGCTCCCTGCACCCGCATCAGTGGCTGCGAGGTACTCGAGAAACCGATCTGCATCGCACGCCTCGGACTCGCGGAGCCCTAGTGTGCGAATATCGCCGCCAAATAGGGAAGCTGCGAGAGCCGCAAGGACTCCGCGCTCGCAGTTATCGCAAGCCTCTGGGGAAGTGTCACGGCGAAATTCCCCCGATCCAGTGGCCACTGACTTCGAAGGAAACTACCTTGGACCCGCTTCGGGAGTCTCGTTTCTGAACCGTGTCTGGCGACGGCTACACCAGGATGAAACAAGCGCGGTTCCTGATGAGCTGCGGAACGAGTCGTGGCCGAAGAATACTTCCGTGTTTATGTTTGGCGATAAGCCCTATGTGGACTATCGCGATGCTGGCTTCATTTTACCCAAGTTCGATAAAGCCCTTGAGTTGGTGAGCAGGTATTTCGACTACGCTATGGTCACATACCGCTTTCTTCACCGGGGAAGCGTGGAAGAATGGCTTAAGCAAGTTTATAGCCACAATATTTCTCCCTCGAACCTGCCCGCTGGGCCTTTGGTGGCTCGGACTGCGATAATTCTCATGATATTTGCTGTAAGCACTCTTCACGAAGAGCAGACCCAAGGAAAGCAGGCGGAAAGTTCGCGTGAAAGGTAAGCATGCCGGTTTGACCTGTGTTCGATATACTCATATACTCTTCTCAGCGAACGATGGTATGCAGCATCAAAATATATGCTCTCGATGGAGTTCGGGCCTCCGCGTCTCGAGACCGTCCAAGCACGACTGGGCCAATGTCTTTACCTCCTCTCGTCTTCAAGAGCCAATGAATGCTGGTATATATTTGGCACTGCAGTGCAGTTGGTGACAGCCCTTGGCTTGCATCGGCGGTGTGCCGCTAAACTTTCCAAAAAAGGTATCACATACTTGGAGAGGGAGCTTCGCAAACGAATTCTGTGGAGCGCTTATACCTTAGACAAATATCTCAACGTTATTTTTGGGCGGCCTCGGTTATTGCACGATGAAGATATTGACCAGGAACTACCTGATGAGGTCAGCGATGAGGACATCCTTCAAGATGACCCGGCTATGCGTTTAGGCACAGCGGATTCCATGATGATCGCATCCGTCCTGCATTTTAGGTTCGCCCTGCTAAGCTCATAGTTTGCGCAAACACTGCTAATAGTACAGACTTGGACGCATTTTGGGTGAAATTTCGCGTCAATTCTACACAGTCAATCCTATAATCCGGGAATCGCCGCTCGAAGCCGCAGTTCGAATCACTTCAGAGCTTGAGAAATGGAAAGAAACCACGCCACCTCTGTTTAATAGTGTTCGCCCGACGAGTCTTATCCCGCCATTATGCAGGCAAAGCCAAGTCCTCCAGCTCGCCTACTGCCATGCAATGATACATGCTACTCGGTCATTTTTGCTGAATGACTTCACTGATCTCAGCCGTCGGCCAGCAGCTCCCCACCCGACGGTGACGGCACATGTAAGTAAGTGCCTTGAGGCTGCCGAGGACGTGATGAAGCTAGTGGACAGCATTGCAAAACAGGGCACTCTGATCCAGTCATTCTGGTTTACGCACCATGTATGCTTCTGTGCAATTGTCGTGGTTTACATCTACACCATCCAGCAGCACCGACTGTCGTCAACCTTGGGGCCCGCTGAGTTGGATAACAACCGTGTACGATCGCTCTTCAGTCTTGCAGAGATATGTCAGCAACACCTGGCCGAAGCCACTCGCAGAAACTGTCCGAGTCGGCGTTACGGTATAATCTTGGAGGAAACCAGGGTGGAGGTGCACAAACAGCTGGGTTCTCAGTTCGCGGATGGGTCCCTCGCCAACGTCCCAGAACAACCGCGAGACATGTCTGTCAGGGACCAGGAGTCAATGATCGATCAGAGGCCAAATGATTTGACTGATATGAACAATGTTGTTCCGTTCAATTCGAACCCTGTTAGCTATGATGGCACTTTCCCCTCATCAGCGTTTGTAGATGAACCATTTGATATGGGTGATGTTGGGTTTCTGGATAATCTCGAAGGGTCTATATGGTGGACTCAATTGGACACTTGGGTTAGTACCCTTCCTGCTCCTCTATCTTTCGGAGTTTTCTTATTGACTGACATATCTAGGCATTTTCCAATCTGCCGAATGACCCGTCTCAATTTTCTTTCTGAGCTATAGCACGGTATGAGTTGATGACCTTGAATAGCTAACCAAGATACCTTTGAAATAATCTACCAGTATACCCTTTGCTTGGATTCTTAGATGAGAAGTGATTCAAAGTTTGCTCTGATGGCTTTGTCAGATACAAGGCATAACTACTAGCTCTGTAGACCCATATTCAATGTTGATCAGCGGTTTATATCATACTCTGGCTTGCATTGGTTCCAATCGATTCCTTTCGCCTGGAAATGCGGAATATCATCATCTGCCTCGGATGGCGTCTTGAGTTCGCCGCATCGGATAAATCTCCGAAGCACGATGCTTATCCGAAATGGCAGATGAACATAGCCGGCCGTCGAGCATAGCCCGCCGTCGTCGTCTCTGTGTTGACGGATCCAGCCGACCCCGGATTTCTGATCTCGCTTTATCTATTTAAGCATGCTGCTCGCTCCAAGATGATCCCTAGGCTGTCTGTTGAGAAACCGGAACCTCAACGACTCCTACTTCCACAATGTTGTCTACACTTCTTCCCCAGGCACCAACTCACATCGACAAGCTCCCCCACGACAAGGAGGACGCTCCAGTGCCGCAAACCGAGCCTCTAACGGTCGACGAGCTTGTCCGCCACCGTGCATCTCTCGGTTCATCGCAACCCGCCGTCTACTATCCTCGTACCGGCATAGAATACTCGGAATTTCCTCTTCAACAACTCGATGTCTTCGCCTACCGAGTCGCAAAGATCCTAGCAGAGAAGATCCCACCTCGGAAAACCTCAACAGAGTCGCCCACTGTCGTTGCACTGTTGGGCCCTTCAGACCTGAACTACCTCGTTCTACTTCTCGCTGTGACCAAGCTCGGCCATGCCGGTTTACTCCTTTCCACCAGGATATCGGTCGAGGCTCATGTGTCTTTGATCGAGAGGACCAACGCGCAGCACATTTTCGTCCATGGATCTCTTAAGGATACTGCCGCGAAAGTCAGCGAGCGAGTTCCGGGATTGGAAGTTCACGATATTCCAGGTGAAGAGAGCTATGATTATCCCATTCCGGGTGAACCCATCGATACGAATCTCCTTTCCCACCTGGATCCTGAAGCCGAAACAAAACATCTCGCATGGATAATCCATAGTTCGGGCTCAACCGGGCTACCGAAGCCCATCTTTCAGACGCAGCGAGCGGCCGTTAAGAACTATGCCGGGAATATGAACATGCGTGGTTTCATCACCTTGCCCTTGTACCACAATCATGGGATCTGCTGCTTGTTCCGGACGATCTACTCGAACAAGACCCTGCATTTGTACAACCCCCAGCTTCCACTCACGAGCCAGTACCTGGTTGATATTATGCGGTCATACAATTTTGAGATCTTCTATGGGGTGCCGTATGCGCTCAAGCTGCTTGCCGAATCCAAGGAGGGCATTGCGGCACTTGCCAATCTCAAGGCTGTCATGTTTGGAGGATCTCCGTGTCCGGATTCTCTGGGAAATTTGCTAGTTGAAAATGGGGTCAACCTCATCGCTCATTATGGATCGTAAGTACTCTTCGACAAGTGGCCAAACCCCTCGTCTAACTTTTCGCCTAGGACCGAGACAGGCCAACTGATGACCTCTATGCGATCGCGGGATGATAAACGATGGGACTGGCTCCGTCCCTCTGAAGCTGTGAAAAAGTTCTTGCGGATGGAAGAGCGCTACCCCGGCGTCTACGAGTCCGTTGTTCTCGACGGCTGGCCCTCAAAGGTCATGTCGAACCGACCAGATGGCGCCTACGCTACAAAAGATCTATTCCTCAAGCACCCCGTTATCGAAGCTTACAAGTACTACTCCCGACTTGACGACACAATCACTTTAGTAAACGGCGAGAAAGTGATCCCACTAGATTTGGAAGGACGAGTGCGGCAGCTCAGCGTCGTCGCAGATGCACTCGTCTTTGGCATCGGCAAGTCAAACATCGGACTCGCAGTTATTCGTGCGCCAGAAGCAGCATCTTTAACAGACGAGCAAATTATCGAAGCTATTTGGCCGGCAGTTGAAGAGGCACACGAGACACTGCCAGCGTACGGCCAACTATCTAAGAACATGGTCCGTGTTCTGGCTGCTGATACTTCCTATGCTCGTACCGACAAGGGAACCGTCATCCGCCAGGCATTCTACCGAGATTTTGCCGACTTGATTGAGGCATCGTACGAAGCTGAAGATGAGATGACGGGAACTCTGGTCTTGTCTGAAGATGAGTTGAAGGCGTTCCTGCGAAATGAACTCCCTGCTATTGTCCACGGCAGAAATCCTGACGACTTCACCGATGACGCTGATTTCTTTTCCCTTGGGATGGACTCTTTGCAAGCAACCCAGTTGCGGTCCGTGCTTATCAAGTCGCTGGACACGAAAGGGCACAAGTTAGGACTGAACGTTGCTTTTGAGCACCCGTCTATCAGCTCCTTAGCGCGTTACCTCTACTCCCTCAGTTCTGGGACATCAGAGACTACTGCTTCGATCGAGGAACAGATGGCGGCTTTGATCTCCAAGTACAGCGATTTTGAGCAGCACGTTCCTCGCCCTAATGGACTAAGCGGGAGATATATCGTAAGTCCTTGGCCTCTCCGCCTGCCAACCATATGGTCATTCATGCTAACTAACTACTAGATCGTAACTGGAGCCACCGGCTCCCTGGGCTGCCACGTCGTTGCCAAACTATCCGCCCTTCCAGACGTGCAAAAAGTATACTGCTTCGTCCGCGCCAGGTCTCCCCTCGACGCCTACGGCCGGATTCTCGAGTCTCTTCGCGCCAGGCGCGTCTACGAGTCCCTCTCCACCGCAGCAAAGAACAAGCTCATAGCACTCCCCTCCGACCTCTCCCAACCAGATCTGGGCCTCGATCCCACGACCTACAACACCTTAGCCTCCTCGCTCACAGACGTGATTCACTGCGCGTGGTCAGTAAACTTCAATCTACACCTCTCCAGCTTCGAAAAAGACAACATCGCCGGCATCCAGCACCTCGCAAACCTCTGCCTCAAGACGCAGCGGCCCGCACCCGCAACACTCAACTTCTGCTCCTCCATCAGCGCCGTCGTCCGCTCACCCGAGGCCTCAATCCCCGAGAGTCTCCCCTCAAGCCTCGAACACGCCCAGAACATGGGCTACGCGCAGTCGAAGCTCGTAGCCGAGAACCTCTGCGTCAAGGCATGGGAGCAAACGGGCCTGCGCGCCCGCGTCCTCCGCATCGGCCAGGTGATCGGCGATACAGAGAACGGAATCTGGAACACCACCGAGGCAATCCCGCTGATGCTCCAGTCTGCAAACACGATCGGCGCGCTGCCGAAGCTCGACGAGTTCCACCGCTGGTTGCCCGTTAATACGGTTGCGGGCGTTATCGCCGATATCTCCCTGTCTGAGAAAGAGGCCGGCGCAGACGCAGACGCAGAGACGCAGCCCATATACAATATCATCTCCCCGCATCCCTTCCACTGGACAAGGGACCTCCTGCCCTCCCTGCGTGCCGTGGGTCTCGAATTCGAGGAACTGGGCCCTCGCGCCTGGATCAAGCGGCTGCGCGAGTCGAACCCGGATCCCGTGGCTAACCCGCCGATCAAGCTTGTCGATTTCTTTGCGGGCAAGTATGATAATGATACGCCGAAGAGAGCTGTTGGTTGGGAGACTGACAAGACGGCGAATGCTTCGAGGATGTTTGGAGACGCAAAGGGGCTGGAGCAGGACATTGTGGGCAAGATGATGGGGTATTTTCGTGGGGTGGATGGTTGGGGGAAAGGGAAAGGGAAGTCGGCATGAAATGTAGGTGAGGATGGGAATTGGTACGTATTGGGTCTTTTGCTAGTTGTGCTAGGATGGAAGAGGTCATATATACGCAGCAATGATACAAGAGTTTACATATACTTCAAGCACTTGATAAGAGCCGAGTTTGAGTAGAGTCTCCGTAGGTATAAGTTATACCTTAGGTATTCAGAAAGTACGAGCAAGCTTCACAATACATTCTTTCTTGCAGAAGCAGAATCAAGCGCCCAAACCCGAATATATGTAGTATATTCTAGCTGTAGCAATGTAAATATACAGCCAATCAACCTTCATGCACCATGAAATAAAAGTGCTATTGTCAACCAAAAAGCAAAAAGAAACAGCAAGAAAAAGATCAAGCGCCCCTCCTGGGATCTGCTCCCTATGTAACTGAACAGTCCAAGACGCCCGCCCATAGATGAAACGAGCAAGAAACAGCGATCCCCAAAAACACAAAAAGACAGTTTATACCAATATGACGACGGTAGATAGCCGGCTAGATGCTTGCAGTATACACAAAACATGATTAGGTAGGTAGGTGGGTGAGAGCGTAAATGGGTAGGTAGGAGTAAGTGGAGACAGAAAGGTGGGTATCTAGGTGAAAGATGAAGAGGAGGCGCTCGAGTTGAAATCAGGGGTGTAGTGGAGGTCTGTTGCCGTGGAGCTCGGGGAGGCGCCAGTGATGCCCGCACCACTGGCGGCGACCTGCTCCTTGAGAGCTTTGTACTCGGCAAGCTGGGTTTGTAGCTCTTGCAGGACGTCTCCGATTGGCGCGGCGTGGTTGTTGAGGCTGTCGCCTCGCCTGAAAGGACGCATCATGTGTCGCAGGGTCAAGGTGCTTATTGTAACCTGCTGGTAGTTAGTAACGCAATATCGAGCAATTGAAAGACGGTTACAAACCTCAATGCGCGTGACCTGCTGCTCGATCAAGCTGACGACGCTCGAATCTGCCAGCTCCCCGCCGTGCTTCTTAATAATATTGAACAGTGCCGAGTTTGGTTCCATAAGCCTTGGGTCGCCTGGGTGCTCAAGGGCTCCACAGAGCCTTTCCAGTCGAAGCGTAACTTCCCATAATCGCCAGATAAGGTCTGTTTGGATCTGGAGTTGCGAGTGTTCACTGATTGTGGTAGGGGCGTTTTCGTCTCCGGTCGACATTTGATCCAGGGTTGACAAACGCCCGGATAAGGCATGCGGGTATATCAGGTACAGGGGTTCCGGATTCTCAAGACCCTTTAACTTCCGCTCACCCTGATCTTTAATCACAAATCCCTGGCTATTGAGCTGTTGGAGTTCGCGCCGAATGTTGTCCCCCAAGTCGAATGCATAGCTTTCTTCCGAACCAGTAGAGGCGGCGCGCTCACTGTCAGCAAAGAGCTCAAGGTTACGTTGCATGTCGCTCATGAAATCCGACGAAACAAAGATTTGCCCTCCATCAGCAACTGCTGAGATTCGAGATGCGCGGTTCACCATTGGTCCGAAGTAGTCCATTCGATTGGTAACAGGATCTTTTTCGCAGACAGGCTCCCCCCAATGGATTCCCATTCGAACTGACAGACCACGGAAGATTATGTTATTTTCCATATCGTACTGGACTTGGCATTGGGGCTGGTCAAGGATCTCCGTCGGCCATTCAGCTTCAAGGAGTTGGTATTGACAGTTAAAACACCAGAGCAGAGCAGCCGTGGTTGTCGAAAACGCGACCATAAAAGCGTCACCCTCAGTCTTGACTTCATAACCACCAATGATTCCCAACTGACGACGGAGGATATCATTGTGGATTTGGATAGCCGAGCGCATCGCGTCGGGGCATGTCTCCCAAAGACCCGTAGACTGCTTGATATCCGTGAAGATTATAGCTAATTCTCCAGTCGGGGCGTCAACATAGTCAAAGCGAGCCAATCTAGAATCTCCGGGCATATCGCGCGGCTTTTTAGTGCGCTTAGGACTAGGCAGGATCGAGTCGTCGACCTGACTGAAGCTGTTCAGACTAGGGAAGCGTGGTGGACGTCTCTCGCGTTTCCTCAGGTCCCCAACTCCAAGAATCATAACCATGAGCTTATTGGTAGCCCCAAATGACAGTGCCAAATCTCTTATCTTTTGAGCGGCAACCATCAGATCTCTTCGCTCGGCTCTTGTAACATCAACAACAAGGTCTGGAGTAACGTAGTCCCAGAGCTCTTTTGAGGCCAAAATGACCATTTCATCCTGCTCGGTCAAGCTGACATGCACGGTATGTGGTGCTGCGATCACCGCGGGCATGAGATTGAAGTATCCAAATGACCGAGAGACAGGGAGATAGTCATTCAGTCTCCCGTTACGGGAGACGAAACCGCCCGCTGCTCGAATCCTCGCCCTTTCTCCTGCTTCGGCTGGATCATGATTTTGCGTCAAATACCTCATGGTGCCATCCGACCTGACAAGTATAGCCTGAGCGTCACCAATGTTGGCCGCATATAGCTCCATGTTGTTCAGGTACAGGACAGTCGCGACGCCACCAGATAATAGGTCCTCCTTGTTCAGACGGACCCTCTTCTGATCGGATGACGAGTCCTCTTGATACTGTCTAACGTCTTGATCCATGGACTTGTAGCAAGCAAATGCCATATTCCTGTTGAGGGTCAGGAATGTCCTCCTGAAGGCATCCAGTGGTGTCTCATCCTCGTCCCGCCGGAGGCGCTTCAGCTCAGCAGAGAAAGTGTGCAGGAAATTCTCATGCAGGAACTTGGCAACCCTAGAGCCCCCAGTAGAGCTAGGCTGCCCATCGAACATTCCGACAACGGTTTCCACGTTATCCTGCCTCATCCGAGGCACGATCATGTCTATAATAGAAAGATGTTCGCTTCGGCCCAGAAAGTCTGCCATACCATAGGCAAGGGAGCCAGCCAAAGAAGCAGATGTTCTCACACGACGGTCTTCATTCTCTTCTGGAATAGTGGATGTGGTGAGCGTAACGTCCATCAATCCAAGTACTCGAAGGTGGGTAAGTGAGTTAAAATCGGTCAAATCTGTCCCGCTCGGCGGTTGGGATCCCAGTGACGAGACGTTTGGCTTAATCTCCAATCGTTTGTTTCCAGAGAAGTTAAGATACTTCAGGTTCCGGTTCCAGTTCCAGTTCCAGTCGTAAGGCCAATTCGAAACGTTGTATTTCAAGTAATTGCTTCCAACATCGAGGATAGAAAGCTTGCTCACTTTGCATAACTCCGCCGGAAGAACTTGGAATCGATTCGCATTTAGGTTGAGAATCTTCAGGCTACTCCCCTCTTCAAGGTCATCTGAGGGGAGGGATGTGAGTTCATTGCCCGATAGGTATAGCTCCACAAGCAGAGGCCAGCGCTTGAGAAGCCCAGGAGGGATTTCATTCAGCACGTTGTACGATAGATTGACTATCCGCAATTCGGGGATGAATGAAAGTTCACGGAACACATCGTCTTCAAGACGATTATCGGCCAGGTACAGGTTCCGTAGAGAGCCACCAAATGTCGTGGCCACATGCTGAGAGAAGTTGGAATCCTTCCTAGATGATGGGCTCCCTTCTGTCAATTTCGAAGCCGTTGAGACCTTCCTTCCCCCTTGGCTAAGAGAAGATGCAACAGACGGTTTTCGATGGCTCCCGCCGCTAGGAGAACTGCCACTGTTGGGAATGTTGGTGGACGTCTGGCTGGGGCGGCGAGTTTCCTGCTCTTCCACGGTGCCAAGGTCATCAAAGCTCGGCGTGGTCGAACCCCCTGGGGTTAACGCAGGATTAGGGGTAGCAGTGGCCTCGCCCGGAAGTTGTGGTGCGGGGCCACCATGTTTGGGGAAGCTATCGAGCACGTTCGATGAGACATTGAGGGTCTCCAACTTCAAGCAATACCAGATCTCTTGAGGTAACCTTCGCAGATTACACTCTCTCAGATTGAGGTACTTGAGCTCGGTCAAGCATCCGATGCTTGAAGGAAGGGTTGAGAGGGGGTTCTTGGCCATGCTGAAATACTCGAGTTTCCGCAGCTTTCCAATGTGAGGCGACATGGACATGAAATGGTTCTTATCCAAGATGAGCTTCGTCAGGTTAGGCAAAGCTTCAAACAGTGTGTCCCGGAATTGGACTAGTTTTGCCGAAGCTATGTTGAGCGATGTCAAGGTCGGCATAGGCGCATCGATGTCGAACTGCGTTATAGGGCAATGATCCAACACCCAATTCCGCAGCTTGGGAAACGACCCTTTGAACTTGGAGACCGAATTGTGACCTATCAACAATTGCTCCAAGCGGGGAAGAAGTGACAAGCTATCTATGTTCGCGATCTCATTGAACCGGGCATCTATCTCTTTCAAGTTCACAAGTTCTTGGATTGATTCGCCAAAAGGGCCTCTGAACCCGTTGTTTGTCATCCAGAGACGCTCGAGACTGGTCAAGTTGCCGATATTGGGGAGCTCGGAGATGCTATTGAAACTGATATCGAGATCAACCAAACTCTTCAGGTTGCAAAGGAATGCGGGGAACACTTGGAAGTTGTTCGAAGAAATATTCAAGCTTCTCAGGGACTTGAAGTTTCCGAAATAGTCCGGGAGCTCCGTCAGTCGGTTGTTGGCCAGTTTGATACTGACAAGACCTTGTAATCTGTCGAGGTTCGCATGATCGAGCTGATCCAGGAAATTATTCGAGACATCGAGATACGTCAAGCGGCTTGCAAGACTGAAACTGGGGGGTAGACGCAAAGCCTCGCTCCCAATATACTTTATTTCGCGCAGATTTATGCAGCCCTGGATGAAGTCTTTGGGCACATCAAGCTCCAAGTTTCTGGAGAGATTAAGTGATATGATCTCGGAGGCTTTCTTGTATAGAGCGATGGGAATTGTGACGAGACTCCGTCCTTGAAGATCCACGTGGCTGAACTTTTGAGTTTTGCTAAAGCCGGGCTCGCCTTCCAGACTGCTATAACCGCTGAGTTTTGTCGGCAAGAAAGTAAAGCGGAGAATGTAACTGTGGTCCTCTCGGCCGAGCTCTTCTATCCTATCTTTCTCGGTATACCCGATTTGTTCGAGCAATCGCTTCTGCATGAGGATTGGCTGTTCATTGGGATCCAATTGTCGAGAGGTATCATTTTTCCGCACAACTATCTCATAGTTGTTCAGATGGTCAGTCAGAAAAGACTTCTTTCCCAGCGACAGAAGAACATCGGCGACGGTAGCTTGTAACCCATTCGAAAGTGTGGCAAACGTTCCATCAATACGAAACACGCGAATAAAGTATGGGGCACCATCAGGTTCGGATATAGTTTTGGCATCATCGCTGGTCACCTTGGGAACCTTGGCCGAAATCTCGTCCTTTTGCCGCTTGACATGCCAGCTCTCGGGCGCATCCCAATTGCCGGCACCAAGCTGGTCTGCCATCCGTTTTTCATCTGGGCGTACTGCATTGCCTTCATGTACCCTATTTGCGTCGTTCGAAGTCGGCTGGACAATGCCTTCCATATGTGTAAGATCCGTGTCCAGAGCCCAAACACCGGGCGCTTCCGGGGCGTTCGTCTCCTTTCCAGCTGGAGTTTCGTGCCCGCGGCGACCTCGCAGTTTACCAGTCGCAATACCTAGGCCTTTGCCGTCTTTTCTTCGTTCATAATCTCCATTTTCGGCGATTTTGAGAGATGATCCACCCTCCAAACTACCTTGTCGCCCTCTTCGCCCAGGAGAGGCATCTCGTCGCGCAAGCTTTGACGTGCCTCTAATGGCATCTGTCGGCCCTTTCGACCCTGGGAAATGCTTAAGGTTGGGCCGGCGGAGTTTCCCCAAGAACGATCGCTTCGATGACGGCGCCCCTGGAGAGCCTTGACCTGGGTCCTTACTGTAAACGCTTTGTAGACTTGGGGTGGGGCTAGCAGAGCGCCCAGCAAGATTGGTAGCTGAGGTAGCGGCGGGCCGATAGCCTAGGCTGCCTTCCCTGGAGGGGCGTAGGCCAACGGAGAAGTCATCACGACCTGTCGAGGGCCGATCAGGATATCCAGCGAGGTCACCAGCAGCGTTTGTCTTCTCTTCCTTGCTCCGAGAATGTCGATGACCGCTGAAATGTCTGCGAGATGGATCCCTCGATGCATTAGATGCACCCTGTGAGCCAAATCGATGGCGATCTAGCGCTATAGGAGCTTCATGAACGGGAGCTTCCCCCAGCTGCGGAATATCCTAAAGTAAATCAGTAGTTTTATAGACTCATGGTTCGTAGGCTTACATTATATTTCTGGTACTCCCATGGGGTTATCTCGCTCGAAGGAAGCGGAGTTCGGGGTCGGCCAGGTTGTTGGGCGTCATCGTGAGCCCCATCAGTTGGGCGTCTTGAACCCTCGGAGTCAGCTCTTTGGCGAGCTTTGATATAATCAATCGATGACGGCTTGGCTCCTGAATTGTGGTGACCGTCGTCATGCCTTGAATCACCGGCATTTGGATCGTCACCAAAAAAGCCTTGTAATTTCTTCCGGAAAAGCCCGCCTGCACTGGATTTTGACCCCTGACTACTCACTGTCGTAGCACTTGCAACAGATGGTCGCCGGTCGTCCCCATTATAATCCAAGTCCGGAGTGTCGCCGGCGAACGTACGTCCTGTCCCAGGGCGGAAAGTAGCAGTGGCTGGAGAGGCTTCTTGTTCGGAGAAATCATGGAAAAAGGTGCCGTGGGCATCCGCGGACCCCAATCTAGGGGAGTATGAAAGAGTCGCCTGCGGATCATGCTGGAAATAATCGCCGAAATTAGTGTTCAGATGCGGACTGGGATTGTTGATCGGTGGAGGGCCCGGGTCATCGTTCCCAAGGACAGCCAAGGCTTTCCGGTGACCGCCGAATCCTTGATGCTTGCGCAGGTCCGTCGGAGAAACATCAGGTGACCCCCAGGAGAACATGGACGTGTATAGGTCGTTCGGGGCCCCCAGGGAGGGAGGTCGCGGATTTGGGAGTTCGAGCCTGCATATGGTCAGTTACCAAAGGAAACTCCGTTCTCCCACACTTGTAGTATTCAAGATTGCTAGAGACAGTCTGCTTAATCCAGCAGGGTGGTAGTTCTTACCTATCGTTATCATCATCTTTAGAATGCGGGGAGATGCTTCGAGCGCTAGTCACAATGCGGCCATACCGGCGACCATCCCTGACGGTTTCTTGCGATAACCCACTGTTGTTCCCAGAGCTCTCCGAGCTATGCCTCCCTTCAGGGGGTTCCCCACCTTGAAAAGCCATCCTTTGATGATAGTCGGGTTCAAGGCTCGAACTCGGGTTGACGATCATTCAGACAAGGCCAGTAATCAGCCGCCGCGAACACCATCAACAACTGCCGATTGGTTTACTCCTCGGATAAGCGATGACAGATATGTGGTGGTGGAGCCGGTATGATGAGATTGTAACGATTTGACGGCGAATGGCGGGAGATTGGATACGTCGGAGAGTGAGACAGCGGACACGTTTAAAATAGACCGCGGGGTGAGATGCGCGATAACGTGCGAGGTAGTGTAATCAAATAGTCCGTAAGTTCTAAGGCTCGTAGATTCAGAAGGATAAAGTCCCTAAGTTGATGCTTCGATGTGGCTCGGATTTATGGTCGGGGCCGCAATGCTTCAGGTCCTGGAGGAAAAGCGGGAACGATCAGGAAACGCCATCGCACGTTTCGAGGCGAGACCCCATGGGCGCATGTCATGTAATGGCTGGAATTCAGCAGACGAGGGACCAAGTCGAGAGCGAAGCGCGTCGAGTGGTGGGGGGGAAGGGCGAGGGAGCATGGGGAGGGGAGCTGCAGAAGCGATGACCGCTGAGATCGTTCCAAGTTGAGGCTCTGACCTCCCGACACGCTAATCCCAATTCAGCTGTCCAGGTTTGATGTCAACTGAGCTCGTCATCAGATTGCTTATAAGACCAGCGTAAATCTATATTAACTTGCTATGTTATTCTTCTCATCTTTGCTATACAGCTAGATCCTCACAGCCTCTATCAATGGCGTTGGACTTGACTCGGGCAACAACCGATACACCTTAGATCATTGCTACCGGTAGGATGATGGCCCGTGCGCAATGTCTGTGCTTTGAACGGAAAGCGTCATTCATCTTTTCAATCCAACTGTATTGGCTTTATGTATAATCAAAAGAATTACATGGTAGTTAGTGACTCTTGATCTCTGATTAGTGAAGTGAGACCCGAGGGCAGGAACCTTTGCTACATTGGGCACTGGCAGGGAGCTTACGGTATCTACCAGAAATATATAGTTCGGTCACAGACACTGGACGGCTCGCAACTCGTCAAATTGCTATAGCTAGCTCCTAAGTAAATGTGACGCCGTCAGCATGTTCGCCGGGTCATAATGATGTCGTTGTGGCATAATTAAGAGCATCAGATCCATTTTTACAGACAACGGAAGTATTTGAGGCCGCGCTGAACCATTCTTAGAAAGGGCGAGGTTGTCTACCAATTATTCCTTCAATATCCGCCATGTTGGGCGTTAGATCAGAAGTAGCATTGCTAGTGCTAAATGCCAATTTAGATTTGCTCAGGATAGAGGCGATCTGATAGCTGGATACACTGTCGAGCTTCACTTGGTGTAGCGAAAGGTGCTTAAGCGGCCCTGCTGACTATGAAAATGTGCAAAAAGGCATTACTCTAGGCTTGTAAAGCCATTATTGTCATCCATTTAATAATATAAAGAGCCTGTTGACCACAGATACGGACCTTGTGTCTTTGCCCGTTGCTCGTCTGGGTATCATGTAGGAACCCATTCTTGACATACACTCTTTGGGCCTGCTTATAACACATCCACCTGTTTGGATGATCAAATTGCATGGCAATAGTCATTATATTTGACAGAAATACTCGAAATTATGGACTTACAGAGTGATGGCTCAAAGAACTGGATCTTGATTACAAGGTTGTATGCGGGCCGTTGTATGCGGGCCAGAGGGTGTACAACCAGTCTCGTGAGCTCCATGGTGTACAGCACCCGATACCTGGACCGCTGGCTTGAGCGAACCGCCGGCTTCAACTGTAGTACTGTCTCTAGAAGAGACCTATCATATCCCACTGCATCAGTATACACTCTCTGGCCTGCATATAAACAAATCTACCTGCTTTGATATCGTTGTTGGGGACCATGGTCTTACAATGTAATATTGAAATAAGCAGTTTTTGATTATATGTGGGCCAAGTGGTGTAGCTGAGCTCTTCGCCTTGCGGTCTCTTGAGCTTTACAGGGCACTTGGTAGAAATGTACTCTGTAGTCAAGATAGGAGGAGTCTGCCTAGAGTTCTTTGTATCTAGTGCAGCGTTACACTGCTTTTCCTGTGATAAATAAGGTAGTTTACGTGGGTTACAAGGGTATTGTGCATCAATAATCAGGAACTCTAGAGTTCCCCCTTGCATTGCACATGGCATTGACACGCGAGTTGAAGAATGCACCATGAAACAACCATGTCAGATCCAAGAGAGACAGATCATGGAGGGTCTGGGCGGGCAACCGTTGGCGCAGAGCTTCGGCCAATCATAAGCTGCAGTCTCTCTCACCAGCCACCGACCCCGGCGACACGTGACTTTTGTGGAGTAGCCCAAGCCGCCCGATCGGCACTGAGGTCACTGATCTGCCTCCAGAATCAGGTGGCTGGACGAATCTACTGCCCGACTCTCTGCCGACAGAAGTTCTGGGCTTGACATCGGACACTTCACCATGATTCAGGCCCTGGTCTCTTTAAATAGCATGCGCTGGGTTTTCTGGCCCGACGTGATGACCGCCCTTTCAGATTTCGATGCTTTTGGTCGCTCGACCTGCACCTTCCTCGAGTGACCAGACGCCGACGCTGCTGCACCAGAGACGCTGAATATCCCAGCAACAACAACCGAAAGACCTCGACAAGCCTTCATATTCTTGTGTTTCTTTAGCCGTCGCAGCTTTCGCTTTTTATTCTTGACTGACGATTTGTACATACCTGTTTGACTCGTCCCTTTCACCTATTTCAGTCTTCCCTTCGCCATGAAATTTCGGCTCAATTGCTCGGCCGTTGGCCTTCTCTCATACCTGGGCGTGGCCGCGGCTCAAACATACACTGACTGCAATCCCCTGGAGCAGAGTAAGCGCCTTTGTCTCTTCCCAGTGCATAATACTAATGATATCCCAAAGGCTGTCCCGCAGATCCCGCACTGGGCGGCTCCGCCAACTACGATTTCACCAAGGGCGCTTCTGATGACTTTACTGAAGTCATGTCACCATCATACGGCGAGGATGGGGCGAGCTTTACCGTGTCAAAACAAGGCGATGCTCCCCTGATACAGTCCAATTGGTACATCATGTTCGGGCATGTTGAATTTGTGATTAAGGCTGCACCGGGAACGGGTATTGTCAGCAGCGCTGTCCTGCAGTCGGATGATTTGGACGAGATTGACTGGGAGTGGCTAGGGGGAAACAATCAATTTGTTCAGACGAATTACTTCGGAAAAGGCAACACTGCCACCTACAACCGCGCAGCTACCCATGCCAATTCAGGGAACCACGATACCTTTCACACGTACACTATCGATTGGACTTCATCCCATGTCGTCTGGCAGATAGACGGCCAAACCGTTCGCGTTCTTACCCCCGATTCTGCCGAAACCAACCAATACCCGCAAACACCTATGATGGTCAAAGTTGGAGTTTGGGCAGGTGGTGACCCCACCAACAATGAGGGCACGATCGGTGAGTTCTCCCTCCGCCACGCCTCTGTCGGGACGATTTAGAAGAATGGCGGTTACTGATATACTTTTAGACTGGGCGGGTGGCCAGACCGATTATACTGCCGGACCTTTCACCATGTACCTGAAGTCTATCAAAGTGACCGACTATTCGACCGGCAACTCTTATTCATACAGTGATAACAGCGGGTCATGGGATTCGATAGTGTCAGACGGTGGCAAGGTCAACGGCAACAGTGCTGCTCAGTCTATGACTGATGTTGGGACGGTGCCCTCAATAACCGCGACTGCCGACAGCGGACCAATTCCCTTCGAAGGAACGCACCGCGAAACTACAAGTTTTACGACGCCCAGCATCTATCCTTGGGTTCCCCGGCCAAGCAGCAACGATGACTCAGACTCCTCCCCGTCTACGGATTTGCCAGGAGACTGGCACTTTGCCGGCAGCGGAAAAGCCCAACCACCCAGCCGGTCCTCTATGAGTGAGCATTGCCCACACTTCCGTTTTGTCCCCTGGTCGAATTTCATGCTAAAGCGATGCCTTTTTACAACCCAGTATACGCGCCCGTCTACGTCTGCCTCGTATCACTTCTGGTCGGGTTTATACTCCCCCTCCGACCCTGAAAGCACGCAAGAAGCCCCTCAATGGGTGTTCCCTGAAACGAAGACGGCAGAGCTATCCGAAGCAGCGACCGACGATATCGAAAGAATCGCGGCCAAATCAGGACCAGGTCACAGCAGGGCACGGACTGTCAATGCCGCAAAACGCGTGTTTGACGTCCCTTGGGCACTCGGTGCATCATGTGCGCTTCTAGGTAGCTTACTAGCTTCTGCCTGAGCAGGCCAGTCTGCCACCGGCTGCGTCGAGCCCCGACCCCGCAGCCGCATTCAATTACGACTCTTATGAGATATGCGCCTAATGTGCACGGATGAACGACTTTTTTACGATTACGGCGCTGGCCAGCGATCGACTTCTGTTTCTCCTCCTTCCTAGACTTGGTCCCAATAATACGTGCCTAACCATCAATGTGGCAACGGTGCAGAACCCCGACGGGAACCCATCCGTTCGTCCTAGTTCACGAATACCTACTCCTCTGTACTATATCCATGTCCTTTTGAAACCATCTATAGATTTCCACTTATTCAGTCGTGTTACTCGGAGTTGTCTGATGTCGGATATGGGCGCTGATGTCTCTTGCCTGTTCAGCCGTCTACCTAATCATGCAGTCATGCTCTCCCTGGTGAGAACTCACAAATCCGTATGGCTAGAATCATCAATATCAAACCCATCATTACAGCTTCTTGACACCAAGGAGGGGCTTGCAGAAGTGGCTACCTCAGTAGACAAGACTAAGAGTTACCCCATCTTTGTCTTACAGTATTCAGACGGGGAATAGCGATGTGATGTTTTTGATCCTACCCTACTGTCAATGACCTCCTAAGGCTAGTCAAAATCCATCCATTTGCCTGCAAGTACGGAGTACAGATACGTATGCATGGCAACCCAGTGCAAATCTGGAGAAGGGCTGCGCCTCCTTAGAAGGAAATCCTATTATGCGGGGAAGGCCATAGCAAATCACCGCTCCGCATAGATGGTGTCGGAAGACGGCAGTTAAATATGCTCAATGCCCAAGAAGTGGGGTGCATATTATAGTCTCTAATCTTAATTGCCATCCGGGACTACCGGAGTAAACAGGCTGTATCTTAGGAGTCCCGTTAATCTCGAGTTGGAGATGGCCATGGGGTGACGTGAGATGAGCTTATGCATGGTCTAGTAGCTTGCTTACTTGAAGTTACTCCGCACCTTAGCAGATACATACTATGTATGTACCCCAGGCTCCAGCTCTCGGGCCTTGGGTCAGACCTAGACCGTAGGACCATACGTCTCCAGGCTACGCGTACAAGACGGGCCTAGCCCAAGCTGAGAAGAGCGCGGCCGGGGCACGGTCGAGACATCCCATGCGGGCTGCAGCTGCAGCTGCAGCGCAACGCGAATGCTACATTGATGTCCACTGCCGCGTCAAGTGACTTGCTTAGGTAGTATGCGGGACCTTGGCTGCAGGTCATACAAGCCCCGACTTCTGTGAATGAAATGAAGTATGTACGGTATGAGGTGGGATTGGATCTGTAAATGACAAGGAAAACTATCGGTATGTTGGTCCTGGTACAAGCTAATCGTACCGGTGAATTCTATCTCTCCGCTACATGTACTTTAGATATGCTTTCAGCTGCGGAGTTTTGAAATAAGATGGACATGGAAAATAATGGTGATGTTAATGGACAGGTTCGGATAGTGATGGGGTGTAAAGATTCTGGAAGGATGTCGGGGAGTCCGGTGGGTTGCTGCGCCCGTGCATGCATGCTGCTTATGATACTCGGGTAATTGTAAAGATGAAGCGCTGTCGAAATGTCACAGATGATACTTTGTTCAGTCAGAAGTTCTCAAGTCAGCGGAACTCAAACAGGGCTGTGGTCGTTGTGGTGTTTCTCAGCCCCCGGCTTGACAAAGCGACGTAGCCCTAAGTACGGCATGTTGGTCGGGCTTTCCGGACCCACGTAGAGGAACATATCGTACAGCCAGCCGCCGAATGTACATCCAAAAAAGGGCGCAACAGCAGGTACCTTTTGAGAGAGCGTATGTTAGTAGCGAGACTATGGAAGGGTGGTTTATTGGCCTACCCAAAAGTAATAGTTCCCTGCCTTCCACACCTCGGTTCCATACCCAAGCATATACGAGACCAATCTAGGCCCAAAGTCTCGAGCAAGATTAATGGCGTAGCCTGTCTCCCAGCCAAAGCAGGCACCAATGCCAAAGATCGTAAAGAACATGGCGAGAGGCATCAAAGGTCCGGCGGCCATGTTCCCGCTGTCGGTTAAGGCAAAGATCACAAACATCAGGATCGAACTGGCAACAAACTCGGAGAAGAACTGCCCTGTTCGTGTCATGAACTCTGCTGGGTAGGTACAGAATATACCCGCCGACGCCGTGTCAGAGTATCCGGGGACAGTCCTAATGTCTGGTCCTCCCTCGTATGCGTCGATGGCTGACTTGTAGTTTCCGTAGACAATGGCTGCAGCGCAAATGCCTCCGAGGATCTGAGAGACGGCGTATACGGGCCACTTGCGCCAGGGGAACTTGCGAAAGACGCACATTGCAAAGGTAACGGCAGGGTTTAGATGAGAGCCCGATATACCGCTAACATAGACGCCGAGCATGACTCCGAGACTATATGATAAAGCTGGTGTCAGACTTATAGTGAATGTAAATTCCAAACGGAAGAGACACTCACCCCCATCCCCACGATATAGACTGGTAGTCTCCTTTCTGGTTGTTGCTGAGGACGACCTGGGCGACTACTCCATTGCCGAACAGCACTAGTATCATGGTACCGAAGAACTCTGAGAAGGCCTCGCGGCAGGATGCTCTTATCCTTGTCCACAACGGCTTCGGATGAGCTTCAATTGTTGCGTGCTCTGCTTCGGTGGTCTCAGAAGCCGGCCTCACTCCGAGGACAGAGTCTCGCTTGTTGCTTGCTTTTAGAGAACCCTTCATATCCTCGGGGATGTTGATCCCGTCCACAACAGGCATGATGGCAGCGATTGGCGATAAGAAAAAGGTAGGGATAAAGATGAGATTGTCTGCCACGCACAGAGAGACTTATTACCTCAAGAGGTGCTGGACAACGAGTTCAAGTAGAAAGGAGAACGCGATGATTGTGCCTCGGGGTCTCAGTGCGAGGTGTGCGACATATCCTACATCTCCTGCATGGTGTCACCTCCTCTATAATAATACACTGAGGCGGCTTACGCTGGAAGCACTGGCTAGCTGTGAATACGCAAGAGGTCCTGGCAAAGCGCTCTGGCCATAGGGAGGGTGACGTCTCGGAAGGAAAAAGACAGAACTTGGTGAAGGAATCAAAGCGAGGCCAAGAAGACCAGAACAAGTAATTTCGAGAACTCTCAATGGCCAGAGCCGAGGGAGACGGGAGTCGGAATCGGAGGATGAGTGGAAATTGAGCCTGGAAGTTTGAAGGAGCAAGAGGGGGTTGCAAACAGACTGCAGGCCTTCCATTCACCGACCTCAGTCTACCAACTCTCTCCTCCCCCTTGACGCCTCTCCCACTTGCCTCCCCCAAGCCACCACCTTATTCTTGTATCCCTGCACTTATCTTGAAACCAAGACTTGCTCATTCACTTTCGTCGTATGCATTACCTTTCCTCCCGGGATATTACTCTGTGGAGACGTGCTTGACGACTGCCATTCCAAGGTTATTACGCTGAAGCACAAGCAAGCCATTCCTAGTCCGCAAGAAGCAGAAGGGCCGAAGGAGAGCTGGAGTCGTGTCACGCTTGCCTCTCGGACGTCGAATCGTAAGCCGGTGTTTGGTGCGCCAGCGCTGCTTGTGTGACTTCCAGACATTAGCTTTGCAAGGATAAAAGACGTTCCTCTTCGAGATGAGTAGTTTCCCTCACCTTCCGGTTTCACCATTGGCAATGCAACTGGTTTAGGATGGTATTTCTGACGTCTCCATCCAGGGTACAGCTGCTGTTCCTTCCCGCATATAGGGGACTAGGTACGCCTTTATCCGGACGCCCATACTTTTCTAGTAGAGTCCAGGGAACAATGCGGCTCTGTAACATCAATCGCCGTACTGTGGCCTCGTTTACGATGTTCTGGAATGTTTGGGTGGAGACTGGAGAACAGTAGCGCTGCATCGCTGGATCCATACGTCTCACTCATCATTCGCTCATCTCCGGCTGTCATGTGGAGTTGCGGAGGTGGGTAACGCTCAGGGTTGGAACTTGGCAGTCCTTTTCTCGACGTTGGAAGACGACTTTGGATGCCGCTGGATGCTTTGCTCATGTTTGCCGGGCACGAGTCTACCATACCCGAACCGGCCACTTTCACAGAGGTCTCATTGAAGTGCCTGGCCGATAACGGCCTTGGGCGGCAGAGACATCATTGAAGACAACATATTTGTGATCCGCATGGCCACCCCTGTATCGGTCCAACCAGATCGGCGACTGGAGTCTTCCCGACTCTTCCGACAGCTCAGATCGACAATTACCCCACATCCCACCACGAACGCAAGCCCAGCCTGCTGGGCCAGATAGGGTCACGAGGGTTATATCTGACACGGTATACATGGACATCTGACGTGGTGTACATGGACAACAAACAAGGGCCCGGAGATCCCGGAGTGGAGAGCGTAGGTTGAAGGAATGACTAGTATGAAATACATAGCCCACGCTGGCCGAGATTACAAGCGGTTTTCATGGAGCAGTGTCATTCCGCCTCCTCGGAAACGAGTCTTGTCCTCCAAGGCCGCTAGCATGGGTCAAGGTGAGATTCCTCTCTCGGCAGCTGCCCCTCTCCAGTTCGGGAGCATTTCCCCCGCAGACGATGGAAGCCAGACGGAAAAATTGTGTGAAACCACGCGTCCTACTCAGGGCTTGGTTGAACAGTTATTTAAACAAAGTTGAAGGCGCAGCGCTTTTCTCTCTGCCTTACTCGTGAAGATTGTACGCGCCTGCTCTTTCCCTCTCTTTCCAACGGCTGCTCACTTCAACCAATCAACAAAGCTGCGCTCAACTTATTCCCCGCGGCGAGCGTCACATTCTTCCTTGACTTTGAGGTCCAATGACTATGGATTCAACAGAGATCTTTGTCGGTTCTATCGACCAGGGGACCACCAGCACCAGGTTTCTAATCTTCAATCGTGAGGGAGAGCCCGTGGCATCGCATCAGGTCGAATTCCAGCAGATATATCCTCATCCGGGGTAAGGGACTCTCATTTTCCTTGCCTCATGGCAGCTGACCCATTGGACAGATGGCACGAGCACGACCCGCTTGAGCTTGTGTCTTCGGTGGAGGCATGCGTCGAAGAAGCTGTCCAACAATTCGAGGTCAATGGAAACGATCGGCAGTCCATCAAGGCCGTCGGTATCACCAATCAGCGAGAGACTACAGTTGTCTGGGATTACGAAACCGGAAAGCCACTTTACAATGCGATTGTCTGGACGGATACCCGCTCGCAAGCCGTTGTCGACGAGCTCAAAAAGAAGCCCGAGGCCTCACAACTGCAACAAATTTGTGGTCTACCACTTACGACCTACTCCTCCTCTTCCAAGCTTCTTTGGATGCTTACCAACGTCCGCACAGTCAGAGATGCGTACGAAAAGGGCACATTGGCGTTTGGAACCGTGGATTCCTGGCTGGTCTACCGATTGAACGGCGGAAGTAAAGCCAATGTCTTCGTCTCTGATTGTACGAATGCATCTCGCACAATGTTCATGAACCTCGAAACACTCGAATATGATAATTTCTTGTTAGATTTCTTCGGCATCAGAGGACGAGTACATCTGCCCAAAATTGTTCCCTCCTCCGATGTATCGGCCTACGGTGCACTCTCCACCGGCTGCCTTGCAGGTGTCCCCATAATGGGCTGCCTCGGAGATCAGTCTTCGGCTCTTGTAGGGCAGAAGGGCTTCTCCCCAGGCATGGCCAAGAACACGTACGGCACAGGATGTTTTCTGTTGTACAACGTCGGAGACAAGCCGGTTATCTCCAAGCACGGCCTTCTGGCGACTATAGCGTACAACTTCGACGGACGACCTGTGTATGCTCTTGAAGGGAGCATTGCAGTCGGCGGGTCTGGGATCAAGTTCCTGCAGAACAACCTGGAGTTCTTCAAAGAGTCCAAGGAAGTCAATGATTTAGCCCTAACCGTGGAAGATAATGGTGGTTGCGTCTTCGTCACCGCGTTCAGCGGGCTCTACGCCCCGTACTGGATTGACGACGCAAAGGGAACCATATGTAGGTCGCGTCATTCCTGAATGATACTCGTAGGTACTAATATGGATATAACAGTCGGAATTACCCAATACACACAGAAAGGTCACATCGCGCGAGCCACCCTAGAAGCAACCTGTTTCCAGACCAAGGCGATCCTGGACGCTATGGAGAAAGACAGCGGGCACGCCCTATCCGAGCTCGCCGTCGACGGGGGAATGAGCAATTCAGATCTCGCAATGCAGGTGCGAACTCCAATAGTCTCCTACACAGCCTCCTTCTACGGATACACTTAAGCTAACCAAGCCTTCTTCCTATCTCCATAGATCCAAGCCGACCTCATCTCCATCCCCGTCTACCGCCCCATGATGCGCGAAACCACCGCCCTGGGCGCCGCAATCGCCGCAGGCCTAGCCGTCGGCCTCTGGCGCAACTTCGCCGAGCTTCGTGATATCAACCGCGGCGGCGGCACCGTCTTCCGTCCCCAGATAAACATTGACAAGAGCCGCGAGCAGTTTGGTCTCTGGGAGAAAGCCGTCAATATGTGTAGGGGATGGCTAGGCGATAAGTCTCAGTCCAGCGAACAGCAGAATGGTCTGAAAGAAAAGACGACTCAGACGGTTGGTCTGAGTAAAGGTGGCAGCGGCGTTGTGGATGCGGCTTCTACTACTGCGACCAGCATGAACATCCTATCATCGCCACCCCCGCCGAAGCTAAACGGGGAACTGGTGCTGTCCAAGGCTGCGCCGTGGATCAATATCTCGGGCGATTTAGGTGATGCGGATGACCAGGATTTGTTCCTGGAGTTGAGGAAGTTGGAGATTCTGCAGCGGTTGAAGAGGATGGGGAAGGTCAAGGTTACGTATCTTTGAAATCGAGTTTCGAGTTAGGGTTATTGTCGGACCTACTCCGTAGGCTTTGTATATATATCATCTTGTCTGTCTTCGCGGTTTCGCGTTACTTTGAGCTATAAATAGAATGAATGCCTGCTCAAGTTACAAGAAGTTTCAGCATGGACTTCAAGTATATGTAACTGCCGCGTCGCACCTTCCTTGCATGGACAAAAATACATAAAGAACTGTACTATATACATCTTTCAAGCAATCAACCAACCACATCCAGACACTTATGAAACAACTACCTTCTCATGCTCCGCACCCTCTCCATCCCTCACAAAAACACAATTCAACTCCGAAGCCGGCGTAAGCGTAACCTCAAACCTCAGCCTCGGGTCCTCAACAACACTCTTCCCGATCTCCGGCACAGCCCGAACAGACTCGAAAGCCTGCAAGATCCTCACAACCGTATATCCCATCTCAATCATCGCAAACTGCTGCCCAATGCAGATCCTTGGACCGCCGTTAAACGGGATAAACTGCCACGGTTTCGGCTGCCACCCGGAGACCCAGCGCTCTGGTTTCCACTGCGCCGGGTCGAAGTAGTTCGGTGCAGAGGGGGGGTCGTAGTTTTCCGGGCTGCGCTGCATGATCATTGTAGAGTAGACGATGCGGGAGCCGGCTTTGACGGCGACGGGGGAGAGGCCGTCCGGTCCGCCACCGCGAGGGAGAGTTGTGTCCTTCAAGGAGAAGCGGACGTTGAATGGGACGACTGGGTAGAGGCGCATTGATTCGTTGAGGACGGCGTTAAGGTACTTCATTTCCTTGAGGTCTGCGTAAGAGGGCTTTTGAGCGGAGGCGCCGACGCCTAGGCGAGAGGCGATCTCTTCGCGGAGTTTAGCTGTGATTTCAGGGTTGCGGGCTAGTTCGAAGAGGCAGAAGGAGAGGGTTGCGGCTGTTGTGTCGCGGCCAGCGAGGAGCACGGCGACCAGTTGATCGCGGAGGATGCGGCGGTCTTTGGTGAAGCGCGCAAGCGCGTGGAGGAAGGTGTCGCTCTTGGAGTGCTTCTGATCTAACTCGGCGGGCGACATGGCGATGACGCGGTCGATGTAGGGTTTTATGAAGTCGTCCATGACTTTGAGTTGGCGACGGAACTCCGTGCGTGAGAGCATGAACTTGAATACACTTTTCAGGAATCAGCATCGCCATTTGTGACCGAAAGGTAAGCGAACATACCCCAGCCGGAAAAATTGTGCCTGACGGCGCTGCACATAGCGGAAAGCCTCTGCGAATTCTGTTTCCGGGTTCTGCAAGCTGTCTGTTCCATCGCCGAGGAGGTAGTTGGTGGCAGCGTCCAAGGTGTAGCGGAAAAATAGAGAGGTGACATCGACAACCTTGTTTCCATTCTCCCCAGCCAGTAGAGGAATCAGATGTTGAACGTGTTTCTCGAATATCTCCGTATCCACAAGGCGATCTCGTACGAACATAGGCCGAATAAGGTGCCGCGAGGCAGACCACTGCTCGCCATCGGTCACGAAGATGCTGTCTCCCAGGAACTCGCGCCAATCGCGGTGAAACGATTCGCCCTTGCCATAATCGGAGAACTGGCCAGTGAGTATAGCTTTGATGTTCTCCGGGTCTCGAGTAAGTATGATCCGGGAGGAAACCCCAGCATCCAGCTCCGCTGTTTTGTTTTCATCCGCCAGAGGCGCCCCTTTGGCGGTTCTCATCGATCTCATCCAGAATTCGAGGTCCCGATCCGTCCTATTAGCTTGCATGGACTTGTAGATGAAGTCCATAGCTGGGGGCATTTGTGGGTTAGTTTTATAATTCCCAGTTATTTGTATAGACCATACGAACCATAGGGAAGACGGAACTGGATCTTAGGAGCCCTGGCACCCAGGCGCGAAAGTTGCCATTGCACCTGGATCTTTCGCACCAGACAAGCGAAGAAGAATGCTCCAAGCACATATAGGACTGCCTGTCCCGGCGTTGTCCTGCTCACGAGCTCTTCAATCATACTGGATGCGGCGAGCGTGACAGATCAAGGAAAGCTATGCGCTTCGAAGGTAGACAGGTTTCCTGGCGCTCGAACGGCGGAGATGGGCGGAATATGTAGGCAACCAACTTCTGGAAGTAAAAGGTTCCATGGCTCCACTGAGTTAAGAGCACTGACCACGAAGAATATGGAGAGCGACCATTCAGCGTGGGGAGAATGAGAAATTATTCATGAGCACATGTCTGAGGAATCGAGGATAGACCAGCTCCATACCCCATTCGGATGTGCTTGCGAACCCCGCGTTGACTTGGCGGCTGGCGGGTGGGCATTCGGCCGTGCCCGAGGCATCGTGATGACATCGCTAAGCGAGCTGTTTGTCGCTGATGAAAGGCTGGTGATGAAGGATATGGTTCGATGTCTTCGGGCTGCGGGGAAGTGTGAGAAGAAAGATGGCCAAGACTGAAGCATGCAGGCCACAGCACGTAGTCACGTGATGGCTCTTTACTTTCACATGCTTTACAGTACCCTACGGCTTGGAATTGGTTGCGCATGGCTTGAGTTTGATCACTATAGCAGCTACCTAAGGGAAAAACCAGCAGACAAGCCTTACTTCATGATGCATCCATCCACAAGAGCGTCTTCAGTGATAACAGGGCAACCGGACAGCGGTCCATCTGATTCGCGCGCATCGAGTTCTTGACAGATTGCTGTGTCCTCTAGAACGGTTCTTAGACTCGAATGTGCATGCCCTTCCATTTCCAATTCCCCCCGGTCCTGTGCTAAATCCAGCATATTCTCTTCTTGTTTATTCTTTTCTTCCTGCTTCTTCGTCTTTTCGTGCTTCTTCGCCTCTTCCTCCCTCTTTGCCTGTTCTCTAGCTTCCCGAATTTGTTCCATCTTGAGTTCATACTCCTCCCTAGCGATCTTTGCCCACGCGGCCAACCGGTCTGGATTCAGTAGACACCAAATAACCACATCTCGAGCAGCATAAGCATCCTCAAGGCAATTGTGCCCCTTTTTGCCTCCGGTTTGGATATCTCTACCTAGGAAGATCTTTGCAACCTTCTTCAGAGCCCAGATTCGTCTGATTGGCGCATTCGGTTCCGGGTTGAAGACTGGTTCGGCGGACAAAATTGCAGAGTCGACAACTGTTGGGTGTATTATGCGTAGCACCTTGAGGTCGTTGTCAAGGCTATGGCCAACGAGTACGGTGTCCGCATCTGCATAGCGCCACAATGCATGTTGAGCTGCTTGCCATCCGAACAGTGCCTGCCCAGATCGTACAGCAGCACTCATTGCGGCCGATGTAACACCGCTGACGCGAGTTCTCCAGTCAATGACTCTTTTTGTAGGTTGAACGTAGTTGTTGATGAGAACCTCCCCGGTAAAAAAGTCGACGGCACTTAGAAAGGCCAGTTGATCTTGATGTCCTTCGACTCCAACCATCTCACAATCAAGTGCTATGGCTTTTCTGATCCCATATGGTTTTGTGTCAAGGAACTTCGGCGTGTGGATGAATAAGATAGGCTCACAAGGCCTTTTGGACGATTTGCCACTTTTGGTTTTGTCTTCACTGGACTTTTTTTGAGGCGGTTGACCATGGCTCTGCGCCTTGCCGTCTGGAGTCTTCTCATCGACAATATTGATTTGACGAGGTGTACTGGCCTTATTGGCTTCGTTGGACGGTGTACCCTTCTCAAGCTGCCCGTGGTCGCGTAGCTGCTCTTCCTGAGCGTTGCTATTATCAGCAATACTGATCAGATCAGAATGACTATTCTCGCTAACCTTCTCAGGCTGTTTGTCCCTGTTCGACTGGTTCTGGCCGAGTAACACCTCTTCCCCAAACCTCCCACCAACCCCGTTCGTCTCGCCAGGAGCCTTTGTATCCTTCTCCAACTGCTTCTTGCTCGGCCTTGGTTTCTTCTCAGGCGGTTCAACAGTCATCCTGTACCTCTGAACCTGAAGGCGAGCAGCACTGTGACAACTAGCCAAGAGCCTTTCCGAAACCAGGAACATTTGCTCATCAGAAAGAACGATAAACTCGGGGCCATGCGTAGAACGACCCAGTCGAAGGTCCCGATCAATCGCCAATGGTACTAAATGCGCCTGTCGGGTTTGAGTATTGAGCCGGGGCTCAGCCACTGTTTCGCTTTTGCTTTCGGCGGAGGCACTCGGTTTGCCGGGCTTAGATCGATCATGACGTTCAGGGGCGCCAGGGCGATGGCCTACCGCAAGCTGATGTTCGGCGAGTGCCTCAGCGCTCTTGAATCTGTTTTTCCCGCACGCCAAACATTTGAAAATCGCTGGCGCGGGCCCTGGCAATGTGGGACGCTGAGTGGGCTCCATTTGTACTGGAATGATATATGAGTGAGTAGGTAGTAAGCATAAGAGAGCCTGCGAAGAATTGCTTGATCCGATGCGACACTTGACATGGGCAGGTGAGTGGCCAAGGGAGGGGAAGGAGAGTACAAAGAGGGTAGAGGTCAGATCTGGGTTGGCTGGAACAAGCACCTTCCTGCATTGTTCTGAGACAGGTACCAAGTGAATGCATTGGTGAATCCACAAACCTGACAACTTGTGAGTAGGTTGTTTTCTGCCCCAGGCAAGGAAATATTGAACATGAAAAGAGATTATATTCAAGAGAAACAAAGCTCAGGATCACTATCTCGGCATCCAGCTGTCCAACAACACCCGGTATGCTTATATTACATGAGTAGCTTAGGGCCGTGGTACTTGCGCTTCTCGAGCTCCATTGACTTGGCGTTGGTACCCGTCCGCTCCGGAAAGCCTTCAAACGACACTGCATACGTGGCAACAGTGTGGGCAACCAGCTGCAAGGCAGTGAATGGTTAGATTTGGTTTGATTACTGAGAAGATTATGACATACCTTGCTATTAATCTCCCAAGCAGTCGCGTTGACGTTGCCAAGGTCATCACACAACTGGTGGTAGCATGGATCATACCAGTTTCCTGCAATTCCCCCGAACATCTCCTGCTCGTCGGCAGTTTTCACGCCTTCTGCACCAGTAGCGATGCCACCGCCAGGGATGCCGTTTCGAATGAAACCATCGTAGTCGCTCCTCCCATCGAACGGAATATAGGTGAAGTTGAGTCCATGATCAATGTAAAATTCGGCGTAGAGATCACGCAGCTCTTCGGATCCAACGGGATTGACCGCGTTCGTAGCATTGTAGACTTGGTAGGCAAAGTTGGGCGACGCCAGCATGTCATAATCCATGAAAAGGCGGATCTTTAGGTTTTCCTCTTCGCTAAGAACAGAAACGTAGTAGTCGGAGCCCAGCAAACCCTCTTCCTCCGCTGCCCACCATGCGAAGCGTACGCAGTTGTTCACGTCATATTTACTCAGTTGAGTCGCAACTTCAAGGAGAGTCAGGGTCCCAGAACCGTCGTCGTTAATGCCAGGTCCTTCCGCGACGCTATCACTGTGGCCTCCGAGCATTACACAGTTGTCAGGGTCTCCTCCCTTTGTCTGCGCGATAATGTTGGTGGTATTGATTGTGTCAACTGTTGCATCGATATAAGCAATCGAATCGACCTTCTTGCCCTCCTTAAGCTCCTTCACGTAGGGCGCGGCGTCCGTATCAGATATACCAAACGTAGCAACGTGGTTCGGCGAAGGGGTTCCCAGCGTCCCGCTGACCTCCCCGTGCTCGTTATTGTAAACCACTGCGGCAACTGCACCCGCTTTCCCGGCCAGTTCTGATTTGGTGCCGAAAGGACAAGTACCGCGTTGGATTAAGGCAATTGCACCAGCAAGCTCAGCAGGGTAATCAGCCGCCTCACATCCCAGATTATCCACGAGGACCAGTGGGCCGTAGACAGGTTCCTTGTTCTTGGTTGGGGGCGTTAGTCCCATGGGGCGGGCTGATGCTGGCACCTCATGTCCAAGGACGAGGCGGGATTCGAAAACATTGCCCGAAACAGCAGGGAAGGACTGGTTTGTAACGTCGTAGTAGTCGCCCAGCTCTACAATAGTAGAGTAGATATAGTCCAAAGTTCCCAGATGACCTAATTATCGTATATGAGTACTCGTAATTGTACAGCGCGGCGCTCTGACGTACCCTTGCTGCCAATCACACGAGTCGGATGGTTGTATTCATCTATTCCGCGTTCGGCCAGGCTAAACAAAACTTTGGCCCTATCGAGAAGGTTGCTCACATGGATCTGGCCTTGCAGCTCTTCAGAGCTCACGAGGAGTTTCTGCGCATCGCCGAGAGGCTGTTGTTCGAAGGTCTCAGGGAGGGGAATTCCAAGGGCGGAGATGCCGCCGATCAGCCCCAGAGAGACTGCCGCTGACCTCATTGGGCCGACTGCCGCGATCTAACAATAAGAATAAGGATGCGCAATAAGAATAGAGCAGATATGGATAGTTTTCGAGGACCCTGGGAGAATGAGGAGAAGAACGAGGTTATTGGATGGAACTGAGGGCTGGGAAGCTTGACCGGTGGATGGTGTTCGCGTGACGCACTGACGCAGGGGTCCAATGCTTGGCGCCGGCTTATCGGGACTGAGGCTGTAGGGACGGGATACCCAGGGGAAGGCTCAGGAGGATAAAGATAATTGTGATATTGATATGGATAAGAAGTGGAATAAAGGATATGTTTCTTGAGGTGATGGATTGAAGGAGGCTAAGTCACTGATATCAGGGGCACTCAGAACCAGCCTCCTTCCTTCTGCTTTCAAAAGGCGTGATGCTGACCCAGCTGGCCTGTTTTCATGTCAAGGGGTACCACGCTCGGAGAGGTTCACCGAACCTCCGAGCAAGGCTCAGAAACGCTATTTGCCAGTACTTTCCGCCTTTCTTTACTACTGCCACAACTGCCACGCAGATTTCTGAGCCTTGATCCATACTAAACTCCTTTATAAAGTCTTTTATAGGTGTATCTTGCCCGTCGCAAAGGGGGGACCCCTAGCTCGCCCCCTCGCTCCTCAATCCCCTTCGGGGACATCGGGGGGACCCCCCCCTTTTTGCTCGAGGGCGCCTTTTCTCATTCTCTGCTTGGGTATAGGGGCTTACTTGGGTTGGGGGGCTAACTAGACTTAGGGTGGAAGTAAAATAAGTGTAAAGTGGAAGTATTACGGGTAGCGTTTCTGAGCCTCGCTCGGAACCCGCTGAACCTCTCCGAACAGGGACCCCCATGTCAAGTTTCAAACTCCATACATACCCTGTAACAAGATAGTGTACTGGAGTAACCCATGTGCTCTGTAATCTATATCTATATAAGTGTTCTTTATATCTCTTACCTTCTTGATACAGGACTGTGAGAGACCGTCTCAAAACAGCATACTCTTCTTAGATTTCAATGGAGCTTCTAACAGTGATGTCCCTTTTATTTGCTAGCCCTAATGAGGTCTAAGACCTTTAGAACCTTTACAGTCGTTCCTGATATATGGAACAAGTTCACAGATACTGAGCAAGACACCGTGGACATGAAAATTACTGGCAAATGGAGTAAGTGCATGTATGCCTTAGTGATCAGGCTTCTATATCTACCTCAAGACGCCACCTTGAGCTACCACGTGACTTAGTGGCTGTTATTCTGGGCATCTTTCATCACCGAAACTTGGATGTCACGAAACAACAATTCTTTATCACTGTTCACTATCCCTGATTGCTTTGTCCTTCTGTCTGTTTTATACCTCGCTGTGAGCGCTCATACCTGGAGTCTATCAACAGGCAACGCAGGACTTTGCTACAGAAACTCTCAAGACCGTCACTTCCCTTTCTCCCATCTCGTTTCTTCCGGTTTCTGCGCCGGCGCAATTACCATGGCTACCGTTGCGGTCGGCACTCCGTTAGCGGAGGCATTAAGCAACGCTATTCAACCAAAACTCGTCGAGATGGGCTGGAGCTCCGACAGCAGCGATTCCGCCTTGACAGAGTATGTTATCTTAATGCTCGTCAACGGCAAGACACAGGATCAAATCGCGAGCGAGCTTTCAAACGATCTTCTTGGACTCGGCGAAGGCGACACACAAGCACTGGACTTCTCGAGGTGGCTCTTCGAGCAAGTCGACACTTTCAACCAGCAGATCAACGGTCAAAGCGCCCCGGCGTCGACTGACAACGCCCAGGCGATTCCCTCGTTTAACGACCAAGAGACGACAACGCCTCAGCTGCAGGGCTATGAGGACGGTTCTCAGTCGTTTGATATGAGCATGGGCGACGCAGGATTTTCGGAGGATGGAATGTATGTGTTGCTTTAGGTGATCTGGAATGAAATCGGACTAACATTTAAAATCGCAGACCTACTGGACCGAAGTCTATGCGCAACGGCCGTCAAGGCAGCCAAAGCGGACGGGGGAGGATGCTTAATCAGATCAACCGGAACCTAGAACGCGGCGATGTTGGTTTGCATCGTATCCGCGACCAGACTGGTGTCGGCCGAATAAACACCCACGGCGGGCGCGGCGGGACCAGGGGTGGGCGCTTCAACCAGATCGGTAACGGAAGAGTGTTTGGCGGACGCGGTGGCATGGCAATGGGGAACAACCAGATGGTCGGTGCCGCGGGGAACCTAATGAACATGAACCCGAACGATCAGATGCATCTCATGTCTCTTCTGGAAGAACAAGCGAGGATGATGGCGCAATTCATGCCCGGCTTTGTTTCGCCAGCAATAAACCCAGCTTTCCAGCAGTCCGGCCAACAACGCTCGTTATCCGACCGAGTCGAACGACCAAGGGGCGGCCGTCAGCAGGGCGCATTTGGCAAACGAACGCAGCATGAAGGCTCGAAAAATGAAGACACTGATATGGATATGGGGCCCGATCAGGCGACGCAAAATGGTGGACAGGATGGAAATAGTACAGATAACGTTTGCCACTTCAACCTTCGTTGTACGCGGAAAGACTGCCCCTTTGCCCATCAGTCCCCCGCTGCCCCCGAAGGTACTCCGGTCGATGTTTCGGACCCATGCTCTTACGGCGCAGCTTGCAAGAACCGGAAGTGTACCGGGCGACATCCCTCGCCAGCTGTGAAATCAGCTCACCAGGCAGAAGAACTTTGCAGGTTCTTCCCCAACTGTACGAATCCTCACTGTCACTTCAAGCATCCTTCTATGCCCCTATGCCGCAATGGTGCAGATTGCACCACGTCGGACTGCAAGTTCACACATCTTCAAACTGCCTGCAAGTTTAATCCTTGTCTCAACCCCACTTGCCCTTACAAGCACGCCGAGGGCCAGAGAGGTGCTTTCGCGGATAAAGTGTGGACTGCAGACTCCGCCCAAGGCAAGGCACGCGTTAGCGAGCGCAAGTTTGTCAACGACGAGGAAGCACCCGAGGAGCTCATCAAGCCAGAAGCTGGGGCAGACGCTTCTTCACAGGAGATTGTGACGTAGTCGCAATGATTCTCTTCGGGTTATGAATCGTTGAGTGATTCGATACCTCGGAAACGATTCTCCTGCATGATCTGACCAACATGTATTATCTGCTTTGTATTTGAGAAAGATGGTCAAATGGTGGGATAGGCGTCTATTGTTTATTAATGCTATTGATATCACTGGGAAGGGTTAAGTGTGATAATGCCTGTAAATAGAACCTGGATACAAAATCATGTCGAACCACTGTTCGCTTGTCTTCGGCAAGGTTTCTTTCGCTCTCATAATCGGAGTCTCATTCCTCTTGGTGTAAAGTCCCAATGCATAATAGTGCATCGTCCTGACTTTAAAAATTGTCTACACTCCACGACTCGAGTAGATCTAACTGTACGGAGTAGCGTAAACCTTGCGGCCGCGTGGGGAAGCTAGTGGAGAAGGGGTCCGCATTCCGTAATCGACGGTGCCTGACGTTTCCTCGCTGACATTATTCTTCCATTTCCCATTGACTTGTCTTTCTTTCCCCTGAAATGCGTCCTCCATGCACGTCTAACTATACATTGAAATACCTAGACAGGTCATTGAACTTGCTCCGAAACGGCCAACGACGCGATCTGCACGCGCTCCCGAAAAGATGGAATGTGGGCGTCATAGGCGGCGGTATCACTGGTCTAACAGCCGCCTACAGACTGAGCAGAAATCCACGTTGCTCTAAGGTTACAATATATGAAAAGGGGCCTTGTATGGGCGGCTGGATCCAGTCGGAGAAAATCAGCGTGGACGGAGGGAACATCGTTTTTGAGTATGGACCGCGCACATTGCGAGTTAGCACCATTGCCGCATTTTCACTTTTGGACCTGGTATAGCTTGTTCCCACTCACTGGCTATTTCGCATTGGAGTGCTGACACTATTGAAATTTGCAGATATGCGACTTGGGCCTGGAAGACGAAATGCTCCTCACATCAAAGTCATCTCCAGCCAGCCAGAACCGTTACATTTACTATCCCGATCACCTCGTTCGTATGCCAGCGCTGCAGAAAGGGGTCAGTACAATATCCCAGCTTTGGAAAATACTGGATAGTCTGTTGGAGGAGCCTGTTTTTAAGGATGTGCTAGACAGTCTTCTGAAGGAACCCTTCGTCTCGACTGGCAATCTAGTGCACAGAAACAAGATTCATAACTCGGACGAATCCGTCAAGGAATTTGTATCACGCCGGCTGTCCCCCGAGGTAGCTGAGAATCTGGTTTCCAGCGTGTTTCATGGTATTTATGCTGGAAACATTGATCGACTCAGTGCTACGACTCTCCTAGGCGAGATGCGATACCGGGAAGCCAGGTCCGGCAGCGTACTACTGGATCTATTTTCGAACAGGAAAACCAAGATGTGGCCCAGTGATGACCTCAAGGCCATGGTCGACATACGGCATTCGAAGCCGATATCCCACAGAGATTTTTTAAAAACAATCATAAATGAAAACAGTACCTTGACCTTCAAGGATGGCGTTGGCCAACTAGCAGACGCTCTGGTCACTGAGTTGAAACGGTCACCTAAAGTGGAAGTTCTCACTCGCGCAAATGTCACAAGCATTCTCCAAGATCCCTCCAGCTCAGACCTCACGGTATGTATTCATCGTGGCTCAAGTTTTACAAATCAGATATCTTTTCACGCAGAAAGCTGACCTTCACGCCTATAGGTCAAAGTCGGTAATGGTAAAAATCGCGTTCACAACCGTCTCATTGCCACCAATCCACCGCATGATCTTGCGAGACAACTCCAGGGCTCACTCGATTACACGAAACAGCCCACTCTCACAATAAATGCCCTACGGCAACACAACTACGCAACCACTACCATGGTTGTCAACCTATATTACCCAAATCCGGAGCTGATCCCTGTCCGAGGCTTCGGCTACCTGATCCCTAGGTCGATACCATTCGCGCAGAATCCAGAGCGAGCACTAGGTGTGATCTTTGCGTCAGAAAGTAGCATAGGACAAGATACGGCACCCGGTACAAAACTCACAGTCATGTTGGGTGGCCATTACTGGGACGGGTATGAAGAATCGGACTACCCGGACCATGATACCGCGGTTTTGATGGCTCAATCGCTCTTAAAGAGACATCTGGGTATCACGGAGTCTCCCACAGTAGCCCGCACTCGATTGCAGCGCGCTGCTATACCTCAGCCCACTGTTGGTCATCTTGAACGTATGCACGATATTACAGACTCCATAGAGTCCGAGCTTGACCACCGTGTCACCGTTGCTGGAGCTTGGTACTCATGCCACGGTACCGGCGTAGTGGACAGTATCCGCCAGGCTTATCTTGCGACCTTTTCTGGTCTTCTGGTCGAGCAACCAGGACACCCTGATTGGTTTAAAAGAGTCATCGGGGGCGGTCTAAAAATTCCTGACAGCCACTGGGCTGAGGGTAGACCTGAAGTGTTATGGGAATTTTGGGACAAGAAAGATTATCCTTAATATTATCGTGGCTCTAGCATGGTGAGCTTTGAGCACAGTTCTGGTTTGGATGCTTGTATGTCTAGTCACATAACAAAGGCATTAGTGGTGTAAAGAAAAACTAGGCAGTATAAGACTGTCTCAGTTAAACGTGGTTAAAAAAACATGTGAAATGATGAGACCCATTTCAACTCGGCCCTTTGCTCATTCACACTATAGATCATTCTCCTGGACATCAGGTTTCTATGACATACATAGCACAGACTCTGAGGAGACACTCGACGCTGTGACTCGGGAGAGCTGTGCCATAAACTTGGTGCAAGCGAGTCAATTGCGTAAAGCTGACCTCGGTGATGGCGCCCATGCCATGCTTGCTTGGCAACTGTTACAGTTGGCCATGATAATAGTATCGATATGACCAAGGGGGGCGGGCTTCGCGATGTGCTGTATGATGATAAGTGCAAATGCATCAGGTGCCTCCAGGGCGAGCAGACAGTTGTTCCTCTTCAAACAACCATTAACCCTAGTCAGCCCTACTTCTCCGGTTTCTCCTCCTTCTGGCCTTTCTTGTCATCCCCATTGGCATCGAACCCAAGTGCATCAAGCTGGCGAATCAACTCCTGGATCTTGATCACCTTCTCCAGCTGCTCCGGCAGCAGCGCCTCCCCCTGGTTCTTCTTGTCGCTCAACTCCCGCGCCTGCTTAAGCTTCTTTTTCAGATTCCGAGCCTTCTTCTCCCGCTCCACCTCCGGGTCAACAGGATCCGCAGGCGTAGATGGGTCCTGTTGCTGCTGCCTCGCCGGGGCCGCACGCCAATTCTCGATCTGAGAGATGTCCTTTCCATTCGTAGTCTTTGCCGAACCGTCAACGTCGGTCTTTGCCTTCTTCTTCGCTTCCCGCCTCTTCGCGTTCTTGTTGCTGGCTGCGCTGCCGCTACCCGAAACCGGTTTCGAGGCGTCGCTGCCCGTTGGCGTCAAACCCTCTGCTCCCGGCACACCGCCGGTTTTCCCGCGGTTCTTCCATGCAGCTGCAGCGCGGTTCCGGTATAGTTCCACGTCCTCGGGAGGGCGGTACCCTGGTCGGACTTTGATCTCTTTACGCTTTGAGCCGTCGGCCCGCACTGAAGAGGGGATGTAGCGCTCTCCTGTGACTGCGTCGGTGGTGATTCCGGATTTAGTGACGTTCTCTTGTGAGTTGGGTGTGGCCATTCTGTTGTTGTTCGAGGATCTGCCCTGTGTTCGGTGTTCGGTGTTGGTGTTCTATGAGGGGCTGGCGAGATTCGGCGGCACTTGGGACGAATAATTAAGTGTAGAAGCGGGATATTTCCCCCGAGTCCTTGGTAATCAGATTTTTGCGTCTCACTAGAGCCAATCCCCGAGGATATCTGCAGGTTGGTTCTCGAACTAGAATGCGGAGGGGCTGTTTGCTTCCCATTCGAAGAGCAGGCATAAAAAATAGAGGTCCGGAGTAATAGTCCGCATTATGTAATAGTATGTGCATAACGCGCCTTATGACTCAATTGGCCAATCAGCGGTCCGGGAATTCCCGCTGCTTTTCGACTCAAACCTCAAATCCGACGCTCCCCGTTGCCCGTTCAGTCGTGAGCATCTGAGACCCTTTGCGCCCCTGCCTTTCTCTTCTTCTATCTTTCGTTGTTTATCCTCGTCACAATGGCCGGCGCTGTAAGGCCCCTTACCAAATCCCATGTTATTGAGTCCAATGGCTAACTGCAGGTCTCTCCGCTCTAGCTCGCTACCTCTATCTACCAGCACGTCTCCCCTCCCCAGTCGTCAGCGGACGACAACTACGGATGTTATATCTCCGGCATTGCTAACCAGCGAATTTTCAACGACTTATAGGACTCTCATCCGCCGAAATGCTGTCTACCTGACTTCCATCTTCGCCGGTGCCTTCGCTTTTGAAGTGTGCGTGTCATAGTTGCGACCATACTTATGCGCCTTTCGCGCTCTAACCATTGCCTCGAAATAGTGCCTACGATACCTCCACCAACAAGCTCTGGGACACCTGGAACCGTGGCGTACGTGTTTGACATGCACCATTACCGGAGCGGACAATGCTAACCCGCTACTGCTATAGCGCCAATGGAAGGACATCAAGCACCAATACCTCAACAAGGCTGACGAGGAGGATGACGAGTAAATACTGGCTCCGGTAGTCGATCACCAATTGAAAATGCTACGATATGCAGGGGAAGGCTGGGTCTAATACCATACACCGATTCACGGAGCAAGATGTGCTATAGTCCAGAGTGTTTGTATCAAATAGAACCTTGATTTTGTAACTCGCACTTGACTCTGCTTCATGCTTACTGCGCCGTAGACTCGGTGAGTCCTCATACTTGTCGCTATGTCTGCTTTTGCTTTGTATTGTGCAATTTGCGGAGAGTACATAGTGGTGCAATAGATGCCAAGCCCTGTGCTCCCTAGTGAGGATGATAATGTCATCCCGATACAGGACCACCGAACGAGCTATCCTTCCACAAAACCAGGCACTTGCGGATTCCATTGACCCCATCCTATATTAGCAGAACACTGTCTTTAAGTGGCAGTAAGCTCCATAAATACAGCTCTGCAGACAACGGTACGCCCATTCTCCGCCGTGGGCTGGGTTTCTTCAGCCAGCTCTCTTCCCCACTGTGACATCGATGCACTGGGGGGCCACAGGTTAATCCTCAGAGCTTTCCCTAACTCGACTTGCCTCTTAGTCCGCGCTTTCCCAGCAGCCATATACTCTCATTTGACTGGGATTATCATATATTATACGCCGATTAATTTCATCCGATTGAACGCCCCCTTTAGGGCTTTTTGCCTGCCGTCCGCCACAACAAGCTCCTGCCGCGCTCTTGTCGCCACCCACTCCTTCTTTATCTCAAGCCATACGGGCGGCGCGGTCTCAGGACCAGGACGATAAACGATGCTTACAGAATGTGAGAAGATCCTTGGTCATGGCCTTCAACGACTTCCGGCGGAGCACAGCTACCGCTACGGCCCCGCGGCGGAGAAAGCCCTGCTAGAGCTCCTCTTCCGCTCCATGGCCGGCCACAACGGCGAACGACTCCGACACCTATTCCCAAATGGACCACAGGCTGGACCGTGGAAGTTGACGGAGGCGCAAGGCGCGGTTGAGGGCGCAGAATACACAGAAGCCGCGCGGGGTAAACGCTGCGGACATATTCTTCGGGCTGGAGAGGCAACATACCGGTGCAACACTTGCGGGATAGACGAAACATGTGTTCTTTGCAGCAGATGCTTTGACGCCTCCGACCACACCGACCACCAGTACCAGATTTATGTGTCGCCGGGGAATAGCGGCTGCTGCGATTGCGGAGACGAAGAGGCTTGGCGGATCCCTGTGCACTGTGCGATTCATACGGACAATGGGGAAAGCAAGGGGAAAGAGAGTGCGCATGCCCGTGTTCCGGATGATTGGGTGGTCCTTATCAGGATGACTATTGCCCGCGCGCTTGACTACTTCGCCGACGTGATATCGTGCTCTCCCGAACAACTTCGTTTGCCCAAGACAGAGGAAGGGATCAGGCAGGATGAAGTGGCGTCTCGTCTTCATCCAGGGTGGTATGGTCAAGGGGATGAGCCGGAAGAGGAACCGGAATTCGCAGTGACGCTTTGGAATGATGAGAAGCACACGATGCAAGACGTCGCCAATCAAGTGAGCCGAGCATGTCGGGAAAAGGACAGCTACGGCAAGCAGAAAGCTCAAGATGTTCACAATATGGGTAGAAGCATCGTGAAATACGGGAAAGACCTAAAAAGATTGTTAGAAGTGTCAAAGATCATTGAACAAATCAAAGTCACCACCACAATAAGATCTTCCCGTGACACGTTCCGCGAGCAGATGTGCGGGACCATCGTTGAGTGGCTGGCAGATATCGCTGGGTGTAGTATTCTCGATGATAGCCAAATACTACGCCAGGTGATCTGCGAGGAGCTCCTAGGACCCTGGAAACGCGGCAGTGGTGCTTTCAACGCTGCTATTGGCCGACAAGGCATTGACGACCACTCGAAGGAACCAGATCTCTTCGAGAGTTTTCGTGCTCTTGGTACCGTTATTCTACGCGCGACGCCTCAGGGTAATATAGTTGCTCCGGACGAAGATGATGAAGACGAAATGGAGAACGACAATGATGAGGCAAATGAAGGCGCCGGTGAAATGGATGAGGAATTTGTTGAAGCTCAAGATGCTGCTGATGACGGGGATGACGAGATGGAACTCGAACTTACTCGGCTGCGAGAAGACATTGTGGATGATGATGTTGATATGGTGATGGGCGGTACAGAGGATGTTTTGCAAATGGCCCAAACTATTTTTGGCTTCAATTCTCCATTTGCCGGACAACAAGCTGAACAGCAGGAGGAGCAGCAACATCAAGAGCCAGTCGAGACGGACAATCCTTCCATACAAGCCCCCTCGTTCGGCGGGCAATCCGGCGAAAATCGTGACATCCAAGGCAACAACCCTCATATGCCAATTCCTAAAACACCTCGTGCCGTGCGAAACCTCCCTTCAACAACGACACCAGGCTACTGGCAAGTTCGCCCGTCCGCTTCGGTGACTGGCGAAAATGTGCCTCTTTATGAGGACCTGTGGCAGCGCACGCGGCTTGATTGGATGATTTTATTCGATCTGAGGTTATGGAAAAAGGCGCGTACTGACCTTCGTGATCTGTATCTCAGCACCGTGGTGAACGTGCCGCAGTTCAAGAGGGTCATGGGTCTACGTTTATCAACCTTGTATAGCGCGCTTGCGCAGCTATATCTAATCGCCGATAGAGAACCAGACCATTCAATCCTCAATGTGAGTGTGCAGATCCTTACCACCCCGTCAATTACCGAAGAGATCGTGCAGCGCGGCAACTTTTTAAGTAAGGTTATTGCTATTTTGTACACCTTCCTCACGACCAGGCAAGTGGGCGAGCCGTACGAAGTCAATACCAGCGCAACTCTGTCGTTCGATGCCGGGTCGGTTAACAACCGGCGACTTATTCATTTCTTCAACGACCTACGGTACCTATTGCAGTCAGAGTACGTACAGAAGCGTGTGCGGACTGAGGAGCAATATTTGTTGCAATTCCTCGATTTGATCAAGCTTACTCAGGGAATCTGCCCGAACGTGCGTGCTGTTGGAGAGCATGTGGAGTACGAGAATGATGCCTGGATTAGTGCCTCTATTTTGATGCGAGAGATCAATCGACTGTGCGTCGCATTCCGTGAAGCGTTCAGAAACCCGGAGCTTGATCGGGGTCAGAATTTGCTGCGGGCTATTACGGTGACTGCAATCTCCACCATCGTCCACTCTGTTGGTTGTGAACGTAAGAGGTTTGAACAGGCTGAGATCAAGGAATACGTCCATTTCAAAAACCTGCAACCATTCGATTTCGAGAACGATCGCCCGGAGCGGCTACCTCGCCATCGCGTAGTGGACTTCGTTGTGGAAAAGGGTGCAATGAGCTTCCATCATGCCCTCCACTACACGCTCTCGTGGCTGCTAGATTGTGCTCGTAACTTGAGCCAAGGACTGCTACGTGACGTTCTCTTCAGCGCCGCCGAGGCGGCCAACGACAAGTACATCTTTGACAGTGAGCTTTCGCCGGAAGACCTACTACTCGTGATGTTCGATTATCCCCTCAGGGTATGCGTTTGGCTGGCGCAAATGAAAGCAAACATGTGGGTACGCAACGGCCTTAGTCTGCGTCATCAAATGTCACAGTACCGTGGGGTCACCTTCCGGGAAATTGGTTACTATCGCGATATCTTCTTGCTCCAGGCTGCGTTGGTAACGTGCAACCCTAGCAGGGTTCTCGCTTCTATCGCAGATAGGTTCGGAGTTGTGGATTGGATGTCCAGGAACTATGCTGCTCGCGCCGGATACGAAGACGCAAAGGTCCTCGATGTCGTGGAGGAGTTTGTACTTCTCTTGATTGTCCTCTTGACTGATCGACATTCACTCACGATTGACGGGGATGGTGATGCTGCTGCACGCCAGAACATGAGCCGTGAGATCGCGCATGTCCTATGCTACAAGCCTCTCTCATTTTCTGATCTGTCAACCCGCCTGAGTGATCATGTGCGGGACTCTGATGTGTTCCAGGACGTCCTGGAGGAGATCGCGAGATTCCGGCCCCCTGAGGGGTTGAACGACAGTGGTACATTCGAGCTGAAGCCTGAATACATCAGCTTAATAGACCCGTACAGCGCCCATTACACCAAGAACCAACGAGACGAGGCCGAAAGTATCTACAGAGAATGGATGGCCAAACAAACAGGAAAGAAGGCCTCCGACATTGTCTTTGAACCTACACTGCGGCCTCTGGAGTACGGTGCGTTTGCCGACCTGGCTCGCTTTACAAGGACTCCGCTATTTGCCCAGATTGTGCACCAGTGTCTAGATTATGTGATGACTTGCAAGGATCGTACGCCTACAATACCACCTACGCGTGTCGAAACGTTCCTCCAGGTTGTTCTACATCTGGTCCTCTCGGCCATTCTTGAAGACCATACGGATGAAGACAATATTGACCAACAGTCTGTGGAATCTTTTGTTCTACATGCACTGACTAAAATCAGAGCCACTCAAATGGGCAATCTGACCATCGTTGGCCTTTTGGAGAAGATCTCATCAATGAATGAGTTTTCTGCATGTGGTCCAAGGATCCGGCACATCCTGAAGCGTCTTTGGCAGAAACGGCCCCACATGTACACATCTGCTACGGCTTCACTAATGTTCCCATTCGACAGAATTGACACCAACTCGCCAGCTATCGACACCGAAGGTGAAAAGGAACTAAAGAAGAAGCAAGCCCTCGAACGGCAAGCCAGGGTGATGGCTCAGTTCCAGCAACAACAGCAGAACTTCCTGAACAACCAAGGCGGCTTCGACTGGGGGGATGAGGATTTCAGTGATATGAATTCAGAGCCTGAGATCACACCTGAGGCCAAGGTCTGGAAGTACCCCAGCGGCACTTGTATCCTCTGTCAGGAAGAGACCAACGACTCGAGGCTTTACGGCACATTTGCCCTTGTTCAGGACAGCAGCATTCTGAGACAAACAGATATTCAAGATTCAGACTGGATCCGTGAAGTGCTCAAGACACCGTCAAGTCTGGACAAGTCCGCCGAGGATATACGCCCTTTTGGCGTTGCTGGTGAAAATCACGCCACGGTTCGGCGGCTAGACTCTTCGGGAGGGGAAATCATCAGCGAGAAAATTGGTCTGAGCAAAGGGTTCAACCCGAAGAATACTGTGCGTGGTCCTGTCACAACAGGGTGCGGGCATATCATGCATTATTCATGTTTCGAGGTCTATTACTCGGCCACTCAGCGGCGTCATTCGCAGCAGATTGCCCGCAACCACCCAGAGCGTCTGAAGCACAAAGAGTTCGTCTGTCCACTGTGCAAGGCGTTGGGTAATGCTTTCCTCCCTATTACTTGGAAGGGCAAAGAAGAGTCATACCCGGGCCCGTTGAACACAAAAGTGTCCTTCGACGAGTTCATAAACCATGAAATCAAGTCTATTCTCTCACACAAGCACAAAATGAACTACGCCCTTCTTACGGAGAATGGCGAGCTACAGCAACAGGCCTATCAAGGTCTATTCTCCGACTACCTTCACAAAACACTCGTTCCTCCACTTGCCGGTAAGGTGGAGCAGCTGTCATCATCTTCGCTCTCTACAAATACAGCGGCGCATATGTTGCCTCAACCACGAGTACCCATGCCTGGCTTGTTCACACGAGAGGAGGATTTTCCGACATTCAGCTCCCCTCCGCAGGCCCAGCCCTCGAATGACTCACCCATATCTGAGCTTCTCCAGATCTACGCTCGGCTCAAGCAGACTCTTCGGTTGAACCATATTTATTCGACTTTCAGCCACCCACCAGAGACTCTAAGCAACGATGAAATCATCCACACTGACTCTCTATTCCAGAGTTTCGGTTTCAGTATTGCTGCGGTTGAGATAGCTCAACGTGGCGTTGAGTCTGAGTCCGGCTCCACGCTTCTCGACAAGATACCCCAGTTAACATTGACACACCTTCGCGTTCTGGCTGAGACGGCATTGACCTATGCATCAGTCGGGGGTTTGCACGGCAAGAGTGGCAGTTCCAGTCGGTCACTTGAAGAGTTCCGCGAAATGCATCGTCAGAAATTATGTCAGCTGTTCGTGGGCCATCCATTCTTCGACGGATCATCGCTTCTCAATGATGTCCACCAAATCGAGCCCCTATTCGCCAAAGATACGTTCGTGTTCTTAGCTGAAAGCTCGCTCACCCTTCTTCCCGTTCTTGATATTGATATCCGCCACCTGCTGCAGATATGTTATGTGGCTGAGATCGTCAAGGTTGCCACCACTTACATCGTTTGGCCTTTGGGACTGAAGGAAGAGCTGGCCCAGAATGGTGATGCACACTACCTGCTAGATATGGAGCTCTCGAATGAACGGTTCGACGTCACTCGGCAGTTCTTCAACTCTGTCGTCGCGGAGTTGAAAGCCAACTCAGTGGGCCGAGGAATAGGGTCCTCCCATCCTACCGAACTAGGCTACGTCAAGGAGGGCGAGGATTCAGCCACACCCGGAGTCATCATTGCCCTAAGACGCCTTATATCGAGCTACGCTCTGACCTTCCTGCGAAAGGCGGTCATTCTGCTTCATGTGCAGCACGGCGTCGAATTCCCCAATGCCGGCTTCGGCGATGTGGGCGCGTCCGAGCTGGACCGCCTCACAAAGATCATGAATATGCCGTCTCTCGACGACATATTCGCCGCGGTCAAGCCCGCGCGTAAGAGTGGCCAGCCCTTCGACGCCATGATTTCCGGCTGGATCTTCCACTGGAACGCATCGCGCGCTGGCGTCCGCATCGTAGACCACAAATTATGGCCTAGCCTTTCGCACCCGGCCATCTTTGAACTCGTCGGCCTTCCCAAATATTTTGACAGTTTGATCGAGCTCGCCAACCGACGCCGATGCCCGAACTCGAAGAAGGAACTGACCGATCCCAGCATCTGCCTCTTCTGCGGAGACATCTTCTGCTCCCAGGCCGTGTGTTGCCAGGATAAACACAGTAAACGGGGCGGATGTAACCAGCATCTTCTGAAGTGAGCCCAATCCTTCTAACTTCCATATCTGACCGATTGACTAACTTTATGATTCCAGATGCGGCAAAAACATCGGCCTCTTCATCAACATTCGCAAATGCGCTGTTCTCTACCTCCACAACCATAGCGGCTCATGGCATTACGCCCCCTACCTCGACCGCCACGGCGAAGTCGACCCGGGTCTTCGCCGTAGCAGGCCGCTCATGCTGAACCAGAAGCGCTATGACCGGCTTCTCCGTGACGTCTGGTTATCGCATGGAGTGCCAGCGACAATTAGTCGGAGGATGGAGGCTGATGTTAATAATGGCGGATGGGAGACTATCTGATTTCTTTTATTTGGTTATATTAATCGATGGCACGGAGTATACGTATGAGTATGATGATGATGGGGATGAGACGAGGACGAGGATGTTCAAAATTAGAGATTTCCTTTTCTTTTCTCTCCCTCGAAATTGGTTTACTGGTATCCGCTTTCCTTTCTTTGCTTCATTTTGCGAGCCTTTATGAGCAAATGGTTGTGCGCATAATTCATACGGGTTATAACTTTGAAGGCTATCCTGATTCTTCGGAAAAGTACATATATTCTTGTCAATCGTTCCATCAGATAAGACGCATTTACCATGCTTTCAAGTGCCACCATATATCTAATTCTTGACTGGGCGAGTTTAGCTACATCTCCGACAGTCTGCTCACAATGTATATCGTAGCGCACAATGTTATAGAAGCAGGCAAGAATTGATTGCAAAAGTTGATTCTTATGCCAGGATTCAGAAGAAAGGTATATATCAGAGATCCGAGATTCTTTACACTTTGAATCTAGAAAGGGAAGTCGACATGGCTAATTCATAGATACATCTCTACCTCTAGTGCATCGCCAACTGACGTCGCCGCTTTTAGACCTCCGCAATTTTGCTCCCGACAGCTTCAAACATTCACCCGCTTCCTACACCACGAAGATTAGCACGATAATCAGTCTTAACCATGAATACATAGACCTCTACAATACCCTGACATATACTCCGAACAAACCGAGATCTCGACTCCCAAATCCGCCCGCGCAAACCTCCCCAACCCACCATGAACAACGAGCAATTCCGCCGCCTCCTCTTCGACAACAACAAATCAACCAAACCCCAGAGCGCAAGCCCGACGGGCCCTTCACCAACAGGAAAACATGGCGCTTCTTCTTCACCGCAGGGTGCTGAATCCCATGGCAACCAGACACCAACCGCGGCGCAGGCAATGCTAGGCTCGCGGATGCGCTCGAGTATCCCCATGACGCCGTACGTGGTCTCCTCTTTACCTGTTCCTGTTCCTTTTCCAAGAAATAAGGTAAAGGGCTAACGAGTACCGCTCCCTCTAGACGAACCCTAACAGCCCCCAACTTCGCCTCCCAGCTAGCCGACTACCGCCGCGAGCGCGACGGCCACCCGCCGCCAACGAAGAAATTCAAGGCCTCCGCCGCGCCGAAGGGGACGAAGTTACCTGCTGGGTATGAAGACCGCGCTGCGGCGCGCCTACGCGAGGACGAGGGCGGCAAGGATGCTGAGAGCGTGGCGAAGCTTAGGGAGTTGGAGGAGAGGTTTAAGAAGGGGGTTATTGATGAGGGGACATTTGTGAGATTACGCAGGGAGTTGGGGGTTGGTGGGGATTTGGGCAGTACGCATATGGTTAAGGGGTTGGATTGGGATCTTTTGAGGAAGGTTAGGGCGGGGGAGGATGTTGAGAGGACGGACGAGGTGGAAAAGGAGGGTGAAGAGCGTGAAGATGACGCTGAGGTTGAGGCTGATGGCGGTGCGGGTGAGGAGGAGGTCGATGTGGATGAGGAGTTTGATAAGGTGCTTGAAGGGGAAGAGGGTGGGGTGCTTCCCTCCGCGCCGAAGGAGAAGGGAAAGAAGAAGGGGATTATGGCGCCGGCGCCGGCGCCTGCTGTGAATCAGAGGAAAACGCGCGATGAGATTCTACGGGAGTTGAGGGCAAGTAGGGCGGCTGCTTCTGCTTCTGCACCTGCACCTGCACCTGCGCCAGAGTCGGCATTGGGTGCGCGGTTCAAGAGGATTGGGGATTCTAAACCCGAGAAGAAGCGGTTCATCGAACAGGACGAGAACGGCCGTCGGAGAGAGGTTCTCCTTATTACAGATTCTGATGGCAAGACGAAGAGGAAGACGAGATGGCTGGACAAACCGGGGACGACGGCGCCTGTTACAGCTCCAGCCACTACCGGCACTTCAGCTCCTGAAAAAGAAAAGGATGCAAAGCCCAAGCCTCTTGGAATGGAGGTGCCGGCTGATATTGCCGCTCGGATCAAGGCTGCCCAGAAGAATGTGGAAGACGATGAAGACGACGATATCTTTGCAGGAGTAGGTGCTGACTACGATCCTTTGGGCGGCGCCGGATCCGACGAGGACTCATCTGACTCAGAAGGAGAAGAAGAAGGCGAAGTGGCACCGAAAACGAAACCACAGCAAGAAGCCAAGACAGAGACAGCAGGAGAACCGACGACGACTGCAGCAACGGTCAAACCTCGGAACTACTTCGCAACGAGCACTACCGGAAAGGAACACGAGCAGGTGGAGAGTGACCGTGACCGCACAAACCCCCTAACCAAGGACCCGACCATCCTCGCCGCGCTCAAGAGAGCCGCCGCATTGCGACAGGCCGGCGAACGCTCGGATCAAATTGCCGACGACGAAGAAGGCGTCGACAAGGAGACGCTCCTCCGACGCAAGAAGTTCCTGGAGGAAGCCAAGCGGCGAGAAGCACTCGACGCAATGGACCTGGACTACGGCTTCGGAGGCAGCCGGATTGAAGATGACGAGGATGAAGACGCTGTCGTTTTGGAAACGGAGTCGCGAGGGGGGAACAAAAGGAAGCGCGGCCCGAAGAAGAGAAAGGGGGATAAGGACAGCGCGGCGGATGTGTTGGGCGTGTTGGAGGGGAGGAAGAAATGATTGCTCCGTACTGTCACCAAACTGATACCATTCTGAAGTCAGATATAGCTCTTCATAACGACGTTGTTTGCCAACGGCAATGAATAGTTAGCCACGTCGGGCAAACTCTGCCAGTGTAGAGTTCAACCGTCCATGGTCTGCTCCAGCCTCAACCCAATCTCGACAGCAGTGTCACAGCACAATATCCTCAAAGCTACGTGGATCTCCCGACTGGGTCATCATCTGGTTTGTGGCTGGCATGTCGGGAAGTGCCAGCATAAACTCCGTCAGATAGGCGGACATATCCATCCCCATACGTATCAGCCGTTGACCGCTGCTGTGCAAGCCCCTCGGGATCCGAAGTCCAGCACCAAGTGCCCACGCAGGCTGTGCCAAAGGTTCCTGCATGACCAGTCCACGTCAACCAGTCACTTCCACTTCAGGCTGCAGAGTTTGAGGTGTACCCAGTGGTAAGCGGTGATCAGTTCTCCAGTCACGACGTCTCCATTCGAGTCCAGACCGTGGATATTGGACGCCTCATGGCCGCCGAGGCTGTCTCTCTGGAGGTCCGCCGGTGGATCTTAACGGCGCGTTCCTAGGTACCGGAGCCTGGACTAGACTAGGCTTTGATAGTTGAAACCGTCTGTATCTATTTTGGTGAGCGTCGGCGCCTAGACTAGAAGCTCAGGAGAAGAAATTGAGCGAGAGTGACTCCGTATGCATAAGGTGCCTGGCAGTGGATGGACAGTGAAGCGCTGACCACGTCATGCTGCAGGAACAACCTCAGTGGCTGATCTAGCGTGTTTCAGATGCTGGCGGCTGTCATTGGCTGGGCTGGGTCTGGACTCGATGGCCTTTCGTAGAGCGCTTATTTACTAAAGAGATATCTTGGTATAGAAGGGAAAATGAAAGAAAGAACAGAGAATGAACACTATCTATGGATCTGAGATGAAATCTCCTCCATTTACTCTGTTTGGAATGTGTATACTGTCTGTACTGTAGTATGTGATGGATACACTGCGGTGGAGCCCATGGTGAGTCCACCAGTGGGGACAAAGAACTCTTAGAATTCCAGTCTTAGACGGTCTTAGCGCAGAAACTGTATCGAGCATTGTAGTCATTTGTATCAGCTTCCAATCCTCAGTCTCAAGTCTCTTGCTGTTTCATCTGCTTCAGCACAATGAGATGATACCTAACACAAGACTGGTAGAGTTAGAGAGCACACAATGAGCCTCATCTCACCACCTCAACGACCTTTGTGTTCTTCTTTCTCTCTCGAACATCAAAGATACAAGCACACCGAATAATAGCCACGAATCATCCCCACAGCTTACGTCCCACGGCGCTGACCTATCCAGATCCTCGAGTCCAGATCCCAGGCGCCCTCGCCCATTGTGGCTCCATTCAACCAGCAAGAAAGCAAAAGCAATAATGCAGCTGCGTGATTGATCAGCCGGCGTCTCGCTTGTCTCGGTGGGGGTGCCACCACTCGTTTGGGCGGCGCTCTTATACCTCCCCCTCCCCTCCCTCCTCGCCTCTCTTCTCTCGTCAAGCAACAATCTTTACAATCTTTTGCCGTTTGAGTCTTCAATTGTCCTGTGCCGCGCACGGTCAATAGCCATTCCTTTCTTTCGTTCGACTGCCGAAACGGCCTCACATTCTCTATACCCCATTGCTTGCTTCCAGCCTTCACCATCAAGGCTCAGAGAACCGGTCTTCTCAATCTTTAAAAACAACACATCAAAATGGTCTCGTTCAAGTCCCTCTTCACCTCGGCCCTCCTGGCCAGCTCCGCCCTCGCCGCTCCTCACGGCCACACGCACACGAAGCTGCATCAGAACCTCGACCCCGTCAAGCGCTCCACCAACGGCACCTCCAAGCGCGGCGCCGCCTACAACGACGCCTCGCTGGTCCAGCACCTCGCCTCAACCGGCACCGTCTCTTGGGCCTATGACTGGAACATGTACACAATGGGCGACCTCCCCGGCACCGTCGAGTTCGTCCCCATGCTCTGGGGCAGCAAGATGTTCACGGGCTGGTTCGCCGCCATCCAGACGCTCCTGAACTCCGGAAACAAGTACATCCTCGGCTTCAACGAGCCGGACATGGCCTCTCAGGCCGCCATGTCCTCGTCCGACGCCGCCGGCTACTACCGCAACTACATCACCACCTTCGCCGGCAAGTCGAAGCTTGTCTCGCCGGCTGTGACAAATGGTGTTGGCAGCGACGTGGGTCTCGACTGGATGCGCAACTTCCTGAACTCCTGCACGGATTGCGGCGTCGAGGCCCTTGCCGTGCATTGGTACGGTGATAGCGCGGACGACTTCAAGACATTCGTCGGCAAGGCCACCGCCCTTGCGGACGAGTTCAACATCGGCGAGACCTGGGTTACGGAGTTCGCGCTTAACTCGGATCTCTCGGGGTCTGGGGGCTCGAGTACCTCTGCCGACTTCCTGACCGAGGTGCTGCCTTGGTTGGATGCTCAGGAGAAGGTCGGGCGCTATGCTTACTTCATGTGCTCGGATGGCCACCTGCTCAGCGGCAGTGGGCTGAGTCTGAGCGGGAAGGCTTACGTTGCGTAGGCGTAAGGGGGTTTGACAGGTTTTATCTTGGTGTGGTAGTTTGGATTTGGATACGGATTTACTTTCACTTCTTCTTCACACTATACCCTTCTTTGATTTGATTTTTGGGATGCATGTATTTATCTTCTCTTCGCTTGTCTATCATTCATCCTACATAAACCCCTAGAGCTCTAGGGTTCATGATGCCTTCTTCTCCAGTACATAAAAGCAGAGGAGAGAAAAAAAAGTTGAATAGCAAAATTGCAAAATGCGAGATGCGGACTCGTTCTATTCTCTACAATGCACTTTCTCTATTACTCCCAAGCCTTAGTAAATTTACAATCACAAATCAGTCTTTTACCTGAATTGTGTGCTAGGGCTCACATTAATATTTTCATAGACCACTATACTCCGTACTACAAGTGGAGTGCCAGGTAGCGTTACACTTACTGAGAACCAACCCACGGACCATGGTTCGCAGCGCTGACAATGCCTGGTAAGGCAATATTAATAATTCCTGCTGTCAATCAACAATGCCAGGAACCGAATGAATTATATTGGCATTTCCGTTTCATCCTTGGATTCAATCATTCCAGACACTATTGAGACAGACTGACAGTGGATGCCGCCCGAGCATTGTATGCGGATTGGTTGGCTTCGAAATTAATTTTGGAGCAACTGGCTTGATCAGCATGAGCTTTGACCATGCTTTAACTTCTAAAATTTGAATGCTGGCTCAGCAAGTTTACCACTTAAAAACCTGGTTTTCTGGGACTATATCCATGCACCAGGAGTAATATGGGATACTTATTGATTTCCTATTGACTTTGGTAAAGCAGCATCTGAGAGAATTCGACATCGTTACTCATTAATCATGATATTCTATTAGTGTAAATTGTTCAATTATAGAGGGGCGCGAGCGAGGGCTACGTCGGATCCCCCGTCTCACCACCAAGCTCGCCTGCCTCGCCCATCTCGGTGTCCATATCCCGATTCTTGTCCGAGTTCTCGCCATCGGCGTGGTTTTGGTCTAGACCTTGCTCGGCTTCAGGTTCAGGTTCGGCTTCAGGTCCGGCTTCAGACGCAGTGACCTCCTCCCAGACCCTCACCGTCCCGTCCAACCCACAGCTAACCATGAATCTCCCCTCCTCGGTCGAGCACGTATCCACACCCAGCACGACACCCTCATGCGCTTCAATCCTTTGCAGGACCTTCTTACTAACGACGTCCCAGCAGAGAACTGCGCCGTCTTCGCTCCCGCTGACTGCAAACGCATACCCCGGTGTCCGGGCTGATATCCGCTGGCCGTAAACTCCGAACGCGCCGGAGAGACTGTACTTCTTGTTCGAGTGGCCCTGGTAGGTTTTTAAGCAGCGGCCTTCGACGTAATCCCACAGGCGGACGCAGTCATCCAGTGTCCATGCAAGCACGTATTTTCCGTTCGGGGAGAACTTGACGGACGAGACGGGCGGGTTATCTTCGTGGACTAGGGTGCGGAGGCATTGGCCCGTTGAGGTATCCCAGATACGGACGAGGCCGTCCGTTGCACAGGAGGCGATGAGTGTGCCGTCCCAAACGACATCAATGCCGCTCACGGGGTCGGAGTGAGCGGGGAGGGACTTCATCACGCGCGCAGACCGCACGTCCCAGAGGAAGACGGCTTCATCGTAGGAGCCGCTGACGAGCATGTTGCCTTTGGGAGAGAACGCGATCGAGTAGACGTAATTGTGGTGGCCGAGGAAAGGGGTGGGGTGTGCTTTGCCCTGCGCGGTATTAGTTTCGCATCTTTTTTGTTCTGTCTCAGAGAAAGACATACCGTGAGGACATTCCATAGCCGGATGGTCTTATCGTCTGACCCCGAGGCAATGGTCGCTCCGTCCGGACTCCATGATATCGTCGATATACCCGCAAGGTGCCCTTCAAAAGTATGTATCAACTTCCCCGTAGACGCAGCCCAGACCTTCACTGCGCCATCCGCCCCTACAAATGGTCAGCCGAGCCCTAGCAGCCCTTGACGGGAAACAAACCTCCACTAGCAATCATCGACGAATCCGGCGAAAATCGCACAGCCGACACCCCCCGTAAATGCCCCCTAAGCAGGAACTTCTGTCGATAATCCACCGAATCCGGCTTTGGCGGCGGCGGCGGCACGGGCGTCGGCGAGCGATCTGAATATGTCTCCGCTTCATTCTCCTCCGCGGCCTCCATCTCATCCATGTCGCAATCCCCATTCGGCTCCGTCTCATTGACATCGTCGTTCATGCTCTCGTTCTCTTGCTCGTCATCCTCGTTCTCGTTCTCCTCTTCATCTCCCTCGTTTTCATCCTCCGAGCGCCCCCAAACCGATTGATTGCGACGGCGATTGCTCGAGCGCCAGTAGTCATCTGCATCCATGGCCAATTCATCGGGACTTTCTGAGCTGCTGAAACTCCGGGAGCGCGGATAGGGGCGTTTGGGCGGGTAGGCGTTGAGACTCACGCGACGTCGCTCCTGGTCGTGATCGGAGCCAGCGGCCAGCTCGTCGGAGGAGGTTTCGATCGGCGACGAGATCGGGGGCGGGGAGGGGGTGAGGCGACGGCGTTTGGAGGGGTGGCTCATGGCTGGCTATTCCATTTCAGAGCCTATCCTTTCATATGCTTTAGCTTGTAAACGCAAGCTGATCGTTGCTTGTTTCTTCGAATGAAAACGCGATCAATCAAGGAAAGATTCCGCGAATGAAATCCGCCGCGAAGGCGGTGAGAGGCAGCTCTAGGTAGGTATCACATGAAGTGGAGGTTGGGGATGGCTTCGTGTCTTTCTCTCGCCTCAGTCCTTCGATAATGTGAAGATGGCAGACCCGGACTCAATCCGCATCTTGACGCTCAACTGCTGGGGCCTCAAGTATCTCGCCAAATACCGCAATGAGCGCCTCTCCGAGATAGGCCGCCAGCTTGCCCTTTCCAACCCCCCGCCCGACATCATCGGCCTCCAAGAGTGCTGGACACAGCAAGACTACGAGTCAATCCGCACCCAGATCGCACATCTCCTCCCCTACGCGAAATTCTACTTCGGCGGCATCTGGGGCGCCGGCCTCGCCATCTTCTCCAAATGGCCGATCGAACAGTCCTCCATGCACGGCTACCCGCTCAACGGTCGCCCAACGGCCTTCTTCCGCGGCGACTGGTTCGTCGGGAAGGGCGTCGCCTGCGCCCGAATCCGGTATGGGCAGGGTAGTCTGAACGTCGCCGAAGTCTTCTGCACACATCTCCACGCACCATACGAACAGGAACCACACGATAGTTACCTGGCGCATCGGACGGCGCAGGCATGGGAGATAGCTAAGCTCATGCGTGGCGCTGCGGAGCGAGGACATCTAGTAATTGGACTGGGAGACTTCAATATGCTTCCGTCCTCGTTCGCGCATCGACTGATCCGCGCGCACAGCCCCGTCGTCGACGCATGGCAGGTGATATACCCCGATTCGTCCGTCGGCGCAGCCAAAGACGCCGTTGAAAAAGCGCGCGGCGTACCAGTCCCATCCGCTGAATTCAATCTGCGTCATAACGGCGCAACCTGTGACGGGCCGTACAATACATGGCGCTGGTCGAAGAAGGACCAGAAGCGTTTGGACAAGGGCCACGATATCCCCGTGGAGACGTTCAAGGATAGTCCGGACTACAAGGGGAAGCGGCTCGACTATATTTTCGTCGGCGATGAGGTTGGATGGTCTGTTCGCGAGGTCAGCCTTACAATGACAGACCGCCATCCTACGCTTCGTTGCTCGCTGAGCGACCACTTCGCCGTGCAAACCGTCATCACCCGCGACTCGTCTGCTACGAACAAGGATGAAAGTGGTGGCGGCAAGTCATCGCGCCTGACACTCCCCGCGAAGACATACGATCATATCCTCGACATGATCCATGCCTATGTCCGCCGCGAACGTAAGCAGCGCCGCTGGCGTCTAGCTCACTTTGTTGCCTCGGTGCTGGTCACCATTGGCTGTCTAGTGGGTGTATGGTGGAATGGCGATCGTCCTTATATCCCTTTTATTTTGACGCTTGTCAGCACGCTTAGCTTTGGGGCTGGTTTATTGGACGGTTTAATCGGAGGACTTTTCGTCTCGAGTGAGTTGAGGGCACTGAAGGAATTCGAGTGGGAGATTTGGAATACGAAGAGGATGGCCGAGGGGCTTTAGGATGATATTAGTGATTGAGTGTTGTATATTAGGGAGATTGTACCCTTGTGACTATATGGCTAATGTATAAATAGTATTTTTATTATTGCCTAGGATTGTAAAAACCTAATGTACGGTGAATCTGTTAGCATTCCTACAAGATTACAGTTGCATGTATTGTGGATTCAAGGAAAGACGAATCTCGACATAGAGCAAAGCTTGGGATATACGGTAATCACTTCGTTCAATTTGGGTTCTTGCAACTAGCATAATTGATCGTTGTCCCTGCGGTAAATGAACGACTGGAACTGTCATCTCGCTCAAAAGCTGATTTACTCAGCACACTCGCGCTTGCGGTCGTCGAAGACCTTCAAGGCTTCCTCAGCGGCCTTGACACCACTAAGAACCATGGCACCGAAAGTTGGTCCCATGCGGTTGAAGCCATCAATCTCAGACAGTTCCATTCCGCCAATGATGAGACCCTTGGCGACCTCACGGGTGTTCTTGACGATAGCATCCTCAGCAGAGTTCATGTCGAGGCCACGCATGCCACCGAGCTTGTCGATGGTGGTCATGGAGACGAGACGCTTTGCGCAGAAAGCACCGAAGGGGCCATCATGGCCGGTTGTACTGATGATAACCGGGGCATTGATGGTGTTGGGGTCCATGCAGGAGTGGTCGTCATGGTGGAGGGTGACAAGCGTCCAGTTGGTGACGACACCGGCGATCTGGACTTCCTCGGCGTTGCCGTTGGGACCGGGGCGAGTCACGAGGTCCTCAACGCAGGTGGCGTTGAAGAGCTTGACGTTGGGGAATTGAAGGACCTTCGAGAGGAGGGTCGAGGTGAACAGGGAGGCGTGCTTGACGACCACGTAGTTGGGCATGTCGGGATCTTCCTCATAGGGCACGCCAAGCTCGTTCAGGAAGAGCTCAGCAGGGCGGCGCATGACCATCGCGGAGAAAAGCTGGCCTCCAAGCCAAGCACCACCACCTGGTTGTGTGTAAGTTCAATAGTCGATTGGGACGGTATTGTTTCCAAACTAACCTGGGGAGACAGAAGCCTCAATGATAGCAATCTTCAAGTCCGGACGAGCCTTAGCCAGAACATACGCAGTGCTGAGACCGCACGAGCCAGCGCCAACAATGACAACATCGCTCTCGGCATATCGGTCCAAGTCCTGGAAATAGCGGCGGGTCATGGCGCGAGAGACGTGGCTCTCACGGATGGGAGCAAACTTGAAGTCGTCCCACTTGCCGCCGAAGGTGTCGAGCAGCTTGGTCTGCGAGCTATTGGCATCGGCTGTAGTCTCAGGGACCATGACCTTGCCCTTGATGCCGGTGGGGGCAACAGTAGGCTCGAAGAGGGCAGCTGGGGGAGACATGTTGATTCAAGTAACTGACTATCCACTGTTAGCCGTTCCACTTATGAGGCACAAAGAAGGGAAGGCATGATCCTTTCGCTGGTATTATCCAGATCAAGTTTTGACCGTATGATCTCAGAACGAACCCAGAGCCTTTGGCAGTCCTCTTCAACGCCGGATCGATTGATGCCAGTACAGTTGAGCAGAGGATATGCTAAGGATGGGAACGAACACCGGCCACGCCCAGACATTACCTGAGATACCTTGATGGTTGAATTGAATGCCAGCATAAGGCTTTCCATGACTTCCATAGACGACCCGCGAGGGTCAACTAGGTGTGTTTACATTGTACGGTGGAGGCGATTCTGCACAATTGTTAGCCAATTTCATACCCACTAGTCTCATGAGTGAGGAGGACTTGTTCGAGATGGAAATTGATGAATTTGACTGAGTTGATGATGAGAAAAGAAGATGGTGGCAGAGAGCGGGGTAGGAGGGGTTTAAGTAGTGGCATGACGGCACCTGACCTGGCCCGGACATGACAGCTGGAGCTGCCTTGATCTCGGACACGCTCCGATCTACTCCGTACACAGTAGTCCGGTGAGTCAAGAGATGAAGTCACAAATGATCATAATAATACGAATTGCTAACTTGCTAAGTCGAGCAAACCACAACCCCCAGCCGGACCCCATACTCCCGGATCCAGCTCTTTTTCTTGCCCGCTGCTTCAATCTTCTCCGCCCGGTCTCGCAGCCAGTGCTCTGTGACCCCCGATGTCGCCGCCGTCTCTATGTTCCATTGGAGCTTGAGTCGTAGCAAATCACGCGGGCCCTTCTTCTTGATGACCTGGTCCCATTCTGTACACAGCTGGATTCTCCAATGGGTCCCGGATACGCGACCTGCGGGATATACATCGCCGATCAGTGCTGCTACTCGGCCTAAGTACTGGCACCACCATGCCTCCTGCGGAGACACGCAGAGCATCAGGTTCCTTTGGTAAGCTTCTTCTGTGGGTGCCAAATCGCCTGCCCAGCGCTCGACAAGTATAAGCGCCATCATTGCACGCTCGGCGTGGGAAATGCTGTCGGTGGAGGCTAAGAGACCTGTCGTTGTGCTGTGCGAAGCAGCTGCCGTGCGAGACTCTCGAGGTACCCGAGAATGTGCATAGAGGACGTTGGCAAGCGCAGCAATAAAGTGCGCGGATAAAGTGGGGGGTATGCGAGAAGACTCAATCGGAGAAGCATGCTCCGGCAGCGCGGATAGAAGCAGTTCGTTGATAGCGTCCGGGGACGGCGGTGCATACTGCAAAGTCGCAGCTAATAGAGGATCCTGGGATCGAACCTCCTGTGGTAGTTTGTCGAACAGGAAGCCCTCGCGGACTCCTCCTTGACAGAACTGTATATGCGTGATTGCGGGCAATGCATCCATAAGCACATCTATCAGCATCGCAACCGCTGGGATTTGCGATGCTCGTCGTTTCGATACTCCAAAGATATTGTCCGAGCCAGAGACCTCACGGAGTACTCCAGCAGTATCGTGAAAATCCTCCCTCTTTGCCCGAAACCCATTGATGATCGGGATAGGGTACGGGCTAACCTCAGCCTGCTTCATCAATACATACCCCCAGCCCCTAAATCCACCACCGCATAGATAGAGATCAAACCTTCCCTCCCTCTTGCTGTTGTCCATGAGGTCTTCCGGGACCTCAAGCTCCTCATAAGCCCTTTGAAAATTCGTCTTCATCTCCTCCCTCAACTCCCTCTCCGCATCCTTACCAACGCGCTTTGCTTCCTCCAGCCTCCCCATCAGCGCCGCAGCACCGTATGGAAAACTAAATGAGCCTTTCGGACATGTCCGAACAACCCCGTCCCGAGCAACCACCCACGTAATCTGCGTACTTCCACCCCCCAAGTCCATCGCCAGGCCTGCAACAGCACGCGAGCTACTCGCGATCCCCAGCGCCCCAATCCGCCCTTCATCCTCTTTAGACAGCATCCGCACCTCCCACCCTGTGCGCTCCTTGATTCGGGCCTTGAAATCCTCAGAGTTCGGCGCTGTCCGTGTGGCCTCCGTCGCAAGGACATAGATATTCCCACTGGGCACCTGGAAGTCCTCGCACACGCCTTGGAACCGAACTAGTCTGTCGACGACATGCTCAACCGTATCTGGCGGGATGGCTCGGCGTTCTTTACGCTCACTGCCGCTGGATTTGGAGAACTGGGCATCGTATAGAGAGATGCCGGCCCGGTCTTGGTAAACTGTTGGCATGATTCGGGCTGTCGGTGGTGATGTGTCGGTTATGGAGAAGCGGATGCCATTGCTGCGATGGTTAATACCGAATCTGAAGTGTGAAGGACGCTCGTGGATTCAACATACCTTCCCATGTCGACGATCGCGTAGAGGTGCGAGTTGTTTCCGGAAAGGGCCATCTTAGTAGTTGTGATCGATGGACAGTTCAATGCTGGATTATATGTCGATGTCGAAACTGGACATATGGATGTTAGGAGTTATCATCCAGTGCCGTAAAGTTTCGTTCTATCGTTGCAAAGATGGAAGTTGGAGGGTTGGTGGGAGTGGGGCAGGTTTGCAACTCAGTGTGAGGACAGAATGAAGCAATTGGGTTTGGCGTCTAGATTTACAAGATGTATGTGTGTGAAGTTAGCAGCTTTTGCGGAGGCGGCATGGTAAACGTCATTTCATTAGTGAGGACATTAGTCATGAATTCTCAAAGATATATACCGCGTGGTAGTATCTTGCATCCTGTAAACTCCAACGCCAGCTACAGCACATATCTAAAACCAGAACCATAATTCTCTTCCCCGACAGCTTGACCCTTTTGTTGCGCAGCGGACTCGCTTTGTGGGCCATATTTCCTATCCAAGCGCTTGTTCTCCCACGACAGAAGGAAACGCAAACTCAGAGCAAGAATGGCGTTGAAGAACATAAACGCCGCGCAAATGGATTGGCCACGAATGTAGCGAGGGCCATCGCTGGTGGGAAACACGTTGGTTCCCAGAAAAGGGCCGCATTGTCCGATTATATTGAGGATGACAATACCCATACCGCGGCGACTATCGGAGCCTTGGTTATCTGAACGTTCTAGGTTAGTGCGTTGAGTCTTTATATGTAGGTATGGAACGTACTCAGAACCCACGGAAGAATATTGGCGATGCATGGGAAGACCCCAGCTGCTGCTAAGAATACGCCAAAGTAACGAACCCCCACGGAAGTGCAGGCTGCAAGAAGAACATAGCCCACTGTTCCAACTAACGAGAAGCAGACGATTGTGAGTCCGCGTTGCTGAAATCGATCAGCAAGCCAAGTGGTCCCGATGCTGAAAAGGAATGAAACGAAGAACGGCGGGGCAGTCAGGCCCTGGGCGTGGATTGACTCGAATCCCATATCTTCCAAGATTGTTGGAAGAAATACTGGAAGCGAGGAGAAGCTCACGTTGCAACTGAAATACATGAACTAGAAAACAACGTCAGCCAAGCCAATATCTAGCCAAAGAGAACAGATGCAGCGTACCGCCGTGATCCAGGGCTTGACATCAAGCAAAGTCTGAGCAAGCTCTTTCCAGTTTACGCCTTCTACGCGCTCGCCCTCGCCGCTACGTCGAAGCGACCGGGCTCGCGCAACATCTTTTTCCTCCTCTGTCAAGAATCGCGCGGAAGATGGATGGTCCGGTAAGTAGAACCAGGCAAGGAATGCCGCGACCAGTGACGGGGCTCCCTCAACAAGGAACAGGAGTCTCCAGTTGGCTAGTAGCGCATGGCCTGATGTGATACCGTACGCAAGTGCACCGGCAAAGGTATTAGCCAAAGGCGCGGCAGAGACGAACAATCCGCAGCGGAGACCAAGCTCTCGCCGGCCGTAGAAGAAAGACAGCAGGTAAGGAGAACCCGGGCCGAAGGCTGCCTCTGCCGCACCAAGGATGAAACGTAAAGCCATTAAGCCAGACCAGTTCTGTACAGCTGCCTGGCACGTCGCTGCGATACCCCTAGATACCTGTTAGAGCTGCCTGAAAAGACGTGCTCCATAAGGCCTCGGAACTCACCAGGTCATGGCAGTTATGGCAGCCCATCTATGTGGAGGCATGAGTTTCCACATCAGTGCTAGAGGCTCGAACAATGTATACGATATGTAGAATATCGTCAAAAGCCATGAATACTGGTTTCCATGGAGGGACAAATCCTCTTCCATTCCTGCAATTCGCGCATTTCTAAGAATAGTCAATGATATTGCGGGGTGAACAGATGGAGAAAAACTAACCCTATGTTGCTTCGGTCTAAGAGCGCAAGGAGATCTATAGGTTGCTAGGTCAGGAACATTCGTGTCGAGTGATCAGCGCGTCTGGTCGAACTTACACAAAAATCCCAGAAGGGTGGGAACCCGCAAGTCCAGCTTGCGCACCACCCGAGCCTCAAGCTTAGAATCAATATTTACACGCGGGGAATGCATCTGGGGCAGCGCAGTATGCGACTCGTTTGCATAATGATCGGCTGCATGCTTCTCCGGATCAGACAGGTCTAGGTCCGAAACAGGCTCATTTGTCGTTTGAGTATTCACTGTGTTGTTTTCCGACTCGGCCGTATTGCCGTCAGGCGCATGCTTCCTCCCAAAAAGGCCCATGGTCGTACGGATACGGAGTAAGTGAGGCCAAAAATCGAAAGATAGGGAACGGGATGGCGGGAAGATAAGATGCGAGAGCGAACGAGACTGTCTTATAAGTGCGCTCGCACTTGCAGCGGACGATTTTCCTTCGCGACGGTCATCATTGGGTCGAATGGATGATCTGCACCTGACTGAGCTCATCGGCCAATTCCCGGCGGGCTAGAGGCTAGAGCGCTCGACGTCAATCTAGGGTTACGCCATTATTGCAGAGGCGGGGAAAGGAGGGGGAACAGAGATTCGCCCCGAGGCCGCGATAGAGTCAGTTGTCAAAAATCTCGCGAATCATAGTCGACGGGACGCAAAGGCATGGACACGCCTTGCACAGCGGGTGGGCGTGATCTTCGGAGGAAGCTTGGTGGTCCCCGAGATGGCAGACAATCCAATCAAGTCGGTGTGGATAAAGCTTGGAGAAAGCATAGCCGGAGACTCCATGAGATGTGCGTGAACCTCGGCAGCATGTCAGGAGGAAGTTTGAGAGGCTGGAAATGCAGGGAGAACTAAAACTTTGACGGTGCCTTGCCTCGCCTTACCCATATCACTCACAACTTGAAACAGCGAGTAAGCGAGGAGACGAGGAGACGAGGAGACGATTTCCGAGTTCCGACTTACGCAGATGGAGGAAGTCCAAGATGGCTGGAGAAGCTGTGTGGACTGTGGGGCTGCTCCGACTTTGAAGTGTGTGGGGCGGACGAACTTGCGGGTGAGAGTCTGCGCCTGATCCTTAAGGTGTTAAAGTGAATGTGGCGCAGACAACAACCAGCCACTGTGGCTGAAGCCTCACAAATTCCGCGTCGCGTTTGCGGTCGGCTGCTCACCAACGAGTACTGCTCTGCTCAGCTACCCCGGGCGAATCCACCCGAACTCTCGAATTACCATCCCATCCCTCGTGGGCCATCTTTGGCACAGATTGCGACTACATTACTCCTATCGGGTCGTTAGCCATCGCGCACCCTGGCCACAATGGATGACCCAGCCAGTCGTGTCCCCGGGCAATTGGTATTGTCTTATCAAACTTCCATCATGGCGTCCATTGGGCCTTCGCTGACCAGTGCTTCGTGGAAATGACTAGCTGCCCCATATGCATCTTGTTTCGCGCAATCGCTATCCGTTGATGCATATGATGCCCACTGAGACCGTGCTCGAATATCTCCTGTCCGCGCCTAAAATCGTCCGTGAAGCGCACCCGATGCACTGGACTTTTCTGGATGGCCCTCAAGATGGCAGCGTTATGCTCACATGGCAGCCTTTGAACCATTTGGGAACGAACTTCGCGAGCGATGGTTATGTTTGGGCCGATGCCGAACAGGCTTTCACCTTCGAGGCTCGAGGCTACGTATGTTTCTTCATTTCGCTTCTCAATCAGAATAGTAATGGAACTAAGTACTGACGTCGTCGCGAACCAGGTTGTGGAGATGTGGTTGCACCGCAGCGGTTATCATCCCCCGAACGAGTCGGTCGCTATCCATTGTCGCCGACGATACCGACTTCTACCCACCAAAGTGCCGAATCCCGGCTTGCCTCCGCCTGACCCTTCGCTATGGATCGTACACTACTCCCGAGCGCCTCCTACGGACCACATCCCAGCAAACCGCATTCCAGTCCTACCTCAGATCCAAGGCATGTTGGCCCAGCGCCGGTTTTTGCAGTCCCAGGGGATACTAGCGCGCAAGGACTTCATGCTGCATGACCGGAATAACTGGCCTGCAATCGGACTACCTCCTCAAATGGCAGTTCAACAGGGTTACCAGCAGCCGCAAGGAGCGTATCCGAATGCCATGGTTGGGCGGCAACCATTTTACCCGCAGGCCGGTCCCGGTGTGCAGCCCCCGGCTGGAGCAGTTCAAGCAAAGGCGCCGCGCGGACACCGTGCCTCGTCAGCGGCGGTCAATGCAGCTACCACCGACTTTGCCTTGGAGGACGAAGACGTATCTGCGGGTGATATCATGGACCTGCTTACTCCCCGGGAGGTGAGCAAGATGAGGTACCAGCAACATCATGAATGGATGGAAGAGGTTCTGGCCTCGCCGTATGCTATCAGCCAGATCACGCCTGTGTCCTTAGGCTTGGGACGGAAAGGCGAGCTCGAGTCGTTGACCGCAGGCTTCTTCGATGCACCTGTTGGCCCTACTAGTGGAGATTCAACAGACGCCAACGAAGCGAAGCAGGCGACCAAACTGGAGCCGGAGAAAGCCGAGGAATTCGCCGATCGCGTTGCCAAGAAGGTCGCAGATATGACAGCGGAAATTGAGAAGATGAAGAAGCGGCACGCGCGCCGTATGGAAAAGTTCAACCGCACAGCTCAACTCAAAGACGCCGAAGCTCGATTACGCGATGCTGCGTCCGACCCAGCAGACACTGGCTCCGAGATTTGGAGACTGGAAGGCCGAATCGAGATTCCTACGGACGAGGACAACGTGCCGCTCGCGCCAATAGAGCACAAGGCCAAATACAAGGTTGATGACATTGTCCGGGAGGTAGAGAACTCATGGCAAAAACAGATTGTCCCGGAGCCGAAGGTCTCATGTATCGAGAAGGGTGGTCTACTGGAGAAGATTGAACCAGAGCGGAAGACAACAGATGTTGACGTCGATATGGACCATGCGGACAGTCACCTGCTCGATCAATTTACTACTCAAGGCACAACCGGACAGTCACACGCGACTAATACCCCAGGCGCTCCTGGCCAACAACCAACAGTGGGTGTCCCACAACAAGACCAATCTCTGGCTGGGCTGGATATCGACATGGATCTCGGAAACATCCCGCAGACAGGCAACGCGGCAGGCGAGACCGGTGATTGGGTCATGGTCAACGATAAAAAGGACGACACCCCGGGCAGCGGCCTTCAAGGATTGACGCCAGGAAACACGGGCGCAGACGGCGGCCTTGATGGGACGAACTTTGACTTCACCAACATGGACAGTGCGGGCGATGCGCTTGCTGCGTATACCGAGCAGAATGACGGTTTGGATCTGCCCGACCTAGAAAACTCTGCCTTTGGAGATGCTTTCCATGCATCGGATAACGAAAACACCCACCACCATGATGCAGATGATATGTCTTGAGCTTGTTATATCGGTTGCTATAATGTTTTATTAATACAACGGTGTTGGTTTTGGCCATTTCTCGGCGCTATCTTTGTCTGGTCTTCGTGCCATGCCGTCCTTCGCAGAGAGAGCAGACAGGCAAGTGTAAAATCTAATTTTATCTATACGGTCTATTTCAGTCATGTTTGTGAATGTCATTCTGCCTCAGCAGTGGCTTGGACAGCAGAGGCTGTTACACAGTCTCAGTCTGCCATCAATATCAGGTTCTCAGCCTCATGGTGATATTTCAACAACCTGGAAATAATGTCATCCTCTGTTCTGGGCAGCTGAAGTGACCCCACGCAGTCTTGGTGTATGCCTCAGCTGAGGAGACCATTAATAGGAAATGGCAGTAATCTTTCTATAAATGACCACCAGATCTGAGCCCCCTGGCTAATTTTATCGATGACCTGAGGCTGGTTAGTTAGTTATCACCAGGCGAGATCATCTGCCAGCCAGGACAACCCCAGTCAACTGATCTTGATTCTTGGTATATGAACCTCTATTTGGAGGCTCTTCCTGCTCGCAAATATTGATCCATATCTGAAGAAGTTATTCTTATCTATACACATCATTGACCCTCATCCAACACGCAAATCTCATACTCAAATCAACACAGCCAAAATGTGCTTCAACAACGAAAGCGACGACCACGACTACGAGACTCGCACCGTCCGCTTCACAAAGTACCGCTCCTATCCCATCAGTCCGAGAATACCCTTTCCGCCGCGCTTTCGTCCCAGATGCCCGTCTCCGCCGCCTCACCACCCTACCAGTACAACCATCATCCGGTACTCCCCTCACCATTCTCCCAGTCCTCCACACTCACCGCGGGACTCTTACACCACTATAACAAGGAGACACTTCCATACTCGCCAGGAGACGGTATACCCTGTATTCTCTCGTGACCACTATCGCAGAGACTGGGAGTGCGTGCCGGCGCCGCGGTACATCGAGTACATTGAACCTGGCAGACGGCGGAGGGATGTCGAGTATATACCTATCCCATGAACGGACAGAATAGGGCTATATTCGCATAAGTATGCCGCAAGGCAGGGACTCGTCACCTTCGCAGATTACGTTCGCCCCCCCGGCTGCAGGCGATCTATATCTTTCCCAAAACGGCGATGTCACCCGCGCCAGCCCTACTGGAGGATCGCGATCGGATACCCTTGCCATCACCCAACTGGACGCCATCCCATCCCAGCGGATCCGTTCGCGAGAACCACGAAATCTCCTATCATGTGCGTTCAAACGCAGAATGACCTCAGCATCTGCTCCTCACTTCGTGACGTCACGAGGCATGCAGCGAACTGGAGATAAAGAAATGATGAACGGTGGGGGCGTTCATGGCCAGCTTATAATCTGCTTTGGGGTAGCTTGTCGATTTCTTGAGCTTAAAGCTACTATATGATACTTTCTTGAGCTTCTTTGATAACCCTGAACTAAGAGAACCGAGGAAGGCGCATCCCAGCCTACGCTTATTTGAAGTTTATACCAGTTTCCCTTAACCTTGTTTTCACCATATCATCTTAAAATAATAAGACGGATTGAGACGGCAAGTTCGCAATGATGTATGCCTGACAGGTTGTCCACTGTCGTTGCACTTACTAACCGACTTGGATATAGGAATCGAACTCTCTCCGGCAGAAGGAGAAGAAACTCTACCAACACTGGCCGCCATCGGTTCGGTATTGGCACCTTCCGAGGCATCCAACAGCCTCAGCTGAGTAAGAAGATGAACCGAGTGATCAAGAGCGAGAATGCAGCGATCTCTGCTCATGAGTCCGCCGCCAGGCAGCGCATGTCGATTGCAGCGCAGATTTCGGAATGGGGCGAAACGACCGAAGATGAAGCTATCTCTGATATCTCGGATAAGCTGGGCGTGCTGATGGCGGAAATGGGCGAGCAGGAGGATGTTTACGCGCAGCATTTGGAGGATTATCGTACGGTCCTGAAGCATATTCGCGACACGGAGAGCTCTGTCCAGCCGACCCGTGATCAGCGAGCCAAGATTGCCGATGAGATCCAGAAGCTTAAGCTGAAGGAGCCCAATAGCCATAAGATTGAAACGATGGAGCAGGAGCTCGTAAGAGCGGAGGCGCAGAATCTTGTTGCTGAGGCACAGTTGACCAATGTGGTAAGTGATATCTGCTCCCAACTCATGTTCAAACGCTTAGGGATGCCTTCACAGACCCGACAGAGATTTAAGGAGGCATACAGTGTCCACCTTGCTGCTGTGATTGAGCGAGGAGAGAAGCAGGTTCTACTTGCCCGTCATGCGCGTCGTCTACTCAATTGTCTAGACGATACGTCGGTGATCCCCGGAGACGAGCCGAAGGCGTATGAAGGAGGAGACGAAGCCAAGCAGATTATCGAAGACGCTGAACGAGAGCTGCACTCCTGGGAGACCGAGTACGAGCCCGTAGAGACTAGAGCCGAACATGGAGCGGGAGCTGTCCCCGCCACCACGTCGTCGCAGCCATCGCCTGGTGATGACCGCGAACACGAACATCGTGCGTCTGAGTCCCAGGCGACGGAGTCCTACCAAGGCGAGCCGGAATATGGTCATGCGAGGCATGATTCAGCTTCCGACGCATATTCTCACATTTCCGCTAATGATGCGGCATCCGGAACGAGAATCCATGGCATATCACCTACAGCCCCAGGGATGGATACTGATACCGCAGAGCAGAGGACTCCGGTAGCGAACCATGAGGGAGGCTCCAGTAAGGAGACCGAGGGAAACGGCGAAAATAAGAGACAGAAAACCCTCGCGCCCCATGATACTCAGGGTATCATGACATCAGGCTCAGACGCCGACTTGCCTATACGCACCAAGAAGTCAGATCTCGGGGGTCCGCTAGACGCTCAAACGCAGCGAGTTGCAGTTCCTATCTGAGGGGAAATTGTTGATATGAGAGGGGGTCTCAATGGGTCATTAGTCCTGATATGTATTTATGTCCACACAATGTTTATAGTCTGTTTCTGTTTGAATTCGAATCAAGCTATGTCCAGAGAGCGCGAAGTATCTATGCAGTACCGACAAAGTAGAGGTCTATGTTCATGCCTGATATCTGAGGCTAAGCACGTGACCCAGGCTCCAAGGTGACGACGCGGGCGGCGGCCCATCTGAGCTCCAGCGTCAGAAGCTCAGCTTGGAGCTCCATCTTCGTCCGCATCCCTCGTCTTTAATCCTCCTTCTCGTCCCCTCAATTTTACAACCCTGTCACAAGGAATATTGTCTCCGCATCGCGTTGTACACCATGGATCAATTAGTCCGCCAGTACACCAAGTCGCCGCACCAGAACGAGTTCTACTCGGAGCAAGAGCAGCATGACCTGACAGAGAGCCTCCCTCCGCTCTCTCTGAAATTCGCCCTTCCCCCGGTTGCAAACGTAAGCTTCATCATCGACCTCTAGCCCCGGCAGTGTGAAATAGATTGGGCCTGTTGGATTCTATGGTCGCAGACAACCGGGCCCAACACCGCGGAGCCTGGCTTCTCATAGCCAACTATGCGATATTGAGAGCATTAACTAACGACTTCATTTTATTTAGCACTCCGCCTTCCTCCGTGCGATGACCGATGATCACTCGAACCCCAACTGTCCCATCAAACTCGCCCACGGAACGACAACGCTCGCTTTCCGATTCCAGGGTGGAATTGTACGTCGATATAATATGATCGAATGATTCCATCCCGATCATCCCGCTGACAGTCTGAAACAGATTGTTTGCACAGATTCCCGAGCTACGGCCGGAAACTGGATTGCCAGTCAGACGGTGAAGAAGGTCATTCCGGTCTCGCGGTTGAGCCGTGCAGAGGATAAGCCGGGCAGTGCGCCCGTTCCCGGCCTTCTGGGAACTATGGCTGGTGGTGCTGCAGTACGTATCTTTCTGTGTTGTTCTGGGATGACCGTGCTGATCTTTGTCGTCAGGACTGTCAATACTGGCTTAGATATCTGAGTCAACAATGCACACTACATGGTGAGTCGGATCCTGTCTGGACGGCTAATTGAGATGCTAATTCAATACAGAAATCCGCCACAAACGCCGTATCACAGTTGCCGCCGCCTCGAAGATCCTGGCTAACCTTACCTACGCCTACAAGGGATACGGTCTGAGCATGGGAACGATGCTGGCAGGTGTACGTGCAGACTTGCAGGATATCGACCGGCTTGAAACTCGGCTAACGTGCTGCGAATAGGTGACACCTCAAGAAGGACCCGCTCTGTACTACATCGACTCCGACGGCACCCGCCTCCCCGGAAATCTGTTCTGTGTTGGATCCGGTCAGACCTTTGCCTACGGTGTGCTGGACGCCAACTACCGCTACGACCTGACTGAGGAGGAGGCTCTCGAGCTCGGACGGAGAAGTATTCTCGCTGCTATGCACCGTGACGCCTACTCTGGTGGTTTCATCAACCTTTACCACGTGAAGGAAGAGGGATGGGTCCACCACGGTTTCGACGATATGAACCCCATATTCTGGAAGACGAAGTTGGAGAAGGGCGAGTTCTCGAATGTTACGTCGGCGCTGTAGAGGTTCGGTAGATAGGATAGGGATTGCCTTATATCAGGTGTTTTTAGGCAATGAATGAATTCAACGCATGTAGGCATCATCCGTATACCGGTACACTTAATGCCATTAATTAGAGCGGGTATTTTCATGTAATGAGAGAAAAAATGCTATTGCCAACAATATAAACAGACTCACTCCCAAAGAACAATAAATACAAAAGATATCATAAACTCTAGCCAAGCATTGCCAATATAGCAAAACGAGACTAGACATGAAAGCTCGCTCCCATCTATGTATAACATGAACATGCTTTTTATACTCGTCCTCAGTAGAGAGATCAATTATCAACCCGGAACTTCATGCGAATACCCATCGCCGCAAGCTCCACATCCAGATACCTCAGGACACCAGGAACAGCAACAACAGTGACATTGTCACCGCCAACAAACCTCTTACCCTCTCCATCTTCCCAAACGACCGCGCGGGAGTCCTCATAGACAGCTTCCCTCGCGCACCGCCTACACCGCACAATGCCCGCGTTGCCCCCGAGCGCCGCAGAGCCCGACGAACTCTTCGCAGCAAGTCTCGCCTTGCTCGACCCCGCACTCGACACAGCAACCTGCGTACTGAGGAAAGAGCCACAGTCGCGGCAGATCCAAGCACGCTGGGAATCCGAGCAGTTCATGAGTCGATCCTGCAGGATATAAGCGGCACCGTGCGCGATAAGCGAATCGCGCTCCATCTCTCCAACACGGATACCACCTCCCTTGGCACGACCCTTGACGGGCTGGCCGGTGAGATTGTTGACTGGTCCTGTAGTTCGGACCTGGAACTTATCGTTCACCATGTGACGCAGACGCTGGTAGTGCACGACGCCGATGAAGATGTCGGCGGCGAACTCCTTGCCCGTGATACCGGAGTAGAGGGGCTCGTTGCCGTAGTAGTTGTACCCGGCGCGGCGGAGCTGCTCGCCGAAGTAGTCTGTTGCTGTGTGCTCTTCGGAGAATTGGAAGGGGGTGCAGTCTTGTGGGTGGCCGTGCAGCGAGCCGGCTTTTCCGGCCATGGATTCGATCATTTGGGCGATTGTCATACCTGGCATTGTGTTAGTGAGGTTTGTCTTAGAATGTTCTGGGGTGGTATTTGGCTTACGAGATGGGAAAGCGTGAGGGTTAATGATCAGATCAGGCTGGATGCCGCTCTCGGAGAAAGGCATGTCGACGGCAGGCCAGAGCTGCGAGCAAACACCCTTCTGACCGTGACGAGAAGAGAACTTGTCACCGATGATGGGCTTTCGTGGAATACGGTACTTGACGCTGAGGGCCTGTGCGGGCTCGGTACCGGTTTCAGAGCCCATGATGCGGATGCTGTCGACGAAGGCCTTTTCGCTGTCCTTGTATTTCACGAACTGCGTGATGCCGTCGACGTTGATGTATGAGTCGGAGCTTGCATCGTAACGGACGGTGTGGTAGGCGGCTACGATGCTGCCCTCTTTGATTTCAGCGCCGATGTGAGGAAGCCCGTCTTCGTCGAGAGTAGCGCGCCATTCGGCGCGGATCTCAGCGCCTGGTGCGAAACCGAAGAGTTTCTGGACGGCTTGTTTGGACTTTGTGCGTCTTGAGTCCTTGTCGTCAAGGGAGTGCACCTTCGTCTTGTAGACGGTTCCGTATCCGAAGCCGCGCTCGTGAGAGGATTTGTTGATGATCATAGCGTCGTCCATGTCGTAACCCGTGTATGAGATGATAGCAACAACGGCGTTCGTGCCGTTGGGGAAGTTGTCTAGACCGTAGGCATTGTAGAGCGGTGGTCGCACGATAGGCGTTTGACCGGTCTGTAATCGGTAGAGCTTGTTGTCTGTTCGGTAGTCGATTGCTGTACCTGGTGTTCCCATGGTCTGCTTGCTCATTTGGCACTGGTACATGTTACGGGGAGATTGGTTGTAGTCGGAGAAGGGGGTCATGTTGGCGACGATGGAGAGGATGTTTGTAGGGGTGAATTCGATGTGTGTTGATAGGCCTTGAACCAGGTCTGAAGGCAAGCAGGCAATCTCCATGAACGGCTGTTCGAAGGGCCCGACGTAGTCGAGCTTGTCGAGCGGGAGGTACTTGACTTCACGGTACATTCGGGCGGCCTGGGAGAACATGTAGATACCGGGGTATTGACCGCCGGTGGAGTTGGGGACGTAGCCAATCTCCAGGTCAAGGGGAACGTTGTTGGTGCCGGAGACCTTCCAATGTCTAAGAGTGCTAGCGACCACACGGGCCTGCTTTGGTGAGCAGTATCCGACAATCCTGCCGTCCAGTTGAACAGAAACGCTTTCGTCCAATGAGACAGACGACTCGTTGCGAACACCAAGCTGGACAAGGAGTTTTGGAATGTGAGATACGTCGGTATCTTTCGTAGCAACCAGACACTTGTGCGCAAGATGGTTGAGCAGACCACAGGGCGAACCATCAGGCGTGTGCACAGGGCAGAGGAAACCCCAACTCTCAGGAAGCAGTTTACGGACTGTAGTCGTCTTGAGCTGTGCGAAGAAACTACCTCTGTGGATCATGCGGAAATGACTGATGAATCGGTAGAAGTTGATCTTTTCCGCCATGACAGTGTAACCAGACGTTTGCTGCAAATCGAGACCAGTGGGACTGACAAGGTTACCGGTCGATAGGAAATACTCCATAGCACCTCCGATATTCTCATTTGACCTTCTGACCACTTTGCTCACGAAATCCCTCTCGAAAGCAGGGTCTGTGAATCTGGCGCCATGGTTGCGGTTGGACCAATCTTTGAGAATAGGCGCGAAAGACCTCACCCACTCGTCGAGCCTTTCCTTGAGCAGCATACCATACAGGAATCCTCCAAGCAGAATTTCCTGGTTCGAGACAGCATCAGGGTTGTCGGGAGCGCAATCACCGGCGACGACGGCATAGAGCTTGCGGATCATGAACATGAGCATCTTGAACTTGTCGTAATCCTGCGTCTCCGTAACATTCTGGTTGCCCAAGTGTGGCAGGACCACCTTGCGAAGGAATTCCGTACCAGCCTCCTCGTTGGAGATATCTGCCGGGACACCAAGAACGGGCTTGAATTTCTCTCCAATAAATGCTCGGCACTCTGAACGGCTGTGCAACTTGTATGCCTTGTATGTTCGCAGCAGCAGTTCCACTCGGTCTGTCACGAAGGTGTTGTTGATTCCTTCAGAAGAGGAACCGCCAACAATCGCCTCGAAGATTTCGCGGTCATTCGTCTCCACCAAAGCCTTGAGAATCATCACCACCGGGACGATGAACTCGTTCTTTCGCCATGAGAATCGGAATGTCACGTTTCCGTCATTGAGGTAGTGTAGAACGTTCGTCTGCGAGGTCTGGTCCGGTCGTACTGATCGTATTTGGATACCGAATTTTGTGTATGCGTGACCACGGTTCGTGAAGGTGTTACGGACAATGGCCATGGGGTAGTTTCTTCGCCCGACGATCAGCATTCGGATCAACTTTTCGTTACCGTTGACGATAAAGTAGCCGCCCAATTCTTCTGATTCCTCCTTGTGCTGGACCAGCTCCGCCGGCGTCGCCTTTTCCAGGTAGCATCTGTTGGTCTATATGAAGTCAGATCAAGCCCCATACAGCAATGTCGCAATGTCCTGCCACTTACCCTTAGCATGATAGGGACTTGACCCATTTCCCTAACCGATTCCGCCCAATCTCCATTGTTGACTCGGTACTCAATCTTCGCGCGGAGCTTTCCACGATACGTCGCATGTCTTTCTCTGCACTCAGATGGATAGATGTTACGGTTGCGAGCAGTGAACTTGTTGGTCACAGGAATGGCCGGCTTCTCGAGGAAAACTTCCTTGATGCGAACATGGAGCTTGTTCCGCCTCGGCGCCCTTCGGCCCTCCGCCAGACGCTGCTGTTTCTGCTCGGCGGTTTCGGTAACCTCGTCGAGGAAAGTTCGGGTGCCGATATCCTTCAGACCGGCCTCGAGAATTCCGCCGCTCTCGAAAAGCGCATTGAAGGAGTCGACATGGGGCTTGATGGATGCGGCGAGGGAGGGGTACGCGGTCTTGTCCTCGGGAGGGTTTCGAAAAAGCTTCTCTCGCTTTAGGACATCGTAATTGACAGACCAATTGGTGTCTGTCGCGGCGGGTGCCATATTGATTTCTGCGGACGCCTTCCCGGCTTTTGACTATTGTAGGGTTTGCATGCAATAGTAGAGCAGTTCTTGGTGTAAGAACCGGAACTGAACGTGGCTAGCCAATAACCAGCCACACACCAGTATCAGAAGAGTCGCGCAGGATACTTATAGGAAAAGCGACCCGCGATCAGAGCACGAGTGCCGGCTTGGATCTAAACTCTGCTCAAAGTCCGATGGGGAAATTTTTCGAAGTGGAACTGCCGGACAGATATCATCACGTGCTGATAGGCGTTTCTGCCTTAGTACTATCTTCAGGCAGCAAGGCAGCAGCAGTGGCTGGTGTGGACACAGCGACTCGATTGCCTTGTCGCTCGTTGTCGTAGATGGATATGTGGCGTCATTAATGTCTTCATTGAGCGGCGTAGATAGGCCAGACCAAGATATATTATTCAAGACCTCGACCCTCGAGCCCACCTGCTCGAAATACTCTCAAACTGCTCTTCAGCATCGTATCTACAGTCCCGTGAGTGAGTCGGAAATCCCAGCCCAGCCTGCCACGATCCTGGTTCCCTCGCAAAATCGCTACTCGACTAACTCGAGCTATCAAATGCTAGACATCGTCTTAGTGCCAAACCGCGGGTGACGGAATTCATCACAGACGGTCCTGACGGAGCAGTGGCACCTAACTGAAGTGACGGACCGGAATTGGAGCTAGACTACTACTACGCCCGGCTAGCGATCCATCTCCTCACGGTCATGCGTGCACATAGTTCGGAGTAGAACAGTTTCACCGCAAGAACTCCGTTCTGGGGAAGCCCATATTCCTTTTTTTTGGTAAGAGCAGGGAAAGCTGGCACGAAGATCGGGTTTATTGACTGCGCTCAGATCTTGGGCCAGTGTCTATCTAGCGTTTGACTTAGTTGACTATCGCGGCGCTTCAGAGTTCAGCGCCGCTCTTCTACCTTTCCGCGGGTCTAATAATTTTCGCCGTATCGTCTTGACCTCATCAGCTTTTCCGCCGGTGTAGCAGCAGTCAGATCCCCCACCACCTTCACTGTCCGAAATTCTGGTCTCGATATATCCCGCCCACACCTGGTTGGAACGACCTGCGCCTCTCGGCCTGTCCTCCCACGTCTTTTTGTTTTTCCTTCCGTTCATCTGGTACCCATCCAAACGTCAAGACTCACGACTCACGACTCGCTGCAACATGGCGGGTATTTTTCGGACGATCTATGACTGGCTCTTGAGGATGTTTTGGTAAGTGGGCCGCCGTTTTCAATACGAAAGAGAGCCCCCGGCCCGTCCCCGCAGTATCCAGATTTCGGTTGGCTGAGACGAGAGGTATGCAACTGCAGGGCGACGGAGATGGATGTCACCATGATCGGCCTTCAGAATGCTGGAAAGTCGTCGCTGCTGCGCGTGCTGGCGGTATGTTCTGTTTTTCCTCAACAATCCACCCAAGTTGCCGACCGCATCGCTAACGACCATGGACCATATAGGGAGGAGAATTCACCGTAGAGTAAGTTCTCTTGTAAAGCGCCTCGAGGCTTCGTGCGTTGGCTAAGTCGAGTCGTTAGCTCTATCCCAACCATCGGCTTTAATACCAAGCGGGTGCAGAAGGGACATGTGACTCTCAAGTGGTTTGTGTTCTTGCTTCTTTCTATGGCGTCTCTCTAACACTCGTCAGTTGGGATCTTGGTGGGCAGCCGCGCTTCCGACCTATGTGGGAGCGCTATTGCCGCGGAGTGAATGCGATCGTGTAAGAATTGAACATGAAGCTCGTTGACGGCTGTGCTAACCTTGACAGTTATATTGTGGATGCCGCGGACACGGCCGCCTTGCCTGTGGCGACTGAAGAATTGCACGAGCTGATGAACAAGTCCACCCTGGATGGAATCCCTTTATTGGTCCTGGGAAACAAATCCGACCTACCCAATAAACTGTCTGTCGACGACTTGATTGATCAGATGAACCTCAAATCGATCACGCGGCGCGAGGTGAGCTGCTATGGCATCAGTGCAAAGGAGGAGACAAACCTCGACGCCGTCTTGCATTGGCTGATTGCGCGGGCGAGCCGGTAACAAGCCAATGCGTCAATCCTATCTGACGAAGGTCTGGCAAGCCCGCTCTTCAGGGCTTCGTTTGGACCTGTGAACGCCCTGATGCCTTGAACGTCCCGTGACGATGTAGATATTCAACATTGTGGTCCATGGACCATAACCAACACTATGACGATGTTGACGAAGTGATCGCATTCCTGGTTGTCTTGAAAACTTTCCGTTCGTGTCAGTACCCATTCATCCTATCTCTTGCGCTATTTCATATGTCAGTTGTTTTCTCAATTTGTGATTCCCTGAAGATGCGCTGCAAGCAAGCCAGTCATTTGGGTCAATAGTTCAGTATAAGGCGACCTCAAATAGAATGATGAGAAATGCCCACAAGAGCAGTAAATCGTCAGGCACTCATAAAAGGCACGATAGATGACGAGTCAATAAATGTAATGAGCACATCAAGAGCTTGAGCTTAGGAGGCCAACCCCAGACAGCAAAAGATAATCGGGGGACGCGACCTACCTATTTATTTCGACTCACCAAGTATGCGTTGGCAATGCAGAACCTTGGAAGGACGGCGACTAATCATCTTCAGCTTCGGCCAACCCCGCCGCCTACTTTAGTCGGACGGGACACACTGGCTGACCTCCAGGGCTCGAATTAAAATTGGAGGTGTTGTTGCTCAAATCTACCCCAGACTTGGAGTTCTGTTGGATGATTGGGTCCAACTTTTCTGATAGATGGTGGCGTATCCCGAGGTATTGGCTGGGCAGTCCAGGCTAGGTACAATTCTACACGTATCCGGTATCCCCGGCAATACGGAGTATATTTGTGACCATGGTCACAATGCAGGATTCAGGAGATTGAAGGTGGAACTTTGGGACAGGGTAGTAACCTGTTTGTCATTAGTATTGCCTGGTGATATGACTGATATCCAGTAGGGCTGACATGAGATGAAGTCGATCATGAGATGACCTGTTGACCGTTGAGCAGATGACGAAGTCGCTGCAAGAAGTTAAGAACTGCAAAGGACAGCGTTCTATGAGACTTGCAGCGTACCTGAAAGCATAGCCTCCATCAGCTAATTCGCCCCCATCCACGGTTCAGGCTCGTATGCGGATGCAGACAGCCCTGAGCCAAGCCCCTTTCAGTTTCGCCATCACTCTGAGGTGTCCGCTGAGTGCTCAGCCACAGCCGCCCTACGCCTTTTTGCTGCTGCCTTAAGATCTCCTCCCCTGCACCACTTCACTTTGCCATCTATCCTATCCTTTCTCTATCGAGTCGCATTTCTGCAACTACCGTTCGTTTACTCTCGCCTTTTGGCCCTCCACCAGAGTCGTATTATACTTATATCAACTCGCCCGTGCACTTCTTGATCGACGTCATATCCATTCCATATTCGGATTCGAGCCCAGAGGTCCTTCAACCATGGGTGTTTTGGTAGCGCGAGACTGGTGAGTACTTCATGAATTGGAGCGACTTTGGCTGCGCGAGACATGTCGAGTCCAGTCGACTTCGCGGCACAAGCAGAACTAGGCTAACCATCTTCCAGTTGGCGAGACGCCTTTGGCCGCGTTCGTTGCGATAGATGGCATGAATGGGGCCGCTGGGTCGCATTTGGTGTAATTGTTGGAGTTGCTCTGATTGCTTTCTTCGCCTTATCGTACGTTCAATGTTCCCCAACTCCACTGCGAATTTCCAGCTAACAGAGCCGTTGCAGCTGCTTTAACGCACGACGGCGCCGCAGCCGGGGCCTCCGCCCTTACGCTGGAACAGCCTGGATGGCTCCTCCCCCTCCGTACCACCCGCAGTCGCACCAAGATCCGTACAACCAGCCGCCTCCACCTCCGCAATATACTCAGTCGCCTGGATATGCGCCGTCTCCAGGCCCGCACGGATACTTTGGCGGTCAGCAGTCGGGCATCGAGCTGCAACAGCCACCGAACGCGCACCACTATGGCGGCGAACGGGTGTACCAGCCACCGCCTGGACCACCTCCTCCTGGGGTTCAGCAAAATGGGAAGCCTTAGCGCGCTGTGGAGTGCGGAATGAGTGTGCTCCGGGGATACGAAATACCACTACGATTTTCTAATTTGATATCTTATATCCGACATGGGCGTTTGTTATGCTTTGGGATGTGCTTTGATGGCATTGGGACTGCACATAGCAGTTATGGAACATGGTTTGTTATCCTTTTATGTAGCTTATGCTAGTAATATATATTATCTGCTTTATGTGTGCAAACAGTGTGAAAACAGTGCCCTGTTTCCGTTTATCCTAAAAATGTGAACTAATTTTTGCAATTGTAGTATATATATATCAGTGGATCCTCTGCAATAAGACCCGCCCACGTCAAGCCGCTTCTGGGTCAGATTTAATCAGAAACCTGCCCAGTAGTATTTCTATGATCTATCTGAGTGGGTGGCTGAAGTTGATGAGGATTGAGGATAGTTCATCCGAAAGTCAATTGATTCTAGGTATAGTTTGTAGTTGCCATCATGCTCAGGAACTACTACCTTCTGGGAATGAGTACAACTATACCAGACAGGCCTTGAAACCAACTGCTAAGCGAGCTGAAGATTGCAAATTATCCAGTTCCGGCGGCAACCACCAAAAGTTCAACCGTTGATCGACAGGAGATAGAACCGTGCATGACCCTCGGGTTCCTGAGCAGTTGGTAATACGCGATACTGCTGTGGAAGCTTTGTATGTGCTCTCACACAAGAAGAGACGTAACAGTATGAAACACGAAGATACTCCTGCCACGGGCGCTTATTGGGACGCGCAGTAAGCATGCTCGCTCCATCGCCGATCGTTGATCCCTATCTTATTCCTTACCCGTTCTCCGCAATCCCTCGACTTTTACGCTTCAAGCCTCCAAGCCTCTTTGTGGCTTCTGTCTTCTTCGTCCACCCTCTTTTTGCCCTTCTCGAGTGTTCCTCGCTTTTATCCCCAACCTCGTCGCTCTTTATTTACGTCTTGAAACGTCCGGCCACGCCCCTGGAGGCCGTGCCTGAACCCTCACCTTTCGACGCACCCGCCACCTTTCCAGCCGAAGCGCTTCCTTCTCGGACAGTGTTCGATTTCGATCTTTTCTGTGGGATAACTTTGGGACACATGCTATCGCTTTAAATTCAATATACAAGAGGATATATATCGGATGGGATATCACGCTTCCTGAACGCTTCCACAGCCGCCGCGCAGATCGCACCGAACCTGCTCGCAGACCATTGCGATACTACTACACCCGCATAACTTGGTACAACAGGCAGACGCAATTACCGCCATTCTTCTTTCATTTATTCAAGTTGCCGATCAATTCCTCGAGACGATTGTCGGATACATGCCATTTATATTGTGATCTATTTGCGCCTCTTGTGTCCGATCATCGAATGTGATACTTCGTCGCTAGCTGATTGAGTGACCGAAAAGCATCGTCCGCTTATCGCCATAGCGTGGGGCTGGGATTATATAGCACGGACAGTTTGACGGTCCGCCGAAATGAGCCCAGTGGTGTATGCTTATGCGTTATGGCCGCGAGATGCGGCCAGCGAGATCGAATCAGTCCCAGATACATTCTCTAGTTGGGATAAGTGTATGGACAAGGCCTACTGCAAGTATGTTATCGCCGGTCTACTTACCTCTGTCGAACGGAATTGACCCATATACAGATGGCCTGTCATTGCTGGAATTATTGTCGGAGGAGTAATTCTCCTCTCTGTCATTGCTTGTATAGTCAACTGCCTATGTTGTGGCATTCGGTGCTGTACATGCTGTTGCTCATGCTGCTGCCCATCTCCACGGCCGAAGAAAGCGAAGTACGCGGATGACACGTACAATCAGCCTCCCCCAATGCCGTCGATGCCGCAGATGCCTCCACCAGCGAACTCCTATGAAGGGGGATACCAGCCAGGTTTTCAACAGCAAGGCTACCAAACCACTCAGTCTCTCCCAACATACCGTGGCGCTCAAGTAGCGCGTTTTGATGCCCCAACAAGCCCGGGCATCTCGAAGATGAATGAGGATGCATTGCCCGCCATGCCTAGCTGGGACCATGCCGTTACTCGGAGAGTGGAGGACACGAGCCCCCATTCGGAGTCGGTAGAGATGGAACCGTTGAGTCCAGTGACTCGCCCGCCTCATCGCACACCGTCAGCGCCCAGATCAAACACACCCGGTTACAGGGGTCCACCACCTATCAGGACCGCAGTGCAGAACGATTACTACCCAGACTCACATGCGCATGGATACAACGACCAAAATCCATACGATTACCACGCTCAATCAGTCGCTCATGGCCAGAGTCCCTACGACCATAGCCCGTATGATTATGGCCACAGCCCATACGACCAGCCATACGCAGACCACTCTCCAGGTGGTGATTACCACGCCATGTCGCCTCCAGCCCACGCCTACTCCTCTGGCCCTCAATATCCAGTGGGAGTTGCTGTCTCCCCGACCACGGAAATGAACCGTCCAATTCCATTCCGACAGCCCTCGCCCGCCCTTCCTTTCCGGCAACCGTCACAGACGATGCCCTACCGGCAGCCCTCCCCTGGCTTCAGCACTCAGCCGCCTAGCTATAGAGGGCCATCTCCAGCAGCTGTCCCTTCCATCCCCTCTTCACCCCCACCACCGTTCAGCGCAGGTGTTCCGCAGCAAATCAGCAACCCGGGCCGGCCCCCGAGTCTACTGCAGAGCGGGCCGAAGCCAGCACCCAACTCGTACAGGAATGTATAGGTAGTCAGCGGTGCTACTCCTTTCCTTCTTTCTTCACTTGTCAGCGCCTTGTGCGCTTCTCCCCCTCCCGTCCCTTCGTTTTATCACCTTGCCGAATTCCATGGTCCTCCTTGGCCTTGGACATGGTCTATATACCCACGCCTCACATATCTTGACCTTCTTTTCTGGCACCGTCATCCACTCATTTGTGATGGTGGAAAATTGGGCCAGCAAATCAAAGCTTTCCTCTTCTGATGTATATACCATTCTTTGCCATGAGCTTGAACGCACCTCACACGCTCGGTCATGATCGAATATCCAAGTACCTGTCCGCTGATGAAAGTTACGAATGTAAGGTGCTAATTTCTTTTCTTCCTACTTCATACTCTCTTTCCCATGCTACATGGTATATAGTACAAATCATGTCGGGTAGATAGCGTAGTATCTCGTGATTAGCTTAGCAAGAGATCTAGTCCTCCAACGTAAAATCGAACTCCTTAAATGCTTCCTTGAACGCCGCCGCATCGGCCTCCTCGTCCTCCTGCGACTGCACATCATCCTTCCAGTTAATCCGTTTCTCCAGCTGCATGAGTTTCGCCATCACACTGCGGCCGAATTGCAGGTCGAAGCGGAAGTCGTCTCCCAATGGAAGTAAGAGTGTCTTCTCAGTTCCTGTGCCCTCGGCACCTTGATCTGATCCAGCCTCAGCAGAAGCAGGCGGATCCCAAATCCAAAGACGGAAGAAATCGCCCGGTTCGGCGCTGGGGTCCGCGCCGGAGCCGTCTTCCGATTCAGACGCAGATGGTAATTTCGAGGAAGATGATGTCGGCGCTTCGAATTTGGGATACTTCAGGTTCTCGGCCTCGACTTTGAATGCTGCGTCGACGAGACCGCGCTTTATTAGGTCTGTCGGCACGGGCAGGAATTGCCAGTGCACGTGGATGCCATTTGAGCGGGAGACTTCCCAGGTGACGGCGCCGAGGGCGCCCTTTGATTTACTTTGCAGCATGGAGTGTAGCGCTGTGCGGTACTGATGCATCTCGGTCCACGCGGCGTGGCGGCTGGGGGTGTCGGTTATGCTGTTTAGTGTGGGAGTGTGGTTGAATGGGATGATGAGCATGTGGCCTGGGAAGTTGAGGGAGGGGGCGAATGTTTTGGAGGTGGGGAGGGGTCCTTTTGCTGTTGTGAGGTAGGCTTCCGTGCCGATGGAGGTGATGAGGTGGGTTGCGATGTTGGGGTTCGAGAGGCAGAAGAAGCATTGGTCGGGCCCTGGGGGAGGGGCGCGCGCGCCCTTGCGGCGCTTGTGGTGGTGGTGATGGTCGTCTGTTGGTGCGAAGCGGCTGTAGGAGGTGTTTTGGTCGGGGAGGGGTTTGCGTTTGGCGGGGGCAAAGCGGAAGGGTATTGCGGTTGCGCCGACGGGGATAGTGAGTGCGGGTGGCGCGTTGGGGTCGAGTGTGAAGGCGTACATCCATTTTGCTTTGGAGGTCTTGCTGCTGATATATGAGGCCAGGCTGATGAAGCGGGTGAGTGGTTTGGCGTCTGGGCTGTCTTCCGTGGGGAGGTGGAAGAAGGGTTCGCGCTCGTAGAAGAACCCGTCTGTTGATGAGAGGTGGTAGCGCGGTTTGAGAGCCGAGCAGATGTCTGAAATAACTTGGGTTTCCTGGGGTGGCGTGGCGCCCTCTGGGAGCTCTACTTTGGAGCCGGTTTGGATGCCCTTGGGCCACTGGTGGGTGAGAAGAATGTCGGCATGGTGCGCGCCGAGGAGTGTCCTGGCCTCGGACTCGGTGTAAGATGGGTGGTACTTGGTGCCTGAAGCACTGCCATCCACCAGATTTCCACCTAGAGCGACAATGCGGATACCTTCCGAGGTCTTCAATGTGCCGCGCTTCCCTAGGAAGTAAAGGTTGGGACAGACTTCATCATTGGCTTCGATTTGCTCAATGACTCGAGCCGGAAGAGCCTTGCTCCCCAAAGAGAAGTATGTCGGAAGCGGGACCGCGATGTTGCCCTGTAGTAGGGCTGTCATCTGCTGGAGCTCATGTTCTGAGGAGCAATCGCCAAACAAGTCCCCTGTAATGATGGCAAAGGAGAAGCTCTGCTTGACATGAAGCTTTGCAAGCTTAGTGAAGACTTCCTGCAGTTCGCAGTTGACGTCGCCAATGACGACTCTGTTAGGCATTAGTTTCATGATATTCCTATCGAACCCCGCCACTTACATCTTTGACGCCATAGTGCTTTAGTGTGGTGGTAGCTAGGGTTTCGCAAGAGCGGATGATGTTCTCTTCACATAGATCCAAAAGATCAAGCCTATACGCTATCTCAATAGCATGTAGGCGTTCCGATATATGCGCCAAATCGAAGAGCCAGTGGCATCTGTTGTCCTCCTCTTCAGTCGTTGCCAGTCCAGACCTTGAATTTGTCGAGAGAGCTTGGACCAAGTATATACGAGTCACGTGAGACACTAGGCGCCGCGATCACCGCTTATCTCCGCACCGGAAGAAAGAGGTTGCGGCGCCGAGTAATTTTTTTGATCGATGCGCTTGATGCGGCGGAAGGAGCTGATTGAGTCAAGACCACGCACCATCTCGGCGCTGCTTCTAGGATGGTAGCAATGTCGTCGGCGTCGCGGAATAAGCCCGCGAAGCGGTTGAAGTCCGGGACGGAAACGACAAACCAGCACCGATTCGAGACGTTCTCACAGCGTGTGTCGAAGCTTAAAATCGACCCCATCCACCGAGTGCGGCGACCCAGCTTTGGCGAAGAGGGAGATGAGACGTCCTCCCATTTCCGATCGGCTTTCGACCACTGGACCGAGTTGAACCTGTCGGAGAACTATGTCGCATTCGCCCGTCGAGTGAGTCCGCTTAGCGAAAGTCTGGCGCAAATCGTTTACTACGAGGAGAAGATATTCAACTTGCTGGTGGAATACATTGACAAGCGCGACAGTCACTCAATCGAGCCTCTTCTGAGTTTGCTGTCTCAGTTTGCCCGAGACCTTGGTGTGCGGTTCGAGAAGTACTTTGCGGCCTCCGTGACTTTGGTCGCCTCCGTTGCGGCCACCCACCCCGATGTCGAAGTGGTTGAATGGAGCTTCACTTGCCTGGCATGGACATTCAAGTTCTTGTCACGACTATTGGTTCCGGACCTGCGGCAACTCCTCGGTATCATGACGCCGTACCTTGGAAAAGAACGACAGAAGCCGTTTGTTGCGAGATTCGCCGCCGAATCACTGTCGTTCCTGATTCGCAAAGCCGGTCTGGTCTATTATAAGAATCCCGAACCTCTCCAGCTGGCGGTTACATTCTTGTTTGACGACTTGCGGCAGGCCGGAGCCGACTCGAAGAATGTGGAATTATACAAGTCAGGTCTTATGGCGATGTTCTCCGACTCGATCAAGGGGGTAAAGAACGGGCTCCATTCGAACGGAGCGGACATTTTCTTGTGTCTTGTGAAGTCCATATGCACCGATGACGACCTCCGAAACAGCCTTGCGCTCGACGTTGCCAGCGGTGTTTTGATCAACGTAATTCATAGTACGACACCCGAGACATTCGCGCCCATTATCGATATTGTGACATCTTACGTTCAGACCAACGGCAAGAGTGGGAGCAGGAACTACGCAGTCGCCTGTACTCGACTCATCTTCCTCTGCATCGCCACCCGCAAAGGAGCCCGAGTACAGAGCTGGAAACCCGTGCTTGAAAGCCTGTTACTGCTGCTCAAGGCTGCGGAAAAGACTCCTGATGCATTCACCGACGCAGTCCCGCAGTTGCTCACCGCAGTGGCATATTCCCTCCAAATATCGCCCATGGACGAAATGCTGCCTTTTATGCGTCCTCTCATGGATGCGATCACAGCTGACAGGCTCTCAGCCTATTTCCTGTCGTTCTGTGCTACATTCTCCGAATGGGGTGCAGAGCGGTTCCACGGTGTCGTCCTTCCGTATTTCCAGAAGTATGTCAATCGAAGTTCGCTGAAATCTTATCCACTAACACCGTCTAGATTCGTTAACAACTCATGGGAGGACCGCGAGTACGAACTTTGCTTAGCCCTGCTTAAATTAAGTGGAGCGGGCTGTATCACATCGGAAGTATCGAAACCTGGCTACATTGTCTGTCCAGCCTCTTGGAAGTCACGAATTCGAGAGACGCTTCGTAAATCGGAGCCGACTGGTCCCGGCGTCGCCTTGCTCAATGCATACACCAAGCTCCCCACAGCGCTGTCACTGTCTGCGGAGCCTTCTCTATTGCCTGATATGGTTGAGGTCCTACATGAGAACTTGGTCTCCGTGCTGGCCGACGAGAAATTCGTTTCTACGCCTAAAACATACTTTTACCTTGGGCAGGGTTTCAAAACCTACGTCGATCTAGGTTCAAGCCTAGGGAAACTTGACGCAGGCCTTTGGAACCGCGTAATTACAGTTGCAGCGAGATACTCGCGACTGCATTCTTTCCTTGAGGCCACATTGGCCTATGTCTCGGCATGCCCTGATAATATTGGAGGGGACACATCCGCAATGGAGGCTTTTGTCGATGCTTTGATTGACAACCTTGCAGCCCCTTCTCAGGAGCTGCGTCTTGTATCATTGAAGATACTACGCGAGTTGATCAAAGCCCTAGGCGACGACACTTCGCTTATATCTCTGGCCATCGAAATCGAGGAAAGCCCTCTCACTTTACAGAGCGCGAGGACTTTGTCGATGCATGTCCGGAAACTTGCCCTAACATATCCTCAGATCACCTCACGTAGGTGGTTGCCTAGGCTCCTTCCAACATTCTGCTTCGGTTTATTCTCTAAGAAACTGGCTCCGTTGTGGGACGACTCTGCTTCTGCGCTGAAGTCTATGAGCGAGCACGCTGAAGGCGAAAAAGTGGTGACTGAGCTGGCCACGCAGTGGCTTCAAGAGAGAGGATCGACTTCGACTGAGACAGAGGAGGACGATGACGAAGACAATCAGGTATCTGGTTATTACCAGTGCTTCAATGCAGCCAAGATCGAGAGGCTATCCGCAACGCACTTCCTGTCTTTTGAGCCGGCTTCAACATTGACACAGGACTTCGAGAAGGATCACGCGCTTCTGGATGTGGTTCCAATTGCTCCTCGCACCCAGGCCCTGCGGGTATTCAATGCCATCCCTAACATAGCCGAGAAGCGTTCTCGTCAGATTGTACCGCTGTTCCTGTCATGGGCCTTGCGAGATGAGGACGATGGCCAGTCCCCTACAGAGCAGACAGAGGCCGACGAGAACCAGGGCTCGTACATTCCCTGGGGTTTCCACGACCGGTTGTCATTCCTGAAGCTTCTCGGACAGTTCATCAATCCTTCTGTGCTGTACAGAGCTCCGGAGGTCCACGATGCCCTTCTAAGTTTGCTTTGTCACGGTAATTCGGAGATCCAAAAGTGTGCACTCAAGGCTTTATTTACCTGGAAAACTGCCGGCATCGTACCCTACCGCGAAAACCTTCTGAATGTGCTGGACGAATCGCGGTTTAACGATGAACTTGCGGTGTTTGTTCGTGTTGGCAAAGAGGATAGTTTGATTGAAGACAAACATAAAGACGATGTTGTGCCTGTCATTCTTCGCCTCCTTTATGGTCGGATGATCTCGAAGGCTAGCGCGAACGCCGGTCAAGCAGGCCAAACTGGACGACGTAAGGCCATCTTGCGGACCCTGGCACAACTGCCTGATCGTGACTTCGACATCTTCATGGGGATTGCTTTCGGACCGCTCGGTGAGCTGAAATTGGTCAAGGACGACCAAGTTGACGACCAGTCTTTCCAAAACGAACCTCTCGGGCCAAGAAGACAGACAGGTTTGCTGAAGTTGATCGAAACTGTCTTCGACACCCTGCAGAGCCGCATGGTCCCCTATGCGGAGCAGTCCATGGATGTTGTGTTGCACTGCCTTGTTCGAGCTTGCCGTGCCCTGGCAAAGGAGCAGACCGCCACTGCAGACTCCCAGGAGGGACGACTAATCAATGTACTGCGAAACATTCGGCAGACAAGTATCCGCTGCCTTGACCTGATCTTCTCAATCTCGCCGGATCGAGACTGGACTTCCCGCGTTCGCATTATCTTCGATGAGGTTGTCAATCCACGTTTGGATAACTTCGCGACAGAAACGGCTCAAGGAGTTTCCGGTCTCCTACGTCTGTTCCACACCTGGGCTTCTTCTCCCTTGTCTACCTTCTATCTCTCACGATTTAACGATGTTCTTTTGACTAAGATCGTGGACTGTCTTGCTGTTGACTCGGCGCGTGATGAGGTCAAAATATTTGTCATGGACGAAGTCCTGACGCCGTTAATCAACAATGCCTCCGAAAAAGAGCTGAAAGAGGGCGAAGAAGAGGACGAGGATCAGAAGATGGGAGACTTCCCGGTGGACGAGATACGCTCGGAAGTTTTGTCTCCTTATATTGAGCATACCCTTTCTCACCTAGGGCGTCTGTTGAAACGTGGTCCATCCAAGCCGGTGCTAGTTTCTGGTGTTCATACCCTCTCGCGTCTAGCACCATGTGTCGAGTCATCGAAGGAAACGTCGAGCCTGATCAGCATCTTGACGTATCTACTCCGCCAGCCGTCTGATAGAGTGTCACCCAAGACCAAGTCGGACCTTCTTCGCAGCTTGGAGCACTTCTTGCCTCTATACAATACGAAGGAAGACGAGGCTCTGTCCCGAGAAGTATTTGAAGCTGTTTGTGCCATGTTCGACTATTTCCGAGATGATAAAAACCGCGAAGTCTTGTCCAGAGTCTTCACAGCTCTCGCCAACCACACACCTGAGCTTGGCCAAGTTGCTTCCCTCTGCGAAGATCTGAACTCTAGATCTATGAAAACTCTTGGGGCAGACTATGGCCGTCGCCTGGATGCTTTCAGAACATTGAATGAGGATCTCTGGGATTCACTCGACGCTCGGCAGTGGCGACCACTATTATACAACATGCTCTTTCACGTTAAGGATGAAGAGGAGTTGGCCATTCGGTCCAGCGCCTCGTTTGGCTTGAAGCGTTTCATTGAGCGATCAGCTCGAGTTAAGGCCGATGAAGCAGGACCGTTCGAACCCCTCGTCGCCGACATCTTGTTCCCTGCGTTGCAAGCTGGCATGCGCCACAACTCTGAGCTGATCCGAGCCGAGTTCGTGCAGGTCCTTGGTCACTTAGTTGAGCTACACCCACACCGTCCTGCAGTGCGGGATATGCATGTGCTACTGGCTGGTAACGACGAGGAGGCCTCCTTCTTCTACAACATTCTTCACATCCAGCAGCACCGCCGCCTTCGAGCCCTCCGACGACTGGCTAGCGAGGCGACCAGCGGAAAGCTCCAAGCATCGAACATTAGCACCATCTTTATTCCTCTGAACGAACACTTCGTGTTCAATGAGGCTCCTGATGAGAACGCACACAACCTCATTGCAGAGGCTGTGCTGACCATCGGGACACTCGCGGAGTCATTGGATTGGAACCAGTTCAGAGCCATCTTCAGGAGATACCGTGGCTACATGAAGAGTAAGCCTGATTGGGAAAGGAGCGTTTTGAGGCTCTTGGGCAGAATGTCCGATGCGCTGACCAGTGCCATGACCCAATATACTTCGTCGAAGTCTGAAGCCGACAAGAGCGACGACGCTATGGATGTCTCACCCCCCTCAATGTCCACTCTTGCTCGGTCTATACCCTCTGCTGCTAAGGTCGCGAACGAGCTCACCACCGGCTTTATTCCTGTTTTGACGGATTTCATTCATCACAAGAATGAGGCCCAGATGAGCCTGCGTCTTCCAGCGGCGGTTACTACTATCAAACTCCTGAAGCTTCTGCCTGAACCTGATATGGCTATTCGCCTGCCAGCGGTTCTCCTGGATGTTTGCAGTATTCTCAAGAGTAAAGCCCAGGACTCCCGGGACACTGCTCGGAAGACACTAAACGATATCGCTCTTCTGCTGGGACCGAACTACATGGGCTACATTCTCAAGGAGCTGCGACATACTCTCAAGCGGGGTTACCAACTGCACGTCCTTTCATTCACTGTTCATTCTATTCTTGTGGCTACGACCGATGACTATAAGCAGGGTGATTTGGACTACTGCCTAGCGGATCTCAGCTCAGTGGTCATGGATGATACTTTCGGCACTGTTGGTCAAGAGAAAGACGCCGAAGACTATGTCAGCAAGATGAAGGAGGTCAAGAGCAACAAGAGTTACGACTCGATTGAACTTCTCGCCAAAAATTCGACCATCCGGAATCTTGCTAGCCTGTTGCGGCCACTTCAAGAGCTCCTGCGGGAAAAGCTCACATCCACCATTGTGCGCAAGGCCGACGAACTTCTGCGAAGAATCGGCATTGGTCTACTGAGAAATCCTGGAGTCGAAAGCCGTGACATTCTCGTCTTCTGCTATGAAGTTATTAAGGAGGCCTACAAGGAGCCTGTCCAGTCTGACGCCCAGGTTGCAAAGTCTGCTCAAGAAAAGAACTTTCTCATCAACATGAAGGGCCAGCGCCGAAACGAGAAGCGAGGAAGCACTTCATCGTACGTCTACAAACTCGTCCGCTTCTCGTTCGATGTTCTCCGTTCTGTCCTCAGCAAGTACAACTCCATCTTGACTCCTGCCAACATCGCCGGCTACCTTCCCATGGTCGGAGACGCGGTTGTCCAGGGCCACGAGGAGGTGAAGATCGCTGCTATCCGATTCCTTTCCACGATCATTAAGCTTCCTCTACCAGAGATCGACGCCAATGCCCCTGTCTACATAACGGAAGCCGTCAAGCTGATCAAGGAGGCCCCGAGCACCAGCACAGAAGGTGCACAAGCTTCCTTGAAAATGATATCTGCAATACTCCGGGAGAGGAAGGACATCAAGCTTAGAGACGGACACCTCGCTTATCTGCTCCAGCGTCTGACGGCTGACATTGAAGAACCGGACCGCCAGGGCGTCACTTTCAACTTCATCCGGGCGGTCATGGCTCGCAAATTCGTTGTGACCGAGATGTACGAGCTCGCCGACAACATCGCCCAAATGATGGTCACGAATCAGACTCGGTCTGCACGTGATCTTGCCCGCGGCGTGTACATCCACTTCCTCATTGAGTACCCTCAGGCCAAGAACCGATGGACGAAACAGTTGGCTTTCCTGGCCAAGAACCTTGAGTACAAGCATCAAGATGGTCGCCAGTCCGTTATGGAGGCCATCCACATGCTGCTTTCCAAGACAGGGCAAGAGTTGGCTCAAGACATCGTCGGTACATTCTTCCTGCCCGTCGTCATTGCCATGGCAAACGACGATGCCGCTGAGTGCAGAGAGATGGCTGGTGCGCTGCTAGGTGAATTCTACAGGCGGGCAGACCGCGAGCAGATGAAGACCATCCTCGAACCTCTCCGGTCCTGGATTGAACAGACAGAGAATCCCCTGCTTACCAGCACCGGTTTACAGGCGATGAGAATCTACTTCGAAGTGGAGGAAACCGCCAAGGACAAGGAAGCAGTATTTGTTGCCCAGACCCTTCCGACAATCATGCGGCCTATTATCAAGGAATCCGAAACAGACAACTGGCAGACGCTGTATTTCTCGCTGCAGCTCTTCTCTAAGCTCGCCAAAGCAATTCCCTCAGTTGCGCTGTCCAAGGACCGCATCAAGACCTGGAATCTCATTTGCGAGTGTCTGTTCTACCATCACACCTGGGTTAAGACCTGCGCCTCGAACCTCATTGGCATCTGGCTGGCAGACCTGGCCAAGACAAACGCTGCCGCTGGATACGGCTCCTTACCTCTAGTCGGCGCAACCGGCCTTGCCATGGACAAGGACACAATGCTCCTCCTGCTCCGCGCCAGTCTCCGCTCCCTGCGTACACCCGGCATCAGCGAAGAACTCGCCATGCAAAGTGTCCGCAACATCATGTTCCTCGGTCGCTGCTGCGCCCAAAACGGCCTTGAACTAGATGAAACCGAGGAAGAGAAGGAAGAAGCGTCAGATGAAAGCGACAACGACGAAGATCAAAACGAGGCCGCCGACGGCGAGACCCAAATGAACGGCAAGAAGTCCGCTGTGCGCTTTATCTTCGAGCAAGCATCCTCCATCCTCCGCCGGGAGTTCGTCACCACCAAGGCTCCCTCATTAATCCCCAAGACCGCCTCCATCGGTCTCATTGCCGCTCTCTGCCGCCACCTTGAACCCGAGCAGATCAATGACTCCCTGCCTGTCATCCTTCTTCCACTGCAGCATCTGACTGACGCGTCGATTCCCGCTCCCCGCTCATCAGACGAGGCGTTCCGGGAAGCGTACAAGACGCTTGTCTCGAACTGCCATGAGGTACTTGATATTTTGCAGAAAAAACTTGGTAACACTGAGTACATCAACCAGATGTCGGTTATTCAGGAGGAGATCAAGCAGAGGCGTGAAGGGAGACGAGTTAAGAGGCGCATCGAGGCCGTCATGGACCCTGAGAAGCATGGTCGTGACAAGAAGAGGAGGAATGATCGCAAGCGCGAGAAGAGGAAAGAGAAGAGCGCGGAGTTCCGGGGGAAGAGACGTGGTTGGTAAAGAGGCTACGGGGATACCTTTCAACTATATGGGTTTTAGAATCGGCGTTTTGGGAAAGGAGACAGTGCTTTCTTTTGTTTTCATAATATAGTACAGGTGTTGGAGCATAAAAGTACTCATGATATGTGAGATGAGTGTATATAGAACAGCATGAGGTATCATAAGAAACAACCGGTTTTGAACGCCTCCATCTATGCATTTTGAGCTTTGTGTTGCTTCTTAACTATTAGTAAAATGACAGAACTCCCCTGCATGCTTTGCACCAGATAACAGCCAGTCGGACGGAACGATCCCGGTCTCAATTATTCCTCATCAGCCCTGTCCTTTTTCCCCTCCCCCTCTTCCTTCTCCCTTTGGGTCACACTCCCATCATCCCAAAACTCCATATCCCCCTGTAGCGTTCCCCTAATGATAACCTGCCCGCGCTCCCCCAGCAATTCATCCAACGTCTTGCTTTGATCAAAGAAGATATTGAGTTGATCGCTGATGACGTGGCGGTTCTTGCAAGACGGGCATTGAATCAATACAGTGCCGCGGTGGTACCCATGCTTCGAGACACGGTGTGAAGAGCGCTCCCCGCACGGCTTGCAGGTGAATGTGAGCTGGTATGCGGGTTCTTGCGCCCGGCGCCTCTCGTTTATCGCTTCGGCCTCTGCATCTTGCTCCGCGGTTGCGGAGCGGTCGGTGAGTGGTTTGGAGGAGGGGGCGTCGGAGTTGTGGCGGATAGATGTGAATGCCGGGATAGCTGGAGCTGCTCTGTTTGTAGCCTTGTTGAGGAGGTGTGTTGGAGCAAATGGTCGTGAGTGGCGACTGAGACTGAGCTGGGAATAGAGGCGTGAAGCTCCGCGGGAGAGAGATGGTTGGGTCTGTGGTTGTGGGAGTGCACTATGAAGGGCACGGAGATTGCGGAAGAAGCGGAAAGATAGAGCCATATTGTAGGTTGGTGGAAGGAACAACAGTAGCTATCCCAAGTAAGAATTGAGGTGTAAGTGCAAGATTGTGAAGAGTGGAAAGTGAAGAGTGACGTGCAGCTCCAGCAGTGACTGCGGAGTTTGCGCCGGACTTAAGTTCTTCCAGCTGCCTCCGCGGTCTTATAATCCTCTCAACACTCGCCTCCAAAACTAAACAACATCTGCCAGTGGAGTTGAGGAAGTACCTTGTGCTTGAAGCATTTCTCCGACTGTTGAAAGCAAGCTCTCTTGATTGTCTCCCGGAAGTTTGGTGTTGCTGTCCTGTCTCATTCCCCGACCTCTATCCACTCCCGCTGCCCCGCCACCATATCTGAATTGCTTGAGTTTCCAAATTGGATGGCAGAGCCCCTGGAGCTTTGAAGATGTCTATGAGGGCAAGACAGAAGATTCGAGCTCCGCGAAGGGTGAGTGAACTATTTTGTTCATATACGCTGGCCCTCTATGATTGCCGACGAGCAACACCATGATCTCGACCTTATTTGCCGTTTGCTAACGGACTTGTGTTAGGGCCTTCCCGCGAACGGAGGAACGAATGATTTCGAATTGAATTGGAAAACACTATCGGGTTCTCTAAGCAGAATACACACGAAGGATGCGTCGGAACTATCGTTCGAGCAGCTTTACCGGAACGGCTACACCATCGTATTAATCCAGCGCGCCGACGAGCTGTACGACCGTACAAAGCAACTGGAGAAAGAATGGCTATGTGGGGAGGTTCAGCGGCGAGTCATTGCTGGTATTTCGCCTAGCCTGCTGCTTGCTAAAGAGGTCGTGGACGTGCAAGATCAAGCTACGGAGAGACGCGAGGCCGGAGAGCGGTTCTTGTCAGTCTTGAAAGAGGTGTGGGACGATCATCAAACCTGTATGAAGATGATCACCGATGTCTTGATGTACATGGTAAGCTACTGAGATGTGTTGGTTGCACGGGTTTCGCATTTCGCTGACACAGTTTATCGTCGAGAAGGATCGAATTATGTCGCAAAAGAAAGTATCCATTTACTCCGCCGCCATGGCTCTGTTTCGCGACAATGTCCTGCGGGCTTCAATGCCATCGAGTGATAATATCTCTGTGGCCGACGTACTCAAATCGACGACGCTATTCATGATCCAGCTGGAACGCTCGGGACACATGATTGATCGGACTTTGGTTCATCACTGCGTCAAAATGCTGGAGGGGCTGTACGAAACGGAGACTGAAGAGGAGTCTACCAAACTCTACTTGACCTCGTTCGAACCGGACTATTTAGAAGCGAGTGCGGCGTTCTACCGAGCCGAGGGCAAGCGACTGCTCGAAACAGTAGACGCTGCCACATTCTGCGCCGTCGTCTACGATCGAATAGCGGAAGAAAAGGAACGGTGTTCGTATACGGTCTCGAACCTTAGTGAATCCAAGATCAAGGAGATTCTGGACAACGAGCTTATCCGCAATAATCTTGCCGAGGTCATCAATTTTGAAGGAACCGGGGTTCGAGTCATGCTGGACCAAGACAGAATCAACAACTTGAGCAAGATCTTTGCCCTCAGCGCGCGGGTCGACCCCAAGAAGAATCATCTGACTGCAGCGGTATCAAAGCGTATCGTTGAAATGGGCAATGAGATCAACGCTGCTTCATTTGCTTTAGCACAGACATCAGCGCCGTCCAAGTCAAGTGCACCGGACGCAGGTCAAAAGAAAGATAAGGAGAAAGAGAAAGAGAAGCCTGTCAACCAAGTTACATCGTCTGCCATCAAGTGGGTGGATGACATTCTAGCCCTTAAGAACAAGTTTGATGACATCTGGAAAAATGCATTTGACTCTGACCAAGTGCTTCAGAGCGCGATTACAACAAGCTTTTCGAGTTTCATCAACTCTACGCCACGCAGCTCGGAGTTCCTTTCGCTCTTCTTCGACGAGAACCTCAAAAAGGGCATCAAGGGTAAAACGGAGAACGAAGTTGATTCTCTACTGGAAAATGGAATCACCCTCTTGCGTTACATCAAAGACAAGGATCGCTTCGAGGCCTACTATAAGAAGCATCTCTCTCGGCGATTGCTAATGAAGCGCTCAATGAGCATGGATGCAGAACGACAGATGATTTCGAAGATGAAGATGGAAGTCGGCAATCAATTCACGCAGCGATTAGAAGCCATGTTCAGGGACATGACTATATCAGAAGACTTGACCAGCAGCTACAAAAACTACGTACGGGAACAGGGCGACCCCGACCAAAAGCGACTTGAGCTGGACATCAATGTCCTCACCAGCACCATGTGGCCTATGGAGATCATGTCGAACACCAAGGATGGGCAGATCGAACTTCCTTGCATCGCCCCCAAGGAAGTTGAGACTGTCAAGCAGAGCTTCGAAAAGTTCTACCTCAACAAGCACAGCGGCAGAAAGCTTGCGTGGCAGCATAGCATGGGCACAGCTGACATCAAAGCAACCTTCCATCGGTCAAATGGGAAAGTACAACGCCACGAACTCAATGTGTCCACCTATGCCATGATTATCCTCTTACTTTTCAACAACCTGTCGGCGGACGAGTCCCTCACATTCGAAGATATCCAAGCTCGCACACGGATTCCAGATAACGACCTCATTCGAAACTTGCAGTCACTTGCCGTGGCGCCCAAGACTCGTGTCCTCAAGAAGGAGCCCATGAGCAGGGACGTCAAACCCACGGATAAGTTCTACTTCAATAACGACTTCCAGAGCCAGTTCTTGAAGGTGCGCATTGGCGTCGTCAGCGGCGGAGCCAACAAAGTCGAAAACCAGGATCAGAGGAAGGAAACGGAGGAGAAGATGAACAACGAGCGCGGTGGTAGTATTGAGGCTGCTATCGTGCGCATCATGAAGTATGTTTTCCCCCACCAGTCTTTCCTTAGGGACTTAAGAGTTAATACCATTTTCCATTTTAGGCAACGCAAGAAGTTGACTCACACCAATCTGATCAGCGAAGTCCTCAGTCAGCTATCTGCTCGCTTCGTGCCCGATGTCAACATGGTCAAGCGACGGATTGAGAGTCTGATTGACCGCGAGTATCTCGAACGTGTTGCCGAGGAGCCTCCCACGTACGGCTATGTCGCGTGACGGTCTGTTCTTCTTTTCTCACTCTCCTGTCTTCATTTCTTTTTCTCGTTATGGAATTTGGTCAAGGTGCATACGGTGGCTCAAATCAGGGTATCTTTGGCGTCATAGACTTCTCAATGTCTCATTTCAGTCTTTTGTTCTGTCTATTCTATTTCACTCTATCTCACAATAGCATTGCCCGCGGGGTCTGGCGCTGTTGATCGCTCAAACTTGGATGTCGATTTTGTTTCGCTTCGCTCAATACTCAATAAATTTTTAAAAGGTCTTAAAAAATGCGAAATCTTCCAGTATATGTCTTGTTGTCCAGCTCTAAAACCACCGAGGTATCTTTTGAATGATGAAATGTATATCAACGCCAGCCATGCAATGCAATGCCATCCATTCATGCCGCCCATGCCCATCACCCCGAACCCATACCAAACAAGAAAAGCTCACAGAACCTCCACATCCCCCTTCTCCCAAGCCGCCTTAACAGCCTCCCACCTCACAACCCAAACATCCCCCATCCTCATGGTCTGTCCAACCACCTCCTCATCCATGTCCTCCCCCGGCCCCGGCGGCGCAAGTAGCCCCACCTCCTCCGCAAGACATCTCACAAAGACAACCTCGCGCTTATCCGGCCCCTGCACCATACTCGTTCCGCCGGCATTATCATCCAGCCTCCGAAGCTGTGGCGGGAAGGAACTCAAAAAGCTGGAGCCGAAGTGCTTAGCTAGCAACTGCTGGTGCGTGAAGAGGAACGTCGCTTCAGATGGGCTTAGCGGGGAAGATGATGGGAGGTTTTCCGGGTCTGGAAGGGGCACCGAGTCTTCGGGGCTTTGGTGTTTGGCTTCGGAGCTCCCGGACGCAGGTGGTGGTGTTGGCGCGTTGTGCGAGGAAAGGAGGAGGTAGTGCATGCTGTGCTTGGTGAGTTTTGATAGGCGGTTGCGGAGGAGGGAGCGGAGGAGATATTGAGTTCGTGAGAGGTCGGTTTGCAGGATTGAGAGGGTGAGTGTTGCGTTTTGCGTCGAGTTGTTTGATATCGATGTGGGATCTGAGGATGCGGCGGCTAGGTCTTCGATTGTTTCGATCTGGTCCATTGTTAGCGGGTGGTTAGTTCATTGGAGCAAACGGGCGGTTCATGCGCACCTGCTGCCGTACGCGCTCCATCATGCGGTCCATTAACCGCGCGGGCCATGGGAGGAGCTCTGGGACGCTGCGCTCGGCGACCCAGAAGCGTGTGAGGAGTTGGTGGTCGAGGGCTGTGGATTCTGGGCTGGAGACGTCGGAGTGGTCGACGGAGGCGAGGATGTCGTCGATTTCCATGGCGGGCGGCTCTATCAATGGATGTCTGCTGGTATATGAGGTGTATCTGGAGAAAATGATATGCAATTCAGTGGAGGAAGCGGAGCGGAAGTGAGGCGGAGGAGATATTCATGCCTGAGTATTAAGGCAGACAACTTCTGCTGTATAGTTCAGAACCTCACTTCAATGCAGCACTTCAATGTACAATCAAGCTTACAAAATACTAAAGGACGCAAGTTTCGTATAAATTATTTCATTCATTGACAAAGGAAACCAAGGTCTTTATCTTTCTGCTCCCCCAAAGCCGGATTAGTAGCAGGAAATGGGTGTTTTCATATATGTACAGTGCTCGGCATTCCAAACGTCACAAGGGTCTAAGAGAGCCCTGTTAGATAGTGAGGCCAATATCAGGTCCAGAATAGCCGCGCGCAGTTATTATCGGCGAAATGAATCAACGAGCCATGCATAAATATGTACTGTGCTTGGCGAAGCATTTGTTGGGCTCCCTCGCATTGTACAGGAAAACCGAGCGGCGGATTAAAAGACGATAGGGTAAAGGAAAAGATTTTCGAGCAGCGAAATTCTTGCGGGTGAGGTATCATAGAAGTAAGCCGACGAGGTGATGTCCAAGCGTGTAAGATCCGTCGAGATTCATAGAGACATAGGAAAGAAGGAACGGAGTTGTTGAAGGAAATAGTAGGGACAAGAGTGCTGAAGAGCTTCTGGTTGTGTGGCTGTCGTTATGAATGTTTTGAGGGTTGGTCGTAGTAGTTGTAGTGTAAGGCGGAGGGTCGTATGAAGAGAAGGTAGAAAATTTTTGAAGCGAGTGAGGGTGAACTTGGACTGTTGTACGCGAGGCGAGGTTCCTCAAGTCGGGTGTCCGCTAAATGAGTCTTGCAATGTTCTCGAATGCAAATAGAACCCCAAACACCAATATCATCATAAAAGTCGTTCGACCAATAGATTATCCAAGAATCATGGGTCGTAAAGCCATGCAAAGCGCATGGGCGGACGGAGCCGCGGAGAAGTGAAGATAGTTGAGTTTCCAAACCAAGACTAGTAGGAAAGCATGCGGCGGCCAGGAAAGCGATTGCCGGGGCTGTCATTAAATGGGGACGCGAGGAGTTTGCGATCACCGGGCCCGTTCCTACACCTTCCTGTAGGGCTGTCTTCCATATCCGGCGACTGTTGACCGAAGGCAAATGTTTGAGCCCGACTCAACTTGGACCGTTGCTTGACCTTCCCAAGGCCGCGCTCACAGGCAAACTCATGCTCCTTGGCAGACATTTCAACGTAGTTTTGAGGAAAGCACAGTGATCGATGCTCGGCAAAGAAGCCGCTGTAACCTCCTTCAAGGATGTACATATCTGGATAAGAGAGTTGCGGGTACGAATCCACGTTGTAAGCACGATCCCGATGCCGAATAAATTTGGCCATAAGAGGTGCTCTGTGTACTGAGTACTCGCAGTGGAAGACGATCGCTGTCCGTGGTCTGGGATCCGCAAAAAGCTCGGCTGCCAGGTTCTCCTTGTCGTTGTAATTGATAGCCCCGACAATGTGCCCGCCTTCGTACTCATATTCGAATCGGCAATCGATGATCATGATATTGTCGAACAGTTCATTGTATTTCCCGCCCTTGATTTCCACGAGGGTGGCCTTGTCGATGCGAGGTAGATTGTCTGCTTGCTCCTCAGGTATAAAGTGAGGCAGCTGCAGAGCTTGTGTTTCTTCGAAGTCACTGATGGACTGGAGTGGTGCATTTGATGTATAAGAAACCTCGCTGTCGGCAATTACATCCTCGGGATGTTCGTACATACTCAATGATCGTCTGCATTGCTTGCGGGGCCGCATGTTCGGGTGAGAACTCTTTCGAATTGAAGCCGCCGATGGTGATCCATTGCCGCGGACATGACTACCGCTTCCTAATGTCGGTCTCAGACGCGAGTTAAGGCCGCTGGTTGAATTAATCCGCATCATGGGTCGTTCACGCTGAGGCGATTCGCCAAACATGTCCTCCAGCGACGCCGCTACGCCCAATGAAGTCTTGTTGGTCCCGTTGGTCTGGAACTTGAAGGGAGGTCCTTGGCTTTCCGGGGCGGGTTTCGCCATGCCGACCTGAAAGGACTGAGCTTTGCTCCGAGTAAGGCTAGGCCGTAAAAAGGTTGGACGTCTTCTCCTAAAGTAGACCATGATTAGACCCTCACGAGCAATGAACAGTCCCTCAAGTCTCCTCTTACTCTTGTTTACCATCCTTCGGTGGAACCGTGGGCGACTCAGGAACAAGGCCGTCATTCGACATCATAACCGTGTCCATTGGGGAGAGGTCAAGTGTCGGCGAGTTCAGCTCGATCTCGGTTGTACTAGCGAATGGAGGCTTATGAGGTAGTGGAGACATGTCCATGATATCCATCGCGGGGGCAGGTGACGAGGACGGAAGAGGAGGAGTGGTCATAGCATCTTCGATACCTAGATATATATATACGTTAGTCCCGGCCGTTTTCGTCCAAGTAAACATAAGCCCTTACCACCTCTCTTCCCATTCCCAAGCAGGCACGCGGAGAACAAAGACCGTCGGGGCGTAGCAACCTGGGGGCTAAAGTCTTTGGTGTTAGCATGTTTTCTTTGGCAGCACGAACAAAGGGAGGAATCGCTGCGGAAAAAAGAAGACGAACCTTTGATCGATGTGAAAATTCTGAGATAGATCCGCAGCAAGGCTCGCTGTTGGAGATGAGCCCCGAACCAGCTTTGTACCGAAGTAGTCTCCGTTAGATCTTTTCATGGACAGGTCCTTGAAGTTGAATCCGCCCGGGCCTAGTCCGGGTAAAGGACTAAATCCATGGTAAGACGATGCAGCATCCGAGCGAAAACAATGTCCAAGCATTACAGACGGAGGCTGCATGGCGGCTAACGGGGAGGAATGTTCCATGGTTGCAGAAGACGATTTTCCTATAGCCCTCTAACCATGTAGTCCGACTGTCCGGGTGCAAGGAACGGCGATGCTATCTAGGGCATACGCTACGACGGCGAAATTGATGGAAGCAGTCACGGTAAACTAGACGTCCAGTATTTCCCAATTGCAGCTGATCGAATTCCGGCCTCAGAAAAACCCTTCAAAACGGTTCCGAACTCGCAGTGGGCCAGCATGTACCGGGGACTTCCTGGTGACGGAACCGGGCTACAGCGACATGACTGGCAGGATCAAGCAAGGTGAGGGAGGAGGAGACGAGGTATGGAAGCGGGGGGGAGCTAGGAAAAGCACAGAGTCATCAGTAAAATGCCCGAGCAATGCAATATCGCCAGGGGAAGTGCACATCAATCTGTACACTGGTACGCTAATGCAATGGCGAATACATACCGAGAAGCGGAACGGTTCCAGGCGAGGATGAGGGCCAGAGATTAGCCGCGGACGAGGGCGGCCTTAAGAGATGGAGGAGGAGAAGAGGAGGAGGAAGGGATGTGCGGATTCAAGAGGAGAAGAGAGGAGAGGAAAACGGCGTTCAAAAAGTGATGCGTTGAAGGGATGTTGTTGCAGCAACGCAAAGTGGGGAGCCGATCTATGCTCACAGTGTAGCTTAAGCGACGGTATTGTACGGCGCTTACAGGGTCGCCATTTCGGCCTCCAGTCAAGGGTTTTCCATCTGGTTTACTATCATCTGTATTTAGACCTTACTGAATACTATGCTGGTCTCTTATAACGCCTTTCCGACCCTTTGCGACCGATAAAGGGTTGTGGCTGGCCCAGAATGTAGGTACGGGACAGGTACGATACGGCGTACATAGCGCTCTCCGACTGTGTCAGGCTGATGTCACGAGCAGTGGAATCTCGCTCTGGCCCAAATGTCGCAGTTTGCTTCAGAATGCCTCCAGATCATTTGCTTCATCGACGCTCGTTGCCGGGACTCCCTTACCGCCAGCTCAGCACTAGTTCCGCCAGCGTATCAGCACAGGGCTGCGCTTGGAGAGGCTGCCGGGGCTGGCTGAGCACGATCCAAGAGGATTAGCCTCTGCGACGGTACCTGAGCGCTGGAGTGGGATCCTGACTCCGGCCTGTCGCTTTTGACAGGCTCACTGTGTGACCTGAAACTCCTTCCAGAAAGCAAACTTCTCTCCCTTTGTCTCGGTCGTGAAGCTCTAATTGCCTCAAGGGTTCTAACTTTAGGTAATATTCCCCAGACTCCTGGCATATGCACTCCTCCCTTTTTAGGTGTCGACAAAGAGACTGACCGCACTCTCCAGGGCGTTGGCTGTTGAGCCTTTTGATGGGAAACCGCTCTGCCCGACCGTCCCGTGTCTTTGAATTTTTCGTTTCTTTTTTTCTCTGTTTTCCGTTTTTATACATCACGGCCAGTCTAAACTGGAGATCGTATCTCATAAAATGCTCCACCTGCTCCACCTGCTCGGAAAAAGAGCTTTCAGGAACGGCCGAAGAGCGTCCAGCCGCGCATGAGACTCGGTATTCGTGCCAGACTCCATGGTCCTGCATACTTCTACGAATATAAAGCTTCTCATTGGTAGGAGCTTCTCATTGGTAGGAGCTTGGGTCATAATTGCGAGCGATAATGGTGGCAGATCCGTCTTGATATCCCCGGACTATACCAGCTCCCAGTTGCAACTCGCAAGTGTAATACAGAGTATAGCGTTATGTCATTCTCATCGGAGAAAACTGCCTTGCAAGTTAGCACTGGATGATTTCATTGAGCCTCGATTATTCCGCTCGATGATCGTCCTGCCTGGAACCTGGAATCCTGCATTGCGCACGACCGGCTCCTCAGGCCAATGCATGCTTCCCTTACGCAACCCGTTATCAACTTATCGCTCGAGTCCCTGCATAGGGATACCGATACCACCCTATCGTTAGTCGGATTATCTCTATAATTGTTCCTTGGTTGCATCCTCCCGCTTCGAGCGCCATTGCTTGCTGGAGTTGGGGTCGGTAAAACAGCCTCGGCGTCACCGACGGCAGAGCTAGCTAGCTAGACCCGGGGAAGCTCCTCAGCTGAAAAGCGTCATCGACCCCAAAACCTGCCTTGTGTCCTTGTCACGATGGGTCTTAGACTCTTGCCGTCTCTCGTGTCTGGATTGCACGCATGGAGTCTCAACCCGTTAGAATAAGTTTGCTGCTAATCTATATGCCTCTCAGTGACTATCGTCTATCATCTCCACTCCAGGATCTGTAGAGCTCGCTCTCATCTCATGATCATGATCTGACTCGGAGGCTCTTCATCGGGAATAGTTCAATCAACAATCAGGCTATCGAGCCATCAGCCCGCTGAGAAGCTCCGCCACACCTCGTGGGATTCGCGAATCACGCCGTCGCCTCGAATTATTAGCATCGATGATTGCATCAATAGCCCCTCATTTTAAAGCTTTCTATCTTATCCGAGGTTCTATTATTGTTGCAGAGCCCCTCATCTTGAGACGCCGGTCGACCTGAGGCACGTCCTCTCCACAGCTGAAGGCTCTGGGCCTTCCTCCATAGCAATTGGCGGAGTTGCGGCTGATCCGGCCGTTCGCCTGTCGCGCCTGAAGCCTCTATCTCGGTACGGGTGCCCGGCGGTGACTACAGGTGGCTTCACTTAAGGCTTCCATAGCTTCGACATTCGACAAAGCAAGCCGTGCGGAGCTCTTGTTCTTCCCGTTGGACCAATGTTCAGTTCTTGCATGATTCATTGTTCATAGAACACCCGTGGCTCCCGCCCAGACCACTGTACACAGACCACCGTCCGGCAACTACTCCGTACACTGCGGGAAATCTGACGTCAGATCAGCCGTCCCTCGAGCGCAAAACATGTTTCCAGCCCATCTCTGACGCAGATAGCCAATGTTATTGTTGTATTGATGTCGCGCAGCAATCACAGCGAGAAGCTCTACGATTGGCTTGACTGTCGGCCTTCCAAACACGCCCGCTGGCCGTGTGCGGGGTCACGGCCATGGAATTCAGGCTCATTGGGCCATGTGTCGATGTTAGCGCCCAAACTATGCAGTCAAACTTTAGCCTGCGACTCTATCTCGTCATTGTTGTTGTTGTTCTATCTTGGGCATCGGCTGATACTTCCAAGTTTCGATGTAAACATCTCGATGTCGCGTTCCATCGATCCATGGATCGCATTATCTAAGGTTTTGCAGCCTTAGGCACATTTTCCGCGTTACCTCATGTTACCGTTTTGCGGTATCGCTCTTCCCCAGAGAACATCCCTCACTCTAGGTCAAGGAGTAAATTATTGACCATTCCCCTTCCATTCGCTAGAGAATACGGCGGGCGACATACCAATAATCGACATTAACCGAGTTTGGTCCACTACTCGGCGAATGCTCTCACGAACGAATTGCTTACTGCCCCGTCTGCGCTCTTTGGTCTGGCGAGTCGGCCTGGAGAGATCTGCAGAACTATCGTATCCGGTCCAGATCGCGCCGTGCCCATGTGCCACGGCGCGCTCTTCATAATCTTAAGTCCATCGAGTGCTAGAGGTGACCAAAATTTGATGTTCTGGATCCTCACTTCCCTCGCAACATCTCCTTCCAAACCAGGTCTAGTCAGGGCTCGATCTTCATTCTCGCCTGGGCAGGGCTTGACTACGTACAGAAATCGATAGACCACGGGGTACAGGGAATCTAAGCACTCTACGTGCAAGGAGTCAAGGACTCCTCACTTGGAGTCCTAGAACTATCGCTATTGCTTGTTATGAGTACGAACAAATGCTCGCTCTTCAAAATCCATGTCCCCATGGCTCTAGTTCCGTCAGAAGCCCTCAGTCAGCGCTTTGTACAGCGGACAATTCTGACCGAGCCCGATGCTAGATGCGGGAATCCTCTTCGCCTTACTCCTCAGATCAAAGGTCTCTTGCCTTGAATGTGATGTTGCATATTCGTGATGATATGTGACACTTTTGTCCTTTGGCGTCACTCGACAAGATAGACTCGATCTGAGGCTTGAACAGCTTCAGAATACCAGTGGCAAGCTTCATGCGCCTCGCGGTTAGCATTAATGCCGTTTGGTAGCGCTTGTTCTACGTTGTCAAGGCAGAGTGTTTCTTCAAATATAATTTGGCGGCATTTGCACAGAGACACTACCAACATTAATGACAGGTGGGTGATATGCGATAACTAGTTCGTTCAAGTTGCGTACCTTTGAGTTACCCTAGATAGGTTCGGACATTTCAGTTTTTTGATTTACAACCTTCCTCAAATCCTCAGTTTCGAAGTTTGGACAGCGACAGCCCAATTGATACGATGCCAGGTACTCGGTGCAACTTCACTATTTAAGCAAAATCGAACGTCTGGCGCAACTTGCTTAGCTTTGCCTGTCGCAGTGGGAGCTTAGTTGCTTGGTTTGGCAGACTCAACCCCTTTCAACTCCCTCGAAAGGAGCTGCTACACCAACAGTGGCCTTAACCCGCATAAACTACCGGAAGAAGCCCTGCAGACAAGTTCCCCTTGCTCAAAACCCCCCAGTCTCAGCTGAGGAACGGGAGCTACCAATCAAGCTCTACACCAGGTACGCTTGTGGGGTGAAACGCAACTGGTATGCGAGGGACCCGTCTAGCCCCGTCTAGCCAACGGAGTACAATTACATCTTCCAAAGCAATCGAATCAACCCTTGCTCTGATTTAGCCGCGATCTACATTCCTTGATATAGCTTTAATCTTTATTCTCACGGCCGGGGTAACGAACGTACCCAAGGCGACGCCGCGCTAAAAGAAAACGCTCGGAATGTTCAAGTCATGCGGGATATGAGCCATGGCTTGCTTTCTGTTCTCTTCAGAACATGCATTGCTCGCTCATCGAGGGTCGGGTTACTACATGCTGCATGGAGCAGCTCCGCGGATTGATCAAGTAGCACTCGCTTGGCTTTGCCTTGCAAGCGCATGAGGGGAGCGTTTCCCGGGATTCCAAATGTCATGCAGTACTATATCATTGAGCGGCAATAGCCACCATACTAACCCAACAAGATGACTTCCGCTTCATCTTGGGCAGCGTGCTGACTTCTGTGATCAGCCAGATTGCCGAGACAAGCAGTCTCACTTGACAGCTCCATTACCTAAGGCTTGCCGCGTTCCCTGAATTGCATTCCGTATGCCAACGTTTCAATTGCCAGCTCATGGGGATATCACGGATGCGACGCTTAGCAAGGACTCGCAGGGCTTCGGTAGAGTCTACACTGAGCCTCCAGATTACAAGCTAACGATTTTGGCGTCTGCACCGTACTAACATACATGTAAAATGGCATGCTACTACGGCCGAGGTCTTGCCGGTGCTTGGTTCACGACATCGAAGCGGTGTTTCTGTGTCGGTATGTGTCAATTCGGTGCTCGAACGCACCGATGAAGTGGCAATGGCTAGCGTTCTGATGATTCTTATACCCTAGAGCTTCTAGGCACGTCACAGCGTAGAGCACTCGAAGATAGTCTCTAATAATCTTCTAACACGTCAATTACACGATAAGGTAATTGACGGTCGAAACTATGTCTCGCAATGGATCGCTATAGTCCTGGAGCAACAGCAGTTGGTGTAGCTAGTCTTGATACAGTAGTACTTTATCTAGTAGTAGCTTCTTTGAAAAGTAGTTTCGTTCATTTAGGTCTCTGTTAGAATTAAGTTGATGCTCTCCGTGATAAACTTGAGCACTTTATATATTTGCCACAGTGATAGTATCACCCACGTCCACCGAGACAGCACCTACAAGATGAAGGCGCCGAAAATAATTCCCTGAGCTAGCTAGTATAGATGCCAGATATTCCTTTGATCGAACAAAGCAGCTCACTGCACAGAGTCTAAAAACATAGCTCTATAGCAAGGATCTTGATGCCTTAAGGCCACAATCTGATAACGCTAAGCCGTTCTCGGCCGATCTTCATAAATTTTCGCCGCAGCGCAGTCTCAAACCCGAGCTTCGTCAAGCCAACAGCAACCCTTTCCCCAAACTCGGGGTCTTTGAAATTTCCAGATAATAAAGGAGGAAACCCGGATTTTTCTTCCATAATAGTCAAATATGGCGCCGCACCACGCCGGCTCCAAAAAGCGGCGCCGCGAGCCCGTCAATGTCAACACCAAGCTGGTAGAGATCTACGAAGACCTCGCGAGCGAAAATGACGAGGTTAGACTCAAGGCGGCGCAGGCGCTCGTCTCGCAGTTCACGCCGGACAAGAACCCCACAGATGAGGAGATTCAGAAGGCGCTGCAGAGACTGTTCCGTGGGCTTTGTAGTAGTCGCAAGGCGGCGCGGATTGGGTTCTCGATTGCTTTGACTGAGGTGCTTTCGCAGGTCTTTGCTGCGGGGCGCTCGAGTGGGCTGAGTGTGCAGGGGGTGTTGGGGACTTGGGAGAATATTTCGAATGCTAGCGGGGGCGAGTCGGGGCAGGTGAGTAGCTTGTGCCTTTTCTTTTACGGACTGTTGGCGAGGGCTGTTTGTTGACTTTGGTGCAGGAAGCAAGAGATCACCATTTTGGTCGCCTTTTCGGTGCAGAGGCGATTATTAAATCTGGTGTCCTGTTTAGCCCTAAGGCTCTGATTCCTGAGTGGACGAAGGTCCTGGGGCTGGTCTTCGACCTGGCTAAGAAGAAGCCTTGGATTCGGGAGGAGTGCGGTTGGATTGTGTACCGCTCTATCCATGATCTTGCGTCTCAGAAGGCCGACGGTAAACTCGTGCAAGTTGCTCTCGAGGCCCTCTGCGCGAACGACTTGGCGCGAACACCGGAGGGTGTTGCAATTTGGCTGGCTGCTAAGGATCTCTTTCCTGGTATCAGCTTCCCGAGTAAAGTGTGGAAACATGACGACCCGCTAGACTCGAAGGAGCGGAGCCAGCTTGCAAAGGCGATGAAGGAGTCTTCTGGCGAGAGTGAGGAAGGAGAGAAAGGCGCAAAGTCTTCCGGCGTGTGGAACTCGAAGCTTCACTTTGCCTGGGATGCTGCACTACTGAGCTTGAATGGCACGAAGGAATCAAAGTCCCGTCTCAGCTTTGCCGATTTCTGGACAGAAGTGGTTGACAGTGAGTTACCCCTAGCAAGTTGATTGGCCCGATCTAATAAGTTTCAGATGGTCTATTTGCCTCTGCATCCTCAGAAGAACGGAAGTACTGGGGCTTCCTCCTGTTTGCCAAAGTGATCAACGAGCACAGCCTGCAATTGGCATCTAAGGTCTTCACAAAGAACCTGGTTAGATGTCTTACAAACCAGCTGGCTGTTAAGGACCGCTACCTGCACCGGATGGCAGTCAAGGCTGCCAAGGCCATCCAGGCCCGTGTAGCTAAGGAGCCCGAGTTTGCCGCAGCGTCTGTCAAGGGACTTATGGGCTCCGCAGGCTCTGTGAACTTTGACCACATCACAAAGACAAAGACGGTGGAGAAGATCGTGTCCGAGGCTAACCTGGAAGCCTTGAACACCATCCTGCCTTTGTTTGAGAAACTCGTTGCATCCCCTGGGACGGAAGACAGCAAGGCCGCTGCGTCAAGCCGTCAGGTTCTTGCGGGTCTGCTGTTGTCGATGGTTCGGGCCCGAGTGTCCGCTAGCGATGCAGCGGATGAGGCATCTGAGGCTGCGCTTGAAAAGGTTCTCTTCATATTCGCTCGTTTTGCATACTTCACGAGCGAAGAGGGCAAAAACGGTGCTCAGCCACCGTTCACGCAGCAGACCCAGGAGCTGTTCCGGAGCAGGATCAACTCGTCTCTGAACAGCATCATTGCTGCACAGAAGCATGCCGCTACACTTCCGTATGCAGTTGTGCGTAAGATCCGGGATGCGGTCAAATCGGAAGAGTATGGCAAGTTCATTATTAGCATGGACGATACTATCAAGGATGCAGTGAAAGGTGCATTCAAGGCGCTGAAGAAACTGTCGAGCATGGTGGGTACTCTCAAGGATAAATAAAGAGTTTGTACTGACGATCTATAGGACAAGAAGGAAAGCGCAGCCGGCGTTGACGCCTTCAAGCTCCTCTACTCTATGACAGTCCTGCAAGTCTACAATGGTGACGCAGATGCCGTGTCTATGCTGGGTGAACTGGACTTCTGCTACAACAAGATCTTCGCGGACAAGAAGTCCAAGAAGGACGAAGAGACCTCGGAAGCTTCAGATGCCCTCGTTGAGATCCTTCTGAGTTTTGCTTCGAAGCCATCTCAACTTTTCCGTCGTATGAGCGAGCAAGTCTTTACTGCGTTTGCTCCCAATGTCACAGCCACTGGTCTGGAGTCACTGACTTCGGTACAGCACACTTTCCCACCGTTTAACAACTTTGAACTAACAGCGTGTGTCTAGATCTTGGAAGCCAAAGAAAGCCTCGCAGGTCAACAGGAGATGTTCGACCAGCAAGACGATGAAGAGGACGCCGAGGAAGACGAAGACGGCGAAGACGAAGATATGATGGACGTTGACGAGATGGACAGCGACGTTGAAGTCGTTGAGCCCGAAGACGACGACGATGATGCCTCATCACCCTCAGACGAAGAAGCAGAAGGAGACGACGGAAACGACGAAGACGCTGCCGAGATTGCTGCTTTCGAAGCAAAACTCGCCGAAGCCCTCGGCACTCACCGCGCCGACCAAGACCTGAAAGAAGAGGAATCCGAATCCGACGAAGACATGGGCGACGACGAGATGGAAGAGATTGACACCGCGCTGGTCAAAGTCTTCAAAGCCCGCCGCGACGCCCTTAGCAAAAAGAACGACAAGAAGGACGCCAAGGAGACGATGGTTAACTTCAAGAACCGCGTCCTCGACCTCCTTGAGATCTACGTCAAGAACAAGCAATGTCATTCCTCGCTTCTCGCGCTCGATCTTATCCTGCCTCTTCTCCGCCTCACGCGTCGCTCATCGGTCAAGCAGATCAGCAACAAGGCGAACTCGGTGCTGCGTGAATACACGAAACTCTGCAAGGGCGCTTCGCTTCCGGCTTTAGAGTCTGATGATGTTGAGGCTGTGTGGGAACTCCTGAAGGCAATTCACGCCGAGGCGATGCACAGCGGGCCACCGGCGCATGCGTCTGGCTGCAGCCAGGCCAGTCTTCTGGTTGTGAAGGTTCTGACGGCGCATGACAAGAACGCCGTCAACGGGGTTGTGGATGTCTATGCCGAGACAAGGAAGGCCCAGCTGCTTAGCTCGAAGTGTCATGTGCAGCCCTCGTTCTTCACGGACTGGAACAACTGGTGTGTTTCGGCTGGAAGGGCGATGAAGAATTAGCTGTATTGATGGGAGAGCGCACTGTACATGAAAATTGTAGATATAGCACTAGTATCTCATGACATGAAATCTTTAATAGAATCTAAATTCTCATTGACTGGCGTATAAAGCCTACCACAAAAAGAAAGAATATATAGATTGTATGATGCATGTCCATATGGTATATCATGCAAACTGCCCTAAACCATAACCTCAACTAAAAACCCTTGATATAAAAATGCTCGCTCGTCTCCTCCAAAACCTCAAACCGCATCCCAACCCTAATCTCCCCCTCGGCCCTGGGCACCCCCAACATCCCAAAGCAAGGCTTATACTTCAACCCCGCATCAACGCGCCGATAACTCATCATCGTATCCCACGGCTGCGTCTTATGCTTCTCCGCAGTCACAGGATCAACATTAGGAACCTGGCACCGCCCACACCTCGCCACAATATCATACGTCAGACCTTCCTTCCCATGCCCCTTCTCAAGACTCTCTTCAGAAGGAGGCTCCGCGCCAATCCGCACCGTCTTCCACGAATCCTCAACCCACGCGCCGCCCTTGTGGCCCCGGATAATGATGTTCGGCCGGAACCGCTCAATGCTGATTTCCTCGTGGCCCTGGGCTCTGAGCCGACTATTTAGCTCCTCGATCGACGCCTGCGATGCAATAAGCACGGGCAGGACGTCCGGGAAATTCGTGTCTTGCACGCGTCCTAGGACCCGTGGGTCTCCGTTTCCTTTCAGAACACGCGGCGTGGGACCCTTGTAGACCAAGGCAACCGGGCGGTTCAGGAACTTCGAGAAGAGCGCGTTGACGCCAACGTCGGGGTTATACACGTATCCGTCTGTCGTCGTATCCCAAATCTTGATATCGTCCGCTAGGGTCGTGTGCGCCTTTAACCAGGATTCCGAGGGATGCGCTGGGATCGCGATACTCTCGGACCCTGACACAGAAAGAACCAGGGACTCCCCATCCTGGCTAAGCCCCGTGTTGATAAGCGTCATCTCGGGAATCTGCCGGATTGTCAGGAAGACGTGGGTTTTCTCGTCGACTAGCATCCAGCGGCGGTCGAGGTCGAGGCCTGTCATGCATTGCTTTGTGGAGGTTGTTTCGAACCCGCGGCAGGACTTGATGGGGTAGACGCGGAGGGAGATGATTTCGCTGGGGTTTGCGTTGGCCGCGGAGATGGCGTTGGAGGTGCGCTTGGATTTGGAGTTGAAGAGGCGCGTGAGGAGGAAGGCGATGAGGAGGAGGAGGCCCCCGGCAAGGAATGGCGTCATTTTCGCGGTGCTGGGTGGTTTATATATAGGGGTGGTTCATGAGTGGGAGTTGTTGAGAGAGCAGATAGCAACTCAGCCTCTCAATCTTTGGTTAATTCGATGGTGGATGCGTGCGGGGACTAAATTAGTAAATCCTCTGCGGAGGGAAAAATTCCGCGGTGGAGAGGATTTGCCGCTCTAAAAGGAGATGATCGACAAGAACAAGACTAAGAACTATAGAACACTTCTCTACGAGTCAAGAGGTCGAGTGTCACCCTCGAGATGTTTATATAAAAGGTCGCTATTGGGTTGACAAAGTCGTTATATGCGGAAATCCAAACGCCACAGCTGACCAGAGCAATCATGCGCTTCGCTGAAGAACCAAGCAATTATAAGACCAACGTGCTGGCTATACCTTCTCAACCCAACGATCAACCAGAGCCTTGATGAGCGCAATTGCTACTTGCTTCCCGGTCTCAACGTCCGCATCCCGGCATGACGAAGGCACATGGAAAAACGCAACGTTCCTGTCTCGGCCTTCGTGGAAAGCCAAGGATAGACTGGTGTAGAATATAAATTCACACAGATACCGGCCCGCGTCTTCTGAGATTCGAATGTCTGCACCTGGCGGACCGAGCGCCTGCCATGCCTTCAAGAATTCCTCGTCCGGCGGATGAGGGTTCAGGTTTGTCCGCGGCAATGTGAGATCTAGCTTCACAATTCGATCTTTCGTGGGATCGCTGCGCCCTGCCTTCAGGACGTGCGGAAGGCTCTTCTCTTTCCATATCTTCTCGCCATCCTCGTACCCCGCCCGCCCGTGGTTATCAGGCATGTTGTATGCGTCGCGATGCGCCTTCGACTCTATTGAGTAGTAATTCCGAGTCGCGGCGATGCCCATGTGGATGACTATGTCAGGATGCCGGCCATGAGTCTTGACATACTCTTCCATTATGATGGGGATTATTGTCTGGACCGCGGAGTACGCGACGGAGATGGGAGACGGATGGACATGGATTGCGACTCGGCGGGTGGCAGGTGTCCCGTCAAATGTGTCTATAGGTAAGGACAAGGACGGTGGAAGGGCCGACGCTATCAGATAAGACGCATTGACCACGTTGGACTTGAATGGCTAGGGAGGGTCAGCCATCCCGGATTGACGCCATCAATTCAAGTGAAGAGAAACATAGACTCACGCCGAAGCCTGTTACAAGTACCGAGATCTCCTCCGCATCTGCAGGAGACGAGGGAAGATCCCTCGGGAGTGGTGCGGTAGACAGATGTACACCTGCACCTGAGTCGCCCATGGTGAGAGGATAGATAAGGAAGGTGGGTGATCTGAGGCTACGTGGGAGAAGAACAGCGGCTATCCTGCAGATGAGACGATTATCTGGACAGCGCTGACGAGTAAGATATAAGAATGACAAAAGAGAGTTCGAGTGATTGCGAGGACAAAGAGAGTGGCGTTGCTCGAGTCGGAGTCCTCTTTGTCCTCGGAGCTTCCCCGCCTCCGCGTTGGGTGTCTTGGCATCACGCGATCTGTACAACGGCCACTGCCCTTGCTCCTTTTACAAATCCTTGTTTCATGACTCAATACAGATACTAGTTCTAGCGAGGTATGTGGTTTCAATGCTTGTCTCGAGAGCGAACGGAATAGCTAACGAATCAGGAAGCCCAGTCTTCTAATCGGCATCAACAATGAACAACAACTTAACACGGCCCACTACAGTCTACAGGGTATACCGAAAGGCCAAATCCTGCCTATCAGTAAGGTCACAGTCGGCAGTGCTATCATCCGATGCTACGGAGCTGAGGCGGTCTCGGCGACGGTTCTCATAACCTGCTGCTAGGCCAAAGGAAATGAACGACGCGATAGCGCAGCCCAACGATACAATGTCCGTGATGACTCCATCCGTATAGCGAGGCGGCTTGGTCCATAGCTGGGGACCTGCAATGCAGGCTGCTGCGTAAAGGATAAAATAGCCGTTGCTGGCCGCCGCCTTCTTGGTGTTTCCCTTGATATTTGAGGCGATCAAGCTCAGGAAAATTACTTGCGTTGGAGTCAAAATCGTGGCTAGCCAGGTGCAGACGACAATACCCCAGTGAGAGGACGAGGGTAGCGTAGCGACACCGATATTTCCGACGAGCGACGGGATGCATGCTAGAACACCCCACCAGTAACGTGGAAAGGACGTGACGCGGATACCGACGACGACAATCCAGATGAACAAAATCTGGATGGCACCTGCAGGCAGACTGACGAGCATGGTGTTGAGCTTGGACCAGCCAAACCCGTTGATGACCAACGTCGCGAACTATTTCCGTCACAGTTAGTTGGTGAATGGTCTGGAAAGAAAGGAGTCACCTACCTTGATGACTGGAGATGCCAAAGTGTTGAAAAAGCCACCGAGAATGAGCATCCACGCGCGGAAGTCGGTGATGATATCCCATATCTGGGCTTTGCTGAAACTTTGACGGTCTTGCGAGAGCCGCTCCGAGGATAATCGGGCTACGGCAATAGTTCGCTCATGCTCGTCGAGAAACCAGGCACTGTCGGGACCCAGAGGGGCTAGAACGAACCACACGATGCCGGCTAGAAGCGTACCTCCACCGCATACAAGAAACATGATCCTCCAGGTGGCGATCGCAGTATCCTTGGACAACCCGATACCGTACATGAGCAGCGCGCCGAGTATCTGGGACAGCCCGTTGCAGGAAATCCACGCTCTGTTCATAGCGTCTCAGTAGTGATCGTCGGAGGCTAGGTGAGACACTTACGCCAGTCGTATGGAATGTTCGTCCTTCTTGTACCAGCTGCTTACGATGATAACGAAAGCGGGCTGAATTGCAGCCTCAAAGAAGCCCAGCAATAGACGAACAGCTGTGAAACCCGCGAAGCCATTTGGAGCAGCCAGGCATGCAGCACATACGCCCCAAATTACCCTAAAGTCCCACGTTAGAGGTCCCCTTGAGTCGCTGTGTCATGCAACTTACACAATGCAGCCCACAAACCGAGTGACAGGGAAGCGACTCATCAAGTAGATGAAGACATATTGGGCAAGCAATTGGCCAAAGTAAAACGAGCTGACCGACCACGAGTACTGTCCGCTAGTCATGTTAAGGTCGTCCTTCAAATCGAAGACCGCCGCATATCCGATTGCCTGCTTGTCGAGGTCTTCCTGATCAGCCATGGCGCCTCTAAAAATGACTGTGGACTCACATTGAAAAAAATCAACAAGGCAGAGTAGAGGAAGAAGAGTGCGATCTATCTTTCGCAGGACACGTTGCTCCTCCTCTGGTGTATAGTGCACTTGGCCCACTTGGACATCGAGTTCCGCTTTTTCGACCTTGTCCGCCATGACTGATTGAAATTGGTGCGAGCCGATGGTGTGAGCTGGTGAGTATCCGGGCAATCCATTTATACTGGTGACAGAGAGGATGGTTATCGAAAAGGCGTTCGGCTCGATGACATGATAGCGCTTCGGCACCGGACCCGACACCATGTCGACAAGATAGCCACAATAATTCGGGTCCTGCACCCGACTATCTCGCAAAGGATAAATAGAGGTCAACTTATCGTTGTGTTTTCCTTGCATCACCTTGACTAAATCAGAGTACCATGACTTGCATCACCAAGGCTGCAATCAACCACCCGGCGACGAGTCGGACTGACGGTGTCGTTGGAGATAAGCCATGGCTGCTACCTCAACACCGACCAATGTGCTTGGTTAACGCCAAAGTCATTGATCCCGTGGAAGGGAAGGTCATTGAGAGCGCTACTGTCACTGCTCGCAACGGGCGTATCACCAGCATGTTTATTGGCTCCCCGAACTCGATATCATCGACAGAAGAGGACACATTGATCGTTGACCTACAGGGCAAGTACATATGCCCGGGACTCATAGACGGTCATGTACACATCACGGCCACGCCCGGAGAAGCCGACCTCAAGAGCACATACAAAAACATACCCGCCGCTACAAACAACTACCGCACCATCTTCTTGGCCCGGGAGATGTTACGAAGAGGGTTCACCACGGCTCGGGACTGCGGAGGAGCTGACGGAGCGCTTAAAGAGGCAATCGAGGAATGGCTGGTCGTCGGACCACGACTGATCATTGCTGGACATGCCCTTTCGCAAACTGGCGGCCACGGCGATCAGCGCGCCTCTTTCTCTGATGAGGACCCTACACTCAAATGCTGCGCTGGCCACCGATCCGGTATTGGGCGTCTTTGCGACGGTCCAACCGAGTGTACGGTAGCGGTTCGAGACGAGATCCGCAAAGGCGCTGACTTCATCAAGATCATGGGAGGAGGAGGCATCGCGAGTCGCCTTAGCAACCTGGCCCATCCCCAATTTCTTCCAGCAGAGCTAGAGGCTATCACCGCCACGGCGGCAAGCTTCGACACGTATGTGACGGCACATGCTTACACGGTCCGCGCCATGAGACATATGATCGCCCATGGTGTAAAAGGCATTGAACACGGGAACTTCCTCGACCGGGAAACCGCGCAGCTCATGGTTGAAAAGGGTATCTGGCTGACTCCAACCTTGGCAACTCACGAAGCACTGGCCACACCTCCTTACGATCGTTTCCTGAATGAGGCGTGCCAGGCCAAGAACCAGGCAGTCATGGGATCAGGGTTGGAGGCGTTGAAGGTCGCATCTGAGGTTGGAGTACAGGTCTGCTTCGGGTCAGATTTGATCGCGGGCATGCATCAATTCCAGCGGAGGGAGTTTGCCATTCGATCCCAGATATTGTCAGCATTGTCAATATTACAGAGTGCCACTGTGACCTGTGCAAAGATGATAGGACGGGAGCACGAGCTGGGTCAGATAAAGGAGGGCTTTTTGGCAGACATGGTGATCCTCGACCATAACCCGTTGGAAGACATTACGGTTTTCGATAGCCCGGATACCGTCCTGGCGGTCGTGAAAGAAGGACATGTTGCTTTTAGTTCATTAGTTAGCTTGCCGGTCACGATTGAACCACGCCCATGGTAGCAAATTGAAGCAATTGACCCTCATTAAGCGTTAAGATGCCACAGCCAGTAGCAGATCACCTGATGGCGCAGCGAGGCAGGCACATCTAGGTACTCCAACTCCAACCCCAACCCCAACCCCTCCCCGCTCTCCACTTTCCTTTCACTCCCCGTGTTGCAACTCAGAACCCCGATAATGGACCGAACCACTCCTAGCCCCTCAAGATGTCGTCGCAGAAGGCCCATTGTGCCGAATGACCAGCGAAAGCGTGTCAGAAAAGCGTCTGAAACCACTCAGGCTGAACCGGATCAACGGACGATGGAGCTAATGCAGCTATAGATGCGACCCCTGCCGGTCCAACAAGCTAAAATGCGATGGCTGTGACCCTTGCCAAAGATGTCTGAAAACACATCGTCCCTGCCGGAGCCCGGGTCGACTTCGCCTTTTGAAGCAGAGCTCCTCTTACGGACAATCCTCCGTGAACACCATATCCTTGTCCCCGAAGACTTGGATGAACTGAGGAGATATGTCGGGACCATCGGCAGACAGAATGGCATGGCTCAGCAAGAGCATGAAGATGGGACAGTGATCAATGTGGAAGATCTTTCGACGACGCATACCTATGTTCACGATCAGGGAAAGACATGTAAAAACCTCCCGCACCTACTATCTCTATATCAAGCTTACTTCTACAAGTCTTTGACGCCTCCTGCTCTGCCTGGGCTTTCTTCGACAGCGTCAGGGAGACCGTCGCTGGTGAGAAGTCGCACCTACCGAGCGAGAAGGAGAAGAAAACTGCCTATAAGCACTTCATCACTGATACCCCGAGTCAGACCATGTTCAATGGGCGGATGAGCCTCCTCGCTGCGTTGCCGCCACAACCAGTTATCGATTTTCTGGCTGCGTCTTTCTTTCGATACTCTCAGTCCAACTACTTCATCATCCATCCGGTAATATTTAGCAGAAAGCTGGCGGCCTTCATAGATGGTAACCAGGAGTTCGACCCAAATCCAACAACTGGACGATGCCGGTCCTCTTCAGACTTCCCGTGCATTCTGTTCATGGTGCTAGCCATCGGCGCTCAGTACGCAGATCTGGAGCAAGGACAAAGCGACGAGAGCGAGAGCTCTAAATGTAGCAGCAAGATACCTCCTTCAGGCTCCGAGGTCGTGCCAAAACCAGAAAGAAACCCTGGCTGGCCATTTTACCAAATATCCAAGCGTCTCCTAGCTGACGTGGTTTCCTCATGTTCCATGACCAGCGTGCAGGCATGTTTGCTTCAAGGCGCGTTCCTGATGACTACAACCGCCCACGACGCAGCATATAATCTCCTCGGGGTTGCAATGCGGATGGCAATAAACATGGGAATGCACCGGCATAATAGAACAAACAGCCTACATCCGCGAGTGCATGAGCTTCGTAACCGGCTTTGGTGGAGTGTATATGCTCTTGAGCGCCTCTTTACGTTCCAGCTCGGACGGCCGATTATGATTGAAGACGACGAGATTGACACGCCATTCCCGGTTGATCTTCCTGAATTGCAGGTTCCTGAGTATACTAGCACCGTGATAAATGGCCAAATCGCGATTGTTAAAATTCTACAAATTGAAGGTCGGATTCTCGAGACAATGTACCCCGGCAAGGTCCTCGCGAGCCATGGCCGGGTTATCGACGTCCAAGTCTTCAAAGCCCTTATTACCGAGTTAGAAGATTGGCGAAAGACCTTACCTACAAAGCTGCTTTTATCATCATCATCAACAAGGGGAGTTATACACCTCCATCTGACATATGAACATGCCGTAATGCTCCTCAGCAGAACAGCACTTACCCACATGGCATCCTTGTGCAGCACATCAAGACGCTCAAAACGTCAAACAACGCCAACAACGATGCACACCTCATTCCTCCAAAGCGCAGCAAAGGACTGCCTGGTTGCAGCATCCTCTACTATATCCCTCTTCCAAGCTCTTAGACGACGGAAGCTCCTCTGCTCGTACTCATGCCTGGACCCGCTCTACTGCAGCGGCGCACTGCACGTTCTCCTTCTGGGAGCAAAGATTGAGGCACCAGACTCTCTAACCAGAAAAACAATAATGGAGGGTATCAGTGTGCTTCGAGAGCTTGCCAAGGGAAGCGAGACCGCGGCAGCATCGCTGAAGCATATTGAATGAGGAACCTAGACCAAATGTGATTAGTAACAGTGCAGATTTCTGTTTTCCCTATTCAAATACTCTCGAAGGGCTTCCTGAACCGCCGTACTGGCTGTCAGACCTTGGTCACCATGATAATATGCTTGAATGGGACTTTACAGGCATATCAATTGAAAGAAACGTTGGTTTTGAAACAGGCTAGGATTGTGAATCATTGAGAAGAAACATGAATATAGGGCTAGCATTTTACAAATCATGTCCTGCATGGAGCGGACCGCAGCCTTCTGCCAAAGGCAGTGTCGCAAACTATTGTATATGCGATAAAGCGCCATCCGAGTGCATGAAATACTATACAAAAGACAATCAATTGGTCCCGCACCAACTCCAATCTGGTTCAAGATCATTTGATCCCCACCCGGGGAACCCACGCTCACCCGCCCACTCCCACGGTTCCCTCCGCAGATCCTCAAGAACAGAGCAATCCTTGAAATCCGGACAAAAGACCGCGCCTTGTCTCCTCAGCGCCATACATCGCTCCTCCATACTCAACGCATTCAACACAATTGACATGTTCTCCGGAAACCTGCCTTCCCCATCGGGCGCAAGAACCAGCACACCCCCCGTCTCAGGGAAGCCGACGTACCGCCGAATCTCGAACACGGGAGCTAGGTCCTCCAACGGCGCGCAGTGCATCTTTCCGTTCTCGTCTGGTAGAATGGGTATCTCGTCCGCGGAGATATTGTACCATTCACCCCCGAACACTCGTAACCGGTGGCAGAAGGACTCTTCTTCGTCGGTGTTCCACGATCGCTCTGAGGAGTCGAAGCGGTTGATACTGAGGTGTTGTAGTTCCAAAGGACCAAGCTCGGATACCCAGATTCCGCCTGAGGACGGATAGCAGGATGTTAGGCCGGTGGTGATGGAGTGCCGGGTCGTTGGGAGGGTACATCTCGGTATATTTCGGCTCACATTATTGCTGCTGTCGTCGAGCCAGACACCCGGAGACTTATTGGTAGATGATGCCTGTTCAGTTTGTCGGTGCCAGGAACTAAACCTAGCACCCAGATGATCCCAAATCCAGGCTTCTTGCGGCCAGGAACATTGGGGACACGAAATTTCCTGAATTGCGATGACGAGAAGTATTGGAAACAATAGAGTCAAGACAATCCTCAGCGTTTTTGGAACCCAGCCAGATCCTGTTGGACCACCCATGTTCGTGATTGGCTACCTAGGGTTGGCTGATAATGACTCCTATGGTTGTTTTCGAATGTGCTCAGGGAGGTATAAGAATAGGGCTGCTAGGCACATATAGTGTGCCCCGACTTCCTTTTGGCCACGTTCATCAGATTCCTGAGAGATGAAACCAAGTGCGCAAGTAGGGCTACGAGGCCCTCCTCTGATTGGCATAGACGCAAAGGCCGTAATCCGCCCGACTACCTGATTGAGTTCGGACGAGCGCTGTCGCGATTGTACGGTGTAAAAGACGTGATTAGTCAATTCGCAGGATCTCGAAACCAAGAGTCAGACTGGTAGGTGGTAGGAGTAGCGCCCTGGGACGGACGAGGCTGTGTCTTTACGATAGATATCAGACCACAGTGGCCTTCGAGATACGGTCGTTGAGGAGGGTTATGCGGAACTTGAGGATCGCGATCCCTGTAAAGCGCGCGCTTAGCTGCATACATACTACTACTAGACATAGGCAGTATGGCGTGTCGGTAAGTGTGTGTCGTGGGCTTGGAAGGACGGCAACCTTAGGACTTCTACAAGGGATAGACGCTGGGATTGTCAGTGCCGGTTTAGCTAACGATGACAATTCGAAATTTCGTGTCTTGGCGACTTAAGAGGTCGGATTAAGCTGGGTGATGGTGGATTGCAGATTGACCTAGGAGGGTCGAGTTAGGGCTTGGACTCGTGGCGGAAGCCCTAACTCGACTTGTACGAGGCTTGATTACTCGCGGAGTACGGAGTACGAGGTATCGCTTCAGCCATCTGAGGAGCCTTTCACGCAGCCTTTTCCGTGAGTTGTATCGTAAGATCAGGCATAAATATTTGGATTGGGGTTACCTAGCATGGTAGCGATGGGTTCCTTATACATCGAGTCTTGAAGGTGCAGAGCCTGGCCGCACGAACAGGACATGGCTCTGAGACACCGAGTGCTAGTTCAATCTGCTGTCGCTGAATGAGGTATCCATATCATGCCAATTCGATTACCTTGTTATTGCTTCTCTCCGACAAGGCTGCGGCGCATCGTCGTCCTAGACACAGTGTCGGTAAGTCAGCGATCCTGCAAGGGGTCTGCGGCCCTGGTCATATCAACATCCCATCGCATCGTTGTGACCTAATTTTGAAGGACCGGGCACCGACTACACTCGGCGGCCTCTGACCAGGTAAAGCAGTGCTTCCCAATCTGCAAGGCATGGGATCTCCAGTGCGACCCGAATGGACTGGTTCGGATCTGGATCCGGGTAACCTGTATGGGTGAAACAGGCGGGGTTCTAAACTGGACGGTTGTTTTGATAGAAGGAGGCTCGTGGGAACGCGTTCTTTGTCTAACCTTGCATTTTCAACAGCTTAGAATGCGACTTGTATGTAGTGAGTCTCCGGTCCGGCTTCCGAAGTCCTGGACTCCATTTGGACTTGCATAACATCACGTACTGGAGCTGGGCACGGGATTCAGGCAAACCGGGGCTTCGGCTAATGGCAGCGCAGACTCGAGGCATGAGTGAGACGCGTAGGAGTGTTGTTAACCATAATAGCTGGCAAGTACCTATGGCAACGAGGTACGTAGCAGGTTGTTGGCAACTTGTTGAATCCATCTGACTCGCGAGTGGATAGCCTTCTAGGCTTGGATCAGGGCAGACGGGGCAAGAGCCTGTAATTCGGAGATTGGACAGTTGTACAATTCACGTACCCCGTCGAGTATAGTTGTACACTTTGACGCATCGCGCATCAATGCCAGTTTAGTACCATTACAGCGACATTCAACTGAAAGCCCGGTAGTCTAGCACGGCTTTCGAGTCCAAGTCAAGTGATCATGAACGACTGCGGGCGAGTAAGACTGTAAGACACGCTCATGCTATAAATAGGTAGCGGTCAAGAACCAAGATCAAGTTGATCAACTTTTTGGTTCCTGCAGTGGAGAGCTTGAAGCTCCATCGTTCATCTGCATTTGGGTGTCTGTCACACCGTCACACCGGTTTGGCGGGAAGTCGCGTGCTGGTACGGTAAGGTTACGTGTATTTTATTGACGCGGGCAAGCGCGATTTTTCGTGTAGGAACGCGCTTACCCCGCTTGACGTCCGCGTTGGCCCCACTCCGCAGCACTGGCCCGACACGATTCAGACAGAGCACGAGCACTTGTACGGACTCTACGGAGTAGATACTCTGTAGAATGAGACAGTGCCTGATCATATTAGCATCAGGTCGGGCTGAACGGCATCTGCTCTTGAAGACATCTGTCCTCTTCGTCCGTTCTCATCTGTGCCTGATCGGAGGATCAGACCCAGTATGACTCTTCGCCTACGTGGGCTCGCCGCTCGTGGGCGTGGCCGTGTCGTGGACTGAGGCCGGTAGTAAGCTAATGCAAGCCGAGCCCACCGAGCGTGCTAGCCTGGCATGTTTCTGCAGCGAGTCTTTGGATTCGAATTTGAGCACCGGGGTGATCATTGATCACACGGCACTTGGGGCTGTACTCCGTACACCGTACATTCCTCGTGCGTTGGATGACACACTAAGACGAGTAGAGTGGCGAGATCAGTTCTCGCTAAACTAGATGATCGGGTCCGCGGTATGAGGCACAGAGTGCGGAGTATAGATTCGAGGATTGAGACACGGACTGGACTCGAGACACAAAAGCAAAGAACGCTGAAGATGAGCGTTGATGTGCAGATCCCTTGCATTGTATACTGAGTCCCTAAACGGCTCCACGGGATCAATGCGATTTGTCGGTGCTCAGCATAGTTGGGCGCGGTGAGGCTGCCAATGACAATGTCAGTCTGTTAGGTATTCATTCGGTACAGAGGATGGAGGGATCAATAGAAGCTAGCGAGCGAGTAGATACCTTGGTAGAGTAGATCTGGAGGCTGGAATCGAATCAATCGATTGATTGAATCATCGCATTCCAGAGTCTGGACTGGAATGTGAGCGTGGTCGTGATCGATGGACCCGTTAATCGCATTAATAGTGGGACTGAACTGCTGAAGCTTAGAAGTGCTGGCTGTGCCTGACCGAGCCTGAGCCTGAGCCTGAGGCCCGTGACTGCCGCGCTGCCCGGCCGCCGTCTTCCTTCGCCTCGCCCGTCCTGGTCGCTTCCCTTCCTCTCCATCCCCAGCCTCCTCGTCTGCTCCGGCTTTAGTTTCTCCTGCGGGCGTCACGCTCGTGCGATTCCATCCCTACCGTTTCCTTCCGTTTCCTTTGTGCTGGTCTGGCGTCTTCGTGCCTCAATGACGGGCCCAACTCCCTTGCTGTGACCTACTGTCCGACGGAGCGCAACCCGTTCGATGTGATCTGATCAACCTCCACCACTGTCGCATTTCGCAATATACAGCGGTCCCATCGCATCGACTCGCGAATTCGATCGCTTCCTCCTCATCCGACCACTCGCATCTTGACGATCTAGTTTCCTTTCATCTTTCTTTTGCCGCTTTCCTAGTTTACGACTTTACGATCCCCCGAACACGCCTATACTACCTACACTACTCCTACAATCCTCGTTCTTCCGGACGATTTGCTTCTCTACGAACCATATATTATCACCGGTATATCGCGCTTGGCTTGCTGATCGACGGACTTGCGCGTACACTCGATACCCGACAGAAGAGAAGTTGAACCGCGGATTACATCGCCGGAAAGACAGTCATTGAATAGACCAAAGGCTCCAATAAGCGAAGCGATGCTAGCATAGGAGAGCGACCCATTTCCGATAAACAAAAAAATACGCTCTCTCCGATTGTCCTCGCCCGTGAGAACCGTACAAGACGCGACACACCATGGCCGACCGACAGCACGGTCTGTCGCGCACTCTGCCGAAGGACTTTACCTACCCTTCCGCTGAACCTAGAACTCCCGAGCGCGCTTCGATCCAGCTGGATGCGCCGCCTCCGCCCCCCAGACATTCTGGCTCGCGTCTCCGCCCTTCCCGCGTCCGGTCAGGGACCGACCTCTTCGCTCAGGTCAGCCATGACTTCCCTTTCAGCTCCGTCGCTCCGGATAAGCCATTACCTTCTATCGAGTTTCCTCCAGCTCGTGATGCCCCTTCGCTTGGATATGAGACAGGGGTGCCGCCCGATGGCCATCTTCTCGCACCGCCGCGTGCTCGGGTAGCCCTAAAAACCCCGCCGGCCCAGATCCGCCCAGACCCAATTGAAGCGGAGTCGTCTAGGTCGTGGTCCACTTGGAATCCCCAGGCTTCTGGAGATGAGATTCGGCGTCCCAGCTCAGCCTGCTCAAATGCCTCCGATTCCTCTGTTTCCTCAATCGAAACATTTAGCTCCCGACAGTCGGTTGGCGGAAGCTGCACGAGCGCCGAAAGTGATCACTATGATCCTTTCTTCCATATTGAACTTACTCCGAAGCATACGGCGGATACCTCACCGCTACCCGCAAATCCCCAAAAGAAACATTGTAAACAGACAAAAACTAAAGAACGATGGACGCTGGATATGGATAATCATTTGTGGAACACCTATCAACTATATATCCAAGATCCCACGATCACCCCTTTCAAAATGACCCCCGGCAGTATCCCGCCGCTTGGTGTCACCCATAGAGTGGCACGGCAAGCGAAACGAACTTGGGAAAGAAAATCGACCCGGCTCGACAAGCAGTTCACCTCCGCCGAAACTTCCCCTCGGAGCGGCGAAACAACTCCAACTGCAAGAGACCACGCGCCAAAGCCATCATGGCTCAAGTCCGAAGCCTCAACCCGGCGAAGGTTAAAATATTTGAGTAAGAGGAAGTTCTCTATAGCTCCTCACTACCAGAGGATGATGCAGTCTAGAAGCCCAGAACCGTTCCCGGATCTGTTTTCGCGACCCTCAGACGCACCGCCTGCGGTCAGTGTCCCTGTCAACACCTCAGCTGCCTACGCGACTCGTGATTTGGGCGTTTCGCTCGTATCAAGCTCTGTCCCCGGTCCATTGGCTCAACTAGCCGCCCAAGATCCGTTTGCGCCATCAAGTACTGCTGATTTCCCTCGACCGCAAATCCCCGGTACCCCTCGCAGCGAGTTGGGCACTTCACTGCCAGCCAAATCTTCCAGTTTTGACGGGAGCGAGGTGCCTAGGCTCGGATCGCCATTCTCTTACCATACCTGGGGCCCAAACAACGTCAGGAAGAGAAACCAGCGCCATGCTCCCAGAGCACGGCGCGAAACTATACATGTTACAGGCTCGCGTTTGCGATCTCCTCCCCGCATGGACCCCTTTCCCAACTTGGCCGATAGCACCAGTTCGAGTTCCAATGTGCCTACTGAACCCGCAACGGAGGAAGAGGAGACTCGGCGCAATCTGGAAGAGCTTTTCCGTCAAGGGAAACTGAACGATCTAGGCCACCGTCGTGTACGGATACGAGCCCGTGGAGCTACCACGAGCTCAGCAGTCACACCAAAGGTTCTCGACCAGCTATTCTCTCCGCCCTCGTCTTCGTCTCGTCATGAGGAGGCCTCTGCGGCGGAGAAACCTATGCTCAACCCGATTATGAGTCTAAGCGGGGAGCAAATCAAGCGACTGGGATCCCCCTTCAAAATGGAGGGATACCGGCGCACCGCACCGCCAGGCAGAATTTCAAGACATGCGCCGTCCCTTTCCGATCCGTTTGCTAGCGGTGCACTTCCTCGGTTCCGGTCATTGCACCAACATGCGCAGCATGCGCCCTCTCGAAGTCAAGCTCCCGCGAGCGGGCCCCCATATGATCCGACGGAGGCAGGCATCTCGGACGCCGAGCGCATCCGAAGACAGATCCTGAACATGTCTTATTTAAGGCAATAAGTGGCGCAATGCAAAAGCTCATGCGCGGTCGAGACCTGCAAAGAGCTTTTACTTGCGCAGGCCCGTTGACAACGGGTGCCAGCGATTGCAAGCCTGGCTGATTGATTTACTGTGTGACATTTGAAGCCATTTATGCGGAAATGATGATGTGAAACGGCATTGACGACACTAACGACAGAATACACAAGGGCAAGAGCCTCTTGCGTTTAAGAATGATGATATCGAAAACGAAAACCGCATATGATTGATTATAAAAGTTGCAGCTTATTGACGTTTGGCGCGACACGAGTCTGGATCCGTGCTCATGGCACGGATTGCTTGACTAATTTTCCTACCCTTGATTTCTCCTTCAAGAGTCGACTCACACTCATTCTTCTTGGCCTCGACCGAATCCGCTTTGGCTGCTAGAGCATCTCCACATTGATCCAGACCAAGTCTTGATTCCCTTTGGGCTTCCGATGTTGGCGTGCACCTGGCACAACCTCACTCCTTGCACATATCCACTGAAGACAACCGAGCGGACAGCGCCACAAAACTGCAAAACCTTGGAAAAAATGCGTGATCCATCGGTGAAAGCTTCCCTTCGCTCCATTTCCTTTCCTTTCCTTTTCTTGTCTATCTGCTTCAGGACTTGACTCCGGCAATACCCACTCGCTACTTTTCCTTACTGTTTCTTATTATTCTCTATCTCGACGAGTCCAGACGTCGCGCCATATATGATGATTGGAACGGAGCAATGCTGTTATTGATTGACACGACCAACATAGATGATGATGCTGCTATCGACCTTGCTTGCAAGCGCGTGTTTACACTTTACAGCTTTGCCTTTGAACCCCTTCCCCAAATGCGCCGGACCCTTTTTCGTGTCCGTGCTGCTTTCCCGCATGTCAGACTTGTAAATTACTTACCCTGACTGTTGTCTTCATCGCAACCCGTGGTGAGCGATCCCCATGGTTGCATCTAATTCTCTGAAAGATCTCTTTCCTGTAGATCTATATCATATTGCCCTTCTCATCTCTTGACATCTATGTCTTTTTATCCCTTATGCTTCTTCATTTCTTACCCTCTCTATCCAACCCTACTCAACTCACTCAGAATAGTTCCGAGTTCGCGCTCCTCTTTCGTTTCCCATCCATCTATGAACTTGCCTTTTTCTGTCCACGGGCGACCTGGACAAGCAATGTTCTGTGCAGGTGTTGTGCGTTCAGCAGCTATGAGGCATGATGCCATGATATCATGATTCCATCCCATGCATATGCATTTGTCATTGTCGCGATATAAACCTGAGTGTTATGATTTTTGAATCAGAAGAATCTTTATTCTTACTTCCGAGTCTTTTTTTACCTTCTTTCGCCCGTAGTCTGGTCGTAGACTGTATTCTGCTGAGGTTAAGGAAGCCTTAACTGTTAATTATGTCTGTACAACTAGTCGAGCATGGGAAGTATAGCATGTAAGGGAGCGTACGATGAGGATACGAGAGCGAAGGCATTATGAAGGAATTGGAAGGAGAGAGGGTATGATTGCACTGTACTCCGTAGACTAGCCATGCACAGACAATTAAAGAGACGTGAAAAAGAACATGAACACAAGCAAACTGAACTGAAAAAACGAAGAGATATGCCAGTAGTAGAATAAGGGGGTATACGCGGGCTGTACTATATCATGATAACATTACAAGAGTGAGATGCGATGGAATGAGCCGACGACGGCAGGACATCGAGACCAACGACCAAGGATATTCAAGAAGCGAAATCAAGCGAAGGGACGGGACAGTCAATGAAAGCACAGAAGGAAGAGAAAATCACTTCTCCAACCTCTTCTTCCTCTCCGCGAAGATCGCCTCTAGCTTCCGGATCTGCAGACCCAGCCCCTTCTTCTCGGCATGGTCAACAAGCCAGCCCTCCATGCGTCCACGGACATACTGCATCGAGTTGAGGACAGGGAGGTTCGAAGCATTCACGTCGGCGTTCTGCTCCTGCTCCAACTGAACCCATCTTTCCGCCCCCGGGTTCAGGAGGAGATCGAAGACGTCGACCCAGATCTCCTTCTCCCAGTAGCGCTTGAGCGGCTCGCGGATGCGGTACGTTTTCTTGGAGGAATCGGTGGGAACACTCTCAATGTATTTTCCGAAGAGCATGACATGGACTGCACCAGCCAGACCGTAAAGATCGATCTGGTGCGTCCAGGGTCTCATCTCCCTTATCTCGGGACACTCATGCTCGCCGGTCTTCCAGTCTGCGATGAATTGCACGGAGCGGTCGAAGGCGCGCATGTCGATGCCGCGACCGAAGTCGATCAGGGCGAGGCCCTTGGTTCCCCACCCGAAGGCGCCGGAGGGGGAGTAGTGGATTTCGCGGGGGTCTGTGTTTTCGTCGGCCGCTTGGAAGTGGGTTGGTTTGTCGTCGAAGCGGATGAGGCAGTTGTCGGCTTTGATGTCGCCGTGGAGGATGCCGCAGGTGTGGAGGGCTTGGACGGTGCGGAAGAGCTCGATTGTGAAGAACATGGCTAGGGCTTCGTCGAGGCCGCCTTCGCCGGTGGCGGGGCCGGAGATTCCTTCGTGGCGCACGAGGTTAACGAGGTCGAGGAGGGTTCCTTGGGGGCGGTAGTCTTCGACCAAGATGCTCTCGTTCTTGAAGATATGCAGTTCGTGGGCCCGGACGATGCTATCGGTAGCGCGGGAAAGGGTTGAAAGCTGCCCTAGGCGGTGGTGCGCGGTTTGAATCATGTAGAATTCCCATGCGTTTGGCGGACCGACTTCCAATTTGATGGCCTCGAAGCCGTAGCGAGGTGTCTTCTGTCGTGACTCGACGGAGTTTCCGCTGTTGCTGTCAACAGACTCCATCTCCGAATCAGACTCTAAGCTGTCTATGCTTTCCGCAAGGTAAACTGGAGCGTAGGCTCCTGCGCCGAGCTCCCGTCTGACAATATAGTTCCTCTCTGCTCCCGGAAGATCGATGATTGGGACGTCAAACGCCGACTCGCCGCCACTCCTGGAACGCTTGCTGGTGTTTTTCATGAACCGCTCAATCTCAGGGGCGTAGTGAGACTGCGTATCGGGATGAGCATTGAAGCCAGGGTAGGCTGCGAGAGTGGAGTGCGAGGCCTGAAGAATTGTGTCCCGGACTGACCTGCCAATAGGATTGCACAACATGTCTCTGATAATAGGTCCGTGTTGGGTGGTATCTTTTGCCGGCGACGATAATTTGAGGCTCGAAGAAAGCGACCTGTTCGCGGTAGGGCTTTCAACTATATCTTCCAAGCCGTGCATGGTCTGCCCGTGGAATGGCGTCTCCGTCGGAAGAGGGCTGGAAAGAAGATTTCCCATCTGAGGCATACCAGGCGTCGTTGTCGGGTTCAGCACACTTGAAGGAGTTTTTGCGCTGCACAGATTGCTCCGAGCAGCAGTCATCGAAGGGAACGAGTGCTCGGTGCGCTCAACAATTGGTGTCATGAAAGGCAGGCGGTTTTGAGCCACAATGACAGGGTCTCGGTATGTGCCAGTGGGTGCTACATAGTCCTCTGGCATCTCTGGAATGAACCTTTGCCTTTGAGGTTGTTCGTTTGTCGGTGCAGAATCAAGGCCATTCGTGTTATCATCGTCGCCAGGGTGTACTGTTGATTGTGTTGGATCAACAGCTTCTGACTGAAACGAAGTTGTTTCACCCCCAATTTCGGCAGCAGAAAACTGAGTCCATTCGCCATCAACAACACTTTCAGCGCGAGTATTATCGAAGTCATCCGCGTCGCCTTCATCGAAAGATTTGTGGAATGTATCATCTCCAAAATCACTGGACGCTGCAGATATTCGCCCAACTGTGCTTTCCCCAGCACTTGTATAGTCATCATCGTCGAAGTCACTGCTTTCCGCCACATTGTCGGTCTCCGTTTTCAATGGTTGATTAAAGATGCTGTAGATCTCATCTGTGGCAGCTCGCGTGTGCATGGTCATTGTTGGCTCCGCAGTGCTCTTGCGCCGGATTTTCTTGCTTCCAGTGGGAGAATCAAATTTCATCTTGACTGTTTCGGCAGTTAGCATATCGCCGCAATAGGCATATAGAAAGTCTCTCACTCGTCTGCGTTTCGGCCTTGACTTCGCGAACTTTCAGTTTCCCTCCTTTGCCTGATTTGCTATCATGAGCCTTCTCTGACATTATAGGCTGATTCAGAGCATGGTCATCTGTACCGCTCAACTTTAACTTCTCCTTGAATTCGGCTGGAAGGGCATTCTCATCGGGCGAGTTGGGATCTGCTTGGACGGCGTTGCCAGAGATCTGCTTGAGAGGCCGCTTCTGACGCCAATCCTTGTCCATCCATCCACGCTTCATGGCTCTGAGCTCCTCAAAGCTGAATTCAACGTTAGGGTTCTTGTAGTCGGGGTACACCGCAGCGAGATCAACAAATACTCGCTCCTTTCTTCCTGTACGTGGGTTTACGGCCTCCCGAATGCGGTGTTCTGGAACTGGCTTGGACTGCATTTCATCTTTGTCTGGTAGATCTGATTTTGACTGAATACATAAAGTAAACCAATCCAGGTTCATGCCACCAATTAGTCCTATGATCGTAAATATACGGAATTCAGAGAAACAGGGTGAAAATAAATTAGAGCTTACCTCATCCCTAAAAATCGCCAATTTCTCCTTCGGCGGAGCTTTCCTTCCAGCTTTTAGTGTTTCCCCAGCCCATGGTTTCGCCTCGATTTGATTCTCCTTTCGTCGATCTGACCTAGATCCAAGACTGTCCCAGCCCTTGGTCTGTGCACCCAAAGCCGGCTGGCTCGCTGCTTGTTCTGTGTCGGTAAAGATAGCCATCTTGGCTTTTCCTGACTTTGTTTTAGGTGCACTCGTGGTTCCTGGACTAGAGCGCTGGGCTTGGGGATCTGCGGGTGCGGCCGCAGCGGAAGCGAATGGGTCAACTTTGGCGGCTAGTGCGGGGCGCACTGCAGGAAGTGCGGGCGACGAAGGTCCGTTATCTCTTGTCTGTTCTTCATAGCGTCTCTGGAAATCGCCGTATTTTCTAACCAGACGTTCGGTTGGTCGTGCTTCCCGGTCGATGCCAAGTCTGTACACCTCGTCGGCCTGTGTCCACCTTCCAACACTCTCAAGCCACGCGGCGAATTCTTCGTAGAACAGAGCGAGTCCTTCCCCGACGTGGTGCCGAGCCATGAATGCAAATGTTTCTCGTGGCGAATCTGAGAATAGTCTGATGTAGTGAAGCCATAGTCGGAGGTATCGTGGGTCGTTCTTGTAATGGGGCGATGATAGGAATGACTTGACGGCGCGCTCTAGTAATGGTAGAAGTCCTGACTCTGCGGTTGCTTGTGCAGTCGGGTAGGCATTCAATGCCCACTTCACATAGCGATCGTAAATGTCGAGAGGGTCGTCTGATTCTGCGATCGCCTGTAACTCCGCCTCATATTCTTGCCGGATCGCGTCGTTGAGTGTCCGTGTGTCATTTGGTGATGGAGCTGCCAGTTTATCACTGGGATCGCGAGGAGAGAATATCCGGGCCAGTTCTCTAGCAGAGCGGCCACCTGGAAGCGATTGAATATTTTCCTTCTGTCCTTCAATGATATCGAAGTCGATCAGATCTCCGGAGGCCGCCATCGCGGCGACTGTCGTGGTTGATGGTCGGGATTCACACTCTATTGTTCGCCAGTTCCCGAAATCAAGTCGGATAGTCAAGACCGCTATAGATTCAATAGTCGTCGGGGTTTGAGGGCGGTCGTACCTGTCGTTCGTCGTTGGAGTGGTCAAGTCGTCCGAGGGGACTCGAAAATAAACCAAGTTTATCGATAAACACTAGCGCCGTTGCTGTGGTGACATTGTAGTCACATGACTTTACCTCCCCAATAAGGAAATATTGAAATTCGACCACCATCGCTCAAGTCTTTCTAGACATCTCACAATTCACCCCTTTCAACGCGTTGTTGAGTTTCAAGACGTGTCAATCAAATCTTACACCTGGCTCCTGTCAAACGCCTTTCGCGTAGCTCAATTCGACCGCGTTTTGCTCTGTCACGGAACGGACTGTGGCCGACAAGGTCTGAGGAAGATATAAGTGAGAAACAAACATAACCCATTAAAAGAGTCGCATCTAATTGAGGCATATGTGTATTAGGGCTTTGCTGAATTCCGCAACCTCTGATCGTCTCATCCGCTGAGACTCGCCAAAATCACCTCCGAGTCGCGACCGTGGCCCCGCTCCGGCAAATTCAACGTCTCTGACGCCAATTCCATCGACCGTTCTCCTCCTACACAAACGAACAGCGTCTTAGCAATTCTGTCTGCGAAGACCTGAAATGCCGCCACGAGGAGCCCGAAAGGCGGTTGAGGTCAAACGAGAACTAGAGGACGACGAACTACGTTCCCCTAGAAGACAGTCAAAGCGCGTCAAATCGGCCGCACAAGCAAGAGCTTCAAAATCCACTGTCGCAACTGAAGAAGAGGTTAAGGAGGAGGTAAAATTAGAGGCATTCATTGAGGCCAAAAAAGAGGAAGCTGAGGAACAAACCACGGCCAAGAAGACGACAAGGAAGAAAACTACCAAGAAAGATCAAGCGGAGATCATGCCTTTGAGGGCTCGCACGCAGGGTCTGCGGATGTTCGTTGGGGCTCATGTGAGTGCCGCTGGAGGTGTTTTCAATGCTGTGAATAATAGCAAGCACATCGGGTTAGTGCCCATCTTCAGCAAAGCTCCCACCTGTGTCTGCGGCTAATTCCGTTCAGTGGCAATGCTTTCGCCCTATTCATGAAATCACAGAGGAAATGGGACAACCCTCCGCTGCAGGATGAACACAGAGATAGTTTCGTCAAGCTTTGCAAAGAGCATGACTATGATGCTTCGAAGTATGTCAGATCATCACAGGTCACGCATGGCTTCCACTGTTCTCGATGTGCTAATCCAGCATAGATATGTTCTTCCTCACGGCTCCTACCTCGTGAACCTGGCGCAGGAGGACAAGGATAAAGCCAAGCAAGCATACGACGCATTCTTAGACGACCTTCAACGATGCGAAGCTCTCGGAATCCAGCTGTACAATTTCCAGTACGTCGCGCTTCTTGTTCCACGTCCATCTACTAATGTCAAGTAGTCCCGGAAGCGCAAACAAGACTCCATTTCCCAGCGCACTCGCTCGGCTCGCAAAAGCTCTGACGAACGCACTCGCCGCCACATCCACCGTCGTACCTGTCCTAGAAACCATGTGCGGCCATGGTACAACAATTGGTGGCTCTTTATCTGAGTTCCGCGACCTTCTTGTACTCATTCCGAAAGAATACCATCCGCGCATTGGTATCTGCATAGATACATGTCATAGCTTTGCAGCAGGCTATGATCTAGTCTCTCCAACCGGATTCAAGGCATTTTTACAGGAGTTCGAAGACCTAATCGGCATCCAGCATCTACGTGCTCTTCATCTCAATGACTCCAAGGCACCCGGTGGGAGCAAGCGTGATTTACACGCAAACATTGGAACAGGTTTTCTGGGCCTAAGAGCCTTTCACAACGTCATGAATGAACCTCGCTTTGAGGGTATACCCATGATTCTCGAAACGCCGATTGACCGAGTGCCCAGTGCAGCTACTAACGGAGCGAAAGAAGATGAATCAGAAGAGGAGAAAGTCGAGTCAGATGCCAGCGATGACGAAATCAAGCCAAAGAAAGCCAAAACCACCAAGAAAAAACAACAGAAGAAGCCAGCTGCAGCCAAAGCAGTCCCTGATTTCTCTATCTGGGCTCGTGAAATCGAGCTCCTCGAGTCTCTGATCGGGATGGATCCCGAGAGTGATGAGTTCCGTGCCCTTGAAGCTAAACTCTCCGAAGAAGGCCGAGAAACGCGGGAGAAGCAAATGGAGCAGTATCTACGGAAGCAGGAGACCGAAGAGAAGAAAAAGGCGAAGAGTGGCGGGAAGCAGAAAACGCTGATGGAAATGATGAATGGGAGCAAAGGGAGGGCCAAAGCGAGTCAGAAGAAACAGTATGAGACGGAGAGTGAGGATGAGGGTTGCCAGAGCTGTTGACGTGATGCGAACTGATCTCAGCGGGACATGCCTGTACTTGCGTTTGTATCGCACGGCTCGACTCATCCAGCTTTCTCTATAATACTGGCGTTGTAGGTGTTCGCTGCATTATTTTCCACCAAAAGATCTATAGATACCCTTTCTCGATTACTAGCTTTCAGATTCCTTTCATGTCTCGCGGGTTTCAGCTTCTAATACAAGCCTGAAGCCTGAACCCTACAAGCAGACTAGGGAAGACTCTGGTCATATAGTATCTTCTTTCTTAGTTTCAAAACCCCGGCGAATAATTAGTGAAGGCTACTTTGGTAGAGCAGGCAGGGGCCAGGAACTGGAACGGTCTCCAGCCGAGGATCGGAAGGACGATCCCCCATAAATTGGGCGGCGAATAAGAGCGTCCGTTGAAGTGGCTGACCCCGGATCGTCAGGAAAAGCAGATCGCCAGCAGCACAGACCTGTCCGTCTGGTCGTCTTGTGCGCTTCGGATAAGTGCATGGTGACATGGGTAAGCAGGATTGTGACTGCTGGCTGTTTACTACAATCATAAGAGCAGTCTGCATCTCATTTGTCTACTGCTATAAGCTCTGCGAAGCGTCAGTCCTGAACATCCACCCCGAGATGAGGGGTCTTCCGTTCCTAGTCGAATTACAGTCCGTGGCCGATTTTCTGGGATAGCCTCGGGATGCAACATCGCCTTCCATGCCTATCCCAGACTCAATGAGCGATGAATAATCCGGAACCCAATGTCGCGAAACAGGGAGAAAGTCCGGTTCTTCTCAGCCCATCGCATTCCCGGTGCAGGAATTGCGCGACCGACCGATTTTTGTCCGGGAGTTACCTTGCACTGCCGGGGCTTTTGGGAGGAGTTCGTGTTCGTGTGGCATCTGCTCTGGATACACCGCGCTCGGTCCCTGACTCCCCGCACGATGAAGCCGCAAGCAAGCCTCAATCTGACCTCACCTGACATTATTGATTACTTGCAGGGCTGCTAGTGCGGTCATATAACATTTGCACATATCAATGACTGATCATACAGTGACATACACCGGTGCCGTCTTCCAGATTGCTGAGTATCCGTATTGTGGGGCCGCCGCAGTAACATGTAGACAGGCAAAGGGGAACGGGTACCTTTGGCCCTTACCTAATGCCCAGTTTCATGATACAGCTAAGGCTTTCTCAGTCATTGCCCAACTTCTAGTAGCCAAATGTTGGAATCGGGGGTAGCCGTGGGACACAATCCCCCTGAGCGTGCTCGCAGCGTTCCAGCTAGAGGAAGAACATGTGGAGATCAGCTCTTGACACCTATGTTTCAAAGACAGTGTTGATATAAATTCTCGGCGATTCTGAGTTAAACAGGGCGCATACTGTTCGCTAAGCTTGGGCCGACTCAGCCGCTTCCAGCCAAGAGCTGGCGCCGGTCGCCTTGATAGAGGTCTGACATCAGCTCCTCGAGGTCATACGATAAGTATCTCAGAATCAAGCAAGAGAATAAACAGATCTTCAGGATTAGATATCCGTAGAATTCCCATGGTTACCCTGATACACGTGATCCGTAGCTTACCCCAGGTCGTGTACGGTGTGACGGACAGCGGCATCGTAGCGAGGTCGAGGCCCGAGTCAGGAGTTGGCACAGAGGCTCGCTTGGCAGACGACAGTTTTGTGGCTGTTGGGCTGCTAGACCGATCCCTTGGCGAGAATGGATCCAGGAGGAGTCGATGCTGGCCGTTCATGACTCTTTTTTATGAAATTATGACGGGCTAAAAAGTCACTCCTCCTTCTCCTGGTCCTGTGACTGCCCCGATCTTCCTCTGCTTCCTTCCTTCTCCTCATTCAATCATTATTTCGTTGCCATACTCACCGTTCTGTTCTTTTCTTTTGTCCTGTCTCTCGTCTTTCCATGTCAGATTAAGTCTCCCTACCAAGCTATCACAGCACTACTCTCCTTATCCGCGCTCCATCGGTCGCCCTTGCGTCCTGCTTGCCTCTCTCCCTCCCCTGCGAGGCGCCTGCATTTGTCTTTTTACTGCGAAATAGACTGATCTCCCTCATCAATTTCACCCTCCGGACGTGTCTACGATAGTACTCCTCTCACCGATACTCTCCTCGATTCCCTCCTTTAACCGCCGACTCTCCCCGTCGCTTCTGACCGTCCGCCCTTTTTCGAGACGACCGCCTCGATTTCTCTGGCTAGCCCACGAGACACATATTACGAGGGTCGCATTGATGGAGCTTTCTTCGCCTTAGTGAATCCGTCTGTTTTCGAATTCCACCCGCAATCTCCAGCGTGGTCCTACCACAAACATGAGCATATCTCCGGGCAATCACCATCGGCGGCGGAGCTCTGTTCTCACGGGCGCTGGTCCGTCCCAACCGCAACCACCTTTCATCGAGCAGAGGGAAGAAAATCATAAGCGCGACGAACAGAAGCCGTCGGCAGCCGATGATGCGGATATCTCAGACCTTTCCTCAATTGCGGAGAGTGAGGAAGGACACTACTTGAGCTCCGACGACGACCATCCCGTCGATGAAGAAACCGGCCTCACAGCGAACCAGAGACGCCAGCGGCGTCGACGACGGAAACAGCGGAGGCAATTGGATGCTCGCATAGCAGGTACAAAGACAGATCTGTTCAATCTCAGTTCAGCAGATCGGACTGTCTTTAGCAGGTTGCTGGTCAACGTTGGACTAATCCTGTTATGGTACTTTTTCTCGCTCGCGATTTCCATCGTAAGTTCTACGAGCCTTTCTCGGCCATCGCATTTAGCTAACTGGCGCAGTACAACAAATGGATGTTTTCTCGAGACGAGAACGACAAGGAGGTTTTCCCATTTCCTCTCTTCACTACCAGCCTGCATATGCTCGTTCAATTCACGTTTTCCTCCCTTCTCCTCTTCTTCATCCCCTCGCTACGGCCTCAACCTACACCTCCCTCATCTCCCGACTCCGAGCCCAGGCCGGTGCTCACCAAGTTCTTCTACCTAACACGCTTGGTTCCGTGTGGTGCAGCAACTTCTCTAGATATCGGACTAGGCAACATGTCTCTAAAGTTCATAACTCTAACTTTCTTGACGATGTGTAAATCATCTGCGCTTGCCTTTGTTCTCATATTCGCCTTCGTCTTCCGTCTGGAGACGCCCTCTGTCAGATTGATAGCTATTATCGCTACAATGACCATTGGTGTGGTGATGATGGTGGCCGGCGAAACAGCCTTCAATGCTGTGGGCTTCGTCTTGATCATAGCGTCTGCTTTCTTCTCTGGTTTCCGATGGGGCTTGACGCAAATCCTCCTTCTGCGACACCCAGCAACAGCGAATCCATTTTCAACCCTTTTCTTCCTCACCCCAGTCATGTTCTTTTCTTTACTTCTCATCTCACTCGCCGTCGAGGGCCCGACGGAGATTGTCACCGGCCTCACGGCTCTCGCGGACGCTCACGGGTTCGGATCCGGCATCCTACTCTTGGTCTTCCCCGGTGTTCTAGCATTCTGCATGATTTCGTCTGAGTTTGCGCTACTTCAGCGATCCTCGGTTGTCACCTTGAGTATCTGCGGCATATTCAAGGAGGTAGTCACGATCACCGCAGCGGGCGTGATCTTCCACGACAAACTCACGGCGGTCAACGTGACCGGCCTTGTCGTCACCATCGGCAGCATTGCCTCTTACAATTACATGAAAATATCAAGAATGCGAGCGGAAGCCAAACAGAACAATTGGGAATCCAACCCAAGCTCGGATTCGGAATATGACTCTGATCAAAGAAGGCAGGGTGATTATCAGCGAATCGCCAACCCTGAAACCTCGGAGATCCATGCCCAGGGCGTCGATGCTGCTCATGATCAGAATGCTGGGCGCTCTTTCCCTGCTCTCACCACTAGTGCTAGCAACAACGTCAACGCGCTCACAATCAGCACGTCGAATTTGAGCGATCACGGTCATGGGTCGACTCATTCGCCCCTGATCTCTGGCCCGTCGCCCTTGAAGTCAGCGCCCCCAATCATCGTATCCATGGAGGATGAACTTCACAAAGCCGGACGGAGCTTAAGTCCAAATGAACATGCTCAGTCTTCGTCAGGTCGCGTATCTCCAGCGCAAAGCCATTGAGTTGATTTCAACTCTCCCACGCCGTGATTCCGCCTATCGCTTATTATCATCTGATTGGATCGAACCTTGTACATGACGACGATTTGTCGCTCTCGGTCAAGGCAAGCTTTGTGCTATTGTCCGAGCACGTACCTCGCCGTTCTAACCTTTAGAATCAACGTTCATGTCTCGATACCCGGTGGATGTCTGTCTAGTTAAAGCGCAGCGCATTGGAAATACCCACACATTGGCAAGTGCGGTCCGGTATAGATATTTGATTTATATGAAGAGATACCTTGTTTGATTCGCTGCTCATGGCAGAGTTGTCGCATGTTGCAGAGATAATGCTAGTGTGGGTTGCTGGTGTTATATATACAAAATACCCATCAACCGAATTAATCAGCTTTGCTGCGACTTTACCGTCGTATTGATATACTGATTATAGCGTAGAAGGAGCGTTAGTAAATTGAGGTGGTAGCCCGACCAGCCGTCGCCTAGATAGACTAGCTAGCTGGAGTGCTTTCCCTCTTTCCCTCTTCAACCACGGACCTAACACTTCTCTCGCGAAACAACAGCCTGCAACGACGCTCGTAGGTCTTTTCTCTAACCCGCAAATTATGATATTAGACTGACCTTCCACTCGACGCGTGCCCGTCTACCCATTTATGGATGGTGGTTAGCCTCGTTGGTATGTGCTCCCGTCCCCAATATATATAACCTCTCGGCCATCTTGCTGACAATGATCTTTGTAACGAGCAGGTTCCACGGCTCTGGATGGACATCGTCAGTGGATTTCGATCGTATTTGGCGAAATGCAAAGTTGGACACAGTGGATTGGAAAGGCGGTTTAGCGAGTTTGCACCATTGTCAAGACTCGAATGCTCAGGTGAAGCATGTGCAGATGCTTTCGTGCAGACGTCTGCCACAAGACGATGAAGACATTAGGATCAGGGTCAACTCCCATCAGCTTCTCTTTGGCAGGTTCCGTGCGGTGGTGGAGTATGTTCAACGCGTCTCAGTCTTTTGAGTGTTGATTCTCTGTGGTCTTGAATCCTTGGATGACAGGCTTTGCGCCACACTGAAATAACGAGCTGATGGAAGAAAAGTAGTTGGTTCATGAGAGCTCCATGTTCAACGCTGTTTCTTTAAAAGACCCAATCTTTGAACTTCCAATGGAAGAGCATGCTTCAACGTCTGCCTGGCACTGAAATTAAAAGTTCGAGGATCTCAGTGGGCAAACAAAATCCGGAAGAGCCCTGATCAGCCCATATTATACAATACTCCGCATCAACTCCGCATTGAATGCTCGCCAATGTCTTGGGGAAGTTGGGGTCGCGGCTGCTATTCCTGTTTCTGTTTAGTTGAGCGGCGAACTCGTGCTGCAATTTGGTGCTTCCCGGAGTGCAACCGAGCCCCAGCCCTAATGCAGATATGCGTACGGGTACCTAACTACCTATGCTTCGTCACGTTCTGACCACATGGCCAGGAAATACTCCAGAGCTAGCGCGAAGTTGTATGTCAGGCTTCACGAACTGCCGCAGACGAAGAGCTCAGTACTCCAGGGTTTGACCGAGACCCATCAGGTCGGGAACATGATACGAGCTGGACGGTAAAATCTACGAGTTCGGGCACAGACAGACAAGGTGCAAAGGTATGACAGTCACGAAGCAAGTGCAAGCAAGATTCTTCAACCGGGGTAAATCACCCCGTAGTTGCGGCTTAGCCCTGCTCCTCCGCTCCACCCCGCAATGTATGGGGAATCCCGGCAGTCACCCCAGGATCCGGACTAACGGTGCCATGGCTCACTCAGCCTTCACCGTACAAGCTCTCCAGTGCCTGAATAAACGGCAAATGCATTACCCAAGCCAAGGTTGGAAACCACGATTTCGGACTCTGTTCTCCCGAGCTGTGCTTCGGCTCGCCTACGTGCGTGGCATCATGTTCAGCTGCTGGGTGAACAGGAGTCCGGAGAAGCCGAGCAGAAGGCAAAGAGGGGGTTACAAAAGCGCGGCCGTAGCCTCTTTCTGGCCTTCCATCAGTCGCTGGACTTCGGTAGGATCTTGTGGTCACTCGTCCTGCTCATCCTCACAATGCATTCAAATCTTCTCCCAGGTTTGACCAGTGCCGCGACGCTACTTGGCCTTGCTCAAGGCCAGAGCCAGCCGTATCATGACTGGGCAAAAGCATACGAGGCAGCAGAAGCACTTGTTTCACCCTGGACGACGGAACAGCAGGCTAATATTTCTGTGCGGTATGGTACTGCTCCAGGCTTTGTGCCATTTGAGCCTAGTGATGGTAAGTTTTGGGCCTTGTCCCAATAGACCCCAGCCCATCAGCTCTCTCCAATCTATCTCCGGTCATACTAACGGTTCCAGGACCTACCGGTGTGTCTGGAGGGCAAGGTGTTTCTGGCTGGGTAGGAGGTCAGACGATAGCCAGTTCCTGGAATCGGACTCTGCTTGCGGACCACTATGGACGTATGGCCGTTGAGTTCCGAGAGAAAGGCTATAACATGCTCTTGGGACCCTCTACAGGGCCGCTTGGCAGAAGTCCATTGGGATCGAAGCTCTGGGAAGGATTGGTAAGTGACCTTCTTATGTTTCGTCCATGGTCTAACAAGGTTTAGGGCTCCGATCCGTACCTTAACGGTAAATTGTAAGAACATCCTTTGTCACTAGCCTATGCTCAATAGCTCACGGGGTATATCAGGTTTGGTGTCAGTGTGGCAGCTATTCAGGAACAAAATATGATCTCTTGCGGCAAGCACTACCTGGGTATGACTATTCAACCGCACTATATTGTCACTGCTGACAGCATCCAGCAAATGAACAAGAGACCAATCGAACGTCCTACGGCAGCGATGATCCCGCTATGCGGACATCCAGCAACTTAGACGACAGGACCCTGCATGAGCTGTATCTCTGGCCTTGGATTGATGGCGTCGCTAATGGAATGGGATCTGTCATGTGCGTCATGAACCGCGTCAATGGGATCATTGGCTGTGAGAACGATCACATCATGAATGGCGTGCTTAAGAATGAGACGGGGTTCAAAGGTGATTCTATCTGTGGTGTCGAATCTGATACATACTCATGCTATCTCAGGGTTCATTGTCCCTGATGTCACCGCGCCTCTGGACAAAACTGCAGGCCTTAATGGCGGACTTGACTGGAACTCGGGTTACTCGCTCTCTCAGCTCATGGCTGCCGTCAACAACGGAAGTATCTCGGAAAGTGTCGTGAACGACCACGCGCTGAGGATTGTCGCAACGCAATTGAACCTCTTGCTACCTCCAGAGGAATACGCATCCACGGATGAAACTACCGACCTCAACGTCCGAGACGCAGGGAGCAAAGACTTTATCCGCCGAGCCGGGTCCGAAGCAATCGTGCTACTCAAGAACAAGAACGGCACACTTCCCCTCAAGAGCCCCAAATCACTCGGTATCTTCGGCAAAGACGCAGCAAATCTCGCTACAGGCCCAACTCCCCAATCGGACTTCTCCAACTTTGCAGGCGACACCTATGATGGACATCTTATTACAGGAGGCGGCAGCTACTCGCCTGCTCCGTATGTCGTGTCTCCGCTAGATGCTCTGACTGCAAGAGCAGCCGAGGGCCAGGGATTCGGCTACAAGTATATTCTGTCGGACAACTGGACGGTCACGCCCCCGGAGTCTACAGGCGAAGGGTTCTTTCAGACCTCTGGAGTTTCTGTGTCCGAGTATGCAAGCGAGTCAGAGCACTGCCTTGTCTTTATCAACGCCTTTGGCAAAGAAGGGTCAGACCGACGTACCCTGGCTGATGAGACCGGCGACAAGCTGGTGAACGATGTTGCGGATTACTGCAGCAGCACAATTGTGGTTATGAACAATGCCGGAGTTAGGCTCGTCGACGCTTGGATTGATCATGAGAATGTCACGGTGCGTTATCCTCATCTCATGCAGCTTAGAATTTATACTTACTCTGGAGCAGGCTGTTCTGAATGCCGGCGCTCTCGGCCAGGAAAGCGGCCACGCCATCGCTGACGTCCTCTTCGGCGACGTTAACCCCTCGGCAAAACTTGTCTACACCATCGCGAAAAGCGAAGACGACTATAACGGTCAGATCTGCGCGTGCTGTGAGTGCGATTACACGGAGGGACTGTATATCGACTACCGCCATTTCGATCAGGCGGAGATTGAGCCGCGCTTTGAGTTTGGTTTTGGACTGTGTACGTTGCATTTCACCAACCTATTTTGCCCTAGGATACCTTTGGACTGACATCATTATGCAGCGTATACGACCTTCTCCCACTCCAACCTGACAATCACCCCCACCACAGACACAACAACCCTAGCTGCCTACGCCACGGGCAACGTTACAGAAGGCGGTCCCTCGGACCTTTTTGACCAGATCCTTACCATCACCGCGTCAGTAAGCAACACCGACGATATTGCTGGAGCAGAGATAGCACAGCTTTACCTCTCCTTCCCCGACGCGGCAAAGGCACCCATCCGGCAACTGCGGGGTTTTGAGAAGGTCTACCTTGAACCTGGTGTGACTAAGACCGTCACATTCCCAATCCAGAGAAGGGATCTGAGTATTTGGGATGAGGAAGAGCAAGGATGGAAGATTGTTGGTGGTGACTATGGGGTGCTTCTGGGCAAGAGTAGTCGGGATTTCACTGCGGAGGGATCGATTGAGATTTCGACGTTTAGGTAGAGGAAATGCTCGTGTTAAGCACTTATGACAGCTGTCTACGCTGTCGAGACCGCTTAGGGCACACATAACTGCCGATCTGCTTTATGTCAAACCCTTGTTTCAACTTTCATACGTGGATTCGCCCCGCTGGCTTCTATTCGATTTTTGGGGTCCCTGCCACGAATAGAGAGGGACCGCAGGTTCTGGAAAATCAAAACGACTGTGATTATCGTGTTCCTTCCCTACTTTCTTGCCATTCGCTCGGTTCTCTAGACTCTGACCCGATTCTGCCTGCCAGTGTCCTCTGCATGCACACATAATCGACACCGGCGGGTTAAAGCAGCCCGAAACTGTATAGTCGAAGGATGCAGCTACAGTGCGAATCGGACGAGCGGGCTCCTCCTCACATACACCATCACACTTGCTCAATCAGAGGCTTAGATACACAATACTCCTTACGCTCCCTAAGTCCGGGGGCTGTGGGGATGGCGCCCGGCGGTACTAAGCATCTTCACACCACAAACCAACAGGGATCGGTTGTTTTTGCTGGGAATAAATGACCCAGACAATGAAATTTTGCCCATGCCACCCGGCTTGGACAGCAAGGGATGGATGCTTGATCCTGGGGTCCGGAGAAACGCCATGCCCTAATCTATGCGCGTCAGGATATCCCTCCAATGAGCGGGTCTACTCCTGGTGATCAGCGCTCGCGTGTCTGGCCCTGAGGAGTTTGGCTTGGTGGACACGTACGCCTGCGTGTGTCTTTGCTCCTTAATTTATTTCTCGCGGAATGGAAGGGGAGGGGATGGTTTCGTGATAATGTTTGCCGATGGGTGCTGGGGCTGGGTATATAAGGTAGTGGGGGCGTTGCTGAAGGGGAGCATCACAAACTGGTCCAAGCAGCCTTTTGATTGTTTGCAACCATGTTTCTCTGGAAAGCACTCTTATCGGCGGCTCTCGTTGCCAGTCTGACCGTGGACAAAACGGACGATGGCATCGTTGTTGATGTTGAGGGAGACGATGGCTTTGTGGTGACGATTGATAGCACTGGGTCTATTTCTTCCCTCCAGTATCGCAATGCTGAGTATCAGTATTCTGGGACATTGAGTCATATTGCCTCGGGGCTTGGGAGTGATGCTTCGGTGTCTTATAATACTCAAGGTCAGCCCTTTGTCTCTCTTCTCTTGACAGCAAACGGATCTAACATGGTCTTGCAATGACAGGGGACTACGCAATTGTCTCAGCCACCATTGACGACGACGACTTCAATTTAACGCACTACTACGTCTTCCAAGACGGCCGCAGCGCAATCTACATGGGCACAAACGCCCTCTCGCAGCCCGCCGTCGGCGAACTCCGCTACATCGCGCGCCTCGTGAATCTCCCTGAAGCGTACAAGGAAGGCGAAGTCTCGGATGTCCGAGAGGGAGAGATCATCGAGGGCAGCGACGTGTTCCTCGTCGATGGCGAAACCCGAAGCAAGTTCTACTCCTCCCAACGCTTCATCGACGACTCCGTCTACTGCGCCTACACCTCCGACTCCAGCGTCCACGCCTGCTTCCTTTCAGACACCCGCTCGCGCGAGAAGTCCTCAGGCGGACCCTTCTTCAGAGACATCGACCTGAATCTCGGCAGCGACTACCACTCCGTCACCTACTACATGAACTCCGGCCACGTCCAGACAGAAGCCTACCGCACCGGTTTCTTCGGCCCGTACATCCTGTCCTTCAGCGGCTCGGGCATCCCGTCGTGGGACGACTTTGACGTCTCGTTCTTCGACGACCTCGAGCTGGACGGGTACATCGGGTCCTCCGCCCGCGGCGTCGTCAAGGGCACAGTAAGCGGGACGTCCTCCTCCCTCCCAGCCGTAGTCCACTTCTACAACGCCGACTACCAGTCCTGGGCGACCTCCTCCTCCGACGGCACCTTCACATCCCCGCAGCTCGTCGAAGGATCGTACACCATGGCCCTCTACCAAGACGAGCTCCTCGCCGCCACAAGCACAATCTCCGTAACGGCATCCTCAACAGCAACCGCCTCCCTCGCCGCAACAAACACCATCATCACCGCCGCCCGCACAACGCTCTTCCAAATCGGCCAGTACGACGGCACACCCTCAGGCCTCCTGAACGCAGAAAACCAGCTCCGCATGCACCCGTCCGACGCCCGGATGGCATCCTGGAACCCCACGCCCTTCGTCGTCGACACCAATTCGGACGCGGACTTCCCAATGGCCCTGTTCGCCGACGTGAACAATAACTTCGAGATCCAGTTCACTCTGCCTGAGATACCAGATACTGAGACGGTGACTATCCGCGTCGCGACGACGTTGAGTTTCGCGGGCGGTCGTCCGCAGGTAACCCTCAACGACGACGAAGGCGATGCGCCCGCGGCACCGAGCAAGATCGACTCGAGGGGCGTGACGCGGGGCGCGTATCGCGGGTATGGCGAGGTGTATGAGACCAGCTTTGATGTGGGGAGTTTGGTGGAGGGCCAGAACTCGGTGTATATTGCTGTTGTTTCGGGGAGTAGTGGGGAGGAGTTTTTGAGTCCGAATTTCGTGAGTCTGCCTTTTCTCTCTTCTTTCTTCCTTTCTGTTGGTGTATGGTGGGGGTTTTGCTAATGGGTTGGTGTGTGTAGATTGTTGATGCTATTGAGGCTTATTATTGAGTGGAATACTGCCTCGAGTTGTGGTTATGACCTCGAGGTGAGAAGGCATGGCATGGTTCCAAGGTAAGGGTTTATGCTGTATCTCTGTCTGCGTCTGCCGAGTTGATACTGCGGCGCATGGCAGCGACAGTCGGTCCCTATTACCTGCTATAATCATTGAATAGCACGTGTCTCCAAGAATGATATATCTTGATATCTATATGCTGGGCTAAGGCCAGGATGCTGCAATTTCCATTTTCAGATAGAAGCGAGGAAGGCGAGCTAGATCAACACTGGTCTGAGAACCTGAAGAGCCCTGGCTAGAGAGACCAGTCACTATATAGCCCAGCAAAGCAGACCATGGCCTGCTGAAAGAGTTGGGTATAAATATATGTAAACAGGCATTGTGAGTGCTGTCTTTCACACACTGGTTCTCGGCAGTGGCAGTGGGGATCTACGGTACCTACTTAGGGCTCACTTCCCCTTTGCACCTGCAGCTGCCGAACTGCCATGTTACTATGGACACGGGAAAGTATGGCGCAGCTTACATGTTATTTGTTTGCACATCTGCAGCATGGGGAAATATGGACCTTACAAATAATAGTAATCTTATCTTGCTGGCATAACTTCTTCTTCTCTCTCCTGCCATGGGGTTTGGGCGTTATGCTCTTTATTAGTGCACTAGACGCCGCCGAGCAATCATTCCACACAAGGTTGTCTCACTCACTTCTACTGATGAGCAACACAGTTCCAATAGGCCAGAGCTCACTGCGTATCGTGTTGAAGGCAAGCAGGCAAGCAGGCAAAACAGCCAGCCACTCCCAGATCAGCGCAGTATGCTCCCCAAACAAGCGGTCAGCCTTTTCCCTTGCGAGACAGTGATTGGCTTCTTGGACGGTCTTAACTCCTCTAGCGCGGCGCTTTGCAGAAGACTATCCAGATTTTGGGACATCCAGCCGATCAGCCTTGAGGAGATGCCCAATGATCGACAAGGGAGGGGCCCACGCTCCACGGTTCGAGCGCAAGATCGAGATCGGTTTCCAGCTGATCTGCCCTGGTCCACAATCCACTTTGTCTTCTCGTCTCTTGAATCTCCAGGGTGGAAGAGGGGTGTTCGTGTTTGTACCTGATTTATTCTGTCGCACAATCGCTTTATTTCGAGTGCGCGATCTTTGTAGAAAGATGGAAGGCAGCCCGCTCAAAGTGATCATCGTCGGTGGCTCAGTAGCCGGCTTGACCCTCGCGCACTGCCTGCACCGAGCGAACATCGACCACGTCGTTCTGGAGAAAAGACCTGAGATTGCGCCGCAGGAAGGTGCTTCAATTGGGCTGTGGCCTACGGGAGGACAGGTCCTTGATCAGCTTGGGCTGTGGGAGGAAATAGCGGAAGGGACTCAGCCGTTGAGAGTCCATAATGTCTTGTACCCGGACGGTTCGGGGTTTAGTCACGATGTGTTGAATCGGGTCTATGAGAGGTGCGATGTCATTGAGTGCTTGTATTAGCAGAGCTGATCTCGATAGGTTTGGATATGGTCTTACCTTTGTGGAACGACAGCGGTTGCTGGAGACTCTATACCGGCGGTATCCGGACCATTCCAGGATCCTGGTCAACAAAGCAGTCGTTGAGATTCGACAAACATCCAGCGGTGTTTGCGTCGTGACAGAAGATGGGACAGTTTACCAGGGCAGTCTGGTCGTCGGCGCTGATGGAGTGCATAGTCGCGTGCGCTCGGAGATGTGGCGGCTGACAGAGCTCCAGAATCCGGGCAGGATCACGCCAAAGGAAAAGAAAAGTCGGTCTCTAACCTCTTGAGTGCGAGAGATAAAAGCTAACCGCCGCAGGAATGACGACGGAGTACTCCTGTGTTTTCGGCATATCTTCAGCCATTCCTGGTCTGCGAAAGGGCGAGCATGGCAACGTATTCGGTGATGGAGTCACGGTTCTGACTTTTCATGGTGAGGATCGAGTCTTTTGGTTCGTGGTGAGCAAGATGGACAAGAAGTACACCTACCCGAATATTCCTCGCTTCAGTTCAAAAGATGCGGAGGAGCTTTGCGGCCGATTTGCAGCTATTCGCCTTGTTGACGGGGTCTGCGTTCGTGATCTATGGGAGAGCAGGAGGGTTGCTTCAATTACTGCGATGGAGGAGGGCCTGTTCGAGGCTTGGTATTTTGGTCGAATGGTTCTGCTGGGAGATGCTGTTCGTAAGGTAAGAGGACCGAATCTTCATCTCTTCACTTGAGTTGACCGACCCAGATGACTGTCAACATGGGACAAGGCGCAAACTGTGCGATTGAGGACGCGGCCGTCCTAGCGACACTCCTAGATCGGCTGGTCCAGCCAAACAAGAACAGCGCCCCAAGCGAGGCAGAGATTGAGGCTCTTCTCAGAGAGTTTCGGACGTTGAGATACGCTCGTTCGAAAGCGATATACGGCCAGACGATGTTTGGCGTACGGCTTTATACTCGTGACGGTATCCTGAAGACACTGATGGGGCGGTATGTTATGCCTCGTAAGATCGACCACATGGCGGATGCGACTTCCACTCTGATGGCTGATGGACCGGTTGTCGGCTTTCTTCCCCTGCCTCGGCGCTGGGGCACCGGTTGGGAGAGCTATAGAAGCCTCAAGAACGGGGACAGCCACTGGAGTCCACGAAAGATGGTGTTTCTGGCGCTAGGAATGTCTGTCCTGGCGTATGGCTACCTCAGACACTAGTCTAAGCAGTGCAGTGAGAAGAAGTGTTGCCATGACTCTGCAGGTCAAAGAGTTTGTTGTGGTGGGCTCGGAGTTACGGCCATCAATCCCGGAGTGCAAATCAGGAAGGACCCCATGACTTCTCTTTCTCTTGCTCTTTCTCTTGCTCTTTCTCTTGCTCTCACTTATCCTCGCCTCACCCTCACCTCATCATTACCCCTAGATTACCACCACATCTAGACTCATTGCTTCCAAAAGACTCAGCTTCCACCCTACACTCTTAGAGCCACAATGTCCCGCCGCAAGAAAGACCCTACCGCTCCTCAGACTGCCTCGACCAAGATCACCAAGCCCGAGAGACCCAAAAATGGAATTAAAGGTATGCGCCGTGTCAGTGTGGGCCCCTATCGCTAATAGGTGCAGTATCCCCAGAACTAGCCGCCATCGTGACTTCGGTTGATTTGTCCTCCAACGTCACGGTGAATGATATTGGTCCTACCAACCCGGAGCTAGCAGATGTGGACGGAGAGCCTCCTGCGTGGTCCAATGTTTGTGGTCGTCGACTCTCCAGCATGCGCTTTCCTAACTTTGAATCTTAGAATCGGCCTGAGATAGCAGGAGCTTTCACATGGTTCAAATCCCACCAAGGCGGCATGTACTATAACAACGGCATATGCTATGGCTTCTTGATTGACGGAGACTCTGGAAATCGCTGCCACGTAGGTGACGAAGAGGTTATTAGTAGAATGTGAGTTCCATTCTCCTTCAATATGTCCCGATTCTAATGTCCTACAGCGGGGGATGCTGCGAGAAGGGCAAGGATGGCAACCTGATCCAAACCAAAGACATGAGCGAGGAAAAAGCCGCTATCAGGAGCATATTGAGGAGCATGGAGGAGAAGGTTCCTGTCGGATTAATTATAGGCGAGTCTTTCCCCAAGCTCCATTGACTACGGCTGACATTGTATCAGGCTCCAAGAACACGGCCTGCGGACGAAAGCTACCCCACCGCTACAATGTCATGGCCTACTTTCTAGTCACTGATGTCTGGGCTGAGAAGGTCGACGGCAAGATTGGCTTCAAAGTGCGCTTCGAGAAGTTAGACCTCTCGGAGAAGAGCTGGTGGGCGAAAAAGGGAACAATCCTGCCAGACCCTCTTACGCGCGCCTACACTGAGGCCGTCACTCTGCAATGCGCCGCTTGCTCTTTGCCCAGCAAACAAGTGTACATGGAGGGATGGATGTGCTTAAACCCCAGGTGTCAGGAGTTCTGGATGCTTTCTGGCTCACAGCCTCCGGTCACCATGACTTTTCACGACAAATTTCTTGAAGCTCGGACACGACATGAGCCACCAATAGAATTTCCCCCTCTCGTGCCGAACTTACCCGAGAAACCGGATTCCAGCTCGTCGCGTGCTTCGTGGAGATTTGGGATCGTGTGTCCTCACTGTCGAAAGTGCATACCTCGGATCCATTGGAATGGCTGGAGGTGCGCCGACAACGATGCAGGAGGACCGGAGGAGAAATGCCCATTTGAGCGATGGATAAAACTGGATCCAGTTGCCTTACCGGCAGAAGATAGAAACATCGATCAGGGCCGTGCCACAAAGCTCGTTCTCCTCACAGGCAGCCCCGATGACACGTCCTTCCCTCCGTATGCGCTGGTTACGTATAGCCTTGGGGATGCCGGATATATCCTGCATTTCAAATCGAATTCAGCGATCAATAGCCGCCCGAAGGGTCCCGATGGCCTCTTCCAGGAGTTACAGGAAGCCGACCTTAGGCTCCGGCGTCATCCTATGAGTCAGGCGCAAGGTGAGTGCATTGCTCCATGGGTAGGTAATGCTAACATCTGATGAATAGTTGGCGGCACCCTAACTTCACAATTCTCAACTAATTTTGTAGGAGTCATCCACCACAACTTGCTTCCCATATTAACAGTGCGTAGGGTTGTCCGTACAAGTTCGTTGTGTGTGTTGAATCGCGAGGCTTCGACCAAGCCTGCGACCCCGTACTCCGCGCACTCGGTCGTTTGAGATGGGCCACCGAGACCGCCGTGCAGAGCATGGGAGGCACCGCTCTCGAGCCCAATGAACTGCTCTTATTGGGGTACTTTGAGGATCAGAGAATCAGCGTATGTATGGTCAAGAGATTACAATATGGAGTCCAATTGACAGAATGATTAGTATCACGATGATGGTGAATCCACACTCGGTCCTACAATTGCTACCCTCTCCCTTGGCTCAACCGCAACGATGTCTGTGCGGATGAAGTATAAGTACTACCACGGCTTCACCAAGTCAAGTATGAAGAAAAAGAAGGGGGAGGAAGAGCAGGAGCAGAACGGGGAGGAGGAGAAGGAAAAGGAGACTGTTGCCCTTCTTGCCGACGACCCTGTCCTGCCCTCATGCGAGAACTACACCAACCGCCAGGCTCTCAAGAAGAATCTTCTTGATGGGTCTACCTCTGAGGAGAACTACAAGAAGGCTTGGTGGGAGTCCTTCGAGCAAAATAAAGGCCAGGACAAACCACCCGATCTTATGAAGATTAAACTTGAGCATGGCGATTTTGTCGTGATGCATGGAGAGGGGGTACAAAAGTACTACGAGGTAGGTGTCTGTTTGGTTCCGTTTGAACCTTGATCACGTCCTCGATGAGATACTAATTGACGGCTTTTCAGCACGCTGTCGAGCTCGACAAGCGCGGCGAGCTGCGATTCGCGTTGACGGCGCGCCATGTGAAGAAAGAACATATCTCGGAGGATGAATGGAAGATGGGGCAGTTTACTTTGAACGAGGACCAGATCTATGATGGAAAGTGATTTACCGGCTTGCTCTGCTTTCATCTGGCTTGCTATTTACGGCGGCGTTGCCCAACTCCCATTTGTTTCTTCGTTGATTTCCTCCAACCTCGAATCATTTCTGTTTTGTGAAGCCTAGTTGTTGATTTACTTGACGCGCTGGTTTTTATTGCTCTATTTTCTTTACATACAGAGCCTGGTGAAAGAAGAGCCAGGCCACAGCCCAAAGGTCATTGTTTCTTGTTTCAACAGATGATTTACGCAAGCGTTCCAAGTCACACAAGTTCCCCAGTGTCTCTAGATCATCGAGATACAGCTATCAATGAATGCACAGATACTACTTACGATGTTGCAATCGAGCCATGGCGAAGACTAATGTCCCCGAAGAGAGTCAGCTACCAGCTTGGGAATGACTAGCCACCACAGAAGAATTCGCAGAATCAAAGTTGCACCTCTAAGATACCTTCCTTTCATCAAGAGTTCCCAAACAGGGTTTTCAGCCCCTCTTAAACTTTCAAAAGTCCCATACATGACCAACCAGAAGATGCTTTGCGCTTGAGCGATCTCTCGTGGGTATTGACGAACAGGTAGTGCTGCTTCAACATCCATATCTCAAAGGGTCACTGCAGCGTATTCCCATGTCTCTGTCTTCGGTTACTGCGCGTTGGGCTCCTAGCGGACGATGCCTTGATCCATAGTCCTTCAACCCCCCCCCTGGCGCCCCTTCCACAAGCACAATGACCAGCTGCATCCCCAACCGCCGAATCAACTCGCGTCATTATCATCGGCTGCACAGGCTCCAGAGCCAGCGGACCGCAAGGTTGAAGCAGAAGCTGGTTAGCCCCTTCCCTCAAGTAGTAGGCAGCAGGACCCCGGTCCTCATGACTCTATACTTCCGAACGGCGGAACTCCTCTGTGCCACCACAGTCCGAACCCGTTGAGCGCACTCAGGGAGCTACGAGCGCAGAATCCGGGCATTGACCATCGCATCGTACAGCATGCCAGACAACACTCAGTCGTCAGCCCGGCCCGAGCCAAAGAAAGGAGGAAGGTAGGGGCAAAGCGTTACCAGATGGTATACGCAGCAAATAACGGGGTAAACCCGCCAGCTATGCATCCCGTCCACTGCGTCTACCCTAACGCTCGAGGAAATCTTCACGGACGTAGGGAAGGAAGTGAGTGAGTCCTGGGTTATGGTAAGGGCAAGGGCAAGGCATACGACGAAACCCTCAAGTTTCGCGCGCAAAAGGGCGCCTGAGAAGCACTGCCGTCGGGTCAGCGTAGAATCTTTTTGGGGCTGGCGTTTGCAGTGGACGGGATAATGTATATGTATATCTATGAGGTATGATGGATAAACCGATGGGATGAGATGCATTTTTGCTTGTTTGGACGGGCTGTCTTAAGGATGCATGGAGAGTCAGTCGTACTTCATAGGCGGGGGCAAGGTAGAGGAAGGACGACAGGGTGGGCGTGCAATGGGGTGAGTAGTAAAGTGATTTTGTATCTATTTACGAGCAGGTAGCAGAGGATAAGGATAAGGCATTCGAGTAGAGTAGATGGGTAGAGCAAGCTTGGGCGCCGCAGAAGGTGAATGGAGGTAAGGAGGCAGGCAATAAGACAAAAGTGGTAGACGGATGCATGGCTTTCTGGAACTGGAGATGCTTGAAGCACGCGGAGGCATCCTGGAATACTACCAAAGAAGTAGATTGTAGATTGAATGATATTCATGGATTGCTATGCTGTTCGTTAAGTGATGATATCTGATGCCGATAGATAGGAGCAAAGTGGGAATTGAGCTGAACCCCAAGCACAAGGACGAGGCTAACAGAACCTGAACATCATGGTCATCGTCGCTCAACATCCAATACATAGAGAGTTGTCCGGGGACTAAGCCTCTTCCGCTCTCGTTCTGCAACCACTACGAGACTCAGGCGATATCCTAGATTGTTGGTGAAGAGTCTGTGCTCCGCCCCATGCCACGTAGTGTGACTTGTCTGTCTTGCAAGAATATGTCCATTGAGTCGTATGAACATAGAAAGATGCGTTTATGTATCTCGGTCGTAATAGCTCGTGCTGGGCGGAGGCTCCAATTCGCCACGAAAGAGCAGGAAGAGTGAGATTTGTGAGTTCAACCACCCTTTCTAGGTCCCGCCGCTCCCGGGCCCGAAGCCGCCGAGCGGGAAAAGGTGTTCGCTGCACCTATCGCAGCGCTAGCATTTCTAAATTCGATCTTCTGGCGCTCCATTTCAAGCTGTGCAGTGTCAATAACATGGCCCTAATGTATGCGGATTGGAACATGACGTACCACCTTGCGTATCCGGGCCAGGGCAGCTGTGTCACCTGCATGCAGTGCCCGGCAGTCATCCGCACGGTATGGGGGCGCAACCACAACTGCATCGGCCACAATGATATTCGCGCCATCCCACCTCGTCGTCGGCATCGTGCGAATGAATGCATTGAACAGATCCTGCGCTTCTTGCGTGACTCCCTTGCCGCGGCGTGCCTCACCTTGCTGTAGCTTCGTAACTGCTTCCACCTCCCGCCTTCTCAGGGCCTGGGTATCCAGTGCATGCAGCGGTGGGACAGCATCAGCGAATGACGTCGCTTCACCGCTCTGGGCCGACTGGGGTAGAGAGAGGAGCTCGAAGCTCTGTATCCGTGAGATCGGAATGACGTGGTAGTTTCCGGCTTGGGTTTGTTTGCCGTCGGCGGTGTTCACGGCGACGAGGTTCGTGATCGGATCGGCGGCGAAAACGGTCCCCTCGATTGTGGACGAAGCCGGGTTGGTAGTGATGCGGACGCTATGAAGATATTGAATCAGCATGTTGCCCTTCTCTTGTTCATAGCTTCGGACGAGCTGCGGGGTGACGGAGTAATCCAGTTGCTGGCATGACGCAGGGACAGGTTGATGAGCTGCTTACCGCGCACCGAGTACATCGCTCAACGCCTGTTCATGAGGCACTATCGCACCAGCCATTCTCAGACTCGTGATACTTGACTCGAACTGACTGTGTGACTCCGACGCTGGGTTCGTTGATGATGGCCGCCGATGTTTCGTATTCCAGCAAGTACTGAAGTGGGATGGATCTCGTCGCCGAGTCGCAATAGCTCAGACAGATAATCAAGGCGACAATAGCAAAATCAGGCTAACAAGTTATGCAATCGAAGACCGAAACCAAACAATCAAGACCAATCCCTAACGCCGCCGGAACCGCAGTCGATGGTATGAGCCTAGCCGCCAGCACTCGAGGTGGGACGTCGCGGGAGCTCGGTCGGAAAGGAGTGACGGGAAGGCAAAGAAAGAAAGGAGAGAACGTAAAAAGTCCAACCAAACAAACAGGAGCAGTTTCCTAGGCTGCTGGCATGTAGGATATGGACGTAGGTTCGCTCCGTGCAGGGTCGCAGAAAGCAAGAGAGTCACCGCAACGCTGAGTTCGAGTTCGCCTGCGACGTTGCAAGGTGTCCCGATCGGGACTAGCCTACGGAGTGGAAAATCACGGTCCCAGCTACTGACGACATCTACAACCAGATACTCCGCATAGTGAACATTGAAGAATAAGATATTTCATAACGACCTAGATACATAGTAGGTCTCACTTCTTTTGAACATCAGGCATTATCATTCTATATGTTTAGAGTCGCGAGACTCTCGATTTTGTCTGGTCCTATAGAGTGTGTTGGTCCAGAAAGCTTCACGTCCAGCGCAGTGCATCAATGTACCAAGTTAAGCAGTGTAGGTCGAGGCGGAAACGTTACCGCCACGGCCGGTCCAGTTGACGTGGATGTCCTTGTCAACGGGGTACTTGTCGCTGGCGTGCTCGGGCTTGATGCGGAAGGTGTGGGCACCGAAGTAGTCACGCTGGGCCTGCAGCAGGTTGGCGGGGAGGACCTTGGTGCGGTAGCCGTCGTAGAAGGACAGAGCGGTGCTGAAGGCGGGAGTGGGGATACCCCAGAGAGCACCCTTGGAGACAACGTTTCTCCAGCCCTTCTGGGCGTTGTGGATGGCCTTGTTGAAGAAGTCGTTGAAGAGGAGGTTCTCGAGCTCGGGGTCCTTGCGGTAGGCCTCGGTGATGTCCTTGAGGAAGACGGAGCGGATGATGCAACCGCCGCGCCACATGAGGGCAATGGCGGGCTTGTTGAGCTTCCAGCCGTACTCCTTAGCAGCCTGCAGTTTGTTAGTAAATATTCTTGCGTAACGGGGTTGGGCAACGTACGTTCTGGATGAGCATGAAGCCCTGGGCGTAAGAGATGATCTTGGAGGCGTAGAGAGCCTGCTCGAGGTCGGCAATGAACTCCTCCTTGTCACCGGTGAACTCGGGGGTGGGGCCGTTGAGGCGCTCGCTGGCGCGGACACGCTCGTCCTTGAGCGCGGAGAGGCAGCGGGAGAAGACGGACTCGCCGATCAGGGTGACGGGCATGCCGAGGTCGAGAGCGTTGACAGCGGTCCACTTGCCGGTACCCTTCTGGCCAGCCTTGTCGAGGATCTTCTCGACCATGGGGGTTCCATCGTCGTCGTTGAAGTAGAGGATGTCACGAGTGATCTCGATGAGGAAGGAGTCGAGAACACCATTGTTCCACTTGGCGAAAACATCGGCGATCTCCTTGGAGGAGAGACCGACACCGCGCTTGAGGATGTCGTAGGCCTGTAACGATCAGTCTTGTTCGTCCCCACAGATTCTCGAGTCCTTACCTCGCAGATGAGCTGCATGTCACCGTACTCAATACCGTTGTGGACCATCTTGACGTAGTGACCAGCACCCTCATCACCGACCCAGTCGCAGCAAGCCTCGCCGTCGCTCTTGGCGGCGATGCTCTGGAAGATATCCTTGATGTGAGGCCAGGCCTCCTCGTTACCACCGGGCATGAGAGAGGGGCCGTAGCGGGCACCCTCCTCACCACCAGAGACACCGCTGCCGACGAAGCGGATGCCCTTCTCCTTCAGGTACTTGGTGCGGCGGTTGCTGTCGGGGAAGTGGGAGTTACCACCGTCGATGATGATATCACCCTCCTCGAGGTGGGGCAGAAGAGACTCGATGAACTGGTCAACGGGGTTACCGGCCATGACGAGGAGCATGATGCGGCGGGGGCGCTTGAGCTTGGCGCAGAATTCCTCTACGGAGTGGGCACCGACGATGGGCTTGCCTGCGATCAATTAGTGCCTGCTGATACCTCCGGATGCGCCGGAATCTGCAAACTCACCCTTGGCCTCGTTCTCAAGGAAGCGGTCGACCTTGGAGGTGGTACGGTTGTAGGCGCAGACGGTGAAACCATGATCAGCAGCGTTGAGGATCAGGTTCTGGCCCATGACGGCCAGACCGATGAGACCGAAATCAGCACTGGGAGTGATTGGCGCCATGAGGCTGGCAGCAATGCCAGCCAAACGGGCGCTAGACGTCAGTTACTCAGTCTATGGCAGGAATACGAATGAGGGGTAATGCGTCGCTTGGATGCCGTTGCTGGCGGGGTTGACAGCTTCCAGCGTCCCAGTATGACAGAAATACTCCGCGAGCGCATTCAGCGAGACTCGGAGATTTCTGCAATCCCCCGGTTTCTGCACAGAGCTGTATACACAGCTTGGTATAGAAAGCCGTAGAGCTCGCGAAGCACTCGGCGAAGACAGGTTTTGCTGGGATAGAAGTGGGTGACTGTAACTTACACGGCGCTCATGATGAAAATGTAGGATAGAGAGGTTTAGTTAGGAGGGGTATAAGAGAAAACGCGGAGTGGTATAAAGCACGAAGAAAGAGGAGAGAGTTGTTGAGTGAGGGAGGAAAAAGAAAGGAAAAGAGCGAAGGCCGACGATGATATGCTGCTCAGTCAGGATTCAAACGGAGCAACTCTTCCGTCATGGTGGGACGAATTGGGGCGGGGCTCAATGAGGAGCAGAGTAGTCCGGTTTCTGAGGCCGTCTACACTTTGTTGAGGCATTTACTTTACAATCTACCCATGTCTCTAGAGCGCGGCGGCTGAGACTTTGCTCAACAGACGCCGTTACCATGAGGCCGTCTGTTTGCATGGACTTGATGGTTCTGACTGCATGCTGGGGGGGCGTGATGCTGTCTGCGATAGCGGGGCAGATGGAGGGGCTCTGACTGATCTATGACCCAAACGATTTATTTCCCAGAACGCACTCGGTGAAGGACCTTCGACGCTGGGCGGATAAATCATCGCCGGCCAGCTCAGCTGTTGCTGATGAAGCAAGCTGATCAATTCTTACTGATCTCCTCACAAGCAGTCAGTTCATCCGGAGTCCCGCGTTATCAGATCCTCTGCCTCGTTGCGAGGGTATCGTGGCTATGATCTCATCACTGTGCTTTGAGCTGAGCTCAGAGCTCCCGTAGACACTTCACCGTACTCTCTGCCTGCCGACAATGTTCACAGCGCGGAAAAGAGACAATCTGCTTCTCTCTCGAGGTAATCCGCCGCGGAGATTTCTGGGTTTCCAGCTCATTTCCGTCTCCGAGGACATCCCTGAAGAACTCCCTTGATAACCGCCGACAAGACCGGCTACTGCATCCATCCCAAACAGGCTTAGAGTGGGGGTGCCGTCACAGCCTCGCGCTAGCCCTGTCTCGAGCTCCGATAACCGGCTTAGTCACAGGCTGTGGCTGGACCACGTCACGTGGCATTCCGCTCCTGCGAGTTTCTACGGAGTTCGAGAAAGCCAAGTGCGTCTTTTCCGCTGCCCAGGCCGTCCATCCAACTTTTGAGGCCTGACCGATATCAGGACCTGCCTTCAATTCACTGCGCAACACCTCGCTACAACGTTGAAAACCTACGATACCATCTCGGGAAATCTAAATACGCGTGTACTTACAACTCGCTACTTCTTCAGCCTCTCGCAGCTTCTTAACCTCTCACATTCGACTCAGTCGCAGTCATTTCTTGGCCGCTTCCTCCAATTCGGATTCGGGACTTCTCAGGCGTGACGTCTGGCGTATGACTGCTGCGTCAGTCAAGCCCTGAAGGTACGTGTCTACGCGACGCTCATATCATCCACCGCCTCTATAAAACTCCCCGTTCATCATGTCCTTTCCGCCGCCTCCAGGTCAGCAACCTTCATCGCTTCCTCCGCGACCACCTCAGTCTACGAACACAGGTTCACAGTATTCGAACAGCGGATATGGCGGGGGCTCTCGTCCCGGCGGCTTTGGTGCCGCTATGGCTTTCGCACCTCGTTCCGTAGCCTCCCAACAGCCGTACCGCACTAGCAGTCCTGTCGTTGCGGCTCCGCCTGCGATAACAAGCGGTTATTCGACTCCAACTACTACCGGCTACGGCAGCTACTCTCAACCGCAGCAATCATATCAAGCTGGTCCTTCATACTACGGTGCGTCGCAGTACAACAATGCCGGTACAACGTACGGTCCCGCGATTCCTCACATTCAGAACCCGTTTGCGCCGTCGGGAAATGACCAAAATCGCGGACGGAACTCCGGGCTCGATCCCGAAACCGAAGCACAAATTGCGCAGTGGCAGAGCGCCTATGCCAACAAGGATGACATGTCTTCTATGGGCAGAGGCACCGTTCGTCGAGAGGGAGCTACCAGTACACCTGGCGCTACCACTGTCTACACCTCGTCCGGCACCACACCCACTACCAATACACCTCCCGTGGGGTCAGAGACACAAAAGACCGTTGCCCGCTCCGGTGGCGGTCAAAATTGGAATGACTCGACGCTGCTCGAGTGGGACCCGGCTCATTTCCGTCTGTTTGTCGGTAACCTTGCGGGCGAGGTCACCGACGATTCTTTGTTTAAGGCATTTGCAAAATACACATCCGTTCAGAAGGCACGTGTGATCCGCGACAAACGCACACAGAAGAGCAAAGGTTACGGATTCGTCAGTTTCAGCGACGGCGACGACTACTTTTCAGCCGCAAGAGAAATGCAGGGCAAGTACATTGGCTCGCATCCAGTTCTCCTCCGTCGCGCAACGACCGAGATCCGACCGGTATCCAACAACAAGAATAAGAAGCATGGTGGAAAGGGCGGCGGTGGTAATCAGGGCTCCAAGGTGAAGCACGACGGAATCAAGAAGCCTGGAAAGACCAAGGGGGGGTTGAGGATCCTGGGTTGACGGGGTTCCTTCCAAATTTCTAATGACTTTCTTTGTACCATAGACTGTTTCAGATCCATGAATTGGTATTCTACATCTAAACTCGTCACATTCGTAGCCAGTCTCGTGAACATCATTGTATATAAACATCCAAAACGCCATGTACAGCAGGCCCGCTCGGGGTTATCGAAATGTAAGCAGAAATGTAGGGTGGATATCGTCAAATCATATGCAAAAGGTTTTGGGTATGCACGGCGTGCCAGGTATATGCAAACGTGGTTGATGCCGGTTGGAGGAGGAGGAGGTAGGTTCGTGTTCGTTGCAGGGGTCGTTAGGCAAGGCGGGCAATAATAACCCCCGGCCGGGTCGTATATCGTGGATGGATGGGTGGGTGGGCAAGCAATCGTTTCTTTTCGTCCCGTTTCACGTCGTGTCGTAGTCGTAGCGAATAATAGTATAGCGTAGCGATAAGGTAACAATCCCTCTCTCCCCCTCGAATCGTCGACTCGAAGAAAAAATCTCGTGGATGCAGTAGGGATGGTAGATCTAACCACCCTCCGTGCTCTCCTCATCGACGGGCTTCCGGCGCGCAAAGAACGAGACTTGGTGCTGGTGCGCCCAGATCAGGAAGCCGATTATGATGAGGATGATGAAGAGGACGATCAGGATGACCGCGACGGTCATGTTGCGCTGCATGGTTGCGGTGGTGGGTCGTCAGACGAGGGAGTGATAAGGATAATGATAAATGGATAAGAATGGATGGAGGAGTTGCTACCTGCTGGCAGGTAAGCCAGATGAATGGGTAGGTAAGGTAGGAGATATGGATGATGGAGTCAGTCCTGTAAGGACTTCCTCCGCAAAAGGCTCGAGTCAATCTACCCCGTGTGAAGGGATGGACGATATAAAGGAAAGGAGAGGAAGGAGAGGCGAAGAATGTGGGTGCAACATGGTCGAGATTTAAAGGGGATTCGAATAATGGCGCCAGGCAGGGCTAGAAGCCCAGCCATGTATTTTCAAGGCTCTTTGCTGGCGTTGTTGTTTTGGCGGGGTGGCTGGGTATACAATGTTTCCGAGGCTCTGATTGGTCGCATTCGGGGTTAAGCTGTTGTTCGCTAATCGGGCGGGTCCCAGCCTCCGCATTTTTGGATCGGAGTCGGACACTGTCAACGAGCTTGAGGAGCTTGGACAGGGGGAATAGTATTATAATCAAGACATAATGATACATGGGAATCGAGATACAGAAGACCATGAGAAGAGAAAAGGTTTAAAGTCTCGAGTCTTCGAATGTGGCATTCATTGGTCACCAGCTGGACGAGATATATATTGCTGATAGCTGTGGTCGTGCTAGGAAAAAGGGAAGCAACTTCAAAGCTTTCTGAGTTCAATAGGTCAGCTTGGTTATATTCTTGTTCAATGAAGCGTGTCCCTGTACCGATACTACAACGATTGAAGCCGACAGAACCCCGAAGTATATGACCGGGAACTGGACTATGAAGCCGAGAGCAGTCTAGAACAACAGGGACGGGGTCCGCGGGGAGAGGCAAAATCCTGATGGAAGACCCTGAACATGGAGTAACCCTTGCAAGCAATCATTTGACTCCTCCAGGGCTGCCAATTCATCGGCTGACTCGGCTGGCCCAGGCGCAGTTCTCATCGACCAGGGACATGGTTCACCAGCAATCCGGCACACGAGTCAGTCAGCATCATCACGATGAGGCAACTCTTGGCTTGGTAACTTGCTCTGGCGAAACAAAGCTGTCTTGGCTTCTCCAAGATAGACTTGTAGACTGGATCGCATCGAAAATGCTCGACGGTGATTGTCAGATCTGAAGCTGGCGACGGTGATGACTTCATCATGACCACACTTCGCAACACATCCAACTTCCGACTCCGAGCATTCTAACAGTCTTCGGAGCCTCGGTCGCCCGTCTCCCTCCTTATGCTGGCTGTCAGCTGTCACATTGAATCTATGCTTCCTTTATGATGGATTGTTTTCGGTCGGATTCCCACGAATTAGTCCGTTCTTATGCGTTCGAGTCAGGCCCGGACTTAAGACGGCGTAGCCCTCTGTGATATCATACTTGTATATATTGGCCTCCTGTCCCTTACCTCTGAGCATTCCTCCATGTACCTGACGGACAGTTGATTTGCTTTCCATACCATCCGCCAGAATGGAGAAAGACTCCTACCCCGGCGACCCACCCAGGGACTCAGAGCAACACTTGCGCTCCTCCACAGCGACAGACTCCACCTCTGATACGGCATCCCTTCCTTCAGACCCCGAGGGCGAGAAGTTTGCGCCTATCCAGACAAACCAGTCCAGCCGCAGTCGTAATGGGACTCTTACTCGCAGACGCACTGCCGGCGGGGGACCTCTCTCCAACGACGAAATCACGCATGCGCTGTCGCATCGGCAGACAAGCTCCACCTACAAAGGGGAGGAGGATGATAACGAAATCGTCAGGCTGGTATCCCGGATGTTCGGCCATGAGCGCAAGGCCAACTCCGACGAGGAGCAAACGAGACACCATGGCGTGGTTTGGAAGAACCTTACCGTCAAAGGCGTTGGATTGGGCGCTGCAATCCAGCCAACAAATGCGGATATTTTTCTGGGACTGCCGAGGTTGATAAAGGGGCTTCTTACGCGAGGGAGAAAGGGAACGAGCGCGGGTAGTGCGCCGCTGAGGACGATTCTAGATGACTTTACTGTATGCTTCTTTGCTCGAGGGTATGACCGGCACTAACTGTCAAAGGGCTGCGTTCGGCCGGGAGAGATGCTCCTCGTCCTGGGCCGGCCAGGGTCTGGCTGCTCGACATTCTTAAAAACGATAGGTAATCAGCGATCTGGATATAAGAGCGTTGAAGGGGATATCCACTACGGTGGGACAGATGCCGATACTATGGTAGACAAATACCGCTCGGAAGGTATGTTCGTATCCTATAGGATGTTGTTGATGCTGACCGAATAGTCTTGTATAACCCAGAAGAGGACCTCCACTACGCCACTCTGACCGTGAGAGAGACAATCATGTTCGCTCTGAAGACTCGGACGCCGGACAAAGACTCACGCCTGCCGGGAGAAAGCCGGAAGGACTACCAGGAGACCTTTCTATCAACAATCGCCAAACTATTCTGGATTGAACACTGTCTCGGAACAAAGGTCGGTGGCGAGATCGTCCGCGGAGTCTCAGGCGGAGAAAAGAAGCGTGTCTCAATCGGTGAAGCCCTGGTTACGAAAGCTAGTGTACAGTGCTGGGACAACTCCACCAAAGGACTTGACGCAAGTACTGCGTCCGAGTACGTGCAGAGTCTGAGGAGTCTGACCAACATGGCTCACGCTTCGACCCTGGTCGCCCTTTACCAAGCATCCGAGAACCTGTACAAGCAGTTCGACAAGGTACTGCTGATCGAGGACGGAAAGTGCGCATACTTCGGACGCGCAGAGCACGCAAGGGAATACTTTGAGAACCTTGGCTTCGAATGTCCCCCGCGATGGACAACTCCGGACTTCCTGACGTCGGTTAGCGATGTCAACGCTCGACGGGTGAAGAAGGACTGGGAGGACCGCATACCCCGTTCCGCAGAGGACTTCCAGCGCGCATACCGCAACAGCGAAGCCTACAAGGAGAATTTGAGGGATATCGAGGACTTTGAGCAAGAGGTCAAGGAACATGAAGAGGAACGGGAGGAAGCTCGAAGAAAGGCGCCAAAGAAGAATTACACTGTGCCATTCCACCAGCAGGTCATGATTCTTACCGAACGGCAGTTCAAGATCATGTACGGAGATCGAGGAACGCTCATTGGGAAGTGGTCGATCCTCACTTTCCAGGCGCTCATCATCGGGAGTCTGTTTTACAACCTGCCCACCACTAGGTTCGCACCAACCCCTTTGATACATCACAACGAAACTAATAAGACAGTGCTGGCACCTTTACGAGGGGCGGGGCCATGTTCTTCGTTCTTTTATTCAACGCCCTTCTTGCTCTTGCGGAGCTGACGGATGTCTTCGCACACCGTCCTGTGATGTTGAAGCATAAGAGTTTGTGGGTGGCTCACACAACCACCAATCTACAGATACTGATTACCGCTCTAGTTCGTTCTACCGGCCTTCTGCGTACGCTGTGGCTCAGGTCGTGGTTGATGTACCCATAATTTTTATTCAGGTCACGCTGTTCGAGCTGATCGTCTACTTGTTTGTTCTTTGCCCCGGGTGTTTCTACATTTGCTGACATTACTAGTATGGCCAACCTTCAGAGAACACCGTCTCAGTTCTTCATCAACTTTTTATTCATCTTCACCCTCACGATGACCATGTATTCATTCTTCCGGGCTGTGGTGAGTTGGAACTGCAATAGACCGGCGCATAGTGCCATGCTAATGAGATGCAAAGGGCGCCTTCTGCGGTTCGCTAGACGTTGGTATGTGTAATCTTGATTATGGAAGCTAGGTACCGGTGCTAACTACAATCCCAAGCTACGCGTATTACTGGGGTCGCCATCCAGATTCTGGTCGTCTATACCGGTTATTTGATCCCACCGTACGTAATTCTTTTGGACCATGGCTCCAACGATGAAGAAACTAACAGATATCAAGTTGGAAAATGCATCCGTGGTTTAAGTGGCTGATCTGGATTAACCCTGTTCAGTATGCCTTCGAAGGTATCATGACGAACGAGTTCTACAACCTGGACATCCAATGTATTCCGCCACAGATAGTGCCTGATGGCCCCGATGCACAGTCTGGTTACCAGACCTGTGCTGTTCAAGGAAGCACGCCAGACCAGCTGGTCGTCCAGGGTTCAAACTACATTAGAACGGCCTTCACCTACAGTCGGTCCCATCTGTGGCGCAACTTCGGCATCATCATTGCCTTCTTTATCTTCTTCGTGGCTTTGACCATGCTCGGAATGGAGCTGCAGAAGCCCAATAAGGGTGGGAGCTCGGTAACTATCTTCAAGCGAGGCGAGGCTCCGAAAGAGGTTGAGAAAGCGGTCGAGCAGAAGGAGAAGCCGAACGATATAGAGTCTGGTTCTCAGAGCAACCCCTCTAATGGCGCGACTTCGGATGAGTCTGGTGAAGGGGTTGAAGGTATTGCGCGGAGCGAGTCCGTCTTCACGTTCCAAAATGTCAACTATACCATTCCTGTTAGTGGCGGGAAGAGGCAGCTATTGAAAGACGTGCAAGGCTATGTCCGCCCAGGGCGACTTACTGCGCTCGTTGGAGCTTCTGGTGCAGGGTGAGTCCCAAAGCCGCTTGATATAGTATGCAAACTCACGATCCTCCAGGAAAACAACCCTCCTTAACGCACTTGCCCAACGGCTAGACTTTGGCGTTGTCACTGGAGACTTCCTGGTTGACGGAAAGTATGTAACCCTAACCCAGGTTTATTACCTGCTAATCATTCCAGGCCGCTTCCGCGAAGTTTCCAACGAGCCACTGGCTTCGCCGAACAACAAGATATTCACGAGCCAACCGCCACTGTTCGAGAAAGCCTTCGTTTCTCTGCGCTCCTTCGCCAGCCCAAGGAAGTTCCCATTCAAGAGAAATATGACTACTGCGAGAAGATCATTGACTTGCTGGAGATGCGGCCCATTGCTGGGGCCACGGTCGGAGCTGGTGGGACTGGACTGAACCAAGAGCAGCGGAAGAGACTTACCATTGCCGTTGAGCTGGCGAGTAAGCCCTCGCTGCTGTTGTTCTTGGATGAGCCGACTTCCGGCTTGGACTCTCTTGCTGCATTCAATAGTAAGTTATTCCATGATGACCATGGTCCATACTGACCAATTAGTCGTCCGATTCCTGCGTCGATTAGCGGATGCTGGACAAGCGATCTTGTGCACCATCCACCAGCCATCAGCTGTGCTGTTTGAGATGTTCGACGACCTGATCCTGCTCAAGAGTGGCGGCCGAACCGTCTACAATGGCGAACTCGGTCAAGATTCGTCCAAACTGATTGAGTATTTCGAGAAGAATGGCGGCAAGAAATGCCCCCCGAATGCCAATCCAGCAGAGGTATGTCTCCCAATGCTCACCATATCTGCTTCCCTAACAAGTGGACAGTACATGCTTGAGGTAATTGGCGCCGGAAATCCGACATATAAAGGTCAAGACTGGGCCGATGTCTGGGCCGACTCAGAAAACTGCAAGAACCTCACCGTTGACATCGACAAGATCATCGAGACCCGCCGGAACAACGAGAAGGAGCGCAACAAGGACGATGATCGCGAATATGCAATGCCGATATGGACGCAGATCATGACCGTCACAAAGCGCTCCTTCATCGCATACTGGAGGACACCTGAGTACAACATTGGCAAATTCGCCCTCCACATTTTCACCGGCCTCTTCAACACCTTCACCTTCTGGCACCTAGGCAACAGCTACATCGACATGCAATCGCGCCTCTTCTCCGTCTTCATGACGCTGACCATCTGCCCACCCCTAATCCAGCAGCTCCAACCGCGCTTCCTCCACTTCCGCGGCCTCTACGAGTCCCGCGAGGCAAACTCCAAAATCTACAACTGGACCGCGTTCGTAACATCCGCCATCCTCCCCGAACTGCCCTACTCCATCATCGCAGGCTCAATCTACTTCAACTGCTGGTACTGGGGGATTTGGTTCCCTAGAGACTCCTTCAGCTCCGGCTTCACCTGGATGCTCCTCATGCTCTTCGAGCTCTTCTACGTCTCCTTCGGTCAATTCATCGCCGCCATCTCGCCCAACGAACTCCTCGCCTCTCTTTTGGTCCCCTGTTTCTTCACCTTCATCGTCGCCTTCTGCGGCGTCGTCGTCCCATACATGGCCATGCCAACCTTCTGGCAATCCTGGATGTACTGGCTCACCCCCTTCCACTACCTCCTCGAAGCCTTCCTCGGCGTCCTAGTCCACAACATCCCAATGCAGTGCGTCGAGCGCGAGGAATCCTTCTTCTCGCTCCCCCCGGACCAGAACTCCTGCCAGTCCTACGCGTCCTCCTTCCTCTCCCAGCCAAGCGCAAGCGGGTATGTCCGGGACGCGGGGAACAACATGTGCGCGTACTGCCAGTACAGCGACGGCGACCAGTTCGCGACGAACTTCAACGTCTACTACAGCCATAAGTGGCGCGACTACGGCATTTTCTGGGCGTTCGTGATGTTTAACTTTGCCGCGGTGTTTGCCCTCTCGTGGCTTTATTTGCATGGTGTTAATGATGCGAAGAGGTGGGTTAGTAAGAGGAAGGCGAGGAGGAGTGGGTTGTAGATAGGTATGGTATATTGGGTGGTGTTTGTCTGTATACAGGGACGCGGACATGGGCCATGACCCAATAGGGTTGTTTTGAGGAGGTCAGACTAGTGCACAGTCTTGTACTATACCAATGGATAATGTGATATACGATATACAGTGCTAGAAGTGCCCGATACTTAGAGCAACAGTACTTAGAGCAACAGTCAATAAAAGTATATACAATACTAGGGCTCGATAAGACGCCATTTCTCCGTGTCATCGTTGGCGAGGTAGAGAGTTGCAGGAGGAAGGCTTCAACCTTCGACCTCGCACTCTTCCCTTCCAACTCCATCGCAATACCGTACCACCTGGAGTCCTTCCTCGCCTACTTTTACGATATGCAAGGGTCCAGCACGTAGACCATGACATGACACGGCGCAAAGTGGGCATGAACAGTGCGATTGTACGTCCTTAATAGCTACTTCGGAGACCGCGGAGTGACGAGTACGTACGTACCTACGGAGTACTTGAAAGGCTTTGAACTGGGTTGGTTGGATGGGTTATGGCCTGTATCGATACAGATGATCAGTTGGCGGGGAGAAACGGGCTGCAATATCTGATTGTATATCTAGGGAAACCCCGGTCAATGCCGAGTCTGCACTATGAGTCTGAGTCAATGTCTATGAGTATCCTAACTATAAGTCTGAGTCAGTAGCTATGAAAGATGTACATGGAATGGAATGAATATGAAGATTGATAGATTATAAGAAGCTAGTCGACTAGTAACGTGTAGTATAGTAGGTAGGTATGTACAACGAAACGGATACATTCACGGTCCCGATGCTAGGTCTGGAAGCATACTATATAAGCAATTGCAATTGTCATATAGCAAGACAGGGTCCGTCAGCGTCAGCCTGTTGAAGGAGTTGTCGGCGAAAGCGTTGATGGCTGTCCGTGTCCGTGCTGGTGCCCGTGCATATGCCCCTGGGCCTGTGCTTGCACATTCTGAACAGAATGCCAGGGGCCCGAACCAACCGCACCGCCTTGTGTCGCGCCCGCAGACTGGTCACCGGCGGTATTCGGGTGGTGTCTGCCGTTCATCAGGCGCTGGCGTTTCGCTTGCGGCGCGGTAATCGGGCTTTCGTGCGTCATGTATGGCGAGGTTTGGGCGGCGTTCGGATTCTGGATCGGTGATGGGCCGCCGGGGCTTGCAGTTGACACAGATAGCGGCTGTGTTGTTCGCGGTTTGCCGTCGGCGTTGGCACTGGCGCTCGCGCTCGTGGGCTCGTCGGGCAGCGGGCTAGCAGGGCCGGCTCCAGCGCGGCCCATTGTCCGATCGTGCATGACGACGCGCTTCCATTTCGCGACGACGTTCTCGTAGTCCCAGCGTGCGGAGCCCGGGCTAATCTGGCTTTCCTTGGCGTCGAGTTCACGGGCGACGTCGCGGGGTAGAGGCAGGGTTTCGGGTGGGAAGAGCGCGAACTCCCGCGGCCATTGGCAGTTGCCGAGTTTTTCGACCTGGGATCGAAGCTGGTTGGCTTCTTGCTGGACGCGGGCGAGCTGGTCGTCGAGCGACTTGCGTTTTTCGGCCTCGCGAGCGAATGCGCGCATGATTTCCAGCTGCCATGCTTCGCGACGCGATTCGTGGGGGAGCGAGGCCCAGTGCTTGAAGGCGAGTTCGAGGTGGCGCTGGCTGAGTTCTTCGTGCTGCTGTGCATTCCGCTGGATCGTGGTCGCGTCCATTCCGAGAGTAGATTTTCCGGGGTTCGTGGAGGACTCGGCGGCGAGCTGGTCGGATTGCCATTGTTCGATTTTCGCGTGGATCGCTTGTCGGACGATGTTTAGATGGTCTTGGCCGGGAGGGTCGAGAGGGAAGGATGTATTCGAGGGGAATGGGCTCGCTGTGAAGAGCGTCGGCGGCGGAGGCAGAAGTAGGAGGCAAAGGGAGGGGAAGGTTTGGTTCTGGATTTCGAATTCGAAAGGCGAGATGCGCGGTCGCGTTCGAGACCTAGAAGCATTTAGTATTTTTTATAGTATCATCGCGGACGATAGACGTACGTCGCTGCTTTGATGTTATCCAGGACCTCGCGCAAGGCCAATTCCAGCGCTCGCACGGTGTCCGGGCTGGTGCTGGAGCCTCGACCTCCAAGATCCGTAGCCGCTAACGATCCCACCCGAGACTGAGAAGCAAACCGAGACATGCCCTGCTCCTGCAGCTGGTTCGGATTGGGAATGTCGTTGATGACCCCGGTCGCATGCCACGTCGGCGTATTGAACATCATCCGGATGGGCCCCTTGCCGCCGGACTCGCCAGCTTGGCCCGAATCCAGCGACCCTTTGGCCATTCCTCGCTCAGGTGTATCCCTTTTCCCGGTGGAAGTCCTCGCCTGCCTTCGTGTAATCCCGCTGCGAATGCGCCGGATCTCCTCGACATCGTGAATCCCGTCGGGTTTCTTCTTGAAGAGAAATTGGTCGAGGTGGCGGCCGAGCGAGGAGGAGGTGAAGGCTTGGTTGCAGTACTGGCACTTTCGATCCTTGAGCGCTTGGTTTTTCGACGAGCCGGCGTGGGTTGTGTTTTCCTCACCGGGACCAGAGTCCTCAGGAGTGTCGGCCGGGCGAGATGACGCGCCGTCGTCCATGGTAGCACAAGGGCGCGAGAATTCCGTTGGTCACAGGGGGGAGTCGCGGTGGAACTGTGAGAGAGACGCGTGGACGTGAAACAGCAGGAGCAGCGTTAGGTCAATTCTGCAGCTTGATGATGATGCATGGAGGGCGTGGGTGAGACTGGGCGGACCGGAGTATGGCGCCCAATGGGAGGGCGACGAGAGAGGAAAGCTTGAGAAAAAGAAGAACAATGGAGAATAAAGGGGAGATTGCGATGAAAGAGAGGACAAAGCGGGAGCTGGGGAGGGAGAGGAGGTGAGATTGTTGGGAAGGAGGGAGAGGAGAAGACAAAGTCGAGCAACACAAGAATCTTTGATGATCGTCGCCAAGCTTTTGCTTCTCTGCGGCCAGGACTGAAGCTACAGCTCAGTAACCACTCCATTCACTAGCAACCACTTCTTAATTATCTACTGCTCACTGCTGAACCAACATACTCCGCCAAGACAAGCATCTTCTCCTCCTGCAGTCGTCGTCCAAACATTTGGACCCCAGCCGGCGCCCCATCATACACATCTGCATCATAGTTCTTGTACGATTGCTCATCCAATTCGCCCAGATACTCTCGCGGGACATTCAAATCGACATTCTTGTCGACGGTCGTAACTGGAATGACCACACTGCTGTAGTCCAGCACGTTGATGACCGACGTATATCCCACATGGGTGTACTGAGTCGGGATCACGGCGGCGTGGGGAGCTGCGGGACAAATGACCGCGTCGACCGGTCGTCCTGTACCGGTGAGCTCGGACGTGGAGTTCCAGTACTCCATGTAGAGCTTCTGGTACTCGCGCTTCGCAACGTTGACTCTGGCGATATCCGAAGCTGACTTTTGAGGCAGTCCGCTAGCCACTAGGAGTTGTGGCGCGGGCTGTTCTCCGGATATACCGAAATGGTATTGGACGTCCGCGCCACCGTCGAAGTTGTAAGCGGCATTCTGGGGTTGTTAGCTACCTGTATTGCACATCGATTGAAGATGGGATATGGCGTACAGCTAATTCAACCCCGGTTTTGTGCGATGGGGGAGTCCACTCGATGACCTGAACGTTTCATGTTAGCGATGGTCGAAAGTACGAGAGTCGAACTCACCTTGTGTCCGAGTTGCTCGAGTGTCTTCTCGACCATGTCCAGAGCCCGTGCAATCGGAGGATGGGGCTTAACAATCCCGTCATGCTTCATTATGGCAAAGGCGAGCTTCGACGGATCCTTCGCAGACTGTTCCACCAACGCGCGCGTCTCCTGCTCAATCTCGCCCCTCCATGGTATTTCATGTACAAGCGGGTCGTAAAGCCACGGCTGCTGCCCGAGGACTGCCTTGAAGAGCAATTGCAAAGAGCGCGCCGTGCCAGCAAGTGGTCCGATAACAGAAAGAATAGTATTCTGACCGTCCATGGAGTTTGCAGCACCCTCGTACGGTATCCGTCCCGCCGACGGCCGGATTCCAAACAGCCCGTTGAACACTGCAGGTATACGCACGCTGCCACCGATGTCCGTCCCGAAACCACCTGGTGATCCCTTCAGCGCGATGAGTGCCCCTTCACCACCGGAACTACCTCCGCAGGCGAGAAGTCTGTTCTTCGGGTTGTTCGTGTACGTGATGATGTTATTGACCGTTTCTCCACACATGAGCGTACTTGGAACACTCGTCTTGCAGTATAGAACTGCTCCAAGGTTGCGCAGCTCACGGACAAGCTCACTTTCGAAGACTCGGCTTCGGGGGTCGTCTTTCAGGCCCTGGAAGGTGCCGATCCATCCGACATAACCCATCGTGGTTTCAACGCCTTTGACGTGGAATTGGTCCTTCAGACTGATCGGAAGACCGTGCAACGGGCCAAGAGGCTTCTTGTGGTCTGCGAAATAGGCATCCAGCCGTTTTGCGTCTTCGATAGCAGCGTCGAAGAATATCTCGTGCAGACAGTTTACCTGTACAAATTAGCCAGTCATCGTTGGTGTCCGGGGCTTAGCGTACAAGTTGGTGAGCAAGAGCGGCACGGTGGCAGAAGGCTTCAGTGACTTCGACCGCGGTCCATTCTCCAGTGGTCGTTTTCTCGGCAATGGCGTACGCATCAAGCTCGGTGATCTCGATTTCCCGGGGGTTCAGGAACTTCTGGATATATGGTCCTGTCACGTCGCGAAGCTCCGAGGCAGAGGGAATCGGTTCCTGAATCCTCCACTTTTCAGGGATGGCATCAAGCGTTGACTGGCGCTTCGTATTGGCCAGGGATTTCCAGGCGGTAATGGCCATGGCCAAGGATGGTAATCAATGTTCAGTTGTTGGAATACTCCTCGTTGGAGACGGCCATAGAGGGGGTGCCTTTCTCAATATATATCCTCGGTGGTAGGATACTATCTGCTCCATCTGGTACTCCCCGATAAGCAAGATTCGGCGAACATTCGCGGGACTAGCCCTCAAAAGGGCAGGTCGATAACATTCTTACCCATGGAACAGTTACATAAACTTGGAGCACTGCTGACCCCCTCGGCTACTTCCCGGGGTGCTCGTATTTAGCCGGCTCTGGCGGGGTGGTGGGGATTGGCCGTCATCTTATCAATCGGCGAGATCGGACGGTCTCTGAAGGATTGATAAGACAAAAAAAAAAAGACACTAATGATAGGCGCAGTAAAAGCAGGAACTACTCGGCGCCCGAATAGCGATTAGAGCCGTGAAGATGCTAGGAATTAAATGGTGCGTTTGAAGAAGACACCAGGAGGAAATGTCAACACAGGCGGAGTCAAAGGCGGTCAGACAAAATTGCCGGATTTTTGGCGGAAAAAAACACCAAGTCCCAGATCGCCGAGGCATCTTCAAGCTGGCAAAAATCGTTGAGATCATGCAATAATCTGATTACTACATTGGAAACACTATCGCTGGATATATACTGCTACAATGGCGAGGATTACGAGTCTAAACGCCCATGAGGCCCCTCCAGATGCCGTGAGGCTGCGCTACAAACAGTACTCCAAAGCAACGCCTTCTGAAGTCGAAGCCGATACGAGCATTGTTGACTTGCAATCCCTGAGTCCAGATAACCTTTCCTCAGGCATGGTGCTTGTGAGGAGTATATCCGTTGAGGACCTTCAGCCGGCTTTCGGCGAGTTCATCAGGACATCAGCGGCTCATGATCCGCCCCAACAAAGCATTCCAGTCTATACTCACCAATCTGTGACTGGTCAGTGATAGCCGAACTCTAGATGTCAGGGATACTGACATGTGGTAGGTCTTCTCATGGTTCCGTCGTTATTCCCACCAGCAGTACAGAAGGAGCTGCTTACCCGTCTGTTTCATCGGGACCTCTCAAACAGTGCACACAAGACGAATCTTCATCTTCACTACGACATGAAGTACCCTGTGCAGGCAAACGGAGTCACTGAGTACCGTGATGTGACCGCCTCTCTGGACGAATCTTCGAACCAGCGGGTGATGTCTCTCTTCGAGGACAGTCAAACGCGGACATTTCCCCCAAAGGATCCGGAGGTGCATAAACCGCTTACCATGCAGGCCGTGTTGAACAAGAAGCTCCGATGGGTTACCCTGGGCGGGCAGTACGACTGGACTGCAAAGGTGTATCCGGCTGAGCGCCCGCCTGCTTTCCCCGAGGACATTGCGAAGCTCCTCCGCGCAGCCTTTCCAGAAACAGAGCCCGAAGCCGCCATCTTGAATCTGTACTCTCCAGGCAATACCCTGAGCCCTCATCGCGACGTCAGCGAGGAATGCGACGCCGGTCTGATTAGTGTCAGTTTTGGCTGCGACGGCCTGTTTCTGATCAGCCATGATGACGGCCAGGGATGTGAGATTATCCGCCTGCGCTCAGGAGACGCGGTGTACATGGATGGGACTTCGCGATTCGCTTGGCATGCGGTGCCGAAAATCGTCCCTGGGACTTGTCCTTCATGGCTTGCAGACTGGCCTTGCATCCCAGGTGGTGAGCACGAGTCGCGCTACGAATCTTGGAAGGGCTGGATGGCGGGTAAAAGAGTGAACTTGAATGTCCGCCAAATGATGGCGGACACGAAATAGACAATGAATTCAACCATACTCGGTCTGATTCTCAACACCTGCGATATTACCAGAAGATGGCTGGGCTTACGAAAACCGAAGCTCCTCAAACAAAGCAATAGCAAGGACTTTGTTACGGACCACGGCCTTTCTCCCACGAGAGCGAGCGAAAACGAGCCCAGAAATGCGCTTCCAGTACGAGAAGGACGGACAAAATGCCGCGATGCTGTATGGGCCGGAATCGTGTTTCATGACCTTGGCGGATAGAGCGCACGCCTGACAACTCGGAGCAGCATTTATCGATATGTCACAGTGGCTACACTCCCGTATCACGTGGCCTCTCAACCATACATTTAGAGTGGCGCCACGGTTTTTAGAGTCTCTGAGATATCTATCGGGCTGTTGAGGGGTGACACGGTTGTTCTACGGCCATGGCCAGCTGACTGTGCAGCTGGTGTTTTCGGCGAGATCCGCATCATTGAAGCCAATCTCGAAGCCTTCAATGAGAAAGTTGGACAGAGCAAATTACCTGGGGCAAAGCAACGTCTATCTAAACAGCGTGACACTGGTGCTCACAGCGTCCGACACTTCAGCGAAAGAAACAGTTGCTTTGAAGGGAAAAAGTGCAGCGGCACAACAGAAGGTAAGTGTACCCCGACTCTATTGGCATTCGCATTGCAACGTCGTATAAGCTAATCTCGCTCTATTTACAGAGATTGAGCCTAGGCTCTCCCGTGCCAGTAACGCACCCGGTGTTGCCGACGCAATTCAGAAGCTACCTCTGATACGAGATGACGAAGGCTGCTCCTATGTCGAACACGCGAAGGCCGTTCCCTAGAAACGTAAATAGCACAAGACCTTGATGGCAGGCTTTTCCGTGCGAATGGCGTGTGATAAAGGGCAGGCACTACGAAACTACTAGTACTCGCGTCTATCAATCTAAGCCCAGCTCGGATGTCGTTTCCAGTGGACCTTCTCTGCGGCTCCTATACATCATAAAGTACTAGGACTGTCGGGCTATCTTGCCATATTGTATCCACCAGACCGGAAAGAGGAAACTCCTCCATCGACTGCGCCTGACGCTCTTTTGTTCAAAATCACTAGATTATCACCCATCCAAAGAGATGAAAAGCCTGTCTACCCTTTTCGCCCCGCCAAACAGTAATTTCGGCTGAACACTGGCACATCGGTCCTCGCAGTGGTTTGCATGTCATCGTCGATTTCATACAAAGAATCTGCCGCAATATTTGGAGCATGATGTTGCACGGACTCCCAATCGACGGCCGTGGCCGGACCGCACAGAGAATGATTCATTTCTTGTGTTCAATAGCCAACTGTGGAGTAGACGTTCGAGGAATGGCTGGCCTCACCAGCGTCGAGCCTCCGGCTACAGCCGGATCAACCAAAGAGGAGCCATGTCATGGCGGATGTTAGGATCAAATGTTGATCTTGCGGCCTGGCCGAACTCTTCGTGAGCTCGCTCTGAAATTCGCGTAATGGATTCCAGGCAACTGTGGCCCGCGGCCGCATCTTGATCCTGCCGTCATGTAGTTCCTCATGACCGCATCTTCGAGCTACTTCCATCGGAATGATCACGTTCACATTCAATGCTGTCCTCCCCATTTCCCCGCAAGGTTACACCCCCCTCAATCGTGGTTGCGGCATTCGACGTACATGAGTCGCTTGAATTGCAGGATGCTCTTGGGGAAAACGGCGCGGCGTACCAAGAAACTCTGTGAGTTGCTTGACAACGAATCACAATGAATGGCATACGATCTCTTTGAGAGTATCTTTGAGGTTGTGAGAGAATGCAAGCTGGGCGGCGGTTAGTTTGTAACAGGCGGCTGGCCAGACGCCACGGCGTGTTTCAGGTTTCTTAATCTCCGTGCAACCTGTCAAATCGTCGATCCCCAGCCCTAAAGGCTTGGAACGCGGGCTGGAATCAGGGCTCGCCACTGGATTGGCCCGTTTCTTGTCGTGTTTCAACCCTGAAGACCCTACAACGTCCCCTAGCCAGTACTCCTGCCCAGACCCTGATGTCCCATGAGCACGGCTCCTTTAACCAGACAAAGAAGATATTCGCCGAAACTCATCTACCTGGGGAGCTCGGCTCTGCCAAGGTTGTCTTTGTTTGATGATCTGATCCTGTGCCACACAAGGCCGTTGGACCGCTTTGACCTTGCGACTATGAAACAATGCCCAAGCAGCAGTTAGGCGCTTTACGACGGAGTATAAAATCCAATGACCCTGCCGCAGGGATACGATTGTTGTACCCTCACTCAATCAGTCATTCTTTAGACCGCGCTCCACTCTCCTTAAAATGGTGCTCCTTCGTTTCTTTCAACTGCTGGCAGTTGTTACCTTGGTTTCTGGAAAGCCGATTTTGCTCCCCCGGCAGGCCCAGGATGCATCGCAGGACGTTGCCCAACACTCTTTTGATGTGACTCTGGAGTCACTTGGAAATTCAACCGTCAAAGCGCAGGTCACGAATACTGGCTCGGATGGTCTTCGACTCGTGCAAAGGGGTGGTATATTGGACCAATTCCCCACGAAAAAGGTCACCGTCAAGGCCGCGGATGGTGGTGAGTTTCTTGATCCTATCTATTGAATTAGCTAACAAGATATAGATTCCGACCCCAAGTTCACCGGAGTTCGAGTCGAATACATTCTCTCCCACCTAACCGCCGATGGCTTCGTGCAGCTCTTGCCCAACCAAACTGTCGGATCTGTCTTTGATATCGCCGACCTCTACGAGCTTACCCCCGGCCAGGAATACACTGCCGCTGCCAAAGGCCTTCTCCAATACACTACGCTAGAGGACGAAAAGAAGTTCCTTACTTTCAGCTACAAATCCAATGATATCTCGTTCACTGCATCAGCCGATACGACTAGCGCCCTAGAGACCCGCTCTACCCTCGAATGCTCCGCCGAATACAATTCGATTGTGCAAGACGCTATATCTCGCGCGGCTGAAATGGCCACTGCTGCCGCGGCGGACGCTCGAACCGGTAGCGCCCTCTTCCAGAAGTATTTCAAGTCTACTTCGCAGGATGATATGGAGGAGGTCGCGGGTCGCCTTGAGGCTATTGCCAAGGAGGCGACGACAACTGGTCAACTCAAGTATTACTGCGAGCCCACGGCGGATGACTACTGCGCCGGCAATGTTGCCGCCATGATGTACCCCACCCTCAACAGAGTCGTCAATTGCCCGGGCTATTACTCCAGCACTAAGGTATCCAACTACTGTGGGTATCTCGACCAAGCAGCTATCACGCTCCACGAGTACGCTCACGCGGATGCCTTGTATAGTCCTGGAACTGAAGATATTGCGTACGGCTACGAGTCTGTCTTGTCTCTTGATACGGACGACAGCAAGAACAACGCCGACAACTTTGCCTACTATGCTTCTGCTGTCTACTTACAGTGCGACGCCAACGAGGAGCCAGGTGAGATCGGCAGCGAACTCGACGTCGATGTTGGTTCCGGCGGATCGGGCGACTCGGCCACGCAAACGCCGACGTCGACAGCAGAACCGACCAACAACCCAGAGCCTACATATACACCGGAGCCCACTTCTACTGGAACAGGGGGAACGGAAACTGGGACTGGCACTGGCACTGGGACAGGAACAGGATGGACCTGGCCTTGGGGTCAGGACAGTGGCAGTGGCACCAATGGCAATGACTACGGAACGGGTACAACCTCGAATACGAACCCGGGTTCGGACTCCAACACTGGGACCGGCACAGGTGGCTACGGCACAGGCGGAGGCTCAGGCTGGTCCACTGTCGTAGTAACCGCAACACCAACTGCCGCACCCGTTACGACGACGAATGGCGAGGAACTCTGGAACCTGAATGACCTGGTGAATTGGTTGGTGAGCATGTATTCGGGAGATGCTCAGACACAGGGCCAGACACAGGGACAGGGACAAGCACAGACGCCAACGCCAACACCAACGCCAGCGCAAACGGAAACTCCGACCTCGACCTCGGACTCCAATTCCGGGTCTGGCGATTACGGCGCGGAGACAGGACAGGGGCATGGCCAGGTGCAGGGGCAGAGTGCAACTGGCACTCCGGCTGCTCAAGCCGAGGACGAGGAGGGTGGGAAAGATTGCGATGAGTAGTGGAATTGTTGGCGTAACGACCAGCTCAATGTACCGAGGTAGGCTCGAAGAGCAAGCAGGCCGCCGTAGGACGGGGCGGCATAGCATAGCATACCATAGCATAGCCTTGATAGTTTACCCAAGTTTCAACAGAACCCTTTTCAATCTGATATCACTCACGATGACATGTTATCCAATCCAATCGACTCCGTAAATGATGGATACTATGCGCTTCTCGTAGAAGTAGCCCGCGAGCGGCCGCCTAGCCCGGGCTAGCCCTAACCTAAGCCTACATCCCATGGCCCAATGCTTACAGGTTGGATGGAAACGACAAGCGGCTAGTTAGATCGATGACGAAGCATGATGTCTTCTTATTAGTATCTTATCAATGTAGAAGCCGCTCTAGTAGGCAGTCAGCATTGACAAGTTCGTTGTTTGCTTCTTGTGATCGGAGTATCTAGCCCTGCATTGGGGTATCCCGATCCCGATCTTAGCGACGATCTCGGCTTCATTCTCTTTGTATATGGCTACCTGCCGTATTCTGGTGAGGACAATGGTTGCTTTGAGCTACTCCATAGGTACAGTGGACACAGATGAGGGATCCAAAGTGGTTGAATTGTCTTACCACTCGGCTTTGATGTCGTTCCTTCTCTACATACCATACCTACCTTGACCCCAGATTATAGTAGTCAACGTATCTAATAGCATTTCAATGCAAGGAATAGCTAAAACTGAGAGTTTCAGTAAAGGCTACTTCTGGGCTAAAGTCAGGCTTACTGGTTCATGAGTTTACGCTGCCCGAGGCAATCCGGGGTTTCATGTCAGCGTGATAACCCCGGTGTCGGTGACATAACCCCCTCCTGGACTGACATAGCGAGTCGCTCCGTGCAATGCTGATAAAGTTGAGTTGCTATAAATTGTGTAAGCTGATACCTTGGTTACTCCCTTTGTGGGTTGTTTTATCCGTCTCACCCGTCTGCGTGGAGGACTAGATACCCGTTTCATTCACCATGCATCTGCACGCGTCTCTATCGCCTCTAGCGCTTCTATTGTCAAGTGCTCTAGCAGCACCAGCACTCAGGGATAATGTCTTTGACTACATCGTTGTTGGCGGCGGTAACGCAGGTCTCACCATTGCGTCGCGCCTATCTGAAAACGCAACGATCCGAGTAGCCGTCATCGAAGCAGGGACGTTCTATGAATCAGCCACCGGCAATGAGAGTATCATACCCGGTAACGGAGGGCTCTATGAAGGGAAGGCACCGAATATCACGAATCCGGCGGTGGAGTGGGGGTTCATGACGACGCCTCAAGCTGTACGTCGTCCTGCTTCGAACACTGTGGGATCTCTTTAACTTAGCCAGGGCCTAAATGGACAAAGAGTGCACTATCCGCGTGGAAAGACAGTATGTTCCCCTTCTTCTCACAATCTCTATCTAGCTCATAAAAGACGCTCCTAGCTGGGCGGCTGCACAGCTCTCAACGCAATGAACTACGAGCGCCCAAGCGCAGGCTCAATGGATCTCTGGGCGGAACTCGTAAGCGACTCCTCCTACACCTGGAACAATACATTCCCATACTTCCAGAAAAGCATCGACTTCAAGCCGCCGAATATGGCAACACGCTTCGCGAATTCCACGCCTGCCTATGACTCGGCTTCCCTAGCAAGCGGCGGAGATCTGTCCCTTACGCATCCCAACTACGCGCAGCCGTTTAGCTCCTGGCTTGCAAATGCGATGACCGAGGCTGGGATGGAACATATACCGGGCTTCCAGAGTGGAAGTCTGATGGGCTCCGGGTGGTTGGTGCATACGATCGACCAAGCGAGGGGGAAACGGGCTTCGTCTGAGACGGCGTTTCTCAGGCCGTTTCTTGACAGGACGAACTTGGTTGTCTTTGATCATAGCATGGCAGAGAAGGTACTTTTCAGGGGAAAGGTGGCTACGGGTGTTCTGGTAAGTGATACGAGGAGGAATACTACGTTCTCCTTGAAAGCGAGACGTGAAGTCATTGTATCCGCTGGGACATTCCAGTCCCCTCAGCTCCTCATGGTATCTGGCGTTGGTCCTGCCAGTTTGCTGGCGGAGTATGGGATTCCCGTCGTAGTGGACCAGCCGGGCGTTGGACAGAATATGCATGATCATGTTTTGTTCGGGGTGAGCTATAAGGTTAATGTCGAGACGGCTTATGCCCTGCGAGACCCTAGAGCTGCTACTGAAGCTGCGAGGGTTTACTATGAAGATCAAGCAGGCCCATTATCAAATCCCGGTGGTGATTATGCTGCATTTGAACGTCTTCCTCCTGCCTTCCGCAGTGGCCTATCTCCTGAGACCGAGCAAGGTAAATATACCCCCTTTCTACCAGCATGGTTACCTCTGATAGTATCCTCCAGCACTTTCCTTCCTACCCACCGACTGGCCCGAACTCCAATACGGCCTCTTCCCCGCCTACGCCGGAAACTTCTACGATCCCTACATCGGTGGCCCAAACGACGGGAACTACGTGACCCTCCTCGCGATCCTCGTCTCCCCTCAATCCCGCGGAAACATCTCGATCTCGTCATCTAGTATACGAGATCCACCGCTCATCAACCCGGCCTGGCTTACGCACCCGGCGGACGTTGAGATGGCTGTTGCGGCGTTCAAGAGGCTACGGAGTATCTTTGCTACACGCGCACTTGAGGGGGTGCTGATAGGGGATGAGTATTACCCCGGAGAGGATGTGAGTAGTGAGGATGATGAAGGAATTGTACGGCATCTAAGGAACGCGGCGTACACGATGTCCCATGCGGCGGGGACGTGCAAGATGGGTGTTGAGGGGGATGAGATGGCGGTTGTGGATTCGGCGGGGAGGGTGTTTGGGACGAAGAATTGTGAGTCTCGCCCTGTACTCTCTTTAATTGTTGATTGTTACAAGGTCATTCTATTGGAGAAGATGTTAACTGGTGCAGTGCGTGTCGTTGATGCTTCGACGTTTCCGTTTCTGCCGCCTAGTAAGTGCCAATACCCTAGTAACTTTACCCATATAATATCTTGGATATATAAAGGCTAACTTATGCAAAGATGTCCCCCAATCAGTTGTCTGTGAGTTTCTGCCTTTTTTTCCCTCTGTCTATCTCTTGCCCTGCGTTTGGACTAACCCGTTGCTATACTTTTCCCTCCACCAGATATGCTTGCCGAAAAGATCTCGGACGACATCAAGAGTCCCTGGTAGGAATACTGTATTAGCTTGCTTCTTACCCATTGTGTATGGCTCATATCTCAACGTGTCTTTTGTTTCCACAGACAGGCCTTTAGTACTTGGGTTATGCGAACTCCACACCGAAGTAAGCAAAGTCTTTTCACCCGAGTAGAATGAAGGTCGATTGCATCTTCTCAAGCCTAAGCCACTGAAATTAGCCCTGTGTACGGTGTTTATTGGTTGGATGCTTCAACTGCGCCTCACGTGCTGCAAGGCTGAAGTGCAGCCTGGTCGAGCCGCAGCAACCCCTCTTCCTCTTCAACTCCTCACCCCCACCAGGCACTCCGCGAAAATGCAATCATCACGTCCCAATCGACCCTACCTTGATAGGCCCCGATGGCCGACCCTCTTTCCATCGCAGCAAGCATCGCCGGCCTCGTGTCGCTCGCCGGCAGCGTCTTTGGAGTTCTCTGCCAACTGACCGCAGATCTCAAGGACTACAAGCGAGAGATCAACGAGCTCCAGACCGAAGTGAGGTCTTTGTCTGTCCTCCTTCACGACTTGTCTCTTCTTGCGACCGCGCTTGAGACCGAACCTACCCTCGATAGCTCCTTCCGACTGGAGCACGTCGATGCCTGCGAACGAACGCTCTACGAAGTCAAGACCAGACTTGAGAAGACTCGACCATCAGCATCGAAACTTCCGGTCGCAAAAGGTAGCCGCGCGAAAGCTAGTCTGACGTCCACGATTTCTCGACTCAAATGGCCGTACTCGATCAAGGAATTCCAGAAACTCCTCGCGGATCTTACCCATCATAAGGAGACCATCGGCTTGGCCTTGTCGGCGGACTCGATGAAGGCCCTTTTACAAATGCTCTCAAAACACAGCGACATGTCCGACGAGTTGACAGATATTCGAGAGACTGTGAAAGAAATCAAAACTCGGATCTTCATCGATCAACATCGCCAGAAAGTGCTTGACTACTTCACGCCTGTCAATCCGCAAGTCTACCTGGAGACTAGCTTGCAACTGCGACATCCCTTGACTGGCTTGTGGCTTACCGAGGAACAAGATTTTAAGACCTGGATATCCGAGCAAAACGCGAAGCTTTGGATGAGCGGCATTCCAGGGGCAGGCAAAACGGTCATTGCGGGGTCCATAATAGAGGAGGTGCTCATGACTGCATCCCGCAGCAACACAATCGGGGTGTGTTTCTACTTCTGCGACTACAAGGACCCGAAGTCTCTCGACTGGGCGAATATACTCAGCTCATTGGCCTCTCAACTTGCACGGCAAAACGATCGAGTATACACGATCCTGGAGTCATATTACGCCGGCCTACATCCGGACAGGGGCCTCCCAAGGCCCGTGGCGCCCAATCAGATCCTGGGTATTGTAAGTCAGATGATTACTCTATTCGATCGAGTGATGGTCATCGTTGACGGACTGGACGAATGTGGACCCAATTCCGCTGTGCCAGTCGCTCTCGCCGAGCTCGCGGAAACTTCGCCTGAAGTATCGATGGCTTTGCTGAGTCGCCCTGATTACGATATTCGACAGGCGATTGAGTCGAACTTTATGCATATTGACATTGCTGCGAAGGGTACTGATGTCCGACGATACGTCCGTGAAGAGCTGGAAGAACGAATCCAACAGAGAAGGCTTCGGCTTCGGAGTCAAGCTTTGAAGGAGGATATCATCAACACACTTATTGAGAAGGCCGGGGGAATGCAAGTAAACAGCCCTCATGTACCATGCAAAACTAATTATAGTGCAGGTTTCGATGGGTAAGCTGTCAGTTGGACTATCTTTGCGACCTTCCTATGGACAAAGACAGGAGAGAGGCTCTTGACAAACTGCCTCCGACACTAAACGCAACTTACGAGAGGATATTGTCACAGTATACCCATCCGAGCACGGTGCACATAATCTGCACAAGTCTCAGACTAGTAGCTGCGTTCGGGCCTCGGATTACTATTGCGGCACTTTGCGAGGCAGTTTCCATATCGAACGATGTAGCAGACGATCCCGTGCAAGAAGAGGACATTGCAAGATACTGCAGCAGCCTCCTACGCAAGTCACCGAATAGACAACATTTTGAATTCGCCCATTTCACAGTCCAGGAGTTCCTGCAGTCGGCCGAACGGCTAGGCTCTCCTCTCGCGGAGTATTATGTCGGCCCAGATAACATTGCCATTATTCTTGACCTATGTCTTCGCTTTCTGTTGTTTCAGGAGTTCCAGCTCAACACGTCCGTAGTCGCGACTCCTGAACGGGCAGCAGAACTTGCGCGCAGTATCTGCGAGCAACATCCTTTCTACACAGTTGCAGCATGCGAATGGCCATTTCTTGACCCGAAGTTTCTGCGTGACGTGAATAGACAAGAAACATGCTCTTCCACAAATGGAGCAGTGAATCCATTTATTGGTGCGTCAGACAGAGCCTGTATGTTATTCAAAGAGGAAGGACGCCGTCAATTTAGACTGTGGGCTGTCGTCTTCTGTCAGCAATTCCAGCGACAGTATCATCCGCGCTCCGACGAGGCGGTTGCGGCTAGTAGTGCTGCGATCTTGGACGGCTCCTTTTCTGCACTCCATATGGCTTGTGCTCTCGCCTTGCCTGTCCTAATCACTTCAGTGGCTGGGATGGTCCGGGAAAGCTTGCTGGTGGAGTACGCTATTTCTCCCGGGGCCTGTCTGGTTATCGGCTTACCAGTCCTGCTTTTCGAAAAATTGCCTGTCGAAGGAGAGTGTCAAATTCCTGACAATTCCGTGCAGATCTGGGATGACAACAAAGTGCCAGTAGAGATATGGACGGACGCGATGGCAATGTTGGCGGAATATGATATCGGATTTCCTGATACAGTTGAGATGGGTGGTACGCAAGAGAGCACGCTACGATTTATTCTCTGGAGACATGAAAGTGATTTCAGAAGCCATCCAGACCCGACACAGGGCTTCGAAAAGCTCCTGCTAGCGGGTCTAGACACTGATTTGGGCGCAATCCTTCAGCTCGAGAGTGCGACAGCCGTTTACTGCTCAAGAGGCAACCCCAACAGAGACGAGCTGAAAGACCGCTTGCACCTTATAGCTAAGGCCCTGGAGCTGGAACGCGATATCTATGATCAGGATGATATAGAGGAAGCCGCAGAGATCGCCGAAACCATTAAACGGACAGTGGCTAATCTGTCTCCTAACCCGTGCCTTCCAGACGCCCGGCAGATTGAAGCACTGAGCGATTTCACATTCACAAGCAATGTATACAACGCGGTCCTAAGCAATAACATTCCCGTGTTGGAGTTGTACTCCGCCGACCAGCGATACAAGAAAATGGAGAGAGGCACTCATCCAGATACACCACTTCTGCACTTGGCGCTGGAGTCTAACTGTCACGAAGCTTTCCAATATCTTCTGACGGCCGGATGCAGTGACTCTACAGCAAACTGGGAAGGAAGTACCGTGTGGCATCGATTGGCGGAGAGTGGCTCCCTGCGGTTTCTGAAAGCCCTGAAAGATCTGTCTGAAGATCCTGGATCACGGCAAGAGGATAGGAACTCTGAGGGATACACTCCACTCCGCCTTGCTGTGAAGAACAAACAGTATCATGTCGCCCGTGAGCTGCTACCGTTGTGCTGAAGCCAGAATTGCTTTACGGGCAGCCCCTCTGTATATGAACTGGCATTCCACGGAGGAGTCGGGTCGGTGGAACTGATGAAAGCCATTGCGTCTGCAGAAATCTCCACTGAAGAGGCCAGGCTTCCCATCCATCAAGTACCGCTGAATGCTGATCTCCTGACGCTGAAACAATGGACGTCAGTGTGGCCGGAGTCGCGCGACAAGCGGTATAGAGGACAGCTCCCTATTGAAATTCTACTTGAGAAGCTGCCGGTATACGAGGGAGTTGTCCTCGATAAAGGAATCCTGATTGAACTTATGCCGACTGCACGCTCCTCACAATTTGAAGTATATCGGTTCTTCTGTTCTAGTGTCATAGTTTCCAATATGGCGTCGCCTGCAACAAGCCCGCACTTCCCGAAGCTACTGGGCGTCGTCCTGGGGGTACTAGCTGATATCCCCAAGCTCTCCTTGCAGCCTCTCATAGAGGCATTTCTTACCTATATAAACGCTCTCGAGGCCGGTAAAGATGGTGAGCCTGGCTGGCCTGGAATGACCGAGCTTGACATGGTGATCAACCGGATCTTGATTGCAAATATCAATGACATAGAGGCCACCGATCGTGAAGAGCTTTTGACACTTACTACCTACATTGCTACCTTTTTGAACTGGGAGGCAGTGTGCGATACGTGCTTGTCATCTGGCTCGAGCATGTACGACAAATTGGATGTGGAATCGGCCCTCGAAATCGCCTGTCATCCTCTATCCCTTTGTTCAGAATCCACCCTTGCAACCTTGTTGAGCGGTGGGGATATTCTCAGCCCGTACTCACTAAACCCTCTGATATTTGTCCTCATAGACGGCAAGGATGTAGCCGAGAAGCTGACTCTGCTCCTTGAACATGGAGCAGACGCCAACACAAAGCACCCGGAATCCGGAGAGCCAGCTGTGATATACCACCTGTTGCATGGCTCTTCTATCCTTGCGAGTGTCCTTCTGAAACACGGCGCTGACCCTCTCTCACAACTTGAATGTGGATTCGATGTAGTGTGTGGGTTTATCTGGAACGATATGGACGACGAACTCGAAGCCTTCCAACAAAAGCACCCGCGACTCGACTGGTCTAAGTCTTTCTCTTTTCCGTCGAAACTAGCTCCTGAACACAGGTTCTCTCGCTACCTCGATCAAGAAGATATTGAAGAGTTCACTCTGTTGCACCTGGCAGCGTTCCAGGGGTCATTCAAATGCCTGCGATATTTGGTGGAAGGGGGACTAGTTATTGATATTAATGCTCCAACAGCGGACGAGTGGACATGCGTGCATTTCATGGCAGTATGCGGCTCTTCTGAAATTGACAAAGCCATGGGATATCTTCAAAGCCACGGATGTGATATTAATGCCAAGGGCCCGAATACGGAAACGGCTCTTGACTTCATCATCGTCTGCAATGTGCCGCCGCAGACTGTTCATGCCTTGCTTAATCTTGGTGCGAGGTGGTCAAAAACTGACTGCTTTAGAAGCGCGAATATGTACTCTGCTTGTGCAATTCTGGAGTATGCGCATCCTTTATTGATGGAAGACCCAAGTACTGGTGAGTCAATGGCAGAAGCTATGCTTTATGTCCTCTTGAACGCGGTGAAACATGGGGATATTTCAATTATCAAGAGACTCGATGCGCTCGGCTGCCCCCTCGGTGAGCCTTTTCCTGGTTGCGTACAGTGCTCGCCGCTTCTACATGCATCGTATCACGAACAATGGACGGTAGTGGACTGGCTCCTGGATTATGACGGTGCAATTTGGGCGTCCGAGTGCAAATTAATCGGCCGCAGTCACAATCCAATCTCTCTTGCAGCGAAAGACTCCGAGCTGAACCCCATCTTGGAGCGCCTTCTAGATCATTTCCATAGTTCGTGGCAGCTATGGCTGATAGGCGAGACGTCACCCATCATACAAGCAATCGCGGCCGGGAATATCGACGGCCTTCGCATAATATTGCGGTTCATTGCAGCCAAGGCAAGTGAGCGAAATGGCGGACTCGGCATTCCACGAACGGCAGACATTCTGAACACCCCTCGGACAAACATGGCTCTCCACGAAGCGGCCCGTGCAGGCAATGAACCCGCCCTTCAATTGCTCATAGACCATGGTGCTGCTCTCGACGCTCAGGACATAACCGGCAAGGCGGCAGTATACTATGCTGCTACATCAGGGCGATACGAAGCCCTCGAATTGCTACTCCGTCATGGGGCCACCGCCTCGAAACCCTCTCCGAAATATCCGTCGCTCTTGCATCTCGCGGCCAACTACGACGACCTGTACCTCCTTAAACTCGCCTATCCCTACTACATAGCAGGGAACATGGCCTCACCGCTAGTTGTAGCATACTTGTCCCCATTCTCCTTCTGCCATTCTAAGGAATGCGTCCGGTATCTCCTCTCCCAGGGCCTGACTTTCGGTGGCCCCGACGCAATGGGCATCTCAGCCGTCCACTGGCTATTAGGCAGGGAAAGAATCCAGTCGTGGATCCTCCAATCCCACTTCCTAAACACACACAATCTCGATACAGAGCCAGTCAACCTCCAAGAGCTCCAGATCGATCAGACCATCTCTCGGAGTATCATCAACGCCATACCCAAACTGCTGCGCGTCCTCGGTAAAGACTGCACGCGCGCTATGTTCCCCTCAAGACCACCAGCAGCCTTCAATGCACTCTGTCTTGCAGCAGAGTACGGGGCGCTGGAGAGCTGCCGTGTGCTGGTCTCCATCGGGGCAGACCTCGACTATCCTGGTCATCCGTGGGGCACGCCGTTGGCCGTGGCGCTTCAATTCAGACATATGGATGTCGCCCGCTATTTAGTGCGTGCTGGTGCCAAGGTCGTGCATTTTGGTGGGAGTTTGAGGGAAAGGCGCTGCGCGAGTGTTTTGCGCGCTGCATACTGGTATCCTGAGTCGGTTCGCTGGTTGCTCGTTGAGAGGTTTACCGAGCAGAGGATGATCACGGCTGGATAGGTGGGTGGCTGATACTGCCATATCAGGAATACTGTGGCACTTTGGGTATCTTAATCACTGGATAAAGCTTTTGTTAATAGGATAGGCTTCGCCTCTGGCTTGGTACATGAGCATGGATAAGTGTGGTGCTATAAGTTCCTTCCCGCCTCACGATATGTTTCCCGGCATCTATATTGACCAGATATAACGCAGCTATTCAGACTAGCCGCCTCCTATATCAATCCAATACCATAACTAGGTCTGCACCTGCGTCAACCTAGGGCTTCCACCAACCAAAGCCAAACCATGCTCAACTTGTTATGTTCATTATCACCACGAATAGCAGCGGGGAGAAGATCACAGAAGCAGAACAAAGCCGATATTGACTACCAATACACCCTAGAAAATATTACAATACCCCCGTCCAGCAGTTAGCACCCACCCCAACTCCTCCGCCATCGCAGCCCATTCCTCAACCCTCTTACTCGTCGCCCCCTTATTAACAAACGCAAGCCAAGGCCCCTGCTCACTATGCGGCACAAAGCTCGCCTCATCCTGGGTCTCTGATCCGGAACCGCAACGCAAGATCCATCTGCCCACTACCCGTGGACTCGTTCTCGCACCCCCTTCACTCCCGCCCTGCCTCCAGGGCAAACATCCTGCACACACAGTCGCATTCCCATCATAAATACAAGGGAGTTTATACTCGCTAGTGTAGCGGAGCGTATGTATGATACTCTCCCTATCTACGTATGCATGGGAACGAGTAAAAGGGAGTCCGTCATTGCGCCGCCGGGCGAGATCCCGCATCACCCTGACCCGGTGCTGGTTGGGCATTGGATGTACCCGATATATCCGTTTGCGTTGGCGCGAGGGCGTTTTGTGGGAGCGTCAGGCCGAATTTCGACTTCCAACTGGTGGAGGGAGTGATTGACCAGGTTGAGAAGCTGGAGGCCAGGTCTATTTTGGGCGTGGGGGGAGGCACTGCGCAGGTGGTAACCATATGTTAATGGTGTTCATGCAGGATGGGTGGTGGAGTTAGGGCTAAGGACGTACGGCGGGCGTGTGGTCAGCAGGCCAACAGCCAACAGCCAACAGCCAACGCGAACTTGGACAAGGCCATTGTCACGAACGCACTGTTATGAGCAGGACTGAGTAGATTCAATACTGAAGCGGGAAATGGTCAAATACAGGATTTGCCTGACAGTTTTCTTCAACGTCATTGGGTCCTTGCAGCATTCCGGCGGTCTTATTCAAGCCCAGGCGTTCCTTGTCAGTCGTGCGTGCTAGCACATGGAATGTACCGTAGAAGCTGGCGTAGTTAAGATAAATCTACTTAAAAGGGATTTATAAAAGTGTTTTATTTAAATACTCTTTTTTTATTTAATTAACTAGCTAGTATAAATACTTATTTTTTATTTTTTATATACCTAGCCTAGCGTGTAAAACGCCTAACCTTAGGGTTATTTATATACTTATAAACCTGGCTAGTTATAAATTATACCTAGCAAAATGGTATTTAATATTAATACTTATTTTACCGCCGGGCTGTGTTTACTTTATTCCACTTATTATCCATGCGTTAATAGTCCAGGCTGGCACATGTAATGTACTGTAGAAGCCGGCACATGAAATATACTATAAAAGCTAGTGTAGTTAAGATAAACCCACCTAAGAGGGATTTATAAAAGTATTTTATTTAAATACTTTTTTTTTATTTTATTAACTAGCTAGTATAAATACCTATTTTTTATTTCTTGCGTACCTAGCCTAGCATGTAAAATACTTAATTTTAAGGTTATTTATATACTTATAAACCTAGCTGTTTATAAATTATACCTAGTAAAATAGTACTTAATATTAACACTTATTTTACCGCCGGGCTGTGTCTACTTTATTCCACTTATTATCCATGCGTTAACAGTCCAGGCTGTCCGAAGACTTGCGGGTGGTCTACGCGGCCAACATAGGCTCTTTCGAGGCCCCAAGGGCTCCAGATCCACATCACTTAGCCGCCAGGATCTAGAAGTTGCTGAGAAGATAGGTATCGGTGGAAGAAGCAAGGCTAGCTCGGAATGGCGGAATCGAACGTGAAACCCTGGGCTACATCATTGGATATGGAGCTTTCTCATGCTGCAGGTGTACCCGAGGGTTTGGGTCGGCGGCTCACGTCTGTGTCCCGGCGTAAAGGTGTACTCCCACCCGGGCACCGCCAATAAAAGCTCAAGGCTGGGCGGCAAGTTTCAGTATACATGTATTGGCCGTCGCAGCCCGCCGCCGGGAGTCCCCTGCTGAGGCTCAACGCTGTCTCATCATCAAGAAACTGTACCTGCACTTTCTTCTCGGCGGCAAGTGGATTGGGTGTCAGAGTACCTGGGGACAAAAATTGAGGCCTAGACCAATTTGAAGAGCAAGATTTCATCCTGGTGTCTTGCTAGGCGCCGGCTGCCTCTTGGGTGGTCTAAGTATAGCATGTCTGTACTGTTTCATAGAGCTGGGATGGAGGGTGCAAAGCGCGTGTTCAAAGCGAAGTATTGTATAAGAAGCTCATGAACCTCTGGGCAAGTGTACTACTCATCCACTCTCTGCCAGAGCATTTTAGGTACATTCAGTCTGTCCTGGACCGCCATTCCTATCTTGTCAATCTATATTCAATCCCGGCCCTGCCAGCCAGTCCACCAACCTCTTTAGCAACTGCAGATCATATCTCCTCGAGCTGCAAAACATCCAAGCCCGTACCCTACTCTCTTTCTGAAAATGTATATCCTGACAATCAATCCAGTACGCTGAATATAAACCCTAACCTCAAGCTCTACAGATAGACACCATGGCCCTCTTCAGCAAGCGCCCCGCCCGCACCAACACCACAACCAGCAACAGCAGCAGCAGCAGCAGCGCCAGCAGCACCAAGTCCGTCGGCCGGGGCCGCGAGAAAAGGCCGGACCCGGACTGCGTCGAGTGCCGCGGGACTGGGCAGGCGTATGAGTTTGTGCGCTGCAAGGGGTGCAGAGGTACGGGGGGATTTGGGCGTGGGGAGAACTATCGGACTTGTAGGCAGTGTCGGGGGATGGGCACGTTTAAGAGGGAGTATGGGCTTTGTGGGTGTCGGTCGTAGGGGGTTTGGCTGTACTCGGTGGTTTTCATTAAAGGGATGTTCGATGTAATTCATCGGGTTTTCGCTGTCTGTTTATGTTTACTCCATCCTTATTGTTGTCGTTACAGGGCTACCTTTCCATATATTCCATAATCACCCGCATTGGATACAGTACCCAATCCCCTACCCCAAGCTATCATCCGAACGACCATGACCCCGATAAACAGGGTAAACCCCCGGCTCCTCCGCCGAAAGCCGCTCTGCATCCCTCTCATCCTCCTCCCTCTCCCCCGGCCGCGCCTCAATCTGCGCCAGCAAGTTCGCATAGAACCTCGGTCTAAGCTTCTGCTTCAACCACTCCATATCCTCCGGATGCTGCTGAATATACTCGAGCTGCGCATCGGGGACCCGCTCCGCAGCGCGCAGCATATCCCGCACCCGTTTCTTGACCGGCCGTTCTTTCCTGCCCGGTGAGCGCGGTCGAGGCGTGAAGGGCGTGTGTTTGAGTTCCTCCACCACATCGCTGGATTGCAGGATGTCTGGTCTTGGTTTGCTATGCTTGTATCAATAATAGGGAAAACATGGTAAGTTTGGTGGCGACGACGTACAACTCAGCACCCGTCCACTCGAACGCAAGGACCGGGACCTGCTCATCGTCCTCGGCCGTCCCGGTATCGATGAGGAAAAAGCACGCCCGGCTGTTGTACCCTAGATGCTCCTCGCCGTACGTGTACCAGCGGTGATACCGCTCGGGATCAAAGGCGCACCCCCACACGTGCTGGCACATGCGGTGTAGCATGGAGATGACCTTGTCGCTGCCGGGGTTGCGCTCTGGCTTCCAGATTTTCTTGTCGGAGGGGACGAGGTGGGTTAGTGTTTGGACGAGGATCCGCACTGGCGATGGGTTGAGGGGGTTGGGGCTGGGATTGGTGGGTTGGGAGGGGGGTGCGTGTGCGGGTGCGGGTGGAAGGGGGTCAGCGTCCTCCATGTTTCTGTTTCTGTCTGAGAGGTGCTATAGAAAGTGGATGGTGTTCTTGAAATAGAGTCGAATGCGCCCAGATGGATGGAAGCGCCAGCCCCCTCGCCCCGCAAAGGTTCACCAGCCAATCAGGGTCCTTGTGTACAGTAGCCCTGCCATTCATGGATGAGGGATGGGGGCCGGCGCGTACCTTGCCTCTGTGGGTTGATGGCGAAGAGATATAAGGGTCTACATGCATAGCACGACGTCTCAAACCTACACTAACCGCCCCCATCATTCCTACCGTGGCGCACCATGGATTCAACGCCGACCGACCCCAATTCCAACCCTGAGACGTACTCAAAGCCGAACCTCCCTGTCTTTGCGCCTCTATACCCCTCCCCAATCCGCATCCTGGTGAAGACCCTAACGCACCTTGTCCCAAGCGACGGTGTAGTCCCAGATGCAGAAGACGACCTTCACGCCGATAAGCTGATTTCCATGCTGGACCGGATCTGCAAACACGTCTGGGGTTGTCCTTACGAACCCGGAAACCACAGGTGGTATGCGCACGGGGACGACGAGTTCGGGTATAATAATCGGCTTTGCTTCTTCCTCGTTGATCTTGGTACCGCGCCGGAGGGGGGAGATGAGGATGTCGAGGTGCGGGCATTCGAGTGGGATGGGAGCGAGTTGTATGTCCCTACCCTACCAAACTTTTGTTTATCGTTCCGGTTGCGACGGGGACATTATATTGACGGAAATATAGCAAGCCAAATGCAGAGATGCTACAGATAAAAGACATCCAGGACGAGCTGAAAGAGACGCCCTTTACCCCGAAGCCCAGGTCTAAACCTGGGCAGTCCGACGAGGGCGAGGACAAGCCGTCAGTGAGGGAGATGGTGAGGATGAGACTTCGCGGGCTGGAGCGCGTACCTAACAGCGAGCTGGAATACGTCAGGAGTCACCCTGAAGACATGGAGTGGTTGAAGAGGAAGCTGAGGCCGAGGTTTTATGAGAGTCTGTTGAAGCAGATTGAGGACAGGGAGATGGAGATGGAGATGGATCACGGAGAGAAAGAGTCTGGGGAGGTACCATCTTAATGAGACAAAGAGCCTTGAGCTTCTCGTTTCTCGACTCCTGCAGTCCAGTTACTACAAGTCCAGTAGAGTTCGGTTCACATCAGTTGGTCAGTTAGTCTATATCGGCCTATGAGAGCTAGTTCCTTGCTCGAGTGGGTGGGATAGAGTTCCCAGCACCCACCCGACATATTCTTCTCTGACAGATAGATGAAATGACGTAGCTAAGTAAGTCGAATGGATTGTTGAATGCCATGTTACTCGGAGCTCTTCCTTCGGTTGTTGCCGACTATGGTCAGTCGCTTTCACCGACTCCGATTGTCTGCATATGCTGGAGGGTAGGCCATTGGTTCCAATCCTTATGCCAACGTAGGGTCAGTGCCCAGTGGCTGGAAGCGAGCCGGACGTTCGGAACCTAAAGTGTCTAGGTAGGGAATATGCCTGTCGAGTCTGTGTCACCGGTTCGGCGGGTTGTTCGCCAGCGTTAGCCAGCATACCCCTACAAGGATCGCAACTGGCTTGGTAGTGATCTTCTGTATCCTTAGGTATATGGATCCGTGGCCAGAGAAGCGAGACGGCAGTTGGCTGGCAGTCAGGGTCGCACCTTCTGTAGGTCCCTCCGGGCTCTGAAGCCCCTTCTCCCCATGGTTCTCTTTATAAAGTCTCCTCTTCAACAAATCTTTTGCCGCTTTCACGTCCCTTTGGAATCGACCGCGCGTCATTGCCAAGGTGATTCCGGTTGAGACCCCAGTTCTATCCCTGTCAAATATGACAAAGTGAATCAGAAGACGGCCCTGATTGGCGGCCAAGGACATACCCGCAGCTTGTGACAGGCTGTGCTACTTTGCCGCCACATGAACCTGCAGTGCAATGGTTATCAAGAACTTGCGTTCTGTATCACCATCGCTTCTCGGGTTCACCTGGCCTTGTATCATGATGTGGGGTTGTGGCGCTGGTCAACCAACACACAACCCTGGGGATCCGTGTGCCAGCCTGGCCAGGCCAGGCACAAGTGGATCAGAGAAGGATCAAAGTGAAAGGATCAAGGAAGCAAACACGGGCCAAGCCGGAGGGAGCGAGCGCCATGCGCCCGCCCGCGACGCATCCGATCAGTCGGTATATTGTGAGGAAGCAAGGGACGGCCATAGCACCGAGCAATGTGATCCCTCCCAGTCCGACGGGGACGGCACCATAGTGACACAGCACACGGATACGTCTGGGAAGAAAGTAAGGGTGCAATTATTTGTTTGATATATGAACTCCAAGGCTAACCTGAACGAGCAAAAGGAGGCCTGCGCCCCATGACACAGAGCGCATGTCTAGCGTCAACCGGAGTTTAAACACCGCTTCAGCAGTCAACAAACGGCTGGCCACGATCCCAATCGGCTGCAGTGGCTTGTGGCAATCTTGCATACTTGACGCCACTAGGAATGCACAGCGAGACGATAAAACGCCAACTACCCCGCGGCAGAAGCAATATCTCGGACATTTAACAGCGGACATGACTCGCAGGGCCCTGGAGACACCTACTTGTTAGTTCAACATTTAAACGAAGTGCCTGCCTGGCTGTTTCCTACGCTTCGGTGCTTTCCTTCTCTGGCAGGTTGCGTTTCTGGTGCAATACAGCATTCCCACCATGTCCATGGACACTTCCGCTCCAACTCGGCCGACATTTTCTCTGGTCAACCATGACGGGCAGACGTTTACCAACGCCGATCTCCACGGCGCCTACTCGCTTGTCTTCTTTGGCTTCACCAACTGCGCCCGTGTGTGCCCCCGGGCGCTCGGTCGGCTCTCCGACGTCTTAACAGGCCTTGAGAGGGTAACAGACAAGGTCAACGTGTATTACGTCTCTGTCGACCCGGGCAGGGACACACCTGAGGTGATGAAGACGTTTCTCAAAAAGTATCCCAGCTTCACCGGGTTGACAGGGACGACGGAACAGATCGATGCCGCACGCAAGGAGTTCCGGGTCTTTGCGAAGGCCAAGGAGGACGAGAATGCCCCGGGCGGCTATGCTGTTCCGCATACGGCCATAACATATCTCCTGGATACGGACGGTTATATTGTTGACCACTTCAATGACGCCCTTGACGCGGAGACTGTCATATCGCACATTTCGAAGAGGATAAACATCGTACCAAGAGTTCAGGTCGATGGCACCACCAACGCCTACGAGCAGGAAAGCCTGCAGCTTCTCACTCGCGAACAGGTCGCCTCTATCCGACACATCGGTAACCTGGCCCGACAAATAAAAGGCGACTGGTCGTACATGATGGGCGGCTCCGACATGAACGACGGTTTCGGGGCCTATCGCTACCAAATGGGGTACATGTTCTACGCGCTGACACTCGCCCACTACCACAGACTGCCGGCAGCGCCGGGGGTCTTCCGCGAGACAATGGAGCGCTTGATCGAGAAGATGCTCGAGGCAGACGTGTGGTTCTACTGGCACGACGCCAGCGTCGGAGGGGGATTCATGCAGACACCGGCTAAGAATATGACATACGACCCCATTAAAACCGATAACATCATGTACTCGGCATACGTCCAGGTCATGAGCGCCATGTACAACAGCCTCTTCGACGACGACCGGTACGCGAAACCGGGTGCGCTGACCATGGTCTACGATACGTTCCTCTTCGGGCCGGTCGAGGGATACAAGTTCGAGTGGGACCAGAAGAGCATCAACGAGCAGGTCTACTGGAACATGGTGGAGGAGGGCTATATCGGGGTTGCATGCGAGCCCTGGTGCATCTACCAGATCTGCAACCAGGTCCCCATCCTCGCATTCCGACTCAATGATGCAATATCAGGTCAAACAAGCGTCGCCGAGGAAGTCACACAGGGATACCTGAAGGCATGGGAAGATGCAGGCGGCGGCATCCTCACACAAGAAGGCGTCTTCAACACATTCTACCGCAGCGACATCAAGACTTCTCTCGTCGTCCCCGGCCCCAGCGGCGACGCATGGGCTGGACTGCTCATGAACGCGTGGAACCACGATCTCGTCCAAAAAGTCTACAACGATCGCATCAACGAGAGCGTGATCCCACAGGACGACGGCACGTTATCCGTTGTTACGGGCGGCATCGAAGATAGCCCGCTGAACCGCCGGCTCATCGGCTCCGGCGGCGTCTTCGGCTGGATTGCGGCGTGGGCTGCGGAGATGGGCGATGAAGACACAAAGACTCGACTCCTCGCTTATGCAGACAAGCATATAAACCCGACAATCGTGAACGGCGGACTCCTCTACCCGCGCAACGACGCGGTCTACAACGCAAACGGGAACTTCGTCATGTCGACGCCGATCTTCTCGAACTCGATCATGCCGCTTACAAGACTAAACGTCAAGCACGGGTTGAAAAGACTCTATGAGAATCCGTGGGGGGCGAAGAATAGAGGGCATTATGCCGAGCCCGCGCTTGTGGAGGTCGACTTTGATGTTGATGTGTACCGCGCTGTGTACGTCAAAGAAAGTAGGAGGCTGCTGTTTGACCTTGCGGTTTATGAAGACGGGAAGAATGGCTCTGTTGCGCTGGATAGGGTTTTTGGGAGGGGTGAATGGACGCTCACTTGTGATGGGAGGGAGATTGCGCGTGGTTCGAAGGAGGGTGTTGAGGATGTGGATGAGGGTGTTAGTGGAGTGCTTGTTAGCCGGGATGGGAGTTTGCTGAGACTGCCTGTTGTTGGGACGGGGGTTGTTAGTTATGTGTTGCAGTGGGCGGCTTAGATGATGGAAAGATGGTCTGAGGGAAGTACTGGGTTCGTCAGCTTCCGGGTTTTCAGGGATGGCGTTGGATAGGATTTTCTTGTACATAGTCGGTCTTCAGCTCATTTCGGCGGGAATTCGAATTCTGCTACGCTGGGGAACGATCCTTGCTACACATTAGTATGCACTTCGGACGTAGACTGTAGCCCTATAAGCAATAGGTGAAAGCTCACATCCTATTACCAGTCAAATAGATAACTAGCACCCAGATCCAAGCCCCCTACCGGTTCCCTATAGCGCATCACTCAGGCCCATTCAATACCATCCGCTTTAATCTCCGTATTTGCCGATGAACGCTCAACTGCGACGACTATGGTAGTGCGAGCAATCCGATATCCTATGCATGGCTCGAGCGAGTACGATATTCTCCACATTCTCCGACGGTATGCATAGTCTTGGTTATGTGTAATGCATGCTTAGAGCTCGTCATGCCTAGGTAAAGTTGAAATCAGCCTTTGCTCATCCACATAGAAATGCAGCATAAATAACGCACGCCATTCCATGCCATGCCATGACATACCCACCAGGCCACAAGTATCGATCTCAGTTCTAGTTACACATCTTGCCTGAAGCCAAAGCCAAGTTCCAACCCTGCCAGAACCACCTACAAGATGTTCGAGTCCAACCAAGGCACCCGGATCTCCAACTCCAACTCCAACCCCAACGACCCAGACACGGACACGGACGGGGATGATCTGCATCTCCGCGCAGACGAGGCTTCCCGCCCCAGCGACAACCACACTGCCGAGTTCGCACACGCAGACGAGGCCAATCCGACCCTCACGCGCGCATTCCGGCCTGCCGAGTTCCAGGATTTCGATACCCGGCTGCCACATACATATGACTCGTGGCCTCCCCGTGGGCAGGTGAGTCTAGGGTTGCTTCGGAGTCCGTGGGCATAGGGCAGGGCAGCACCGAAGCCGGACTGACTATAGGACAGCATGGGCATTGGCAGGCGGCCGGGGGCACAGCCGCGGGCGACTCGGCCGACCACCCCCGGCCCCAGGGTGTCCCAGGGCCATACGGCCATACGAAACCCGCGTGGGAACGGGGATTCTCAGATGGATTTGACTATACTTGACCAGTTGAGCGTTCTAGGCGGAATAGAATAAAACACAGACACAGATGGTGCAGTGTGGCCTTGGCCTTTGCGTGTGTAAATTTGCAGTATGCAGACATGGATCCATTGGGATGGACGGACGAGATGTGCAGTCAGGAGGAGACAACCCCCGCCTCATCGGCACGTCGAACCACAGTGGAATCAATATTCGTTAACGGGCGTTCCTGGCTAAACGAGCTTCTAGTTAGTAGTGCAGGTGGCATGGATCTGGCCCCGCCCCTGCACCGGTATGATAGGTCCATCCGTCATAACGAGGGTACCCTGATGTCGGGATCAGTATAGACACCTCGTGCCCGTACAGTGGACCCCTATGTATCCACATCATTGATTACGTTGGTGACACTCAGAGCTGATTTTGCGCGATCCACGGGTCCAATGGATTTGCCATGGCTGTCATTATTATAATAAAGTGATGCAAAGCGGGGGTTCGGTATCCTGACATCACACTTCGCTCATATGCCTCCAGCTTCCTTGGGGCATCGCGTAAATAACCCGTGCTACCCAGGGTAGTCGGTCCAAAACATCTTTTTCATAGCCTTGATATTTGCCATCGGGCTACCCAAGACTTCAATCAGCTTATCACGCTCTCCAGGGTCTCTCGCCTTCCTTCCAAGGTTCCTCGAAATTGAACCCTAACAGTAGTTCCAACACCAGAACCACCGCAAATGTCCGGATCTAACCAAGGCACGCGCATCCCCACCTCCTCCCTCTACGACCCAACCATCGATTCGCAACTCCGCGCAGACGAGGCATCCACCTCGAAGCAGAACCAACCTGCAGAAGCAATGTTGGACCCGGTGCACCCGAACAATTCCTTCATGACCCAACGTCATCTTGGGGAGGTTGGCGATGAGGATTTTCCTAACAAGGTATTTGGACATGGCAGGATGGTGAGTGCGCACTCATTGTGTCCCGGATTGATATTGCGGGCCTGGCATGCATGGATGGATCGAACTGACTGGGCTGGTGCGTCTGCAGGAGCGTCTGCCTTCCGCCGCGAATCGTAGTCGGGGTGCAGCGGGGAAATAGATAAGGGTGGGCGAATGGGGATGGCCATTCTTCACTGATTTACTGATTTAAGAAAGAGAATGGGACTCGTTATACTTATGGGAAGTCATGACCACTAGCTTGAGGACTAGGGTAGGTCGGGAGTGCATGTGCCCGGGTTAGAGTATACCGTATGCTGCTGAAGGAGTCCCAGGCGTTGGAGTGGATGGTATTATCTATATAAGCTAGGATTTCACGGTATATTATGCATTGGGTAAGCACAAAGACCTGGCACCATGGAAGGCTTGAATCCAACATATTTAGGCGCATTTGGCCAAAAGTCGTCTTATTCGTATTCTCACCGTATTGACAGACCTCCCTTTTCCTTTTCCGAGCATGTAGACACCATCGCCAGATACATTCAATACCATCCCATCACCTGCTCTGTAATCCTCATACTTACCATAGGAAACTCAACTGTGATGACTAGTGGGAGCATTCCGATGACCATACGAACCATGAGTCCAGGTTTGGAGCGGAAAGACTTTTTATCCATGGGTCGGCCCCCATTATCCGCAATGAATGCATCTGGCTCCCAGGGTCGGCATCTTGGTCTATGCCGCGGTTTGCTTTAGCCCAATCTCCGTTGATCCTACGACGGGAGGTTCGGTTGTCAAATCCAACTGCGAGCCGTCCAGGGGTATATAAGGAATCGGAGCTGAGAAATCGGACCACCCTCATGTGAAGCAATATAAGCCCATCCTACCTAAGCACATGCGTGACGATGAAGGCAAATGAAACAAAAGATAGGTTTTTCAAAGGAGACTACGCCTACGCATGGGATGGCTTGAGAGAGCACAAGGGCTATTCTTTATATTCTCCACCCCATGATGATTCATGGCGCCGTGCGAATCCGCAACCATACCTAAGCACGCTCATACCTACAGCCTGATTCTGCCAAAAAGGCCTAATACCCGGAATACCACTCCGGCTGATAGTGCTATGGTAGGGTCTATGGATTTCTTGATGACCACTTCCTCTTACTCCTGCACGGCTATCACGGGTTTCCAGTGCGGGTACCTGGGTAGGTGCTTTGCTATCCAGCATCCGTGGGCCCCGGCCCCCGGCCCAGCTCCGCATATTCTTGATTAGGTTGATGTTGCGTGGGGCTTGGCTTCCTTGTTCGATGGTGGCGGAGCCCAGGTTCCATGGCTAGGACGGGTACATCAGGCCGAGGGAAAGTTGACATCAGGCTTTGCTCATCCACATATAGATCTAGCATACCTACCAGGGCAACTTCGGCTTATATCAGAACATCTTTCACTCTCGCTATTTGTCTCTGCATCTGTACCTAGATCCGTCTGTCTGCGTCCAGGAAGCCTATTTAAGCTCGGGCTGCCATTATCACGCTCTCGGGTACTCCTTTCCTTGAAATTAGGGCTCAGTTCCAACACCACCAGAACCACCTGCAAGATGTTCGAATCTAATCAAGGCACCCGCGTCTCCGACGACGACCTCGATACGAACATCGATTTGCAACTCCGCGCAGACGAGGCATTTGACTCCAAGGAGGGGCAGACCGTGGAGTTTGAGCACGCAGACAAGGAGAATCCGACCCTCACGCGCCGACTTCGTCCTGGGGAGGGTCACGGTCACTTTGCGCATGATCTTGAGAAGGCAAGTGTAGCTGGGAAGAAGGTGAGTTCGCACCTGTTAAGATGAGAATTGACATGCATGCGGATGTTGCGGACCAGCATGGGACTGACTAGTACAGGGGGGCGAGTTATCCAGAGCGTACTGGCCGGGGCGTGGTCGGACTCCTTCTTCCATTCATGAGTAGCTGTCCAAGCTGGAGATTCAGTGGTCGTACCCTGTACATGGTTGCTATGGTAGGAGTGGGTTATGGGCTGAAGCACCCAAGGCCTTGGATGGGACCATAGACCAGGGATCTATTGTTGCAGTCTGTTTTCCTTGACTTCATCTACATGCGTTGGAAGCGAGCAATTCATCTGCTGATGAATGGAATGTTTGCACTACCTAGGTATGGTAGTATGGCCACAATCTCGAGTTTCGAATGCAAAATGCCATAATGGCCTGGGAGGGCTATCTCAAGCTGTTTCGAACGGTTCTGCAAACGTTAGGTCTCTTGCTCGGCTGTAATGCCCATGTAAGCTGGAATCCAACATATTATGCCCAAAAGGCAGGGAGGGTTATGGACAAGATTCAAAACAGATACCAGACACTTCAGCACTCTTAATGACCTCGAGGTCGCATACTAGGTACTGCAAAGTCAAAGCATCCAAGGTTGCATGGAGCTAGTCCGCTCTACCGGTTCCATTCGAAGTGCTGAATCCATTTCCACTTAATTGGTCAGCTAACGGCAAAATCGCCATTGACATCAAACTTACCATCCCATAGCTTCATAGTGGCAACACCTGACTCACCATGAAATAGGAGTAGATAAGAGTTGTTACGCATAGAAGGAATTCTAACTGTTACTCTGGCCTTGTCCAGCCTTTGCATGATTAACTCCTCCGGCTTCTTGTCTCAAGGTTACCCTACATCCCAACCCTTGCATCGGATTGCACTTGCACATTAGGTAGAATCGCTGTCTCTACCAACCCACCACAATGTTCACGCGAGGCACCCGCGTCTTCGAAGACGAGTACGAGGGCCAGAACAACGAGGGTCTTCGCGCGGGCTTACAAGATGGCGAAGCGGGAGATCCCTCAAACAACATGAACACACAGCCCGAGCACAGCACCGATAAGAGTTCCGAGCGGTGGCTGGATGAGGCTCCGCCGGGTGAATATGAAGCTGAGGGTGACCGGCTGGAGCGTGAGTCTGGTGGCGGTGGAGACGGGGTGAGTAGGTTTACTTTTTTTTGCTTTCATTTGAGCTGGACTGGGCATCAGGTTTGCTGACGGGATTAGGGAGGGGGGAAGAATAGATCGCATTTTGGGTTTTGGTCTGCGTTGAGATAAAGCCGGATGGAATACTTGGGATTTGTGTCATAGAGATAGATTTTGCTTTTGCAATGGTATAGGGATGGAGGAGGACCTGCTGAATCTAGACGGTGCGATGATATCTCCTTAATGTGGTGTTGTTTGTCTGACTGGCAATCGCGTATTTTCTGGATATGTACTCCATTTCGAATCCATTCAAATCCCATTCACAAAGCCATGCTCATCAATGACTAGGTAGGTAGCCTAGGCCCGGTGCCATGGCTCAGCAGTCACGTATCCATGGCATTAGCATGACCAGCTCCTGATTTGGTGTTGTATGCTTCTGACCGCCGCCTGACATCAGGCTTTAATCAGCCCATAAGACCCCAGGACGCCTTCAACCTAGGTAGGTAAACTCGTCCATCCTCTTTCCACTACACCCATCCCACGCAAGCCAAAATGCCCACCCAAGGCCTCCGCACCTTCGAGGACGAATTCCTCACCGAGAACACCGAGGGCTTGCACCCGGGTGAACAGGAAGTCTCCAACTACATGCGCATCGTGCAGCCTCCAGCTGAGCATGGGACTCACTACACCGGACAGGGTCGATACCGGCCTGGGTTTCATACGCCTGAGGGGGCGAAGTCGGGGTATGATGCCAGCTCGGTGAGTGCGTACCTTGACCGATGGCATTTTCGTTTATTGATGAATTAGGAGTCAAGCGGTGATGAGGCCGAGGACTGGGCGAAGAGGCCGTCGGATCTGCTGAGGGCGTTGAGGCATGGATAGCACATGTACCTACATAAGCACCCTACCATTATCTTGTCTAACCCCCTCCTTTATATCAACTATGTACCATAAAACGATCTAGTTATTATAATACCTCAAAACCTCCCTCGTAACAACCTTGGCAAAATACTCCGTACTCCCCAAGTAACTCCCATCCAACCGCCACGCAATCACCCCATCCGGCCTCACAAGCAGCGCCTCATCCGCCTCCAACCCCAATCCCTCCCACGCCCCATGCACATCCCTCCAACACTCCAACCCGCCCTTCAAAATCTCCACATCCACCTCGTCCACCTCCCTCTTAAACCCGCTCCAGCGCCGGTCCTTCGCAAGCAGCACGAGCTTATCAGTCCGAATCAACTTCCGGCTCGACCGCGTGAACTCCCGCCTCCTCACCCAGAAATGCGGCAGGTGGTGCCCTTCCTCCGGGAAGACGTGGTACCGGTGCACGTCGAAGCTGTTTTCGTTTACCTGGGCGCCGTGGCTCACGGACGTGATGTCCGTCTCGTAGAACCACCCGCCCTCCGTCCCGGGGGCGTGGAGCCCTCTATCAAGAACGCCCTGCGCGTCCAGGACAGCCTGTCTCCGCTGCGCGTGGAGAGGATGCGAAGGCTCAAAGTACGCGTTCAACGACGCCACGTTCTCCTCCACAGTCTGGGCCGGGTATACACCCAGCGCTCTGTCCATAGCGCTTACGCCTGCATGGCGCCGCCAATCCGACACACAGTCCCCCGCGACACGCAGCGCAATCGGCCTCCGCTCCGCCTCGTACGTCGACAGCAGGTTGTTCGGCAGCGTATGCTGCATCTGCCCGGGGTTTCGGAGCGTCAGCGCCAGTTTCCACGCGAGATTCTGCACGTCTTGGAAGGTCGTGTTTGCGCCTATGCTTCCGCTTCCGGTCCCGCTTCCGCCTCCCGGCGCATCGGGGATGCGGTGCGCTGAGGCCCCGACTAGGAAGATCCGGCCTTGGGCGCTGTGGTAGTGGTCTGCGACGAGCGGGGAGACGCGCTTGTGTGTTGTGCGTAGTGGTCGCATGCGGGACAGGAGCGAGGGTGGGAGGTCCAGCGTGCGAACGAGGCGGTGCAGGATCTCGTTACTGTCGGGCTTTGGGGCGTGAGGGTGGACTGCCCAGCTGAGCAGCCACTCCTCGGCATCGGGGTTAGCACAGGGATACGGACCCAGCTGGGTGAGGGTTCCGCTCGCGCCTCGGGCTGGGTCAATGAAGGACGCTACCAGGACGTTCGGGTCGTGGACGAGGCTGAGCGGGGCGCGGAAATGCACGGAGACGAGGTCGATCTCCATGATGTCCTCCTCGCCGGACATGGACATGGCTATCCCCAGCGCGGGAGCAATACGTGCGCCATCTGCTTCTGCTTCTGCGGCGATGGCGTATGAAGCGCGGCACGTGCGGATCTCTCCAGCTGCTGCATCTGGATTCATGCTATCGCCATGCCGCACCGTAACAGTGACGCCCTCCGCATCCTCCCCCAGCGCCAAAACCTCCGCAGAACAAATCCCCGTCGGATTCAACTCGCGCGCCCGCTGCAGCAGGATCCCCTCCAGCTGGGCCTGCGAAAGATGCGCCGTGCGGCACGGGCTGTAGTATGCGTACTCCTCTTCGTAGATCCCCCCGCCCAACGCGTCCCGCGTGAAGATCTCGCGTCCGTTCGCGCCTAAGTTGGTGTACCATGCTACCTTTGTGCGGGAGGGTGGCGCGGCCGCTGCTAGCACGGCGTCCTCGAGCTTGAGGGCGCGGAGGATTTCCATGGTGCGGAAGTTGAGAGTTATGAGGGCGGGTTCTGGGGCTCCACCTGGGCGTTGGTCGAACAGGGTGTGTGGGATTTTGTAGGTGGATAGGTAGATCGATGTGAGCAGGGCTGTTGGGCCGCCGCCGATGATTATGATGGACATTGTGGAATAGTCTACCTGGTAAGAAGTGATGGGTAGAAAATGGTTGCGAGGTTGGAATCAGAATGTCGGTGGAAATTTCTTTTGAGACAATAGGTTTCCTCACTAGGGTTGCTTACATGATATGCTTGATATTCATGCAAACCCCCTGACCCCATAAAAAAGAGAAAATCTCCGTGAGAAAAAACATCAAGGCTGTGGGGTGCGTTGCCAAAGTCCATCTGCCTACCTAAATCCCGAGAAATACTCCTTACAGCCCTACATACCTACCTAGGTACAAGCCTCTTGCAACAGCGCGCTAGCGCTGTTGGAAAGGGGCTTGCTTAAGTTAGATGTAACTAAAATTTACTGCGTGCTATGCTTACCTTAAGGCTTAATTTTTAAGTTATTTAATTTTTATAGTTAGGTTTTTATTAAGTTACTTAGTATACTAGGGGCTTGAAGGGGACTACTATAAGTATATTAAAAATTAAAATATAAAGTAAAAATAATAACTTTTTAAAGCCGCACGCACACTATATTAAATATTACTAAAAAAAGTTTATATAAACTAACTATTAATATTAAAACACCCGCACTAAATTAATTTTGTTATTATATTAATTTTATTATTAGTAATAAAATAACCTATTAAATACTAAAGATACTAACCAAGTAAACTATATCCTAATTAAACTAATAGTAACTAGCGTAAAAAAGCTGTTAGTAATACTTATAACTAAGCTGTTAGTAATGCCTATAGCTAACTATATAGTATTATTATAGTTAAAAGTAAATATTACCTTATTAACTATTACTTTTAAGTTTTTTTATTTTTTTTATTACCCTAAGCCCTGCCTGTATTCTTGCTAGTTAATTTCACGGAAGTTTTTATAAGCTATTTATTAATATTAAACTTAAAAAAATTAAAAAAACTTAAAAATATAAATTTATTTAAAAATAATTTATTAAATTTTTTTTTAAGCTTTTTAACTTTAACACCGCGGAGCTAGAGGCTTAAAAGGGTAAGGTTTTAAAGGGGGATTTTTAAAAAGATTCCAGGAGCGTAATACCTAAAAAAAACTTTTTTTTTTTTATTTAGCCCTTAAATATAAAAGGGTTAAAAATAATAAAGGACTAGGTAGTATTACCTTTATTTATAAAAACTAGTATTAATATTAACTTAAAAGTATTATAATTAGTATTTTTTATACCTATAATACTTTTAATATTATTCTTACTTATAGGTATTTTTTTATGCCCGGGCCTATAACTAAAAAGGTTAATAAAAGTTACTAAGGTAGCCTTTCCTAGCCTGCGGCGGTGTTTAATTAAATAATTTAAAATTAAAGGGCCAGGGGTAATAAAAGTAGTATTATAAAAAATAAATAATTAAGCTATTATTTTAATAAAAAGATAAAAAATATAATTTACCTAGTAAAAATTATATAATATACTTAAAACCTAGGCCATAGCACCAGGGGTTATAAAAAATAAATTATATAAATAATTAAACCTAGCTATACTATATATAACCTAAAAGGTAGTATAATTAATAATTAGGGAGCTATAATTATAAACCATAACTTTTATAAATAAAATATGGTTCCCCTTTTAGTTAGCTATTTTTTTAATATAGGTATTAATAAAAAAGATAAAAAAAAACACTATTAGCAGGATAAAATTATTATATAGGTTATTAATAGGGGAACTGCTTATCTTAAAAAAAAGCTAAATATTAATATTATTTAAAATATATATTATATAACTATAAAATATAAAAAACTTATAGTATTAAGGCATTAGCCCAGATTATTAAAAAAAATAATTATTATTAATATTATTAATTATAAAAAGCTACCCCTGGTAAATAGCCATAGTATTATTCTTAAAAAATAATTTAAACTAGTTATAGTAGGTAATTATTATAAGAATTTTTAAAAAAATTAAATTTAAAAAAAGCTTGGGTTTCACGCCTTTTAATTTATAACTTAACTTTAAGCGCCCACTATTATTACTAAAAATAAAGTTAATTATAATTAAGCTACTAATAAAAGCGTGGGTATTAAAAGGCGCTTTAGGTCCGCTTATATTAAAGTATTAAAAAAAAAAAAAATAAAAAAAATAAAATTAAAAAAAGTTAATAAATTTAAAAAAAAATGCCCGGGGGAAAGGCAGGTATATATAAAAAAATTTATTTAAAAATTTTTTATATAAATTTATATAGCACCTTTAAATAAACTATATTATTTATTAGCCATGCCTTTATATTACCCTTAACTAATAAAATAGTAATATTATTAGCCAAGGTTAACTAAAAAAGTGCCATATAAAATTAACTATGGGTAAAAACTAAAAAATAAAAGTTAATTTTTATATAGTTTAAAAACTACCCCTGTAATTTATTAATTATTATAGTATATATAAGCTAAACTAAAAATTAAACCTAGGTAAGTATAAATAAAAACTTACCCTTTATAAAAAATAGTTACAAGCATAAAAGCAGGACTTTATTATTTTTATACTAGCTACTTTTTATAGTATTTTAGTATTTTAGGCACCTTTGGCTAATTTAGGTTATAATTAGCCAAGTTTTATTATATAAACTATTAAAAAAATTATAATTTTATGTTAATAATACTAGGGAGCTAGGTTTTAGGTACAGGTTTTTTATTAAAAGGCTTAAAAATTAAAAACTATATAGGAATTCTAGGGTATACTTTTTATTAATAGTTTCCCTAGTGCTGTTATAATAATTTAAAAAAAATAGGTAAATAGCAGTTTTAGGAATAATAAATAAAAGCTTAAAGTTAAAAATATTTATATTTATATTAAAAGGTGTTAGGATTGTATAATTAATAAATATGTTAATATATAACTTATAGTATACTACTTAATTTTAGCGTGGTATTAATAAGGCACTAAGCTTAAATAAAAAGTACATTCTGGATATAAAAAGTGCTAGATTTAAGGTTATATGCAAAAAGTTAAAAATTTATATAAAATTATGCATAATAATATTATAGTTTAGTAAATATAACTACTACGCTAAAAAATAATTATTTTTATATAAATTTTAAAGGCGCATGTTTTTAGTAAAAGTAATAACCTTAATATTATTTTAAATAGCTATATACTAAATATATACACCTATAATTATAAATTAATTTCCACGCGGTATAACTAGCAGGATTTATTAAAAGTTACTACCTAAGATAATAAAAATACTATTAAAAGGGATATTATATATAATTATATTTTTAATACTATAAATATCCCGCAGTATATAGTTAATAGTATTAAAAATATACTTATTTATTATTAAGGTTTTATTTTAAATAATTAAAAATATTTTTTATAAAAGTCTAGCAAGGGCACTTTTTTAATAAATATTATAAAATAAGTTTTTCTTAGTTAAAACTAGGATATAAAATTATTTATAAATAGTATAGCTACCAGGCAGTAGCAGCGCTGTAATACTAGTAAAGGCTATATATAAAATAATTTAATTAAAAAAATAAAAGTACTTGGCCAAGGCCTTATATAAATAAGTCTTACTTATTAAAGGTTAATATATATATTAATAAAATATAAATTAATATACTAGTACCACTAGGGCCATAAAAAAAAAGCATGCTAAGCTTAGTATAGTTATAACCATCTTTTTAATTTAATTAAAAGTTACTTTTTACTTATTATTAAAATTTACATACTTTGTTTTAAAGTCCCAACGCATGTTACTAATATTATAAGCAGTTTTTTATTAAATCTTATGGTTATTAAACTTTTTAAGGTTTTTTTAAAATAGGATAGGCTCTAGTAGCCTAAAATTACTTAAGGTTTTTTTATAAATAGCTAACGCGTGGCTAATATACTATAAGCTAAAGTCTAGGTTTAAATTATTTTTTAAAGGGTTATAAAAAACTTTATTAAAACTATAGGCCTAATGCTAGATTAACCAGGGCAGGTTATTATAAATAAAATAATTATAATTATTTTAAATAGCCCTAGCATAGTCACGGGAAAGTAGCACCTTTATTATTATAATAGTAAATATCCCATGCAGTGCTTTACTAGTTATAAAGATAATTATTTTTTAAAAATAATTTAGTTACTCCTAGTCTTGTATTAAAATCCCCTAGGCATAGTAAGCCTTTTAAAAAAAATTATATAATTAGTTATTTATAATATAAAAATTTTTAAAGCTTTTAGCCCTAGTAATTATTATTAAAAGGTATTAAATATAGTATACCTTATTATTTAAGGGTAATAAATAATAAACTTAACTAAATATTTCCTAGGCCTTCCTGGGCTTTTAATACTTTTTATTTTAAGTAAAATAAAAGGGAAACTTTAGGTATATATACTACCTAGCGCTAGGATTAGCAGGGTTATAGTTATAAATAAAGTACTTTAATAAATATAATATATTATTTTATAATATGTTTTTTAGCTTTGCTATATTATTTACTTAATTATTAAAAATTATAAAGTATTTTTTAAGTAAATAAATAACCAAGGCCATAACCAGGGGCTTTATTTTATTAACTAGGTACTTTATTAATTTTTAGGCTACCTTTAAAATACCTATATACTAATTATTTACATACTTTATAATCTTATTAAAGCTTATTTTTATGGTTATTTAGTTAACTTTTTTATAAAAATATTTATATAAATAATAAATAGCCTTAATACTATTATATATTTTAATATTAATATAGGCCTAATACTTTTAGCTTAGGTAGGGGTTATATAATACTACCTACTTATTACTAATATATATTTTTTTTCCCTTTTTTATTAAATAATTAATTTTAATCTTGTATTAATTTAAATCCTGGTACTAGTAGCTAAAATAGCTATTATTTATAATATAGGTTTTATTATAAAACTTCTTAAAAAAATACTTAAAGTATTTACTATTATTATTTATATATAAGGCTTTTAGGTCATGTTTATTACAGGGTATATATATTATAATAAAAATAATAATATTATATAGCTATATACTATATTTACTA